TACAACACTGTCAACACATATGAGTGGATATAGTAGGATGCAGCTTATCATGGAACTTATCTGTAATTTGTAAGGAGAAATCCCGCGCGCATCGCCAATTATCCACACCAGTTTGAGTCCCCTGGTGCCCGCCGCTTGTAGTTTCCTCCACATCAACCGCTTCACAGACCAAGTGGAGCCCCACTCTCCATGGCTTGCCGCTTGCCGTCTAGACTCTGCACGTCGCGAGTCTCAAAGCGTTTCAAATTAAACAGAATGCCAGATGAATTCGATTGAATCGATTGACCTGATACGATTCGTCATCGGGAAATCTCCGGCACGCTATTGCCGGCCTTAACGATGTCTGTAAATAGTGGTGCAAGCCACAGGGCGTCCCTGGATAAATTGAGATCCCCTGCAACGTCGATGGCAGGTGACAAGGCTGGTGCCATGTTTTTGCGGCAGGCCTATTAGTCTATGTCAATATGTGCATTATTATATATGGTGTCCATACAGAGTGAATTCTATCAAAGTGTAAAACCCCACGTCAACTTCAAGCAGTTTGTAATATTTGTAGTATAAAAAAGGGTTAGTAAATCTGAAGTGCTACATGTTACATGCCGAGAGGGAAGCGGCAAATCGCATGTCGCGTATCTGGTCGACCCGAGCTGCACATCAAGGAATGGCCCGGGCTCTGTCTGACAGGATCAGTGGAATCCTCCTTAAGGAATCCACTTCGTCTCCATTGGCGGGACAGCGGACCTTCGCCCGCCGACGTTATCACCGCGAGTGGATCAAACATTGGCAAAATGACGCACAAGGCAGGCAAGTAGAGCCCCCAGGGGCATTCCATTCATCGCTACGGAGTACCTGAGCGTCGGCGATAGAGGGAAAGATCATGTATCCTGCATTGCCCTGCGGGCCAAAGCGAAACGCCACAACCATCTGAGAGCAATGTTGTTCCAGGTCCACCGCAGCGCTAGGACTACAGGCGGAATGCATAATGATTCAAACTGATTAATGAATGATAATAATAACACGTATTATTATTTTTAGAGAAAAGCACCATCTGGTAAGCCTTCCACGGCTTGGAAGATGGCTTTGATCCGACCAATGATCGTCAAGGCCACAGCCCTTGGCTTTCTTCACGGACGACTCAGTCCTTGCAAGGTTGAAGGGAAAAGAGACCAAGACAAAGAAAAAAAAACCCTCGGAAAAACCTGGCATCGATTCCTCATTGCGCAAATCAGGAACAAGCGGCAATAACCTTGGACGCCCAAACGGCCTGAAGTCCGATCCGCCCGGTATGGATGAAGACTAGTGGGCCTTCTTTTACTCCGTTCTGGGGCTTGATGCCATCGATTATTCGTGCACAAGTGCGAGCACAGGCCACTGGACGATCAGTCCGTTTCAGGACCAAGATGTGTGCGTGCATCGGAGTATCGGAGAATTTCCCGTTGCATTAGTAAGGTCAGGTCAGGTCAGGTCAGGTCACACTGAAGTGCTTGTTTGATGTACTGTATGTACTCTGTAAGAAAGATGGAAACATTATTGTGGTCCTGTGGGTATTATGGTCAGGGTTGCTTTTAATATGCCTTGTTTAGAATACATGGGAGGTGGATATCTTATTCGTTGATTTTATGCAGAATTATGGGTTTTGCGTTGGCGTACCGCGTACGATGTCAGCGATCACCCGCAAAGCGCGGTTACGCAATAACGTTGGACTCGGCTCAACATCTCTCTTTAGAAGTGCAATGACGCAGGTGAGCATTTCTTGGGACTTGTATTGAGACAGGGGGTTGTGGATTTGTGTTATTGGCTGCGTTGGTCGTGGCGCTTTGATGGTATTGGCAAAGAAGGTATAGTGCGCCCGTCCTTGTTGTTAGGAAATTGAGATTGGCCAGTAATTGACTTCCGCTCTTGGACCTGCATTGTTTTGATTCTTTTTTGACATTGAGAATCCAAAGAAATCAATGAGATTTATTATGTCATTGGAGTTTGGGCGGTTTTTGGAACAGGGGCAATTATATGCAGAGTAGGCCATTGACCTAGTAATTTCTCAAGGCTATACTTCCATATATCGGGGTTTCAATTTATCTGCTCTAGTAAGTAATCTGTACCCCGGAAAAGTAACACGGATTTCAAATAAAGGAGAGAAATCTTCAAAGGTGCAGGATAAATTGCTCATGTGGTACTCCGTATGTGTTCGGAAGAGCGTTGCCGGGTTTTCATAGGCTTAACTCCGTAATGCCTTTTTCCCACGATCATCCCACCCGTGACGCAGTTTAGTGGGAGTCGTTTCATTTGTCACTAGACCACCCTTGAGTCATCTCGGGTCACCTGCAGCTCTCTCAGGCCGCTAGTAATCTAGTCTGCCTTAGTGTGCATATTCGGGTCTGGGGTTTCTGCAAACGAGATGTCCGTGCGACTGATTTTCTCTTGTTGATTTCTTTGTCAGTTATAATTATTCTGGTTGACAAGGTCTCAAGTGTCAAGTCACCCCGTTGTTTGTTTCGTCCAAAGGCAGCCAAAGAATCCACAATTGTACCGGGGGATCCCCCGGTCTCCGCTCACATCCGAAAGGCGCGGGTCATCCCCAGGAAAAAGGGAAAAAGGGAAAATAGAAAAAGAAAAAAAAAAGATATCCATCACATAACAAAAAAGCCACAAGGAAACGGGCGAATAGAAGGATCGTCGGGCACGGTAACCCCAGATCCAGCCGCATTCACGAGAATCTGACGAATGGGTCACCGCGCCAATTGAATCCGGGGTGCTTCCTCGTTCCGTGCGACCAAACTCAAACCGGCGTGGCTGCAACGTGCAAAGTCAAAAGGATTTTTTTTCACCAAGTTCCAGAAGGGAAATTGGGAATGGAGGAATAGGAGAATGGGGAATAGAATGGGGATTAGAATGCGGAATCATTCTAGAAAACAAACTTTTGGGGGTTGCCTTTTGCCTCGTACCTGTGCCACGAGACTCCAAATCACCCTAGAAACAGCCATTTAGCCTACATTCTTCTTTCTTTCCCTTCTCTTTCTTCTATCTAACCATGGACGCTATAAGACAATAAGGTAACGGATTAGTGGCAAATAATTGCCTAATCACCACAACGCCTACTTTTAAGACAATACCTGTGTTTCAATGTTTCTGTTTCTGTTACTGTAATTCCACTCATGGACACACACCAATTGGTAGCCCCTTTCGAATGTCATTTCTTTTCCAATAAACCCAAGCCCAAGGTTTGTATAATTAAAAAAAAAGCTGATCCCAAGGCAAATCCCCCACACGAACCCTTGCTTTGGCCATCTGGAACACACTTTTTTCCCCCACAAAAATGGCGCATGGCCCTCCCTTAATTTGGATCAATTTGCGGATCCTTCCGCTCATCTCCATTGGCCGCTAACAAGTCACTGACCTCAGCCTCGGTGGATCTCGATGGGTACCTGGCCACATCATAGACCGTGGCCGGGGCTTTCTGACTGTCGCAGGTTTTCCCACGCCTTCCCAACCATGCTGGTTTGGGACTGCTTTTTTGCCGATCGTGGTCGTCACGAGGGCCCGAGATTGTAATCGTCCTTTTGACATTGCTATTGGGGGATTTTCCGAGTTTGGCAGGGGGAATACTGAGCGGTAATGTAAATGGTAACATGGCCTTTTAGAACTTGTAAAGATGTGAGGTCACATTTCCAATAGAAGCATCAATGGCTATTTATTGATTATCGATTTGGAGCTATTTCAGATCGGACCTCATGGGCTATTTTGCTTGGTAAACATCTGAACAAACTCGTAGGAATGTTGGAAAGGCCGTGCTGATATGTATGTCTGCGTGGAAGGATCCATTACTTGACTACTATGTATATGAATTATAGAATGCCAGTACGGAGTAAGTGCCACCGAAGTGACCCCGAAACAAGCCACTTCGACCAGCCTAGACTTGTTCCCTCCAAAATGTGCCCGTAACCAATGAATGTATGCTTTGTGACAAGAGAATAAAACAGAGAAATAACTCAACCTTGGGATGAATGCATAGGAGCAAAGAAACATTGAGAAATCGCATATTAAAATCATTCATCGCATAATTCGTTAATCGTTTAGACTGCCATTTGGAGGTATTTTTCCCTTTGTTTCCCTTATCGCGGTTTCAGCTATTCCCGTCCTTCCTCGGCTCAAACCCCGGAGTAACCAGGGAAGACAAATATACTAGCGCCGCGTTGACTGGTTACGCCACTAGACCCAACGCAGCAACTGCGTGGCGGCCATTTCTTTGGAGCCAATAACGCTCATCGATAACCAGAGCCAGGAACTGGTGGGCATTCGGTGAGCCGGCCGTGCGTGGTCGTAAGATTCGGGGCTACGCCGCATTCAGTATCACCCTGGGTAATCGCAGCCCAATCATTGGCGCTTCTCGGCCGTGTTGAGTGGATCACCGAATAACTTGTATTGGAGTCGTTTCTATCCGTAGTTGATGGATTTATGGACTCATGGCAGTTATAATAACGCATTTGGAGTTTCTGTGACCAAATTATAAATCAGTAATGGTTACTTGTAATTTTCAGGAAGAGAGCATTTATACAGTTGAAGCCACCTGTTACATGTCATGTTCATTTGTTGACAGTTTTCATTAAGTTTTGGTAACAAATCCTGTAACAGGAACAACATGTTTAGGCCCGTTTATCGGAGACCCGGGGGAAAGTGCGTGCTAGTACCAGGTAATTTGAAATTTGTAATCCCGGTACTTTGGGTACCACGTCCTGGGTACTTTGTATCACTGTAATGGAATTGATTACATACTATTACATAGTGGGTTTAGTGTATTTGGTGTATACGAAGCTTCCAAAGCCGCCACTTACTGCCACGAACGACCGGACCACGGGTATGTAACTACCCAAGACCCAGGTACCTTTTGGCGTAATCGTTGCTCGGATTCATCTTCTACTTTCTACCTCCAACCTCCAACCTTGACATCCTTCTTCCTCTCTTCACTACCTCACATCCCTGTCCTTTTCTTCGTCGTGGTCTTGTCAAGACCTCATCTGCCATTGTCCGCTATCTCGGTTATCTCCGGCTTTATCCACTCGCATGCTGTAGCTGCGAGCAGACAAAGAGACACTTGGAAGCTTTGACTTGGTGACAGGAGGCAAATTATCCTTTTTAGTCAATGGATACTTGAGAAGCTCGACATCTTTCGTCAACTCCTCGTTTGACTTTGTAAGTTCTGGTTGGGGGTACTGCGACCGTGCTGCGCAACCCGTTTATCATGGTTAAAGCCGGTTGCCTTGCTGATGTTACGAACTTGCCCCCCATTAGAACACACCCCTCGGCTTTTTCTACCCACCGGCGCCAGGTCCTCTGAACCTGTTTCTTCCTTCATCCCCATTGTTCCGATCCAGTTCAAGCTCGAATAAATTCGAGGATATCCAACTTCTCCGATCGATAGAAACGTGCTGTACAGCTGCTGTTCCTCTCTGGTGGGTCTTATCCGCTCCAGCATGGTCCCATGAATAGCCGCCCCTCCCCCATTACCCTGGGTCCTTATATGTGATGACCTGGACTCGACGCACACCAACAAGTTCATGAGAAAGAAAGACAATACAGAAAATGCTGACCTAATGTCATCCGACCGAAATAGTCGTTGATGCGACAATAGCAGAAAGTTATTTCCAACCACCTCGCTTCTTTTCTTCTTGTCACTCTGGGAGTAACTTAAGAAACCCTTCATTCCAAAGGCTGCGCCTGACCTTCCCCCTCCCCCACATTCCCCAATTTACATCCTCAGGGACCACAAGTTATTCTGGTCTTTTTAAGGCTATTTCTTGAAATTTCCTTAGGATGCTGCTTGATGCTATGGTTGGTCAAGACCAAACCCATAGCCAAAAAGTGGTTGATCTAGCCAGTATCAACGAAATACCCGGAGATATGCCTGGTAAGTAAACTTTCTGATACCAATTAGCCCATTCAACCTGCGAATTCTGAACTCGCAATCTCGGTAGCTCCGTCCAAGGAGAAGAAACAGGGCGAGGCCAATGGCCAAGCTGCCAATGGAAATATCCCACCTCCAAAGACAGACAAACCTCGGCCACATGTCTGCACAACTTGCAGTCGCTCGTTTGCGCGATTGGAGCATTTGAAGCGCCATGAACGCTCCCACACCAAGGAAAAGCCCTTTGAGTGCCCCGATTGCGCCCGGTGTTTTGCGCGCCGTGATCTGTTGCTTCGGCATCAGCAGAAATTGCACATGACGACAACCCCATCTTCTCGTCCGAGGAATGGCCGTCGTGAGAGTACCGGCGCTGCAGCCCCCGGCGGTGCTAATCGGGTTCGTAAGAACTCCATCGCTAACAACTCCTCTTCATCTTCCATGCGCCCCAGAGCCAACACAATCAGCCACATCGATGGCGCAGGATTGGGGATCGCTAACTCTGGCAACCCTTCTTCTGCCCCTACCCAATCGGGTCATACGTATCATCCCAGCTTGGGATCGCTTCCTTCCAACATGGATTATCGCGGTTTTAGCTCCGGTCACCCCCACCAGAGCGGCCTTCCCAAGATTGAAACTTCAGGATTGCCCATGGACATGGCTGGTGGATTGCGGACAGCCCCAGTGTACGGGAGCTTTGATTTAGGCATCGACGGTATGCTGATGGGCCATGGAAGCACAATAAATCCGGCGCAATTACACTTTGCAGGTTCCCCTCAGGGCTTTGGTGACTCCCCCTCTCCCCCGTTTGGCCACCACCCCCATGGCATGCACTCCGCAACGGATCCCATGATGGACGACGAAATGAACTTTGACTGGATGAACGGCTTTGACGCCGCCGTAGCGCTAGGGAATGGAAATGACTCGGTAATCGACGAGTCATCCCCGTCGGCCATGAGTACGGGTAGCCAGAGCGGTATCAGCGAGGCCATGCTAGATGGTCCGAACCGCATCCCTATCTCCAATGGCTGGCACAACCCGTTCCCTACTCACCCATCCTCCGCCAACCAGTTTGCGACAATCGACTTTTCGCCCACCACCTTGAATGAATTAGGGATCCCGCCAGAGACCGTATCCCCCAAGGCACTTCAGATGGCCCAGAATCCGTTTGCCGAGTCATATGCTACCCCTCCATCAATGACTTCGGTCGGCCAGCCCATCGTGGGAGGACATTCGCAGAGTATGTTATCATCCTCAATGGCAACAAGCGGAGAATCTCCTAATCCTCTCAACGTTCCTTTCCCGAATAGTGCCCTACGAAATCAACATTCCCCACTCTCAACGGATACATTTACAGACTCCACACGACAGGCTCTACTAGCGAGCATGTCGCAACCCACTGGCTTCAATCACCGCAAGTATTCTCAACCCGCAAGTGGCCTCCAAAACAGCCGAGAACTATTCGCCCGCTCGACTGCCTTCAACAGCTCCGGCCAATTGCCTAGTACCACCGATCTGCAACGATATATCTCGGCCTACCTCAACTACTTTCACCCACACTTGCCCTTTCTTCATACCCCGACCCTCAACTTTCAGGCCCCCGAATATACCAATAATCTGCGCACCCCGAGCGGTCACCTTAACCTAAGTTCCACTGGTGTGTCCGGCGGAGGAGGCTGTTTGATCCTCTCAATGGCTGCCATTGGTGCATTATACGAACACGACCCGGCGGCCTCCAAGGAACTATTTGAGGCCGCCAAGAAGATGATTCAGCTGTACCTAGAAGAGCGGAGAAAGGCCGATATGTCTGCCGCTCTAAGTCGTTCAAATACAGCCCGTGACAACTCTGTTCATACAACACCGCTGTGGCTGGTCCAGGCGATGCTGTTGAATGTGATATATGGCCACACTTGTGGGGATAAGACATCAGCAGACATCGCTAGTACGCACTGCGCTGCACTGGTCAGCTTGGCCCGTGCAGCTGAATTGACTCACCACTTGGACCCGAAACACCTCCCTCAAGACCATCTAACCGCTGGAATCAACATTTCAAATGATACGGAAGACTGGATGTCTTCATCATTTAGCCAACCCAAGGAAAGACGGGACTGGTTGAACTGGAAGGTGGTTGAAGAGCGGAAGCGCACTCTTTACGCGATCTTTACCCTCTCAAGTTTCCTTGTGTCCGCATATAACCACGCGCCAGCTTTGACAAATTCCGAAATTCGACTTGACCTACCCTGTGAAGAAGACCTATGGGCTGCCGAGTCTCCTCAGGCCTGGAAAAAGATGGGAGGCCAAACTGCTTCCAAGAAAAGCGTTTCATTTTCAGCTGCCTTGACTTCCCTTCTCACAGCCAGCCAACGACAGCAACAAAACCAGTCCCAGAATCTTTTCTTCAGTGGCGGCAGCACAGATGATCCAATAAATGCGGAAAACCGGCCCAGCACGTTCGGCTGTCTCGCTCTCATATATTCACTTCACAATTATATATGGGAAACCCGGCAACGGCATATGGGTCGACAATGGACCTCCCAAGAGACCGAAGCAATGCAATCACATATTGAACCCGCGCTACGCGCGTGGCAAGCAGCTTGGGCGAGTAACCCGGTACATAGCCTCGAACGTCCGAATCCCTTTGGTGCTGGGCCTTTATCAGCAGACAGCATTCCATTACTGGATTTGGCGTATGTTCGATTATTTGTTAATCTGGGTCGCACCAAAGAGGCATTCTGGCAGCGAGACTGGAACGGCATGGCAGACGAACTCGCTCGTGGGGGTGAGGTTTTCCAACAGATCGACACGCCAATGGGTGACGTTGTGGATCCTTCCCTAACTGGATCCCTCGATGGTCGACGTGAATCGATCAGTGATCTTGGAGTTGCGGATCTCGCAATTTCCAAAACCCCAACCCAAGAGCAGCCCATGCAGTCCTTGTCAAGCGTTTATAATATCGGACAGTCCAAGCGTGAAAAGAATCTCCGCAAGGCAGCTTTCTACGCCGCCGACTCCATCTCCATGTCGGATCGACTGGGCAACACCTTTGCCGAATTCTCGTCAAGGGAATTGCCAATTCAGTGTGCGATGTGTGCCTTTGACTGCTCACAGGTACTTGCTGAGTGGATCACTACAGTTCAAGAACGGGTCGGGCCCTACCTCGGTATCCTTGGTCGAGACAATCTCGACCTGACCCAGGTGCCCGGGGTCATGTTGCTTGAAGATGAAGATTGCAAGCTAGTGGACAAGATTAATGAGATTCTCAACAATGTGGAGACCAAGATGCAGCGCGAGGTACAGAACAATAACTCCATGTCAGCGCTTAGTGTTATGCAACGTCTGCCAAGCGTGGTGGAAGGAGGATACGGATGTAAAATATTGATTGCTACGGCAAGCCTATTGGACCGGGCTGCCGTTTGGCCAGGTAAGACAAGTCACCGTCATTTTGCTTCGACAACATCATACTAATGATTATTTAGTGACGAAACTGATGGTCCGCTCACTTGAAGCACAGGCTGTGCGAATGAAGGAGCGAGCTGAGCACTCCGTTATGATGAACACCTAATAACGAATTTTCCTTATGAATGACTTTCCATTTGATTTCTCATTCTTCGTCTGTTATGTTATATGCGACCCCCCTTTTTGAACTTTTTATACGTTTATCTTGCCTGGCCTACCTCAATGGCCTGCTGCTTGAATCGATATCGATACCCCGATCGAATCCATCATAGACGAATGCCATGCTTTGTTTTATTGATATTTGATATTATCTATCTGAGGTTTTGCGGAGTGTATGCTTTGGGTTGTGCTGCTGCGTGAATGTTATATTTGATTCTGATGACCATGACCTTCTTTTCCAAATTCAAGTGCTTTGGGATGTTTGTGGATGCTTGCTTTTGCGGTGGCATTTTGTTGATTTGTTCGTCATTTTTCTTCTCTTTTCTTTTTCATGTCCATTGTTTAACTATATGGATTACTTCATGTGAATATGGTACCTATTATCAATTGGACTTTCATTGATTCCAAGGCTCGCTGGCAGGGATTTTTGTAGACATTATATCACAGATGCGACATCGCATCACACCACACCATATCTAGCACCATCGATACCTCGGCCCCGAGCCTTTACTTGCCAACTAAACATTAGAAGGATTTTCTTTTATTTATATACTTTCTTTTCTTCTCCCTGGTTCTAAAGCTCTTATGCTTGCTGACCTCCCCGTTTCATTTTTCTTATGTTATTCAAGAGAGAGTTGTAGAACTAACTTGAATATGTAAAACCTGTCATATATAACTTGCTATTAAAAATGAACAGAAATACCTAGTAGAAGAGGAATCTGAGGTCTTATTATACTCGTGCTCAGTGTAAGTAGGATTCTCAATTTTTGAGCTCCTGATTCTTCCTCGTAATTATTTTTGCACATCTACTTTTGTCTTTTTTTGTCCTATGTCTTGGGCTGGTCGACGTCAACTGGTATATCATCTAGCGTAAAGTTACGTAATCCGACACCGTTGCTGGGGCACTTCACGCGTTAAGTGCTTTTTCGCGTTAGGCGCCTATCTCACCGACAAGAACCTGGAAGATCATAGAAATGACGACAAGCCCTCAAACGGGTCTGCGTATGGCTGCTCCGTCGCGACTCCCGACTGCAGCCCCGACAAATCATCAACTCTGCGCCACGGCGCTCTCCTAATTCCTGATGCCAAACTACCTGCGATCCGTCTCCCCGGTCGCTCTCGAAACATACTCGCCTCCCCCACCTACCGACTCAGATCAGGATCCATATGAGCTACTAGGCTCTGACGACGACCTTGATGATGCATCTCGGGCTACAAAGTATCGGCGAATCGAAAAGCTGGCAGAGGTCTATCTCAGCGGCCGACCTTTGTTTATTGCTTCAGCGTCACTGCGTGGACCGTTCAATGAGGGGTGGAGGAATCCATGGAGGAGAAACAGGAAGGTCATCACACATCAAAATACGAAGCTGAACGATGCGAGGCCGGGAGAGCGAGCTCGGACCCCTGAGACGGCTGTCAAAGAAACCGACGTAAGGAGCAAGAGATATAAGACCGATTTGACGGCTTCTGCTCGTCCGCCTAGAGTTTCAGCTTCTCCATTTGTCGCAGCCTCGCCTGCTCCTGCTGTGCCTCCAAATGGAGGAAAGGCTTCTCCTCTACATCCCAAACCAGGGCGGAAGCGGAGACCTTCTGGTGCCGACTTCGCGGAGAGCAGTGAAGCTTCGTCCCGCGTACCGAAGAAGGCGAAAGAGCAGCTCTTGTCTGAAGAAAATACTACATTCGCCGGCCATGAGCCAACAGACTGGCTGAAGAAAGACCGGCGACGAATGAAATTCAAATCGGTTGAACCGCCTGATTCCCCGACGCCGAAAAGCCAGCAAACGGAATGGGAGATTGGCCCCCGCACTCGCGAAACACGCTCTCTAGCTCCCTCATCCTCACATACTTCTGCAAATCTAGCTTCGCCCAAGAAAGGACCGCTTCCTGCAACTATACGTGCAACCACGGCTGCAAAAGCTTCTCCGCAAGCTAACCGATCCCCTGCACAGGCCCCGCGGCAGAGCCCCGCCCTTAACGCTCTATCGCCAAATGGAACTATCTCTAAAAGTTGTGAAAAACTGACATCGTTACGGGTTGTCTCTTCGACCTCTCAGCTGGCACGCTTCGAGTATAGACTGCACGTACCTGTCTCGAGCCCGCATCTCGAGCCCATTTCACCGGCCGCACAAATTGTTGGTGCTAAACCATCTCCTCGAGTTGATAAAGGCAGAAATGTTGATGAAGCAGAGCCTATCGAGACAGAAGATCTTGTTAGAGCAGAGGAGCATATCAAGTCTGCAAAATCTCCTAATCCCGCAAAGGCAACAAAGGCTGCCCGTCAAGCGAAGTCAAAACCAACAAGCGAGGAGCCTGATGAACCTAGTAAGAAGCAAGGTCAAGAAACGGATTCACGGGTACATTTATCGAAAAGCCTGCGATTTGCCAATGATACCGACGGAACGACATTCACGACCACATATAGTCCAACAGCGACTGAACAAAATACATACGAGGAGCTTCCATCTGCCCAGCAGGTTCCTGGTCTACCAAGCCTGTCAGACCGCATGCCATCTCTCCACTCAACAGCCATGCCCAAGGAAAACTCAACAACCCACCCAGAAAAAACTCCCGATACCCAATTATCTACACAAGCGGCTCTATTATACGCACAGAAATCCTTCCAAGATGCCCTGGAGAGCCCTGCTCAGTATGGAATCACACCAGCCCAGCAGCGCATGATGTCCAATGCGGACGACGAGTCGCTCTTGGCACAAGAAACACCTCTTTTTAGGGCCGATACATCAGACAGAGCATTACCCCGTAGCTTCAGGGTGTCTGAGAATGGGAAGTCTGAGAAAAGCAAGGTGCAGGCCATGAGCACACAGTGCATGATCGATGCTGCTACTCCCTTTACTTTCAGCACTGAGAAAAGACCGAGAGCTTTCCGCTCAATTTCCCCTCGCAAGAGCAGCCCTACCAAACCACGAGCGCTCCATTCGGCGGAAGCCGCTTCTGCTACTGCGTCTTCTCCAGTCTCGCTTTTTGACCTCGATACCTTGGCAGCCCATCCTCAACATACAAGTCCACACTCCCCACCTGTCCATGATCCAGCACCCGACCATACATTTAGCCACCCACTAAATACGCAAGGCACCTCACTTCCTTTTCATTTGAGTGGATCAACGCCTACAACGGCCCAGGATGGCCAAGGGGGACTTCATGCCGGAGACTCTTTTAATCTCAGCGAGGCCATCGCCGACGCAGGAAGTTGGCTGCAGCAGAGCTTTATGTGAAGGTTGAATGACGTTCAGAAGCCCCATTGGGATGAGAAGATAGCCATTTTTGGTGCCCATTCCCGTGATTGAGATCCAACACATTGCATAGGGGGCTTTGGAAATTTCTGTTTTGTCTTTTGTGTCTTCCTCTTGATTCTTGATTGTTGTTTATTTTTGGCTCTTGATTCCCCCTTTTCGTGGTTTTGGTTTTTACATATGATTTAAGCTCCATCTGTGGAATTGAAGCCCACTAACGATTCATGAATCCAATGTTCATAGCTAGCTGAAAACATCAATGATGTCTATTACATATCCCACCCTTTACTACTTGTATGCCGGCGCAAAATTTCGTCACATGATTTCCTCAGCTGGTAGTTGTAAAGTAAGATCGATTGATATGGAAGTAGTAGGCACTGAATACTAGTAGGAGTAATCTATGTGATTTCCGGGTTCCTGGGGACCTGAACGCTGTATAGATCCGCAGGAACCAAATGGTCCGTGCGCCCGCAGCGGGGATAGCTCCAGGCCGCCTCCAACTTAGCTCCGTCACCAATCGCCGGCCAGCAGCCCAAATGGCACTGACATCAGTACGCTGAATCCTAAGCACTCCTATGTGACTAATATCTGACCATCTTTGCAGTGGAAAGCGTTCAACTTCGTCGACGTCTCCCCAGTGAGACTACCAGAAGAGAGCTCCGCGCTCTTCGGTGTACGTCCCTCCAACTCGTCTTCCTCACCGTTGTCGTTCCTGCTAACTGACACCAAAACTCATAGAGTGATCTATCCAGTCTCTGCACCGGCTCTGCAAACCTTTTCGTCGGTACAATCGATGGATTCGTCCACATCCTCTCCTCGTCCTTCCGCATCGTGCGCTCGTTCAAGGCGCATGATGCGGGCTCGATCACCCATATGAAGCAGATTAACGGAACCTCTCTACTTGTGACTGTGGCGGAAGATTTATTGAACGAGCCAGTCTTCAAGGTCTGGGCTCTGGATACCGAGCAAAAGGATGGCGCACCGCGGTGTCTATCGACAGTCTCCGTGCAAAATGCAAGACGCCAGTTTCCGGTGCGCAAGACCCCTATCAAATTCCAAATACCATGCTGTAATTGAGATTGAACACATTTCACTGACGCAAAGCAGATTTCTGCATTCGCAGCCGTCGATGATCTCTCGCAAGTGGCCGTTGGCTTCGCAAACGGCTCCGTCACCATTATCCGCGGTGATTTGATTCACGATCGGGGCGCGCGCCAACGGATCGTCTTCGAGTCGGAAGAGCCAATCACTGGCTTGGAAATTCAAGATGGACAGCTGACTGCGCTTTACATTGCGACTACAAGCCGCATCTTGACTTTGGTTATCGCGGGCCGAGGACAAGGCCAGCCGGCTCGCGTCTTGGAGGATACGGGCTGTGGGCTGGGATGTATGACGCTGGATCGAGAGAGCGGGGATATTTTGATTGCCCGTGAGGATGCTATTTACACTTACGGTTCCCGTGGCCGCGGCCCGAGCTATGCTTTTGAGAGCCCGAAGACATCGATTCGCTCGTACCGCGATTATGTCGCGCTGGTTTGTCCACCAAAGGCTGGATCTGGCAAATCGGATCCTATGCGCAAGTATGGGGTCAATCCTGCTGATTCAATCTTTGGTACAACGACTTTTACGTTGCTGGATACGGATCTTAAGTTTATCGCACATAATGAGACTTTGGTATCGCCGATGAAACAGATTTTCATGGAGTGGGGAGATATGTATCTCTTGACGACTGATGGCAAGGTATGGTGTTGCTTTTTGCTTTGGTCCTTACTTGCAATATCTGACCGGATTAGGTGTTTCGGTATCGCGAGAAGAGCCTCCAGCAGCGGCTGGAGATCCTTTACGAACGCAATCTTTACATTCTGGCTATCAATCTTGCACAACAGATCGGCATTGATCCATTGCAGCAAAATGCCATATATCGCAAGTACGGTGACTTTTTGTACCAGCGTGGGGACTATGATACTGCTATGCAACAATATCTTCGAGCAATTGACAATACTGAACCGTCACAAGTCATTCGCAAGGTTCGTCAATTTTGAATTTTTTTTGCGGAGTGTATCAAGTATTCTAATTTGGACTGTAGTATTTGGATACCCAGCGGATCCATAACCTGATCGAGTATCTGGAAGAGTTGCACGATCATGGCCGGGCAACAGTTGACCACACCACGCTTCTTTTGAACTGCTACGCCAAACTAAAAGATACCAGCAAATTAGATTCTTTCATCAAGGCTCCTGGTGAGCTGAAGTTCGATCTGGAGACTGCTATTGCCATGTGCCGCCAAGGAGGATACTACGAGCAGGCAGCATACCTTGCGACAAAGCATGGTGAAAACGATATGGTAGTTGATATTTTAATTGAGGACTCTAAGAAGTACGCTGAGGCGGTCGAGTACATATGGCGATTGGAGCCTGAAGTGGTACGTGGACATACTCACAGACTCTCATTGCAGACAGCTAATTATACCAGGCCTATCATAACCTCATGAAATATGCCCGCGTCCTGCTTTCCCATTGTCCTGAGCAAACAACGGAGCTGTTTAAGACTTACTATGCGGGCAAGTACCAACCCCGGACACAAGTGGAAATGCCCGCCGAGCCCCAAGCTCAACCAGCAACAACTCTTCAAAGTCTTGCTGGGATGTTGCCGTTGCGATATATGCCAGGCGCATCTGCACTTCAAGCTCCAGTCACTGTGCCGGAGCCTGTTGCCAAAGAAGAGCCAATTACTACTCCCTCACCTGAATACGAGATTCCGAAGCCACGGACAGCATTTTCAGCTTTCGTTGATCATCCCCGAGAATTTATCGATTTCCTCGAGACACTTGGGCAACAGCCCGAACTGAACAAAGAGGCCAAAGTCGATCTTTTCACGACCTTGTTTGAGATGTATTTGGATACTGCCAAGGGAAAGAAGGATGCAGCTGAGAAGCAAGAATGGGAGACCAAGGCCAAGAAGCTGATCGAAGGCAAAGATGTGAGTAACCCCAAGGATAAATTCTTGATTATGTTAAATCTAACTCTGGCAGATTCCAATCTCCACATCCAATGTTTTGCTTCTTTCCGATCTGTCCAATTTCCGCGAGGGATCTACACTTGTTCGTGAACAAGAAGGGTTACGTCTGGATATCTTCCGATCCTTCACTTCGGCCAAGGACACCCCGGGAGCTATTCAAGCCTTGCGACGATATGGTCCCGATGAGCCTCAGCTATATGTCGACGCTTTGACATATTTTGCCTCCAGCCCTCAGATCCTTGAGGAAGCAGGTGACGAGCTGGATGTTGTCCTTCAACGCATTGATGCAGATGGTCTGCTTTCCCCATTACAGGTGATCCAAGCACTCAGCAACAATGCCGTTGTTACGATGGGCCGAGTAAAGAAATACCTGAGTGATAACATTGAGCGAGAACGCAAGGACATCGCCACGGTAAGCAGCCATAGGCAACTCCTTTCTTATCGCCCTATTCTTTTTTTTGGCAAAGCTGACTCCCACTCTACCAGAATCGCCGCCTCATATCAAGCTACAAATCCGAGACAACCGCCAAACAACAAGAAATTGAATCTCTCGCCACCCAGCCAGTAGTCTTCCAATCTCGTCGCTGCCAATCCTGCGGTGGTACCCTCGATCTTCCCACCGTGCACTTCCTTTGCAAGCACTCCTTCCACGAACGCTGCCTCAACCGTGTCGAGGAAGACGCCCAATGCCCCGTCTGCGCCCCTAGCAACGCTACACTCCGGGCCATTCGTCAACGACAGGTTGATACTGCCGATCAGCATGACTTGTTCAAGACAGAACTGCAGCGCTCGAGGGATGGGTTTGGGGTTGTTAGTGAATTTTTCGGCAGGGGTGTTATGAGGTCTCAGAGTACGATGGATTCATGATCTCCCCTGGTTTCTTACCCAAAATCACCTCGGCTAGTTGTATATGAATTGTGTTTGATTTCGTTCTTGTTGGATACCTCAGCTTCAATCTCGTTTTTCATGATATTGATACCACTGTTCTGGAATGTTTACTTTCAATGTTCTAGCGGATGCCCTACACAGGTTTTAAAACCAACATTTAAACCTTAAGAGTCTCAATGTCACACTTTCCAAAGTTTCATAATTATGTATCAATTCAGCTTTAAGACATCACCTTGGAATCCTCCAGGGCTACACCTTTGTATACACGCTACAATACCCTTGGACATGTTAAGAAGTTCCAACGATAAAACGAGGTTGGACTCTTAAAAGACACTATTTTAATTCCAAGAATATGAAGAATGTATTTGAAGGGATATTTACATGGACATCTGGATGGATGTACTGTCATGAAAATGAGATTCACCTAGACCCTAGGGCCTGTAGCACAGTACACCTTGCCTGCGATGTGAAAACTGCATGTGCATCTGCACATGTGGGCGATCCCTAATTGTAGATGAAATCATTGCAGAATTGATACGCATACTACAGAGACATGAAATCACTCAAATTTTCAAACCTCTCATCAAAAGATTTAAGCAGAGTAACACAAGGTGACTTTCAGACTTCAGTACACATACTTAGGAATAATCAGAATTTAGTTGTTCCGAGATTCAGTTAATGTTAACCTTTTAGGAGGTGTTCACTACCTAAATATATTTTTATCTGAAGTTTTCGCGCATTGCCTAAGAAAATATCTATTAGTGTAACCTGACCTCTGCCTGAATCTTTTTCATCTTAACTTGTAAGTTTACTGCGTATATCCTACTAATGAGTAACTAACAAACTTCACTCTGAGTCAACAAGCACAAGACTTCTGCTCAACCAAGGCCTGACTTGTAGCTCTGGCTATACGACAGTGCCTCTGGAAATCCCAGTAAAAAAAAAAGAAAAAAAAAATAAGCCACTATGATTTCCTTATTCTTTCTTGCATCACTGCCAATAAACGAGTAGTATTACACACAGGCGTATCGCAAAGCTAGGGTTTCTCGACATTTGCTGCTTTTGAATAAATACGACTTTGACTCACATGAGCCGGTGCTCGTCCTTAGTAAGAAGATGGAGATCGGATCTGGTGAGCCTCTGAACATAATATATGCTGAGTAAATAACGCTCAAGAATGGTAGTGTATCGATTCTACATTGACATTAGATTCAAATGTTAGGAAAAACGTCGACGAGGACGGACTTTCGTTTTCAGATTTGGCGCCAAGAAAGACTGCAATGCATTCAAATGTTTATGACATATCTCTCTTCTAGCAATATCAACTATACTAACATTTTGAAGAAACGAACTCCTCCAACAAGGAATCATGTACTTGTCAACATTTGAACCAGACCCATGTCCACGTCCGCAAGCCAGCACAAATGACTTCAAATGTTTGGCCTTCGTATAATCATACCTCAAAGAGAATGGGTACTATGCACAGCGAAGACAATAAAGATACACGAATAATAGCAAGGCTGCAAGATGTATTATGTTCAAAACTTGATATTTAATGTACTGCATGGGAATTCAAACATCCGTAGTATCCACCACAGATCATGTACAAGGCAAGTAAGAAGGGAAAGCTCATGTATAAAAAGAATCAAGGGTCATTAGCGACCTTTTTCGCCACCCCAGGATATGCGTGGGCGGTGGCCTGGGGTCGGTCGAGATGCGGAGCCGGATCCAGATCCAGAGCTGGAGGATTGTTCAGCGCTGGGAGTGGATGGGTCGGATGGTCTAGGGTCATCGGCGAACTGGATCTTGCCTGTTGGGGGGATCAGGCGGGGCTCGCCATCGTCTTCGCTGTCGGATTCTTCTTCGACAACTTCGTCATCATCATCATCGTCTGATTCGGATTCGGTGTCGCCGCTGTGGCCGAGGGCAGCGAGACGACGACGGCGTTCGGCCGGGGTCTCGCCCGTGTCGTCTTCTCTTTGGCGGGGTGGGGCCGTGAGACCGGCGGCTTGACGCAGCGCAGAGGGAGGGATACGTTCTGTGCCGTCGTCATCAGAGTCACGACGGAGGCGAGCGCGAGGAGGTGCAGGGCTGAGGTTGCTGCGCCGTTCTTGGGCAGAGGTGCCACGGGTCCATTTGGCGACTGACGCGGCCACGTTTGGTGGATCTCGTTCCATGTCGGTGTCGTCTTCGCTGCTGAGGTGACTGTCGGTGATGGACTCTAGGTCTTCTTCCGTCTCGGGGATTGTGTTGGCAGCAACAGCCGCGGCAACCGTGGACAGGCGGCGTTCTGTCTTTTCTTCATTCATGGCCTCTTCCTGGGCCACCTCTTGAACGGGCGAAGGTGCGTCTGTTTGTTGAACTACATCTCGGCGGGCCTTGGCATCCAGGCCCTTGATTTGCTGGAAGAACTCGTGCTTGTTCATGCGACGACCCTTATGGCCGATACCGTTGAAGTCAGCATCCGCGCTTTGTGCCAGAGTGAATCGTAGACCATCATCAGTGGTCCAGTCATCAGTCTCGGTTCTGGGAGCGGGCTTCTGTTTCTTCTGGCCAGTCTGGGATGACTCTCCCTCTTCTTCCATACCGAGCCAAGTACCCATTCGGGTGAGACCACGACGGATTGGAGCCGGGTTTGCAGGGCCAGTTTGGTCATCAGGTCTAGGCGGCTTTGACTTGGCGGGTTTGTCTCCAGCTGGGATGGTGTACTTCTTGATCACCTCACCATCCTCATCCTCAACAATAATCGTGTTACCAAACTGATAGGCGTGAGCAGATTTGTGCTTGGGGCGCTTTACTGGGCCTTCGGCGGTAGGTTTGGAATCATCTTGCTTGTCCTTGCCCCGAGACTTGCCAAGGCCAGCCCAGGAGGTCCATTTGCTGCGAGCCTTTTCGCCCGGATGACCGATCGTATCTTCCACGGCGTGCTTAATCTCCTCGCCCTCGTCCTTCTCGTGAGGGTGACTACGGGATTTAGCAAATTCGCCAGACTTGTCGTGCTTGAGTCGTAGACGTTGTTCCTCAATATGCTGAGCCTGTTGTTCGGGTGTCAAATGACTGGTATCTTCCGTCTTCAGCACATTGCCTTCTTCGTCTTCGATGATCATGTGGTGACCCTCTTGGAACACTTCCAGCTCCGGCTCACGATCAGCGTTTGGTGGAGAAGCACCACCTTCCATATCATCTTGTTCTGCTTCTTTCTCCTCCTCGGAGGTACTTTCCTGTTCAGGACGTTTCTGAGGCATGATAGCAGATTGACTGATAGGTCCACCGACATCATCATGTTTACGGTGCTTCTTGCGTCGTCGGCGCATCTGCTTTCGTAGATCTTCGTTGGTTTGCGCATCGTTTTCATCCTCGCGCACTCGGCGAAGGAAGTTTCCTGGCATACCAATTGGCGGCAAGGTTCCAGGGGGGTACTCTGGCAGTTTCTCTTCCTCGGAGGCATCTAAGTCGTCAGCTTTTCGGAAAGACATCGAACCCTTGGCCAATGAGGATACACGCGGCAACCGATTCATCCATGATGGACCCTCTTCATTCGCTTGAGTGTAGGACAGCGTCACGGTCAGAGTGTTGATGCGCTTGCCGAGAGTGAAGACAGCAATCGATGATCCATGCACTAAAATTGAGGATATGACCATAAACGTTGTGATAGGCCAGATGAGCTTCACAATGTAGTAATTATCCGCCCCGGGTTGAGGCAGGTCACTCTGACTTGACGGTTGCGTGCTATCGTTTTCAAGCTCGGCTCGAGCCAGAATTGCTGCGAAAATGGCACCAACACCAATAGGGCCGAAGTGCCCAGCAAAGAGAGCCTCGCGCCAGGTTTTGATATCAGGAATGAATGGTTTCATCAATAACATGATAGGAATGCGGCGGAAGAAGATTACCAGAAGTGCAATGACCACCAGCCGCCACGGGACAATACCGATGTCAGGAATGTTGTAGTCCTCCCAAGGGATGATAGCGCCAAAGTAGACAAAGTATGCTAAATTGAGCAGCAGATCAATAACGTTGGAGACATGCGCCTCCTCCGTCTTCTCCGTGAACCAACCATCATTACTAAACCCGACACCGCAGGAAAATCCGATAAGAAGGTCGTCCATACCCAGAAGACTGCCCGAACCGGCGCAGAACACTGCCAGGACGAAGTAAAACACAAGGAAACTCTCCCGGTCGATCAAGCCCTTTCGTTCAGCAAACTTGATAGCGTGACGAGCGAGATAACCAATGAGGAATCCAAAGATAGCACCAAAGATGCACTCGTAGAGAATGGTGATGCAGAACCAATTGAGCGACACCTCGTTGACATCGGGTCGTAACTTCCAAATGTAGAATGAAAGATAGATGAACGGGAATGCCATGCCATCGTTACAACCTGACTCAGCAGACAAGATATCACGCAAATGTTTTGGGACTCGTTTGGCGAATTTTCCCTTACCGACGACGGATGATGCCAAGACGGGATCGGTGGCTGTGACGCAGGCGGCGCATACCAGACTCTCGAGCCAGGTTAGTGGGGGGATCATCCACCAGATAAACAAGCTCGTCACCAGCCATCCCCAGGTCATGACAGGGAGAAGCAGAAATACCACGGATCTCCAATGACGTTCCATGTACGCCTTGGGCAACTCGACTCCAACGGCGAAACATTGAACGACGAGGACAATGCGCGAGCATTCGAGAGTGATTTTATCGACATTTCCCCATGTGGAGGGGTCGAATAGATTGGCAGCATGTGGTCCGAAGATAATACCGCATAGTGTAGCGACAGTAGCTTCGCCGATATAAAGCTTCTCCTTGACGAAGAGGGAGCACAGCATGAACAGGCCGGTGAAACCACCCAGGATCATGTAAGCCAGATGCGGCTTATCGACATCTAAATGGTCCCACGCCATGATGAAGAACTGAGTGTCACAAACTCAGGAACAATTGTCGGTGTGGAAGCTTGTATTTTGGTTTTGAGGTTGGGGTTTGACCGTCTTTCAGGTCTTGGTTCTTTTGTCTCTGATTTTTGTTTTTCAGAGCTTCCCCACCCCAAAGTCACTAGTACTTAATTACCAGATAGATATCCGCCGCGACCGTCGCTGTATCACGTAGCTCCTCATGCCTTGGCGAAAGATTTATGGGAGTGGAGATTGGGCGGGTGGCAATAGATGCCCTGTAGGGCTGAAAGATGGTCGCAGGTCGTAGTCGTCTCGGGGAAATCTCCGGTTAAGTTCAGTTCTGCGGAGATATAACTTCAATTCATGCAAGTCCGAGGCGCAGTCCGAGCGTAACCGTGCGAGGGGAGCGGAGAGAGATAAAGAGGTAAGGTAAGGGCAGAATGGTGTGGCTGGGAGGATTAAGTAGATAAGGCCCGTTTTCCCATGCGCAGGGAAAGGAAAAGAAAGAGAAAGGGAAAAGAGAAAAGAGAAAAGAGAAAAAAGAAAAGGGAAATAGAAGAATACCAAGACCAACCAAGAACCAAGGAAGATGACCGGGGCGCGACGAGTCTTGGACTCTTGGCCGAGAGGAGGAAAGACGAGATTTAGAAGTTCAGTTTCCTTGGAGCGGGATTCGTCAGCCGAGAACTCTCATGGGTGCACGCCCCACGCTTGGCAAACAGGAACAATTGGGAGTTGGAGAATTAGATGGAGAATTGGAGATTGGAGGGAGATTTGAGATTTGAAGAGATTTCAGATCTTCAAATGCAGAATCAATAATCAAATTACCGGACGCAGTAAACAAATGTTATATAGAAAAACAATTAGGCGGGAAACCCTGTCGATCCATATGCGCCCGGTCTGTAATATACGGGACGCTTGCGGCCAAGATCAGAGTGAGTAGCCCTGCGACTTGCCAAGCCATGGCATTCCAGATTCCCGACTTGATTGGATTGATATCTCCATTTCAGGATCCACTAGCCCATTCCCATGTGGAGCTTCTGGAATCACGGACCCGTAAACGGACGTCATCGGGCTGGAGGCATCTAAAAGCCGCTGGAAAAGAAGTAAAGATGCAACTTAACTCTATACAACTACCGATGTAGATCCATATGCAATACCGGTCAATTCAACAGAATAAGAAAACAAATTTATGCTATACTTTCAACAGAAACAAGGGGAATTGGGGGGAATTTGGGAATTAGTATGCGGCACAGAAAACCCAAATACAAAAACAAGGGCAAAAAAGACGATAAGCCACCATCGACACGTACAGTGTCTCAGTTGAATTGCAAACCCTCCACAGGGTTATTCGCACAACATAAGGACCATTGAGTGATTGGGTCGAGACTCCGAACATTTGCGGGGGAAAAGATGGAGAAAATGGAGAAAACGGAGAATGCAAAACGGAAAAAAAAAGCAAATATTGAACCCCCGGGGATACGAGGAGAGAATCGACTTGGCGCATTCCGCGCCTAATCAACAAAGGACTCGGAATCAATCCAAGATTCGATTTATGTACCGATGCCTTCGAAAAGCTTACTTTACTCGCCCGTCGGCATTCCTTCCACTTCGTCACTGAGTCGTCGCCAATTGTCTGCCTGCAGCTCGGCATACTTGACCCGCTCCTGACTCCAGTCCTGGTGCAGGCGACTGATATGATACTGGCTTTGCTGGAAATGAAGAAGCTCATCTCGAAGACACTCCTTGATGAACACTCCGCGCGCATGCTGCTGCACGATGCTTTCCTTATCCTGCATCATCAAAAGTAAGTCACACTGAAATACCGGAACAATCGGCTGCATTGGAATAGGTGGGGGGTAAATCAACGAACCTTGAAAATAGAATCCTCCACCTTCTCGGTCTCACCGGGTTTCACGGTGCCTGACGGTCGTGCCCGAAGGTCTTGCAGTTTACGCTCATTGGTTTCAATTCGCCGCTCCAGCTGCGGGATGTTGTTGCGTGCATATCGGTCCCGTCGGTCAAACATGTCACGAACGCTCACCAAGCCGTCCCGTTGTCGTTTCAGATCTTCCAACACGCCTTCACTCCATGCACGTGCCTCGTCCTCCAGCAAGCTTTGACTGGTAGACAGGTGCCGCGCGGTCGCCGTGATACCCACGTTGAGCGACGGAACATCATTCGTATCGACCGAGTAGGTGTCCTTGGTCACCTCGGTCAAGGATTGCAAAGCCAAAGAGAATCGCAGATGATCAGCAGCCAATCCGTCATTACGCTTTGCAAGTCGTTCGAGCAGAGTACACAAATTAATATAAATTTCCGCCGATCGTTGAACTCCGCTGCGGACAGTGTCGAGCGTATCGGTGAGATCGGAAGGCAGTGAATCCTCGAGGTCGGGTGCAAGAACGCGGTCAGCAAATTCATCTTGGACCGAAATGGTGGCTTGCTTGCGCCAGACGGAAAGTTCCTGCGCCAAGAGATTAGCCATTTCCCCAACACGATTAGTCCCGAGAGAGGGGGAAGAGGGGGTAACTTACGGTAGGCACGGTTAAAAACATCACCACTAGCTGTTCCTGCCCAAGCACAGGATGGCGAACAAGGGAATTGGTAAATCTGATAAGTCCACGGCGTCGCTTCTCCAGGAAGGTGTTGGAATCCGCTGAAAGGTGAGTACCATTCACTTGAAATAAGGTGAGCAAGCAATATGGAGCGCTTCAATTAGCGTACGACGTACCTGAAACTCGCTTCGGCGGAAGAAGAGGCAATTGCCGGAAAGGGAATCGTTTCTGAAGACAATCCAAAAGCCAAACAAAGTCACTGTATCGACGAACGACCGTGCTACCTCTTCGTGCAGACTTGACCTCATAATTACGATGTTGGAACATAAACATACCCTCCTTTTCTGGCAAAAGGTTGATGGTGACTGACTCCTCAATCTGGGGGTTCGTGCTTCGAGATACACCGGTCGGCCGGCGCCGAGGCGTGATATCGCTAGGATCTTCTCCTGGTGGTCCAAATCCACCCAAAGCTGGGCGAGGGGCGGGATTAAAGGGTGCCTCCTCATCCGGTCGACCAATGTTGCCACCCCATCCAGATCCAGAGCTACTCGGGGGTACTGGCTCGGTGCGCCCATTGGTATGCTCCTTGATAACCTCGCCCTGGCTTATATTATCGACAGCTTTACTCGTCCATGCGTTGGTGGTGGTAGAGCGCATGCTTCCAAACCCATTATAAGCCTGCTGGGTGACGGTCACTGGGGCTGCCGCGTGATCGTGACCCCGGTGAAGGTCTGGGCTCCCCCATGGATCGGAATCCAATCCACCCAATGATTCTCGTCTAGCCTGACGGGCTCGTGCCGAATTGGGTTCTTGTAGAGGGATTGGTTGAAGGGGAGGAGTGCGCGGTCGTTCGGGTTCAGCGCTAGTCGAGGAGTCGGGGTTTCGAAGTCGGTCCAGGAAGCCACTTCTCGGCTGAGGGAGTTCTGTGGGCAATTTCCGTTAGTTACATTCCACAGCGATCATTATAGAGTATTCAATCCCATCACTCACTCTTGCGATGGTCATCGACCGTATCAAATGATAAATCTTCGCCTTCCTGCCCAAGGCCGACAAGCGCAAGCAACACATTGAATTCAGCACGACCAAGCCCGCCCGAACTCTCGTGATCCGCAGATACAACGAGATTCAGAATTCTGCCTTGATCCGTTGCACTCAACCCACTGCTGGACAGGATCTCGCGAACAGAGGTCAACCCGACAACGGAGCCAACCCTATCCCCACTATTCAGTATCAGGTCGTATGCGTCAACGTAGCTCTCAGGAACATCGGTCGCAGGTAGCAAGGTTCGAACAAGGTCTCGACGAGCTGTCCGCTTCACGGTGTTGCTCTGGTTCCATGGCGAGGAGCTATCATCTCCGTCGTCATCCGCGAAGAGCGACGGAGATCCGCGGGCTGAATCGTCCGCGAAAAGCGACGACTTGGACCTCTGGGCGGAGGCAGCCGCTGAAGGCTCCTCCGGGGATGTACCGAATAGGGACATAAGGGGTTTCCGCGGGGGTGGGACGTTTGCGCGGGGGTTCAGATGGGAGGAGTTCAAGTGCGGAGGTCGTTGCTAGAGCCTAGCGATAATGACGAATGACCGATACGGTTTAAGCGGAGCTAGCTCGGTTTTGGAGGGTGGCTGGGTTGTACAAATTGCTGCAGCGGGGGAGTTTTGTTTTTGTCTCGTCTGAAATCTCTTCAGCTCAGCATGAATTAGTTAAATCCAAACAATAGAAGAAAGGCCCGCCCTTCCTCGATTGACTGGAGGAGGTGTGTAATAGAGACTCAGAGAGGCGATGTTCCTTGGGAGAGATAACGGTTAGCCCCATCCGCGTGGAACCTCTCGAAGTACCGTAGGCGGTCATCAGCGCTTAAGTATCGTCAGAATTAATTGATCTCCTCCATTACCTCAAAATATAGTAATTTTGCCCCCTGGCTACTTGGGTGCCTGCACTTTTCCCCCGTCAAATATAAGACTTAGGGCATTTTCAAGGTTCAAGATTCCTTTTCTATGAGATATCAAGAACTTGTTCCTGAGCTTGTAATCTCAATCATCGACTTTCTTCTACTTATTCATCTCGTTTGCCTCTCACTACTATGCAATCACCGACTTCCTGAGCTCTCTCGGAGACAGATCACCTAGCTGAATTCTGCCTCCGCTGAGCATAAATTCCCCATTCTAACATCTCTTCTGCCTCAAGAGTCAAAGACCAACGACATCAAACATTCAAACATTCGTGCCTCCACATCCATCTTTTCGTCTTATGTATCATCGTCTAACCCTATGGCATATTGAATGCCAAAGGCCTCCCAATAGCAGCGAGAGCTCAAAGGGAAGGCAAATTCGGGTTCTGCGATCCTCAATACGCTATCTCGCGACAAGACTCGCAAGTAGCAACAAAAACCAAACAAAATTACTATCTGATGGCTCGTTTAACTATTTAATTCATGGGCACGATCTGGTCCTTAATACTAACTAGATGTCCTTGGCCATAGCTTGTTTTCTCTCAATGAATCCCAGATACTCCACCCAGGGCTTATGTATCAGACATCGGAGGGCCATCCCGACATACTACTTTATCAATGATCTGCAACCAGATACGATCTTGCTCTTCCCCGCAAAAGTGACGACGTGTTTCTGATAAGAGAGGGGTAGCTTCATGCAATGAGATATGCCAGGTCGGATTACCTCTCCGATATTCGGTACAGCTGTCATGTCGGTAATCATACTTAAAGCTCCATGGAGAGCAGTATTCATGTATAGCTGAATTGTTTGCTTTTCAAAATTGCGCTCGGAATTTTTTGAAAGATTCTTATATTGCAGAATGCGATCTTTCATGATTCCTCGTGTGGCCGGTCTAAAACGACTTCCAATCCGCCGTAATGCAGTACCTCGTCGTCACTTGACTATGCTCCACCCACCCAAATTTGTCAATGAGACACCGGTAAGCTGCAATTCAATTGAACCTGTTGTAAAACGACTGTACTTACCATTGATTGATAGCTTGACTATAAGAAGAACTCCCCCGAAAGAGTCGAGCTCACCAAAGCCATCCAAAAATTGAAGCGAGAATTCCCCGTTACAATCCCCATCCAAATCAATGGAGCAGAGGTACGACCATTGACCCTTTTCTCAAAGCGAATCTTTGCCAGGGGCTGACTTTATTATGCATACAATAGATCAAAACGAAACAGTCAAGATCCCAAAGCAACCCCTCCAAGCACAGCGAGATCGTTGCGAACTATGCCTACGCGAGCGAGGACCAGGTCAACGCCGCCATAGATGCCGCTCTCAAAGCTAAGCCCGCATGGGAGGCCATGCCCTTCGAAGACCGCGCAGCAATCTTCCTACGCGCCTCCGAACTCGTGACCGGGAAATACCGCGCCGAGATAGTGGCTGCGACAATGCTTGGACAGGGCAAGAATATCTGGCAAGCGGAGATAGATGCGGCAGCCGAGACAGCTGATTTCTTCCGTCACTACATTCACGAGGCATGGGCATTGTTCTCTCAACAGCCAAAGATCCAGACAGATGGTGTCTGGAACAAGCTAGAGTATCGTCCCTTGGAAGGCTTTACTTATGCCATTGCTCCCTTCAACTTTACTGCGCTGGGAGCTACCCTGATCGGACCAGCTGCCCTGCTTGGAAACGTGGTTATCTGGAAGCCATCTGACTCAGCTCTGCACGCTAGCTGGCTGCTCCACAAGATTCTTTTGGAAGCAGGCTTGCCAAAGGATGTCATTCAGTTCCTTCCTGGTGATGCAGAAGAAGTCACAAACGTCATTTTGAAGAGACCCGAGTTCAGTGCGTTGACTTTTATCGGATCAACAGCTACATTCAAGGGAATCCAGAAGAAGATCGGCGACGGCATCGGGGAAGGCATATATAACTCTTACCCTCGTGTTGTCGGTGAGACCGGCGGCAAGAACTGGGGCATCGTTCACCCCTCAGCGGACGTGAGAAGCGCTGCGCTGAACACCATCCGAGCTGCTTTTGAGTACCAAGGACAGAAGTGCTCTGCCAACTCCCGTGTCTATATTGCCGAGTCTGTCTGGCCGGAGTTCAAGAAGGTCCTGGCTGAGCAGACGGAGGCTTTGAAGATTGGTAATGTGGAAGATTACAGCAACTTCATCAACCCAGTTATCCACGAAAGATCCTTCGACAAGCTTCAAAAGGTCATTGAGGACGCAAAGGCTGATCCTGAGCTTGAGTTGATTGTGGGCGGCAAGGCCTCCAAGAAGGATGGCTACTACGTACATCCAACTGTGTACCAGACATCCAATCCGCATCACGATATGATGTCTCAAGAGTTGTTTGGACCAATCCTGTGCGCTTATGTGTATCCCGATGCGGAGTGGGAGCAGACGTTGAAGCTGGTTGATACTACATCACGATATGCTCTGACTGGAAGCATCTTTGCCAAGGACCCTTATGCAAGCCGTCAGGGACAAAAGGCATTGAAGCACGCTGCTGGTATGCTATATCTTAACACCAAGTGCACTGGAGCGACGGTGGCTCAGCAGCCATTTGGTGGTAGCCGTGACTCGGGAACAAATGATAAGACCGGTACTATGGCACACTTGCAGAGGTTTGTGAGCACCCAGACAATAAAGGAGGAGTTTGTGCCTTTGGAGAAGGTTGAATATCCTTCCAATGAAGTTTAATATAGTGATGGAAAATTTATAAATAGGTCCTTCTGTGGTAAGAGAAATCTTCACATAGTTTGAATAATTCTATAGATACATTTGTTGAACCTTAGAACTTCCCTGACCATTTCCACGCCCTTTTCTTTTTCTATGAGATATCAAGGCTAATGTTTCGACCATTTTTAGCACCGGAGCTCTCTCTGGCCTTAACGCCTCTTAGATAACCCGCCTCTTTGCGCGCGGTTTGAAATGCATCAGATTCGGCAGTGACACTTTTGCTCCTAGACTCTAGTTCCCTAACCCGGGTAGATGAGATTCTCTGGCTTTCTAAAGCCTGCACCCTTCTCAAGTACTACTAGTAAATATGATCGCAATTCTCTTCCTAATCGAAAGCCTGAGTTTACATACGCTATATCAACCCTAACCAAGCAGGTGCGAAGTCCACCCAGGTAAGCTCTCTATGAATACTAACGAGGCAAGCGTATGTTGCAACACCTTTGCTCATAAATTATTCATGGATTACATTTCAAGCTTCGGCGGAAATGTTTATTGCGACGCGCGTATTCGGGGCTCACTTTGTTTGTTACAGGCGTAGATGACGGTGAGCCAGTGGCCAAACTGAGGTAGTGAATTGTGATGTGGCCCATTCCCGCGACTGGTCCACTGTAGATCAAGGGCAAACATCTGTATACTCTATGGCAAGTCTAACGCCTCACCAGGCACAAACCGGCCAGATTGGAATCAAGTGGCAAGAACATCTACTCCAACTCAATTTCTATTGATAACGGATACCCCTCCTTGATCCATTGATAAGTTTGTTCCAAATGGTGTAACCCGACGACCCCTCCCGCCATCGGAATGCATCCCCGACTATAGTCGGCTGACCGCTAGACAGCTCATCAGTGGATGTTAGCCAACATTTGGGCATATCTCGGAGTCGATGAAAGTCAAAGGTGCAGTATTGAAGCTGGGTATATAGATTACTAGACCTGCCATCACAGTTTCCTAAAACACTCCAAGTTGAACGAAATTTCCTGATTATCTCTGGGAGTTTCCTGGATTCATAGAACGCTACATACTAGTAGTTCACCAGCCCAACAAAGATGATCTCTCAATCTACCTCAATATTTCCACGTACCCTGATACCCCGCATTACATGCGTCCAGCGGACAGTCACTCGGCGACATCGATCAGCCAAAAACAGCTTTCATGATATTGCTCTTGCACCACCCATTCAGCCTCCCATCGAGCTGCCATCGTTGGCGAGACTACCAACTAAGCTGTTACTGCGCTCTCTAATCCTGACCTCTCTTATGACATCCAATATATTTCTGAAACCTGCATTATCTCTTTTGAATGTTCTAAGCACCTCCAACTCCGCCATTTTAAATGCCGATCGAAACCCCGTCCTCAACAAGCTTCTCCGTTTAACAGTCTATAATCACTTCTGCGCAGGGACAAACCGACAAGAAGTGTCAAAGACCGTGGCACAGATCAAAAGCATTGGATACCAGGGTGTGATTTTGGGTTATTCAAGGGAGATTGTTCTCGCTCCAAATGAGAAATTGGCCTCCAATGACTCTGGAAATACGGTCTACAGCGACAAGTGTTACGAGACGGTTGAAGAATGGAAGAATGGTACACTTGAGACTCTCCATATGGTCGGGCCTGGCGACTTTCTTGCTGTCAAGTAAGTTCATTTGACAAGAACATTCCGACTGTTTCACCCGCAACGAGATTTCTAACCCGATTATATCTCAGACTCACAGGAGCCGGCCCGATCTCCCTCGACGCCATGGCAGCAAAAAGGCCCATGCCAGACGTGATGGTCAAAGCCATGGACGAGATATGCACCGCGACAAAACAGCAGGGCTCCCGTCTCTGGCTAGACGCCGAGCAGCAAGTTCTGCAGAATGGACTGGATAACTGGGCGATCGATATCATGCGCAGACACAACAAGTCGGAGTCCCCCTTGGTCTACAACACCATTCAGGCATACCTCAAAGCATCCAAGGCCAACCTCGACCATCACATCACGCTCGCCGCACAAGAAGGCTGGACTCTAGGAATAAAATTAGTCCGAGGAGCCTACATTGAGCATGAAACCCGCTCCCTTATCCACGATACCAAAGAAGAGACAGACGATACGTACGACTTGATCGCGAACACGATGCTATGCCGAAAAATGCCCAAGGAAGTCAAGGACTTGAAGTTTCCTAATGCCGCCCTTTTTCTTGCAACGCATAACGCCACCAGTGCCGCAAAGGCAATTGCTACCCACCAGAATCTACTTCTTGCGCACAAGCGCACGGTTTTGTTGGAGTGCGGCCAGATCCAAGGAATGGCTGATGAGTTGAGCTGTGAGTTGGTGCAGAATTACGAGCGCGCTTTGAAGGAGTCTTCTGCTGCGAGTATGTCTGTGCCGAAGGTTTTTAAGTGTATGGCCTGGGGCTCGGTGGCGGAGTGTATGCAGTATCTGCATCGTCGGGCGATTGAGAATAAGGGGGCTGTTGAGCGGACACAGCATATGGTTGATGCATTACGGAAGGAATTGTGGCGGAGAATGTTTGGCTAGAATTTCCCAGAAACCTCGGTAAAACTCTTTGAAATAATATGAACTTGAAAAGGAATGATAAATTGTAATCCATACATAATAGCTTGTATGTCAAATTAGATGGCTTATGAAAGCTGAGGCTGGTGACAGGAATTGAAAAGTTAAGGTAAGAGTAGGGTTAAGAGGCAAAATTCAGTTGCCCTGGTATAAGACTGGCACCTGTGGTCGAGCGGTATATCCCTCCCACTATTCCCCCAATGTTGGCCGCGGGACCTTGGGGGTGGGTAGTCAGTCACATGGGAAACATCCCCCAGAGCAGATCTCCCCCCGGTGGCTATATGCCGCCAGAGGGGGGGGTCCCTCTGGGGTTGATGTTTGCCATTTTTTTATAATAGACCATGCTAGATTTGAATATCTGCTTCTTTTTTGAAGCTCGATTTCACTATGTGGTGTGGAAAAATGAGAGTAATGCGGAGGGTTGATTTCTGGACCGATGCATATGATGCTATTCGGAACATTCCTCGCAGGTATATAGGGAAACCCACCCAGCGTGGGTTCGAACCCGGCTCTTTCCAAGCCATAAAAAAGGCACAGCAGTCCCCTTCCTGCCTCGTTTTCTTTTATTTACGAATTTCAATTCAAAATCTTGCATATATGCTAAATTGGCAATTTTACAGCACCTCTGCTAGCAAGGTTCTAATATAACAGCTTCCAAGCTGAACTTCAGGAAAGTTGTACACTACCTTCAAGTGAAAATTGTCAAATTTTGAGTGTATGTTCGATAATCAACGGGTCGTCAAAGTGATCATGATTTCTCTACTAAATTCCTAGTTCCCTTGATGCCCCGCTACAAAATCGAATTTAAGTTGACCAATCAACATACAATCCTGTCTCCAGTTTGCTCCACCCTTATCACCCGGCACAGATAAGCTGGACAAACAGATATCGGGTGACAATCCCGACAGTGAGCCTTCACTACCCCGCTATACTAAATAAACTTGAGATCGGAGACAATCCCCGGGAGTCATTTTCGTCTTTTTATTGAAAATCACATTCGGTTCTGCAATCCGGTATGCCTGCCTCAGCTAGTCGAGCCAAGTCAAAGAAGTGTCAGAAAGCGTGAGTCCGTGTTGTGTTCAACAGACAAGGCTCGTGCTTTGCTAACAAGAAGGTTCTAGATGTGTGCGATGCCGGGGTATGAAAGTGAAGTGTTCGGGCTCAGAACCATGTACACGATGTGCCCGCAAAAAGCTACGCTGCCATTTCCCTGAAGAGGATGTGCGTATTTCGGTATCTGAGAGGTTGGTCTTCTATTCATGCCAACCCTATCCGGCCGCTAACTACTTTCATCTAGATACTTGAGGCAGTTGGAAGAGCAAATAGCAAGTACTGGAAGTTCTATACGTCGATCTGAAGCCGCAGCTAGCCCTTCGGGTGGGGCTAGAAATGGGGTTGACCTGTCGACTCCGAATCAGACTTTGTTATTAGAGGATCATCCATGGGCCAATATCAGCTATGGTAGGTTTTAACGGAAAGTGCTGATGTATAGCTTCGCTGATCCAATATCTGAATGATGAAGGTATCAACCCGAGCCTCTCCTCGACGGAGGCTTTGCCTCAACAAAGGAATGTCGAAAGTGACCCCGACATGGAACAAGATGACAATCGTTCACGGTTTTCTCGTAATCCTCTTGTGGATAAAAATCCACAATTCGCTCAAACCCCAGATGGCCGGTTCTGTAAGTGATCATAAGTATTCAAGCCCTCAAATTTGACAACGCTAATAGATACTTTTCAGGGTATATGGGCCCCACTTCTTCATGGTCGTTCTGCCGCCGTGTCCTAGCCCTTATTGGGAGGCGAGTTCCAGAATCAAATTGTCCTCCTGATCCATGGCATCTAGATGGGATGGCATTCAAGCTTCAATGGCGCCCTGCAGCTGATGATGAGGTTCCCGATGTATCAAACCTACCTCCATTGGATTACGCGCTGTTCCTTTTCAATACCGTCAAATTCTATTTTGGATTCCTTTCGTTTATAATCGATGAAAAATCTTATCTTCGAGATTTGCACGAATTTTATAAGAATCCAACTGCGAAGGCTGTGGAGTCAAGGTACTGGTATGCGCAATATCTTCTTGTTCTTGCGTTTGGGAAAGCTTTTCTCACACCCAAGAGTGCGTCTGGGCCACCCCCTGGACATCAATATGCCGCAAGGGCCATGGCACTTCTTCCAGATTTATCTGGTATGCATAGAGATGCTTTGACATGCATCCAAGCTATGAGCCTGGGTGCAGTATATCTTCAGTCCATCGACATGCGGCGGGCGGCATTTCAACACGTGAGCAGGAGCCCTTTATCAATTGAGGAAATAATATCTAACAACTACAGATCGGTCATGCGCTACGTGGATGTATTATCGAAGGAATACATAGACATGTTCCGGAAGAGTTTGGTGGGCCTGAGCTTTCTAGAAGATGCAGAACCATCTTTTGGGTGGTGTATATGCTCGACCGGGAGTTCGCAGCACTGATAGGAGCACCGAGCTCCATTCGAGACGAGGATATCACCGTTCTCCTCCCTGCAGAGGTCGAAAGCTCATTGGAGGATATCAATCTAACGTTGCACGTGCGACTTTCGAGATTGATAGCCCAAATTTTGACAAGTGGGTTTGCACCTGTTCCATGGCCTCTATCCTCTTTACAACTAACACCACAAATAGCTGTATACAATCCCGGCGATGAGCTGAATGGATCCCTTATTCGAAATACACAATCGATCCTCCACAGCATGGCAGAGCTTTCACACGACCTAACTGCATTCTTGAATACATATTTTCATGGTCTCATCAGCCGAGCATCAAAGATGGCCATTCGGCTCATGTTGGCTCATCACCACGTAAGTCTTGCATGGTTCATTCTCTATACGCGAATGCTAAATCGAAAAGTGCATTGTCCTTACAACAAGGCCATTGGTTATGTGTGCTTTGCATATGCACATCGAACGCACCGATATGCAGACTTCCCAGACAATTTCTCTCGCCCCACCAGTATCTTCGCTTCTCCAATGCTGTGCAAATTCCGCCCAAACTATCCTCCAGACCCTTCAAATCCTAGCTGACGATGACCTGATGGGTTGGTTCTTGAGATTCCCCACTGCCAGATATGTCCGACTAACTCCATGTACAGATGCGTTTCTACCATTTCAAATCGAAGATGCTTCTTCATCTGCCTTCGTTCTCTACCTGATCCGTGCCATTGCCCCCTCACTTATCCCAAACAGCACATGGTGCGATAACCTGGAATGCGTGATGGATAAACTCATTGCAAAGGGCAATCTAGCGGCACCATTACGACGACGAGAACTTCGCCAGTTGGAGCAAGTCCTAGCACCCTTGACTCCCAAACCTCAAAATAGCCCACTGCCGCCCGTCCACTTCAATCCTGGCACGGAAGAGCAAGAAGAGACGTATACGATGGATCAGGTAGATGTTGGCGATGAGTTTGAGTGGGACTTGCTAGGCATCAATCCGTCTGTGAGCCTTCCGCCAGCAGAGCTTCTGGATCTTGCGGATCAACTGGATATGGAGAGCATCATGCGATCGGTTGGAGCGTGTGTGGACTGAGATTGGGAACTTGAACATATGAATGATTGGGTTATATACGAAGAAATGTGCCACGAAGTCAATGAGAAATTGAATTACATGAAACTAGTTATGAAAGATTCTATTCGCCTGTATGGTTTACCATTTTCGCGTACTTCAACCTTGGAATTGGTGTTGCGATTGTGTTCATAGAAATGTCGGATGGCCGACCCGACATTTTCACATTGACACTAACCGGCCCAGTGCCGGTATTGTGGGGCACACGGCCCGGTGCTTTAAAGAGCCGTGTCGGGATCTGAGATTTGTAGAACCATCCTACTTGAGAAAGCATTACATACGTTCTTTACGTATTTCAATCTAAAAATGAACTATTCAGGAAGAGCGGCTCGCCATTTGCTTAGACAGTAAGCATCGAATCAATTCCATTGATATACTGTATCCTTCAAGTTCTAGCCAGTACTGATACCAGTTCAGATCATTCGGCCGCACTCATGGCCATGTTACTTCAAAACCCTGGATCCCATCCATTCGCATGAACTCATCTGCGACTGCGGCAGCAAAGAAAGAATACAAAATCATCCAAGACGTCGGCAACTTCGACGAAGTCGAATCCAACCGTCCAGGCTTCGACCACGAAGCCCCCATCCAGGTCACAAAATCACCGTATCCAAAATGGAAATACGGCGACGGGGTCCCAGACAACGGCGCAAGCCTTGTCCAAAAGCACCATGAAATCGACCCCTACTCACCAACCAGACCAATGATCAACAACTACCGTCTGCTGGTGTCCGGGATCGCGCCCCGACCCGTCGGCTTCATCAGCACCGTGAACAGCAAAGGGCAAAAGAATCTTTCGCCCTTCAGCTACTTCCAGGTTATTGACCATGACCCGCCGATGTTTATCGTGGGGTTCTCGTCCCGGCCTGGACGCGCTAAGGATACGTATACGAACCTGAAAGAGACGGGGGAGTGTGTGATTAATACGGTCTCGGAGAATATGATCGAGGCGGTGAATGCCAGCTCCATTGATGCGCCTTATGGGGTTTCGGAGTGGGATGTCACGGGCTTGCATGAGGCGGCTTCTACGACTGTTAAGCCTGCTCGGGTTGCGGAGTCGGTGTTTTGTGTTGAGGGGAAGGTGGTTGATATTAAGGAGTTTGCTGATCATCAGAAACCGGGGATGAGTATTGCTGCTACGGTTTTGATTAAAGCTACCAGGTTTTGGGTTAAGGAGGGAACGGCCGATGTGGATTATAGCCATATTGATTTGGATAAGTTGCGGCCTGTTGCGCAGCTTGGTGGGGTTTCTTATGGTCGGGTTTCTTCTACCTTTGAGAGGCCGCGTAGCAAGTGGGATGGTGAGGTTCCCAAGAGCGAGTTGTTGACGCAGTTGGATGCGAATAAACCTGATGTCTAGTAGAGCTATGATGTTATCTATCAATGTAAAATAATCACTTTTCATGTAAAGGTCTGGAAGTCAATGACCAAACCACTCAATCCACCTGTATGAATAATTACTACAGGGATATAATAACTCAGTGATGTGGTTAAGGGTAAATGAATATGATAAATCCAATTCTAGCAAGTTCCATTTATGGTGGTATGTGTTTCGTGTAGCATTGTCGTAAAATATAGACTGTGAGATCAAGTCGTTTCGAACTGAACAACTAGACACCATCTGGGGTGCTTGGGTTCACCTTCGCCGGCAGACTTTCCTGCACTTGTAGATGATTCATCACTTGGAAATGGCCCATCTGGAATAAGGCATCCTGCCACTCGGGCTCACCGGTGCCTTGCACGTGGAAATAATTGGTTTCATCGGGGAACCATCTCTCCTTTCGTGTGAATGCTTTATCGCTTCCTTCGAGCGCGGCTCGACTAGCCCGGGTGGTTCTCGCCCGAACATCTCCCCGCCCCTGCTCCTCGGCCCAGATTGCATGAAGACTATCACGGTATGTCTTGAGACGACCATCAAATGACATAATTCCACGAATGTATGGCGCAAGATCTTCGGTGATGGCGGCAAGGCCGTTTTCAAACGATGGTGCTAGGCGACCTGTTGATGTACTGTGCCGAGCCCGCATTATAGGCCCAAAAACTCTTTGAAATCCGGTGTAGTCAGATGGGGTAACCTGCCGTCTTTCCGCTATCTGGGCCCAACCTTCAGAGATTCGGTCAATGGAGACAGATTCAACGTCTTCGTCAGTGGGACGGAAAGTACGAGATATCAAAGCGGCAGTCGTTGTGCTGATATCCTCCCTCAAGGCGTTATATTCAGGAAGTAGATCCGATTGGAGGAGTGGATGAGCGTCAACGTAGTTTGATCGGTGAGACTCGAGCATTGGCGGAGCGCTAGTGTCAAGAATATCCTGCAAAGAATTAAGTAAGATACCGCCAATGTACACCTAATTCTGGCAGAACTTACATCGAACTTATTATAGGAACATCCCGAGCAAAGAATATCAAGGGAGCTTCTCATCTCGCAGTAATCCAACTCATCGATTAGCAACTCTAGTTGCTCGACCTTAGACTTTGAGGAGAATTCAGCAGAAGACAAGAGCTCTGCATTGGTAGATCCACTCGCATCTTCTATATCTTGAAGTCCAAGGCGGAACCATTGAGAGGTGTTCCGCAAGGCCTCGGCCTCTTTTGCCAGAGGAGATTCAGCGAGGAAAAGATCCCGATTGAACCAACCCATACATGATTGATATGAATTGAGACTCAGCACTCGAATGCGATCACCTTCACGGTCAACATTCTTTTCTGGTGGCCAAAAGGGCAAGATCCAGTCGAGACCTGCTTTTTCACTGCCAACACCAATCTGACACCAAAAGTTGAGGTCCATGAGAGCTCGCCGGATGTCACAGCCAGATCCAGCGTAAAGCTTACTCACATCCTTCCGCTTCAGGCAATGCCCTTCATGGGCAGCAACGAGAAGCAAGTAGTCGAGAGCAAAATTTGGATGCGGTGTCTGATAGCGTAGTATGGCGTGTAATGACATTTCTTGAATGGGAATCAAGCTCTCATTGTTGCAAGTGATAATGATCGGGCGGCGGGACTGGCTGATGAGGGTGAAAACTCCTGTCCAAAACTGCTTGTCTTCTTCAAAAAGTATATCTGCTTCCTCTAGAAGAATTAAAGATTGCTTTTGTTCCCGAGGCTTCTGGTCACTCTCAGGCTCATTGGTAGCAGTTGCTCTTATATCGCTTTGTTTCTCTGTTTTTGAAGGTTGGCCTTTGAAGAAGCCCATCAATTTGTTTTGCTTCGGTTCGTTTACCGCAATATCTCGCGGCTTGGCAGAGGATTCGTCGCATTCGTTAAGAAGGTGAACAAGATGATTTCGTGTCATGTCACCCACTTTTTCCAGCATGTCTCTGCCACTTCGACGGCTACCGGGGTTGATCTCAAATACTTCAAAGTCAAGCTCTTTGGCGATGGCATACACAGAGGCGGTTTTTCCGCAGCCAGGAGGGCCACTTAAAAGGATGGCGTTGGTGAGTTGAGCCTTACCAGAAGCATTTTCGGAGCCTAGACCTATATCTCCAGATCGTACAACAGTTCGAGGGGCGGAAACAGTCACTCCGCCAGCCAGCTCATCATCCGAGCCAGAGAGATTATCCATTTCGGATGCCTCTTCTTCGCTGGAGACAATAAATCCATCGAGCTTTTCTGCTTTCTGTCGCTTTTTCCGTTTCTTTTCAGGCTTTGACTTTGACTTCTTGTTCTCGTGTGAAGACTTTCCTGTGTCTACCGCGGTGATCTTATGATGACGGAGCCAGTCCCGTAGCACTTGTGGCTCACGCCCAATCTGCAGAACGTCCTCGGCTGATTTTGGAGCATACTTTTGTGGCCATAGTTGAGATTCATATTTACCGGAGTCAAAAGCGGAAAAGGAATCATGTAGACTTAAACGGAGTTTGGCGATAGATGGGGGGTGGATGATGGGAGGTTCACCAGGCAAAGGGCAAGACAACTGGGTCATAATCCCGCCTTCCAGAACTTTTCCACTAGCATTATGTCGAGCTGGAAGGCGAAGCGCTGGGCGGTGACTGAAACCTTCTTCCAAACTCTTCTGGCCAGCTGTTCGTGCCAATGCAGTGCTCGCAAGGGTGGCATTTTCACCATCATTGATCACGATAGTTGGTAGTTTGGCTTTCTTGCGATCATGCTGAGATACAGTGGGCACAGAGGTAGAGATATCCGAGTGTGACGCATTGTACCTGACGTGAACCAATTCTCGCGGGGGCCATAATGGATGAACAAGTTCAGGAAACTTCGCCTTCGAACGGCCAAATAGTGATGCCGAAGGTAGGAAGTTTCTTTGCTCGATCGTTGATGATGAGTTGGATTTAAGAGGTAGCCTGGGGTTCGCGGTCGAAATAGGCGGTTCGACCTCAGTGAGGGTCTTTTGAGGGGGCTTTTTGGAAAAGAACGGGTGCGTTGGCTTGTTTACGTTGGTTTGTGGGCGAACAATCAATTTTTGCGGTGGTGTAAGTACCCTCGGGGTAGTGATATGCTTCCCACTGAGAATATCGTCAATCAATTGGCCAATGTTCCTTTCTCCAGCCACGCTGTATCCAATAATGACCAATTTGCTTGGAGGTTTTTGAGGTCGACCACGTTTGGGAGCTTTCCGAGTCTGGTCAACCGTTGTTTGGGGGTTTTGAGGAGGCGAGCTCCGCAATCTCCCATTCGAGTTCAGCTTGAGGATTTTGCGGTTTGGATCCAAGGTTTTTGTCAATGCTAACGGTTCGGCCGATATCGTTTCTTGGGTATGGGGGTTTTGAGGTCCGTTTAATGCGAGGGAGACTGGCAGATCATTTGTCGCGATTTCTGGTGTAAGAACGGTCGGTGGTTCTGGCTCTGGCACTAAAATATCCTTCCCAAGCCATCCCGATAAACCAGCTTTCCGAGAGCCATCATGTTCAACGTTCTTGGTCTTATCGTTCTTTCGTCGTTTTCTTCGGCTTGCATTGAGGTCCTCCTCTGGACTCAAGGGATTCTTATTTTCGTGTTCCTTTGGGTGTTGTGATGGATTTGGAGAGGGTGTTGCCTTTCGGTGTCGGTGCACTTCGAGGTCCTGCTGGCCTTGGACCGAGGGAAGAGTAAATATATCGGTGCTCGTTTCAATCGAATTGCTAGAGGCATTTGGCCCTCCAGTTTTCTCTGAGACTGCAAGCTCTACTACCATGTAAGCCAATCTTCAGATAAAGCCATTGGAAGCACAATACCTTGTTGGAAAAAAGGGTGGATTGCTTGCTTCTGGCCCTGTGCCATGGCCACCGATGGATTGGATACTGCTGTATCCATGTGAGACGCTCAATTCATAAGGAAAGATGAAGAAGTGATCGCCCTGGTATTTGATAAAAAGAAAGAGCAGAGGTTGTATATAGAAGCAAAAACGCGTACCCTGTCGTTGCCAAAGAAAACAGGATTGGAATGAGTGGTGAGCAAAACCCAGCTCTCTTGGAGCTAGCAATCGCAGATCGTTATCGGAGGCACTTAACACGCCTGACGCGGAGCGCGTCTTGCAGAAAGTTATGTAAGCCGAATTACATGACTTTGACGCTAGACTTGATCTGGCCCAGAGTTGTGGGTCAGTTGGTGGGCCCGGTCCGTCGTTAACCCGAAAATTTTTCAGATTTCCTCGTTGGGACAAACCGGTGCTCTCACTGCACAGGACCTGAAGAGACAGGACATCAAGGCAGTTGTGCAGTTTTTGAGGTTCTCTTTCACCATGGACTTGCAGTCTCCATCCGTGCTGGCACAATTGCCTCGCCCCCTCCATGCCTCCTCAGGCAAGACTCGTATTGGCGATGTCTACAGCCTCGCTGATGCTAAAAAGCGCAAGCGCTATGAAGTTGCCGTTGCGATCGATGGTGAAGCCATTAACATTTACAATGTATGGCCCTTCAGCCTTCTTGACTTTCTCTCAATCTATGGAATACATGAGCTAATTCGTTCCTTTCTTTCTCTAGGTGCAAACTCCCAAGCTCGTAACCTCGTATGCCGTTCCACCGCAGTCGACATTCTCTTGCCGCCCATGCTCTGTTCGTCGCAAGATCTCGAAAAAGTCTGTTGTTAAGAGGCAGACATATGCTGCAGCGATTAAGCCAGAACATCAGATCAAGTGCTTTGTGGAAGAAGTTAGCAACGGATCAAGCGCGCCAGCAATTTCTTCGTCAGCAGCCACTATCACAGATTCCCGCAGCCCCACAGCTTTCGTGGGTATTGTTCCTATCAACGTCGATGACGAGAATGAATCCGACCCTTTCGATGTCCTTGCAGTGCATGAAGATGGTCGTGTGCGCCGATTGTCATCCGATCTCAAGACCCAGCGATGGAGTATTCAGCACAGTGAACTGAACAAGTTCTCCTCCACCCATGTCGTCCACACTTGCTTCTTGATTGATCTGGATGATGCACGTAAGTCATTGCTCAAGAGGCGCCAGGACTTGGCTGCCCTCGCTCTGGGAGAACAAGCAGCAGATGGAACCAATGAGCCATCTATCTTGCTCGTTGTGTCGCATCCCAAGGATGCCGAACGTTTTGCCCTGCAAGATGTGAATGTCCAGATGTTCTCAGTGCCTGCTAAGTCGGGATCTCAAGATGAAAGCGAACGTCTTCGTCACCTTCAAACAATCCAGGTACCCGGTCCAAAGGGAATCGATACAGTCAACAGCCATGGCCTGCAGTGGAATTTCCACGCCGGATCAGCTGGCCTCCACCTTTCCTTCGATAAGGGTTTCATAAACACCGATCTATCACAATACGCTCCATCGGTGACCTCACAGTTCATTCTTAATGACGAGAATTTCTCTTCTGTGATGCGTGTCTCTCCCCAATGTGTTATTGGCGCCAGTGACTCCTTAGTCGCACTTTACGATACCCAATACCAATCCGTACAGCGAAGCATTGCTGCCGGTGAGGTTCTGTCTGGCACAGGTTCTAATACCCCCATTGCCTTTATCAGCTATTTCGCGAAGCTGGGGATCGCAGTAGCCGCAAAGGGAAACACTCTTATTGGTTTCGATTTGACTTCCCTCCACAGCCACTCTGGACCTTCCCTGAAGCGATCTCGTGATGGTCTTCTTATTGATGCTATTGGACGTGGTATCGGTGCATCTGCTGCGCAGTGGGATCTGGCATCCAAGAAACACCGGTCTGAGAATATGACTTCGCTCCACCTTACTTCCCCCGAGCAGGTAGAGAAGTGGAGTCAGTTGACAACAGCCGTCAATGAAGCTACAGCGTCCAAGAACGCCACACTCTTCGATAAAGCCGTGCTGGCTTATTTCGGCTCTACTCTACCTCACCGAGGACAATATGTTAACACAGAATCAACTCTCTTCCTGTTGTCTAAGATCTTTGCGGCTGAAGAATCTGTGCCCGAAGGTGATGCCGTGTCGCCTTCACCATCCCAGCTGCGTGTTGTCCTTTGGCCTCGCGTCACTTGCGCCTGGTTGATTACTTTGGGTCATCTATCTACTGATAATGTTGAGATTGCACTTCGACGCGCCTTGAAGCCACGCATCCTCCAGCCCCTGCCCACTGGATCGTTAGTCCAAGCACTCATCAATTTTGATTCATCGTTGAAGAACGTCAATCATGTTCTCAGTGGCCCAACTACCCTCTCGACCGACGAATTGGCCTACGCCTTGAGGTACTTCTTAATTGAGGCACGTCAGTGTTCTGGTCCATTGGAGGAAACCACCCGCGCTATCACCAACGGTGATGTTGCTACGCCAACGCAGGAGCTTACACGCCAATTGGGAGATGAGGAGGCTGCTACCGTCAAGGCAGTCTTCAAGGGATTGAACATCACAATCCAAAAGATTCACGCATACCCTCTTTCGTCTGTCACAAAGGCTCTCCGCTCCAACCTGTCCCGACAGGAGCTTATCTCCATGATTCGCCACCTTCGCGTTTGCCTCGCCGCCGGTGGCTACATGTACCGCTTCTCCGAGACCCCACCCACCCCCGTCACCATCGACCAGGTCACTCCTTCTCTTTCTCTCCAAATCATCAGTGATATGCTCACTTCCTCGGTTGATGCCGTCGGTCCTTCCGGCTGGATTTCTGCCCTCCCCTCCGTGAACGACCTTGATGATGAAACCGACTCGAACATTGCCGCAGTCGCCCGCGAGATGGGCCTGATTTCCGATATGAGAACAGAGATCTCTGCTACCCTCAACGGTGTGGAAGAGGCAACCCACCTGAAGGGTATTCTTCGCGAGTACCTTCGATTTGCCGACAAGGTCGTCACCCCGAAGTCTACTGCTGGAAATGTAGTCGCCAAGGTCGAGACGGAGGCCACTTCTGGCTCCTCTCATCTTGTTCGCCATGAGAAAATCAACGGTGCTGACCTCCTAGTCTTTGCTCGTCCTGGTGAGGGTGAGGATGGTTATGATGGCGATGCCAGTGGAAAGATGCTGCCGCTATCGATGAAGCCTGTCTCCACTGATGTGTCGAAAACCAAGGTCAAGAAGTCAACGGGTGAAACCAAGGCTCGCAGCAACCGTGAGATTAGTTACATGCGTCGCAAGGAGGTTGGCAAGTACTCTTTCGAGAGACTTCTGGTTTAATGAGTGATTAATGGGTGGATATACCCATAGACTTTACATTTCATGTTTCATACTGTATCAACCATTACGCATTAAGTATAAAAAGGAGTTCAAAATCGAAATCAATGTTTTTTTCTGTTAATTTAAACATTCCCAAAAATTATCCCCCAAGTCAAATTCTTGTTTGTGTCCAGATCCCATCATATCCAGCCGAACATAAGTTTACGTAAGTTTTACCACCCCGAAGCCTACGTTTCCCACCGGTCACTACTTCATTTTGCTGAAGAACACCCACATTTTGCTAAACAGCATACTTTTGAAATTCTCTGACCAAAAAACCCATTTCAATGCTTACTATTCACGCTTGATAGATACATTGAGTTCCATCTCCTGGGCATCAGGAATTTTCTTGTATGCGTCATGCACCGCAAGTAGCCGTTTGCATGCCCGAAACCACGCCTCTCCGAAGGGCAGCCAGTGCTGGCCGGGTTGAGGACTCTCGATGGCATTCATTCTCACGTTGATGCTTTCGATCTTGTATCTCTTGGCCCGTTCAGTTTTGTCGTGAGGAAACGAGACGACGTGTTTGACCAAAGACTGTTCGTTCGGGACGGCCCATCGAATTTTGTTAAGATAACGAGCGGAAATATTGATGAACCATCCAGGACCATCTGACGTACTCGAGACTTCGATTTCGTGGCTGAAATTGTTGAAAAGTAGTTCACTGACCTCTTCATACAGTTGCTTGCTGCATCCCATGACGCTGATGACACTTTCATTGGTACTGGAAGTAGAATCCGAGCGAGGTCCTTGAAGCTGTTCGATGTCACGGAATAATTCTTTCCAGATCATGATGCGAAGTTCAGGGGGTAGTTTGCGCAGGTTTCCAAGGCCTCCCTGGTTGGTGAGGGTTAGGGCTGAGAAAGCTTCGTGCACGTGCACGTCCATGACGAGTGATTCTCTTTCCGTTTCGTCTGATGTAAAAAATGTCAATATTTGAAGACAGGCATGGTAAAGGAGAATTGTTTTCCATTGGGATAATGGATGTATTTATGTCGAAAATGTAGATCGGAGCTACTTCACTACATATTAGGGAGTTCATTGAATGTTGTCCCCAGGCATGGATTTAATCTTGGAGCAGTGAATATTGAACATTGAATTTAGAAAATTAAATGTCAGATACTAGGGTGAGCCTCCAGGGCTGGAGCTCAGGGAACTTGGGTACAGGGATCACAAGCCTATTAGGGCTATATCAAAATTCAATATTGGCTCTTTTTAATGGATCCATTCACTTCCCTGGCCTAGATATGAAACATACATGTAAGTCTAGCCCCTGGGAGTTCCTGAGGTCCCAAAAGGGCAATCTTAGAGGTAGTTAATTGAATATTAGCTAGTATGGGCATCTATGCTAATATTCAATCTGGAGGTGAATACACATCGTCCATGGGTGCATCGGAGAATTCAATGTTGAAACATTGATTGTAGGACGGGAGATTATCTACTAGCAGGCATTGAATAACTACTAGTACTAGTAAGCCCAGCCTGGGGAAGGTTCTGGAAATGAAAATTTCGTAGGCAAGCTTGGAAAACTCAACTGGTTGAAGTGCATCCATCGAATCTTGGAATTCATTGATCAATTCTCATACCTCAATAATACTACATACAGAAGTAGGTACGTATGTACATACTAGTGGGTATTCAATGTTATCAGAAACCTCCTCGAGGGCTCCGAGTGCTGGGGCTCACGAAATTCCAGCTTGCCTAAGTGAATACCTAGACTCGATTTGAGAATTACCTTCCAGTACCTACACATTAAACCTTCAAATTTGGGAAAGCCCATTTCGCTTTTGAATGCTCACATGTGCATTGCAGGTGATGTACTATGTTTTCAAATGTTGACTGCAAGTCTGCAACCTTGGAAATTTCCAAGTTTCAACCAATTGATGTTCAAATGTTCAATGTTGTGATTCCAACGATATATTTTCACCGATGATCCACATTAGGTAGTAAACATTGAACGATCAGTGTTTCCGAGATTCAATCAATGTTCCAAGCAAGTGCTTGAGGCTGCACCACCTGGACACCATTATGTATGGTCTAAAATCTCTAGGTCAAGTTATGCAATTTTTATATTTACCTACAATTTCCAAGGGTTACTAAGGCAATAATTCTACACAGATATAGATCAAGTATCGGTCAAGGGAATTGGGGCTCGAAGTGGGACCAAAACAACATTGGGCTGCAACCAAAGACCAATCAGACCACTTCTACTTGGATCCTCGATCGCATCATTGGCTACGTTAGTGGGGGAAGTCGAAGTTTTGGGTAAATCGGGATCGTGGATTGTTTACATTGTAAGAGTTGTTAGCCTCGAGTAATGCATAAAGAAAATTAACGACTTGCAAGGAATAATTGATAATCGGTGGCGCGTACATCATGCGTCGCTAAATAAACAAGGAGCTTGAGTGGAGCTGACTGTGACTTGGACCAACACCGCTCCGCAAAATCCCCAAACAGTTCGTCTTCGGGGCTGAAAGTTGTTATTATTCGCTTTTGCTGTCGATCTGTTGTTCTTTTTTCTTGTTTTTTTCTTTTTCTTCTTAGGGCTTTTCAATGTCCGAGGGGAAATGACTTTGGCTTTCACTCTGTTTTACATTGGAGCGCGAACCGCCGGGCCTAACGCGCCTGTTAAATCATAACAATGAGCAACCAACCATGGCTGGACAGTCTGTCAGACGACTGGCCATCGGCTCCTACCACTCCTACCACTCCTGCTCCATCCAATCCGGCCGTCAATCTATTATCCTCAAAGCACAATAGTGTACAGAATTCCCCTAGTCGCATTCCTGTACCTGCACGCCGATCTGTGGAACAATCCCCAGCCGACGACAAGAAAAAGGTTACCCGACCATGTCATTTCCATAGGAAGGAACCTCCCACTCCGAAGACCCCGCGGACCCCCAAAACACCCTCAAAATTGCGATCCCCAACCCCGTCCAAGACAAGAACACGGACCCCGAGGAGCCCCAAAGCCGTCACTCCGAAATCTGCGTCCAAGGTCAGCGCGAAGCCGACCCCAGGTGCGGCCCGAAAGCAAGCCCCGACAAAGCAAGCCCCGACCATGGATACGCGCTCCCCACTACGCTCCGTGTCCAACGTTTCCCGCCAGTCCGACTACGAGGTCGCCGATACCGTTCAGATCAAGCCAAAGAAGGGCGAGGAGGGCGGGGGTACTCCAGAATGGCGGAAGCGACTGGTGCGCGGAGAGATCCCCGTGGGAGATCAACGCGACCTGTTTGCGCCGATTGGCCTGGAGAGTGTATTCAAGCCCCCCTCGCCAGGTTCGGGAGCTGGTCAATCGGACTCCATTCCGTTTGCCCGACAGGATGACCAGCTCTGGGACTTTACCGATAACACCTCCTCGCGGGAAACTACGACGAGACAGGGGGAGGAAGATTATGCTGAACGCGTCGGTGAAGGTGATTATTCGGGTACTGGCATAGAGTCACCGTTTGGCACAGTCAATCATCGGGCACCTTGGGCCGACAAGCGACTAGCGAGCAATCATCATGCAGACCAGTCAGGCTTGTCACATGGCTACACAGAGACCCGGACTGCTAGTGGGCTAGAGGATCTTCGCAATGAGGGAATCACCCCAATAACTTTTACGCGAACCAATACACTAGAAGGGACCGCCACAACTGAGGTGATCAAATCGGCTTTGAAGCAAGTCACTAATAAGCTAGAGAGCCTGTCTATCAACAGCAGTCGCCCAGATTCACCAGCTAGTGATAGCTTCCTATTTTATAATCATAGTGAACCAAGGGCTGAAGGTTCGCCCCACGATGACAGTTTATTGGATGTAACCAGTCACTCCTTGCCTCAAGACTTGTCAATGGGAACTTTGGACTTCAGTCGCCGCAAAGTTCACCGTCCTTTCCACCAATTCTCCCCCTCGCCCTTTCCCTCTCACCATTTATCCCCCGCCACCCTCGCAAACGTCAAAACTCGCAGTTCTCCTCTCTTCAATCGATCCCCAAACAACGGATCTCCTACACTACCTCGACCCTCATCCTCTCACGTTCGACCTTCAACCTCGGATGATAATACATCAAAACAAGAAACAATGCCCTCCTCAGGGAGCCCTTTAAAATTGTTTGGCGAGCATGACACCTTCACAAATAATAGACTGTTACGACGAATGAGTCAATTCGAGGAAACATTCGGTGACAATTACAATTCAGGATCGGAGGGAGATGAGCCGCCATCACCATCAGAAGAAGCACGAAAGAAGGGAGAAAGTCGCAGCTTGCTCAATGTTCGTCATGAGCCCTTGAGCGAAATCTCCCCCCGTCGAAATGAGCGCGGGCCCTCTCGGAATATGATAAACCCTCGCCTTTCTCGATTTGGTGACGGTGAACTTGATAAATTTGATTTCTCAGACACTAGCCCCTACGAGCCTAACATTGCTTATGGCGAAGTACAAGAATCTGGGTCTCGTCCTACATCTCGAAGAATTTCGTCAAATCGTCAGAAATACCTTCATCGGGGCTCACAGACGGGCTCCTTGCAATACACCAGATCATCAAGCTCTAGCTTTACCCGCAAACCATCCGCCTGGACGCGCCAAAGCTACTTTGAAAATGCACCTGATGCGGAATCCGGACGCGCAAACAAGGAAAACGTCGCGCCGTCTGAGACTAAGAGAGTCCCCAAAGCGGCGGCCATGGATCCAATTCCAAAGCGCCGACGAACTATTCTGCGCGATGATAAAGCCGCGCCGGGCCATCCTCACCCAAATGGAGGCTCAGCAAAGTTTGGCGAGAGTATGTCATTACTACAGAGAAGCTTGATGCAACATGGCATGCAGCTCGAGAATGGAGAGTACCTCGCACCCCCTGGCCTGTCACAGTCCATGCAACGGCCTAGAACGCCGACTCCCAGTCAAATCCGGTCCATGCGGGAGTCAACTGTGGTGCCCAGCAGGGAGTACTCGGAGTCAAATTTCGATAACCTTGATTATTCAGATTCATTCTCCATTGAGGGTGATATCCCCTTGGTTAAGATTACCGGAGCAAGCGACTCATCGCGCAAGGGCTCTATAACGACCCAGGACTACTTGAATGAGGCAACAAAGATCATGGATCTGATCCGAGCCAAAGGGCGTCCAGTGCCTGGTTTGACGAGTGTCCAGGAGTCTGACGGGGACAGTGAAGATGAGGATGGAAGCTATGATGATGAATCGACCAGGGAAGCGTTTTCTCGCCCACCAAGTCGTGATGGCACGAACACAGATTTCCGCAAGATCCGAGAGCCCAAGGAGCTTAATGCCCAAGTTCTCAACTACTTGAAGCAATATCAAGAAAAAGAAGATGGAGATTTTGGGAACAGTGGGTCTGTCATGTCTTTCAAACAGGAAGGAGAATCTAGACCGGGTAGCTCCCGACGTCTGGCTTCAGGCACAAGGAAACGCAAGACAAGCAGCAATTATGATGATGTGGCGGACACTATCGCCCAAGACTTGATGACCATCAATACTCAAATGTCCGGCTTCAGCATGCACTCTGTACACACAGGCTCTTCGCAAAATTCGCAAGCGAAAGGTGTACTTTCATCTGATCTGGTCGCTCATCTAATCCCAGAACAAGTCAATGGTTTTACCTACGACAAATCCAGAAATCTATGGATCAAGGATATTGCTGAAATACCAGCTCCGCAAGTACCTCAGGAAGATGACAACGATAACAAGGACCCGTTCCAAGATATTCCCGACTTGAGTGTGGATGAGTTGCAGGAAATGATGCGAGTTCATGGCCTTGACTCTCCGTCTAAGCGTGTGTCAGCGGTGGAATCTCGCCCCCGTGTTGGAGGAACCTCACCAAAGAAGGGTGATGTCAGACCGCATACAAGAGATGGGGATCCCTCAGTGAATGCAAGCTCTGTTCAATCCAGACTCACTCGCTTCACGTCAAGTGTTCCAAACTCCGGGACTCGAGCAACCTCATGGGGCACCGATGAAATGCAACACAGGAACGAGTCCAGGGACAATAATGTCAAAAAGCCGGATAGCATAGACCCTGAGCCACAAAACAAGCAGACCCGGGTTCCAACAATCTCTTTCTCGTCGCCTGTCGTTTCACAGGTCGCATACACAGACGAGGAGGAGGCTTCTAAGCTCAATACTGCAGCCCGAGAGTCAGCACCCACCGACGAAGAGAAACAAAATGACAATCCCCGCCCATCTCATCCGCCTGCCCGGCGCGAAGTCTCTGTTGGAGGTCAGCCATTTATTAGACGTCCAGTTTCAAGAATCGAAGAGCGAAATGAAGAAGGAACCGAGGATCTTAGCCTTGTTCATAGAGATGGTTCTCTGGATGTTGAGCAAACACCAGGCAGTCATGCTGTGGAAAACTCCCTGGTTCCCATTCACTCAGGTGACCATGACACTAGTTACAGCTTCCACATGAGTCCGCTAGCTGAGTTTTCAGTCAACCAGCCGGATCACCACATGAATCTGGAAATGAGTTATGTGGCAGATCGCACTCATCCGACATCCTTAAGACATGTTCATGGCACATTCGCCCTTGCCACACAAGACTTGATCAAGCATATCACCGACGCCGAACCCCACGAACTATACTGGGAACATGTACGTCGCTTAGTATTGCGTCAAAAGGGGTTGATCACTCTACACAAGCTAAGTGATTTCTGCCCTCGTCTCGAGGATCTCGATGTCTCCGACAATGACATTGGACAATTGAGTGGTGTTCCAACAACCCTCCGGACCCTCAAAATTCCCAGGAACTCACTTTCCAACCTCACGCCATGGGGCCACCTGACCAATCTGCAATATCTGGATATTTCTGGAAACGACATTGAGACCCTGGACGGATTCTCAGGCTTAATTCACCTTCGAGAACTGAAAGCGAATGACAATCAAATCCGGAACATTGATGGCATTCATGACTTGAATGGCTTGCTGAGTCTAAAGCTGAGCAACAATTCGTTGACAACTGTGGACTTTCAAGGCTCGGAACTGTAAGTTTTCTTTGACAGCATTCAGTTGATAGGAGGATACTGACACTATTTAGAACTCGACTTCGCGATCTTGATTTGAGTCATAATTGTTTGACATCTGTACGAAATGTCGAGTGGCTGCCGTCTCTGGCCACTCTTGATCTCAGTGCCAACGAAATTACTCTGTTGGAAGCATCGTCCTCCCTTATAAGCCTACGGGCACTGAGAATCTCAGCAAACCGCCTGAGTGTTTTGGACATGAAGAACTTTTCTTCTTTGAGCCTCTTGTACGCCGATCATAATGGCTTGTCGACCATCAGCGGACTAGAAAACTGCCACAACCTGGAAGTACTTTCTGTGCGTGAGCAGACCCAGATGGGAGATGGTGGCTCTGGTATCATCTTGGACCTCGACCTGGGATCGGCCAAGGACATCCGGAAGGTATTCTTGTCATCGAACAAGCTTGCCTCCCGATGCCTCTCCCCGTCCTCTCCTCTCCTCCGACTACAACTTCTTGACATCGCCGCATGTACCTTGCCTGCTCTTCCAGGCACTTTTGCATCTAGCTTCCCAAACCTCAAAGTATTGAATATGAACTTCAATTCCCTCACCGAATTGGAGCCCTTGGTAGGCATGAATTGCCTTGCCAGATTGACGATGGTCGGTAACCGACTTGCAAGGATGCGGCGCATCTGCCAGATTCTGAGCCGACTCGGAAGGACAGGACGTGGCAACCCGTGCTCACTTCGCAAGCTTGACATCCGTGGCAACCCCTTGACGGTCGGATTCTACCCTCCAGCTCTTACTGGAAACGGTACAAACTCAGAACGCAAGAAGTTGAAAGATGAAGAAAAGGCAGTTACGCACCAGCGGGATAACCGAAGGGATCTTTCTGATGCGCTGGCCGACCTTGACCACAATGACCAGGTCGCCCACGCTGTCACCTGGGATGATAGTGTCAAGTCCGACCGAGAGATCGAAATTAACGATCCCTTGACTCTACCCGCGGCAGATGCCCAAGCAGACGAGAAATATCTTCAGCGCCTGGACCGTGCGACTCGACTCCGCCGCCGGGTTCTGGAGCTTCTTCTTTACGCTGGGACAAGCGGTTCTCTCCAGGTGATGGATGGGTTGGACCTCCGACCAGTCATGGGCGATGACTCGTCGGATATGGGTCAGGCGTGGATTCGGCTTGAGGAACTTGGTGTGCTTCGAAGAAAGGCCATTACCGAAAAGGCGTGATGAGGTTGTTTTGCATTGCGTGTTTCATTGCGTGAGTGTGGATATTGTGTGAACATTTGTTGAATAGCGTGCATGGAGTTTTGTTTACTTTTTATACTCATCAGAGTTGGATCCGGCTATGGGTATTGGTTGGGTCTTAAGCATTTGCATGTTCGCATTCCTGGAGTTAGAAGCTTTTGAGACTTTTGCGACAGCGCTTTATTATTTGAATGGAAGATATTTTACCTTTCTACCTAAGTCTCGACCAAAGCTGTAGTCCTTGCTGTCTTTCGATCAGCATCTGACAATTGTCCTTCTTCATGGTCCCCAGTCGAGGGTCCCTGAACACCATCTTGAACAACCACCCCCTGCACTTCCAACGTATCATAAAAAGCCGCACGCTTCGGAAGAAGATATCTAACATCAACAAAGCGCAACAAACACGTCATAACAATAACAAGAACCAGCAACGCAAGCGCAGACTGCCACCCATACTTATAATACGGCGCCTGCGAAGCCGGCCAAGCCAAAACCTGAGACCAAGCCGAAATAGCATAATACCCCGCAACCGAAACGCCCACAATCAGCGTCCTCGCCTCCGGATCCTGCGGTATAAGATCCGACAACCAAGCAAAAATAAGCGGCGCAGTGCCCAAACAAACATACGAAATAAAATACGCCGCATAAGCCGCAACCAGCGGCACAGCCTCCGGCCGCGCCGTCCAAGCGCTCATAACAACACACGGCACAATCCCAATAACCGCCTGCACGACAATAAGCGTCCAGCGCGTGCGCAGCCAATCCGAAAGCAAAGCCCAAATCCACACGAACACAACATTGATCGCCGAGCCCCCGATAGGAATGGCGTTGACCTCCGTGACCGTCCACCGCGGACTACCGTCCGCGTTCTTGAGCGACTTCAGGAAGAGCGAGAAGTACACGTAGCCGTATGTGCCGAGCACGGTGGCGATGTACAGCACCGCGATGAAGTAGATGACCCAGCCCGAGAAGGCGCGCCGGGCGCCGGCCCAGGTCATTTTCTTGGGCGAGGCGCGGCCGTGCCGAGATAGGCGGGCGAGGGAGAGGTCGGCGTGCGGTTTTTGGAACCAGAAGGCGCGCGGGTTGGGCTTGTTGGGGAGGTCTGGGATCATGAAGAAGCCGAAGAAGCCCCAGGTCACTGTTATTATGGAGTTGATTACGAAGAGCCAGCGCCAGCCGGCGAGGCCGCCGGCGCCGTTGAGGGTGTCTGTTATCGCGGCTTGGAGGGCGCCGGACATCATTTGTCCGACTGCTTGGCAGGATTGGTAGAAGCCCATCCGCTTGGCTAGCTCGGTGGGCGTGTACCAGTACACTGTGGCTTGTGTGAGATTCTTATCGCGGGGCAGGGTAGGGCAGGGTAGGGCAGGGGAGGGGTGGAGGCATTTGGATTTAGGAGGATTGGATGGGGGGTGTATTTCGCTTACTGAGTAGAGTCATCATGCCGGGCCAGGCGCTGCTCTCGCATAGACCGAGGAAGACTCGGAGGACGTAGATTTGCTTTGCGCTTGTGGCCATGGCGATTAGGCCGGTGAATAGACCCCAGAGTATTTCTAGGCCGGGTAGCCAGAAGCTTGGTCGGACATATGTTAAGATTATTTGTGATGGAATGAGCATCACGCAGTAAGCTGCATTGAAGTATGTTGTAAATCTACAAGTACATGTTAGTTGCGAAATCCGAAATCCGTGAAGGGGAAACTAGTGATTATCACGCGCTCACAAATTCAACTCATTCCCATGGAGATTGAGATCTTCCATCATGCCTGATACGTAGGCATTATTAATATTTTGCTGGTCAAGATATTTAATAACTGCAATTTGTTAGCTTTGCGCCTGGCGTTTTGGAGACTGGCTTTGTTTCGGTACCCTGAGATAAACAGCCGAATGTCAATAAGAACATATCAAGACGCCTGACGAGGGCCTTCTCCTCCGCAGACCGCTCACTCGTCCCTTCTGGATTCTCCGACGGAACATGGCGAAATATCCTCCAGCTACCCATAGCGAAATGAAACAGGGAGATTCGAAAGTCGAAGTTCCCGATGCTGGAGGCGTGCCGTTAAGCTTAAAGGGTCGCAGGGGAAGAAGTCAAGATAAGACAGTACCCCAAGCGCCACAAAGGACATGATCCCTGCAGATCCGAGGGGAAGCGGTGCGCGTGATAAGAGCTCATGCAGACTCCAAAGAACCAGTCGCATTCCGCGGGCTAATAGGTAGCGTAACCTCGGAGAAGGTACCGATGCTCAGAAAGGCACCTCCAAGCCTGACGAACCCCACATGAGAAAGAAAAGTGCAGGTCGAGGCGAGGCCGCACCGTATGCCAAGTGTTGATCGAAGTTTTGATAAGCTGTGGGGTTTTGAAGGTCGGAAGTTGGGGTTTGGAGTCTGCGATAAGGAGAAACGCTCTTCCCCGCACGGAAAGCTTCCTGAATCCTGATAGATACAGACTAGCACCGACTCATCGATACACTCCCATTTTGCAAATCGCAAGTTCTTTTTCATTAGTCTGTCGACTAATAAATCTCGCAGCCATGCCGGACGAAAATTCCAGCAATAGCTTGCCGCGAAAGGCCCCTTGCATAAGTTATTGGCAACGAACAACTCGGGCATTCCCGCATCTATTCGAGAACCAGCACACCCGCGTCCCCCCACGGACCAAATACGTGATTATCGGCTCCGGACTCTCTGGCGCCCTCACGGCCTTTGAGCTGCTAGAAGCAGGCATCAAAGGTGATGATGTTGTTATTCTGGAAGCCCGCGAGGCTGCCAGCGGGGCAACATCCCGGAATGCAGGCCATGTCCGACCAGGTATGAATACGATTGATTCCCATCGACAGCGAAGCAGATAGGACGCGAGCTAAGAGAGTAACTTGGAAGATGCGTTTCGTGGATTTAATGCCTACGCAAAGGTTCATGGCGCCGAACAGGCTTTGAAGATCATCGAAAACGAGCGCCTTGTCCTGGAGAAAGTAGCCGAGTTCGTAAAGAAGCATGACGTGCAATGCGATTTCAACCTTACCTCTACATTTGATGTTTGCATGACACCTGAGTTTGCCAAGTATGAATCTGAGAGCTTCGAGGCCTACGAGCGGGCGGGGGGCGAGACTTCTCAAATCAAGTATTATGAAGGCGAGGAGGCAAGAGCAAAGACGAGTGTCCATGCAGCTGTTGCGGCCTACGAGTGGCCGGCAGGATCCTGTCATCCTGCGAAGTTGGTTCATTTCCTGTTGCAATCCGTCATCGGAAGAGGTGCGAAGCTTTTCACGTTTTGTCCCGCTACAGCGATACAGCAGCACGAGTCCGAGCTGGGACTGTGGGATGTACATACACCTCGCGGCACGATCACGACTGAGAAGATCATTCACTGTACCAATGCACATGCGGCCCTTTTGCTCCCGCAGCTGGAAGCGTATGTGACGCCGAACCGCGCCCAGGCACACTCTCTAATCGCGAATTCGACTTTCGGAGGCGAGAAGATTCTCGACAAGACATTTTCGCTCCGATACAGTCTGTACCATTTTTATTCTTTGATCCAACGCAGGGGGGATGGTACACTTATCCTTGGGGTATCGAGGTCGAATCCCACCTTAAGCTCTGAAACATTGGCCAGTCGCTTCAGCACTGATGATAGTCATTTTAATCAGGAGATTGCTGAAGATGCGCTGAGTAGCTTCGGGAGGATATTTCCTGATTATACTTCGTCACAAGATGCGGCGCATGGCGAAGGCTTGGATCATGCGTGGACTGGGATTATTGCCATGACGCCCGATTCTGTTCCGTTCGTCGGTGCTATTGGATCGCTTCCTGGGCAGTATATTTGTGCTGGATTTAATGGACATGGTGAGATTAGGCTACATACTATGTACTTCCATCGTGTGGGACCAAGGCTAATTCCACCACTTTTTAGGAATGGCACGCATCTTCACCAGCGCACCTGGGGTTGCAAAAATTGTATTGGGCGACGAATGGAGCGCTACAGGATTGCCTGAATGTTTCCAATTTAGTAGAGAAAGACTGTCTAGACTTGCGGAGGGTGGGTTGCCCTCTATCTGGTAAAAAGATCATTTATTCATTACGTATAAAAAGGGTTCAAAATCGAAATCAATGTTAATGTTTCTTCTGTTAATTAAAAATTTCCCACGATTATTCCCGAGGTCAAATCCTCAATGCTTGTCTCAACATATCATTTCTATCAATTGGTCTTGGAATTCCATCATGTCCTGCTGAGTCGCCTAATTTACAGTGACCGGACACCTAAAGTTCCCGTTGACTGCTTTTAGTACCTATCCAAATCGGATTTGTCAACCTTTATATAAGGGTTTGCAATACCTCACAGCTTACATTTGGTATACTTGGTGGGATGAATTGTATAATACCATGATTCAGAGTTTTTTTAAGCCCTTTTATCTAGAACTTAAGTGGTTGATATGTAGAAAAACCCCCGACCATTTTCGACTGGCAGAGTATGATATACTAATGGAGGGGGGTGTTGAAAGGCATTCTGAAAATTCTCTGTATCCTCATAGTCTAGGATCCCATTCTGACCCATGTCAGCAATTGATAAGTACAGGTTACTCTTTGGCGCACGAGGAATCTTGCGGAAAGCCAGGCAGACCGCACTTGCCCGGCTGGTGGCTAGTGCCAAGGCCGTTCCAATAGGCTTTTGTTGGCCTGGAGCTCTCTCAACCTTGTTCATTTTCACATTAACAATGTTAAGGTGATGGTTCTCGGCCAATCGAGTTCTTCTGTGTGGGAAGGAAACCACATGCTGAATTATAGACGCTTCATTCGGAATGGCCCATCTTATTCTGTTGAGACTTGAGATAACGAGCTGATAGGTTGATGAACCACGCAGGGCCATCTGACGCAGTCGGAATTTCAATCTCGTGATTGAAATTGTTAAACAGGAGTTCACCGACTTCCTCATACAGATCCTGGCTGCATGCCATGATGCTGATGATGCTTTCGTTACTACCGGGAGTAGGATCTGACCGGGGTCCTTGGAGCTGTTCGATAGACTTGAAGAGTTCTTTCCAAACCATGATTCGAAGTTCAGGGGGTAGCTTACGGAAGGTCCCGAGACCTCCCTGCTTGGTCAGGGTTAGGGCTGCAAAACTTTGATTGATGTTCATAGCGAATGATCGTTTTGGTCCAATCAGAAAATTTGTCAAGACAGGCCTGGTCAAGGAAAATTGTTTTCCATTATAACAATAGGTGTATTTATGTCCAAAATGTAGACTGGAGCTAATTCAATACTACCTACTAGGGATTTCATTGAATATTGTCCCCAGGCATGGATTTAATCTTAGAGCAGTGAATATTGAATATTGAATGTAGAAAATTCAATGCCAGATTCAATGTTCTAGGGTAAGCCTCTAGGGCTGGAGCTCGGGGAACTTGGGTACAGGGATCATAAGCCAGTGCCATACTAATTATACTACTGGGTCTGTATTGTAGTACGAGTATGTTACCAAGATAGGGTGGATCCAGGGAAGCGCTAGCACTGTGAGTGGTTAGTGTTGAATAAAGTGGAGACTTTTAGGTAATCTTTCAGTATTTTTATAAATCACCCGGTATGGCGTAATGGAAAACGCGTCCATAGCTCCAACTCATATTTTATTTGTACATAGGGACTATGGAAGATGGGGGTTCAATTCCTTCTGCCGGGATTCTTTTTTTCCTTTTTTCTCGTTTCAATTAAAAATGACTTTCTTAGAGAATGCATGTCCTCACAGTATATGCTGAGTAGATCAAGTCGTCTCATGCATAAGCGGGTATCAAATACCGTATGTTAAGCTATGGATGCTAGCATTGTGTATTGCATTTTCCATTCAATGTTTCAACCGGTACATCAATGCTATTTTCTACTCTGTTCATCCCCCGTAATGAATAGCCGGCCCCTTTCATAAATTCCATCTATTACGGACTCAATAAAATCCAAAGGTGTGACTTCTTTTTTACATGCCTCATGCCTCATACTCACTAGATTCCCGGGTATCTTGGGCAAACCAAGAATAGGCAAGTAAATCTTCGGCACTAGGTCGTTTCCCCGGCGTATAATTCAAGATGTCAGATAATAGCTCTTGCAGACGACAAGCTTCACTGGGAGATAAAGTCGTTCCAGCCGGATCAAGAAGGCTCGTGCATCTATTCGTCTAGCTGGAGCTTAATGCTGCCGAAGCCCGAATATTTATTACCGGGTTTGGCCTGGTCAAAGTATGATCATTCGCCCCTATTTCCTGTATCAGTGTCTTGAGCGAGCTTGACGGGCGGCCTTCTTTGCTATGTCCATCCTCGTCAAAATATCGATGCTTAGTCTCCCACGCCTCCCACCATGGCAGGGGTAGCTTCCCCAGTACCTGCACCATCTGCAGTAGGACCTCGTCTTTGCCACCAACCACGGCCTCAAAAAGAGGCACTCCTGCCCTTATCTCGTAGAGAACGCAGCCAAGCGCCCAAATATCGCTGTGGATGCTCATCACATGGTCAAAGATGGTTTCAGGTGCGCGGTAGGAGATAGGGATACAACCATCTCCTCCTGCAACACAATCCTTTGAGAATGACAGACCAAAGTCTATGACGAGGATTTGATCGGTCAGGTAGGCAGGGGAGTCCTTGAGCGCGAACTCAACTGCAGATACTGCGTATCTTGGTGCGTATGGCCCAGCTTGTTCCCCGCCATAGAGGGTGATCTCAGATATCTCCGGCTCTCCCAGGTTGTCGTATACTTCCTGCGTAGACCACTGGCTAAAATCTACAGTCTTGAGGAGAATGTTTGAAGTTGTGATGTCTTGATTCGCAGAAAGGAAGCAAAAGCAACGCAGTTATTAGTAAAGAGTAGACAGACCACAGAGACAGTTTCTCAAAAACCAACATCAATACCTCGATGAACAATCCCCACAGAATGAAGGCATTGAACTACGCGCACCACCTGTCCTGCAATTGCTCCAGCAAGCCTACCCCCCAGTCGACGAGTGCCGGCGATCTGACCAGGAGAACGCGGCAGACTGTAGATGCTGGGCCCCGCAACAGGAGTCACCAAGCAAGCATGTGTCCCGTTAGGACCGCTCACCTCAAAGTGATCAAGCAGTTGAGAGATATGGTCGCGGGCAAATTGATCAGAGAAGCAAGTCGAGCGTTGAAGTAGTTGATGGGCATGGAGCTCGGTGCGGGGAAATGATGCGTGCGCCGCTATGATTTTTAGGGCCACGTATCGGAATGTTCAAAGTCTCGTCACGAGTAAGCCAGGTCGTAAAGAATCCCCCTGCTCCTAGCTTGTGGATGATAACGTATCGCCCATCCGCGAAGGTATCGCCGAGAAGAACAGGGTGAAAGCCACCGGGTTGGTAGCGCTCTATATTTTCGATATTGTCTGCCATTAATGGCGAGTACTTCATTGGAGGTTCCATTTTTCAAGTCGGTCAAAAGCAGGATGATGAATATACGTAAGGCCGATGCAAGGTTAGTTTATTATGTTTGGGTATTCTGGGCGGTTGCTGATGGGCCAGAACTTGAGTTAGTAACTTAGGCCGATAGCAATAGGTGGGTCCGAGCACTTAGCGCGACCTGGCAAGCTATGTGAGTGGGGCCCCGATGTCGGGCATACCACATCTGAAGTATACGGTCACCGTTCAATATTGCGAAGTATGTTCCAAAGTTCCAAGATTTCTGCAATGGAAAAGATAAATATCTTTAAAATTCAATTTATTGACCAAGTTCATTACCCGTACCTAGCATTATTAGTGTTCTTCTCAAGTGATGCTTTGTAGAAAGTTGCGGGATGTTGATTCGCCCTAACTAGTGCACATACAACATCGGCCCCAAGCCCAGCTAGAGGAAGCTTTCGAAACCCATAAACCATAGTGACTCCCAATGAATCACACCCGAACATTTAACTAGCTCTTAACGCCGAGTCCAAGTAAACCCTCTCCGCACCTCGCACACCCAATGAAACCCAATCTATCTCCTATGAATCATCTACCATCTCGCTGACATATCGACATCCACGCCGACATCGGATCCGAACTACATCCCGCCAACAGCTCCAAAACATATAAAACCAACAACCAAACACCCCAGAATCCTCTTCATTATCCAAAAAGAACAAGAACAAGAAAAAGAAAACCAATCAATCACCCCAACTTCTACCAGTATTTCCTCCACTCCAAAGCCAGCACACCCCCAACCCAAAATGGCCTCCAAAACAGAAGCAGCGACCTACACACACGGCCACCACGCCTCAGTCCTGCGCTCCCACAGCACCCGCACAGCCCTAAACTCCGCCAGCTTCCTACTGCCCCACCTCAAGCCAGACATGAAAATCCTGGACATAGGCTGCGGGCCCGGCACCATCACCGTTGACCTAGCAACCTACGTGCCACAGGGCCACGTAACCGGCCTAGAGCGCGTCTCGTCCGTTCTCGCCGGCGCCGAAGCGCTCGCGTCCTCACGCGGGATAACCAACATCTCCTTCGTGACCGGCGACGGCAACGGGCTCAGCTATGCCGACGAGAGCTTCGACGTGGTATTCTGCCACCAGGTGCTGCAGCACGTGGCGGACCCAGTCGGCATGCTGCGGGAGATGAAGCGGGTGACGAAGAAGGGGGGATAGTTGCGGCGCGGGAGGCGGATTATTCTGTTTTCATGTGGTTTCCTGAGGTGGAGGGGTTGAGGGAGTGGCAGGATCTTTATGATCGGGTTGCGAGGCGGAATGGGGGGGAGCCGAATGCGGGGCGGTTTTTGCATGCGTGGGCGCGGGAGGCGGGGTTGGATGATAGGAAGGTTAGTGTTTCTTCTTGGTGTTATGCGGGGAGGGAGGAGGTGGGGTGGTGGAGTGAGACGTGGGAGGAGAGGGCTTTGAAGAGTGCGTTTGCGACGACGGCTGTTGAGGGGGGGTTGGCGGGGTGGGGGGATTTGGAGAGGATTTCGAGAAGCTGGAAGGCTTGGGGGGAGGAGGTTGATGCTTTTATTTCTATTCCTAGTGTGGAGATTGTTTGTTTTAAGTAGGTTTGGTTTGTTTGGTTAAATGTTTGGATTGGATTGGAATTGATTAGGTTTTATTTTTATTGTACATGGGTTTTTTTGGACTCGTTGGTAAAGATACTATGATGTCCCAGTGTTGAACGCCGTTGATGCAAAACTCCTTGGGATATGTTGTGACAAATGCAGATATGGGATGAGACTCCCAAGTAGATCAGTTCCCCGGTTCGACCTTTTAATTCTCGGGGACATATTCGTATCGCCGCCAGTTTTCAGAAACCCACCATTGGGTAACATGTGCGGCTTCTTTGATCCACTCCACAGCCGCCTCTCCATGAACCTTTGCAACGTCCTCCAGCAAAGGGATCAAAGAGAATGACTGCAAAGTGTGGAACTCATGAGGATCGACGTCGACATCAGTGAATCTCCATTCCACGTCCTGGACCAAAGGAATAATCAAACGGTATGGCGTGGAAGCAGATCGTAGGGCAAGCCATGTTCCGCCAGTGTTCATCACAGTAAACTGCCAGTCTTGTCGGCCATCCTTTTGAGGGACGAGGTCCCGGATGATTGACTGGCCTTCGTAAAGCGGGAGGAGATCTTTGATGGCATGTGTTGCTTCTTCGTCCAAGGAGCCAGACTCAACAAGCAGATCGAGAATAGTGGGGAGAATTTGCATCGAATGGACTCGGCCATCAACCTTGATTGGGGGTAGCTGTGGATGCGAGAATACAAGGGGGACGTGGAAGTTGGATATATGGGGGTTGTCGTATGGAGTTGCTCCACCATCTTCGATAATAGACAGGCCACTGCGTGAGGTTAGATCAAAGCCACTTTGTAGGACTCTAGGTTGAAGGGAAGTCACTTACTGATCACCGACCATGACTATCAAGGTCTCATCGATAACCCCGGTCTCTTCTAAAACTTCCAGGATTTCTCCAAGCCACCTGTCGGCAACTCCGAGGGTGTTCAAGTACTTGCCGATTCTCTTATTATGGTTGAAAATGCTGGTGGGCATAAATTTCTCATATTTGTCACCCACAGGCATATCCCAAGGATAGTGAGTTTGGCCGGTCAGATGTGTGAGGAAGAGCCGCTTCTGGTGTGTTTCCGCATCCAAGAGGGCTCGCGAGAGGTAGCCACGCAGTTCGTGCTCGGGGTATCCCCAGAAGTTGAACTTTTCAGGAGGATTTCCCTTGCCCTTCTTTTTCTTCCAGTCCTTGGTGATTGTCTTATCAGTGATTTTCTCATCGAATCCCATTGCTGGAATAAGATGGTTCTGATTGTCGTAATTGTCGGTGATACTCTGCATAAAAATAGAGTGCCAGGGCCAGGTCTTGTATTGATGGGGTTCTTCAGACTTGGTGGCGTTCGGCATTAAGTTCAGTGCATTGAAGATCTGTGGCATGCACGGCTCGTAGATGTGATGAAGATATTCTTTGTTGAAGTCGACAACCAAAGGGGCAATACCACAGACACTCGCTAGAATGCTCTTGAGAGTGAAAGTATCGCTCGTGTATGCATTCGTCGCAAAGATACCGCCGTATGGTTGGAATGTCTCGTCTTCGTTTCCGAAGCCGGATTGAACACCAGTGAATCTTTCTGCATTGTGCGTCAGGGTGGCCAATCGCTTCTCGACATCTTCCGGGATCTTCTTGTCGGAGTATGATTCTTGGATCAGATCCGCGAGATATGATTCTTTGCGCACAGGGAAAACGTCGGCACGCGTGCTTTCCAGCTTGATTAGAAGTACATGCTTGATGCTGACATTTCCGTTGCGGAGAGTGTCACGCAATGGCTCAATAATATCACGATCAAGGTTGGAGATATGCAGCGGATCAAGGAGCGGGTCATAGTGTTGTCGTTGCTTGCCGTCAGCGTCCTTGTACCAGTCGCGAAAGCCTGCGAGTTCCTTGGCGGGGAGCCAGTCAAAGTGTGGAGCCTCGCCTAGTGCAGTGTGGTTGTACAACCAGCTGTAGTCACCCGGTAAATCTGGGATATTTACCGAAGTCGTCTCTCCGCCAGGGGAGCTTTCGAATGGGGTGATAATGACGGTCTGTGAGAGAAATCCGTATGCGTCATCAGATGGGCGTAATAATCGAAGGACAAGCATATAAATAGTGGCAGAGACGAAAATGGTTCGAGTCAAAAAAGATGGTTTCGAGGAGAAAGTTTGTTTGGATTTGTGCAACCCAAGCATGGATTGGGACTCGGCATCATTAAACTCGTCCCTTTGCCAATCGTCACCGTTCACTTGTTCGTATTTCTCGGGGGTATCTTTCTTCAAGCGTCTGTATAGTGGAGCAATTGCGTTCTTCAAAATCGAAAAAGCGTTGTCGGTAAGATTGTATAGGGAGGGGCCTGATACCCAGGCAATCAGACTAAACAGAATCTCGCCGATGACAATTCCAGTCAAGCCAGTCAACAATGTTTTGACAGACGCCGCATCACGATGGAAGGAATGCGCTTGTCGCCAGTGGATTTCGGCGCCAGTTTTGATGTAGAAGGAGATGTTTGCCGCGGCTATTCCCGAGATCAACAAGCTATAGTGCAAATAAAAAGAGGTTGTTGTTAGTCAGGGTCCACATGACAGCGATGAAGATCTATTTGTTATTTTTGCGCACCTGGATAAGACGCCCACAAAAGCGGTCAGAACGCGGATCCATTTTCGTTGGAATTCCTGACAGATGGCATATGCCACAGCGATACAGATGATATCTTGCAAAAAGAATGTTGGGCCCCAGAGCAGAAAACGAGCGACGGTCAAGGAGTTGAGATGGGAGTAAATGTGGAGAAGTTTGGCACTGACGACGCCAATAAAGAGAAGGGAGAACCAGTATTTGCGGTATTTTGGCCAGTAGACATCGAACCAAAGACTTGGGGAGAAAAGGATGCGGACCAGATTCCGGCAGCTCTGGCGGGCGTTGAGCTTCATGGTGTCAGGAGACTCAAGGAGATAGACTCATGTGTGAGAGAGGTGGGAATGTATTTCCCCAAAACGACAAATCCAACAGTACCAAAGCACGTCCTAACAAACGTGTGTTTTTTTCTGGGGAAAGAGAAGCAGAAGGGAAAAGAAAGGAGACTTCTTTGAATGACAGCGAGGCTCAGACGAAACATAGCCCACATCCAAGAAAAGGCGTCATTATTAGCTATTTTTTTTTTTTTTTACTTTTTTATTATTAGCAGATCAAAAAGAAGGGTCCAAAAATCAACCAATTTGGAATAGATCACAAGTGGACTTGCCTAAATCGAACCGGAGTTTGGCAAAAAAGCAAAATGGAAAAAGAACAGGTACTTGCAGCCACAGGGACTATAGGTTAGACTACAGCTACACTAGTCACTAGACTCAAGTCGGCAAAGTTCATGAAACGCCCCAATTCTGCATTAGGTCGCGTGTCAATTTCACCTGCCAATCATCAAGACCCCTTTACGCTCTTCCAGCCGCTAATTGCTTGATCTTGAAGTTCGGGCTAAATTGCACTAATTTGTCCGAGGCATTTTAGCTTTTTGGTTCAGGGTCTCACTCGGCACAACTTTACCTGTGTTGCCTGGTCCCTGATGCTTTTTCCGTTAAAGAAAAAGAAGAAGAAAAAAAGAGAAAAACTTTCGGTGTCGGCATCTTGCAGTTCCGGTTTTTTTTTACCCACGGATCTTACTGAAGTTCCAGCTCCGTGACTCCGTAAGGCGTCCCAGGCCTTCCGCTCAATTTAGTGGCTGACCGAATACTCAGGGAAATCAAGGAGATTCAGGGTCTAAATCGAGAATTTTGCTCTAGGCTTACGACCCACTCTTGGTGGCGCCAGGTATTCTTTACGAGATGACAATGCATACACGATACGGATACGCCGACCCCCTATAGCAGACTGTAGAGCTTCCTCGGTACAAAAAGACCTGCTTTTTATGTGCATAATTGTACATGGCGCAATGAACTTTCCTTGATTTTTTTGTGGATTGTAATTTATGATTCGGAGGTTAATTCGCGCAACAACCTAAGCTTTTTCAACCGAGGCACTAGATGCACACACTAACCCCTTTTCAAGTAGCTCTCTTACTTGCCAAAACCCGAAACATTTCACTTTGGAAAAGTACACGTGACAGACGACTTCCTTGAATCGTTTCCTGCACAGCCTTTCTCTCTTTTTCTCTCTCCCGTCAAAGCACAAGAGATCAACATCACCTTGTCATATTCCAAGCTTGCTACTCTATTGGTACCTTGCGACGAGCTTAATTACACATATCTCTACTGGAGGGTTCTTCACAACAGACAAATTCCTGTTTGTTTCGATTCTCTCCAGTCCTACCCTTAACCTTCCCATCCTCAATCAACAACACAACAAGTAGATCTCAACTGGATCGACGATCACATATCACCCCCACCGAAGATCCCCATGCCTCCCGAGTCCCGACTTCCACATCACCCCGCGATCTGATCGTCATATCAAGCCTACCTTTCATGCAATCCTTTCCCATAATCTACATTCAATTTCAATTATTATCGAATGCGTACGTATTGTAGATCAATTCCATTATTAGAAAATGCATATATGCAGGTTTGAATAAGGTTTGGCTCGAACAAATGCCGATCTCTAGCTGAATCCTTCGGGGGCCAAGGTGGGTGCCATGTCTATTAGCGCAGCCTAAGCGGCTTGGCAAGAGTGCAGCTGATTCCCAACATTGCATTTGAACATTTGAATTTCCTAGTTGAATTGTCGAAATAGGTTAACCAACCTTGGATTAAATATTCTGCTCTCGAAAATACTAATAAAGTCTTTTTGAAGTGGTGGTTAAAGATACACAGATTTCAGATGTCAGAAGTCATGTTCAAATGTTAAAAATACACAACATTATTCAAATTGGAAACATCAACATTGAATGGACATACCTACATGCAAGTACCTACATGTAGTTGGTGAATGAACCATTCTTTATGCTAGAAAGTAGTTAGATCATAAGAATGTATATTTGAACATGCGTGACATCTGGAAGTTTTTTAACGTTGAAGTTGATATGCAAACCTATATTAGAGGCTACTAGTATGCATAGGATATGCGCGAAATTAAAAAAGTATTAGATACTACAGTAATTTAAGAGACTATATAAGATATGCGCGAAATCAGAGGTATTCCACAGTACATGTTGATTAATAGATTTTCTACATCAAAAGTTTGTAAATATTAAAGTCGATTTACAAGCCCATACTAGAGGCTACTAGCATATAGGATACGCGCGAAATTAGAGAAGTATTAGATACTACAGTAAGTTAAGAGACTATATAAGATATGCGCGAAATCGGAAGTATTCCACAGTATATGTTGATTAATGGATTTTCTACATCAAAAACCTTCAAGTTGTAAACATTTAAGTATATACCAACCTGTTACCTACATAAGAGGCTACTTAGTACTAGTATACAGGATATACGCGAAATCAGAAGAGGTAATAGATACTACAGTAAGTTAAGAGACTATATAAGATATGCGCGAAATCGGAAGTATTCTACAGTATATGCTGATCAATGGATTTTCTACATCAAAAACCTTGTAAACAAATATTTTGATCCATCATGATGGACCTTTCTTACAAGGACGACCCTGCCCTCTTATTATACCAAGTTTTGAGAAGATTTGGCGTTATTTAGCGATACAGTGAGTGGTTGAAGATAAGACGCGTAGAAGGAATTACACATTTTTGGCTGGGTTGGCCGCATACTTACACCGGCGGCGAGCTTACCGATTACAGTTAGTTAACTAGTAGTTAGCTACATTGTTATGGATGACAAACCCTGATAACATAGCCAAAACTGCGCGGGTGATGGATTTACAGTATCTCCTTTCTCCGAGCATCCACTAATCTGCTTCGTGAATTGTCAAAGAGCCCTAGATGTCCTCGACCAGATTCACGACGCAAAAGCCTACTACTGTTTACGAATGGTGCCAACCGCTGCTACAAATGAGAGACGACTACACCGAGTGGGAATGCTTCACCCATCCAGACCCAGATGAAGAAGACCCTCCAACTCTGGACGAAATCCAAACTCTGCGAGAATTTGCTGAGCGTTATGACTCATCCGATGCAATTCCAGCATACGCTGCTGCTCGCAAGCTAATGTCGCTCACTGACGAGGACCGCGTGGTAGATGAGCGCCAGAATCCCGTCGTGGATAAAGGCGAACGCGTTTCCTGGTTATTATGGGACGCTGGTATGTATATGCCGCGCTATCAGCCTGCCATTCTCAAGATTGTTCAGGCTATTCGGGAACTGCCCGAGCTGGAAAGAACAGAGGAGCAGATCTGTGCCGGTCGTTTCGAGAATAAACTAGAGACCTGGAGGTCTTTGGAGGCTTTCGCAGATATTTGGTCTGAGGCTCATATGCGTGAGTGGCTCACTCCTTTCTATCTTGCTAGTCCAGACAGGAACCGATTGTTACTTTTGGTATAGTGGCATCACGGTTTGAACCTTGGAGGAGGTCCATATCTTCTTCGATTCATCAAGTTCGATGAAACAATATAGTTGCACGTACATAACTTGCTTCGAGCTAACATTTTAATTGTAGGCCGTTGGGAGATGAGATATGGCTCATATCCCTATTACGGATGGGTTGAGTTCCACAGTGCTTGTGCTTTCAATGCGAACCATCTTGCCGCCTATCCCCCCGATTCTCCTGACTCAACGGAGTTAACCAGCGCATTACGACTTATGGTATTCGCTTTAGAGCAAGATCCATGGACTCATGCACAAAAACCCCTGCCACCGCGGCAAGACCACCGCTTTACGGGTATCGAGACACCTTCTGATTATATCCAAATGTTGAATGTAAGTGATCCTACCGTCTACCACTGCAACTTAACTCCATGACTAATATAACTAGACCGATATACACGCCATGGTTCCTTTTTTTGAGATTGCTGGCCATATTATCTTTAGTTTTATAGGAAAAAGCCATCTGTCCCTACTCGAAACGTTGAAGTTGAGTGGTTGCAATCTATGGCAGGGAGACTCGTCGTTCTCAATGGAAAGATGGGAATTTTGGAGAAAGCGCCTGCAATGGGCAAGTGTGCAAGATGATCTTATGGAACGGACACGAGCAGATGCCCAAAAGATTTTACAGCTTATGCAAGAAATTGAAGATTAAAACGCTTCAGACGGTGATCCACAGTCTTCAGCACCGAAGGAATAAGCATAGGCAGGGAAATTCTCGTGCAATGCTTTACTGTGAGCTGAAAAATAATACTTGCCATTGAGGCCTGATTTCCATTTGGGGATCTCGCTGTTTAGGACTATGCTGAACGCCGCAGACTCTCCGTAGTATGGGGTTGCAGCCTAAGAGGGTCTTTCTATGTGGAAATTTGAGCATGGATAAGGGCGGGGTTCATCAAGAGATGCAATTGGACTTGACGCTTTTCAAGCAGGAATTTGCAAGAATAGCTTGAGCTAGTGGCGCAACGCAGGAGCTAGTAGCAAGATAACAGACCTTAGGGTTACTCAGGTAGTGCTCAGGGGGGAGTCCTTAGGGAGTACTCAGGGTTGATCAGCGCATACTCAGGGAGAGCAATACTATCTGTGGTGCAGATAATACTGTAAAGGTAGTATGCATTTTAATTGAACTCGTAGCTAATGTATATGTTGGAGCAAACAAAGGTATTAATGATGTCCGCTCGGAATTGCGGCAAGGTTCGCACTTGCATTACAGATCCGATTCAAGGCTCTGGAACTGTGAACCAAAATTCTTGCGAACCCAGTCCATGTATCCTCTCCACTTCTGTAACTCGTTAGAGGCCTCGGCACCGGGGAACGCCTTGCTCAGTTCCTTGGTGATCTTGAGGATACCCAGCGAAGCCTCCTGGGCCTTCTCAAGCTCTTGTTTGACAGCATTGTCCTTGGGTTTGAACGACAAGATGGTAGTGTAGCGCTCAGCCAGAGCATCCAGACGACGCTCTGTCTCCTTGGGCACAGCGATGATGAGTTTAGAGGTCATCAAGTTGCTGACGGCGCGGATGTCTTGTTCGTCTTCAATTCCGGCAAGGACGCGTTCGAAAAGGTCAGGAAGGTTGAAACGGGCATATGATGTATCCAGGGTGGCATAGAGAGTTTCGTAGGCGCTCTGCATTAAATTGTTAGTTGAAATTATTCAGGAGCAAAAGAATTTATACTAACCTTGCGCAGATCGAGTCCATCGTCCACCTTGTGTTTGAATGGACCCATTTGTACCTCACGGATAAGCTCCGGCTTAATGTGGGCGTCACCGAAAACCACAGGAAGCAATTCACCCAGGTGTGGTAGCAGGAGATTCATTTTATTGTGAATTGCCGAATTCAATGTAGTCAATGCAAGTCGATGATTGCTGAGATCCGCATCTGCCAGCATGCCGGTCAACAGAGGCACGATCAATGGTCGGAGAACAGCGTTAAAGGCATTGCTTGCATCAGCCAAAGTGTAGCGGAAGGCAGAAATCACCACTCCACGTACAATTGGATCCGAGTTATGGAGATGTTCCTGTTGAGTATTTGTCAGTATACAGTTTAAGTATGATATACCAAGGACGTTTGACTTGCCTGGAAGTGAGGAATATAGGCCACGGGATCAATCAAGGCAAGTCGGCCAATGCACTCTGAGCCCACGGCACGATTGTCTTCCTCCTGGGAGACCTGCAGCAATGCCTGCCACAGTTTGAGAGCGGTCGGGGCCAGGTCAGGGCGCACATTGGCGTGCTGCAGCAACTCGCGAACGGAATGAAGAAGCAAATAGCTCTGAGCGTTTGACTTGACTAGACCATTTAAAATGATCGGTAAATAAGCCTTGACACTTCCAGCCGCTGCATTTCCAAGGGCTGTAGCTGCAGCCAAGCGAACGTGGTCGGATGGAGATTTAAAGTGAGGAATGAAGACGTCCGGTGTCAATGAACACCCAGAGCCCATTCGCAGGGCAATTTCTCCTAGAATGGCCAGCGCGAGACATTTCCGGCTATCATCTTTAGCAGTGCTCAGCTCAGTGGAGAAGTCATTCATTGTGACTCCTAGGTTCGATCCGCCATGGACGAGTAAGGTACCGATGGCTCTTCCAACCACAGAGGCGTCGCCATTGATGCCGACGTTTTGGAGTAAACTCTGCATAAGTTGAGCACCAACGCCTTCGTCACCGATGACTTTGACCAAGAGAAGCAAAGCCTTCAGCGCGTTACCCACAAGGGGTTGCTTCACAATAGAGCAGACTGACTGGATGAGAGACTCGTTGACAAGGGCTTGTGAGTTGCCTGGTACTAGCTTGGCAATGATGATCAGGGTAGGGGTGAGAAGATGGAAGTCGGGCGCCGACAAGAGCGGTAGCAAGACAGCCTCAAGGCTAGTCATTGTGTCGGCGTTGATATGGGAACGAGTGTTACTGTTCATAGCAGTGCTGCGGAGAGCTTCAAGGCAAGAGCTGCGCAAGGCGCGATCAGCCTTTCGCAGGTTTGATCCCAACTCAATGGTAATCGTGTTGACCCAGTCACTGCTGACGTCTTCTGTGCGGCTAGCCAATACAACAACATCATCAATGGCACGAACAGCGGCAAGGCGGGTTGTTTCATTTTTCACACGATCGATTAGGATGTCGAGGCCATTTGATCGGCGGTCGGTGGAAAGATAGTCAATTCCGCGTTCACCGGATGTGCGTGCCAGAATAACACCAAATACATGAATTGCTCGCTGACGGACCTCGAGGTCGGCACTAGTGTCGGTGATTCGGGTAAGAACGACATCATAGAGCTTCGCCAGCTGTACAGCGACGTCAGAGCCCTTTGCTGACACGCGAGGTGGGGTCAATGCCTTCACGACTTGTTCCACAGCACCTAGTGCCTCACTGCTGACTTTATAGTTTCGTTCGTTGACAGCCCCCACGACACCTGGCACCAGGGCGACGAGGAACGAGAGGAGGGAATCGGATTGGTGTGTTTCCGCAATGGCAGAGACCAGGCCAAGTGTTTCAATTTGTAGAGTACCAGCGCTGACAGCTGCACCAGAGTGGGCAGCCGAGTTGCCGACAAGGGATGATGTCTTCAAAGCATCCACGATCAGATCTTCAATCTGCTGGAGATGGTCGGCCAGTCCGCCATAGCGAACCAACGAGAGACTTTTCAAGAGAACAATAATAGCCTGTCGCAAGGGTATCGAGGCCTGCTTCCACGACTTCACAAGGCTCTGAACGATCAAAGGAACAGAACGGGCCAAATCCGCCTGGGGTCCAGATTTGGGCGAGGAAGGGGTAAGTGGAGAGTCAATGGCTGAGGACGCTCCCACTCCAGGTTCGAAGTCGACCATGCTTGCATCGCTGTCCTGGCGTCTTCTCTTGCGGGAGTTTTTCGATCCCCCCACAGCTTCCAGATATCCACCGGATGTTAAGATCACTGAGCCCTCACTTGTTTTACGCACCAGAGCAGTCAAGGTAGAGACCACCTCCAGCTTCACGCTCTCCTCACGCTCTTTGCCGATGCGGGAGATCAAAGCCGGCACGACCTTCTGATACAGAGTGGCATCTTCCAAGCCGCTGTTGCGACCATAGGTCGAAATCAGGCTATATAGAAGCTTGGCTGCGCATCGACGAACCTTCCAGCTCATATCATCCACATCACTGTATCCACCTTCATCCTCAAAGTCCCCAAACTCGTCGTCGTCCAAGTCTTGATCTTCGTCGCTGTCGTCGTCTTGTGTACCGCCCATTTCCTCGTCGTCTTCCATCTCAGCGACATTGGGATCGTATTTCAAGAATCGAAGTGCGGCTCGGGTGGTGTTTGTGAGGTAAGGCTGCATTTGTTGGTTGCAGGAGCTAATCAGAGCCTCCAAGGTGACGAGGGCGGTCTCCCGGAGCTCGTCGGCTTGGGGGTCATGATCATCATCGTTGAGAGAGTAGACAGACATGTTGTGGTGTGCCTTCCACAGCAAAGTCAAAGGGTTGAGCAGATGTGTCACCTGTAAACTTGACGACATTGACAATGTTGGAGCTTGTTCCACCCCCGCGCTAGTCCGGAAATAAGTGGGGCCGTTCCGAAGAAGCTCACTTTTCACCAGTTCCTTCAGTGTAAAAAGTCGAATAAATCAAGTGAAGCTTGACTCTTTTGTTTCGCAGCTAGTAGAGCCTGGAGTCCACCTTGCTTGCGAGATTTAGCTCGCTTTTTGCTATTGACGTTTTCGACAGTTTTAGGTGGGTCTGTCGGATTTGATGAAATTGATGGATTTGATGACTCCAAAGCTGAAGTCTCTGCTGGAGTTGATATATGTGGAATTGGGGGTTTAGCAATGATAGGATTCAAGGCACGGGATGATTTAGCAGTAGGTCTAGTAGGAAGTGGCTTTTGACGCGATAGAACTGTTCGTTGCCTACAGCGTAAACACTTGTATACCGTTGCACTTCCCAACGAATTGCCTTTCTTCTTGCCCTTGGACTTCACTTTAGTGATTCGAGTCGTCTTTGGGGATTGTCTTAGACCACCACAGGCACAGTGATGCTTTTTTTGGTGGGTGTTGAGTGGTTTCAAGTCCTCATGAAGAATCCGTGTATGAACCCCTAAGAGGTGCGCCGAGGTGGATGGACTACGAGTGGCCAACCACTCTGCTGCTTGATTGAGAAAGTGTAACTGGGGAACTTCCATAGGAGGCATGGTTACAGAACAATTGACGCAAAAATCCTCAAAATTTCTCGAAATTCAATGTAATTCGACGTAGTGGAATTCACTTTTGAGGGGGGTGGGATCTGTGAAAGAAGACGGAGTGAATAGAGGAAAAAATTCGACGAATGAGAATCATTCTTACCCGATTCAGTAACATCCCATCTCCATTCAATTCTACTGTGAATACTCATTCGGAACTCCCCTCTAATTCCCCCCCAGCGACATTAAAGGAATTAAATCCCACTCTTCCCTCTTTTCCCTTCTCCATCTTCCTAACCTCTTTACATCCTCTCTTCGCAGCATGAACACTGGCGTAATTTAACGTTTACCCTCGACATTTCGCTCCTGTCTCTGCTGCTGAGACACATTGTACTATCAAGTACTTCAAGTTTCTTACATTTCCGTTTGCCCTTTTCATCTCATACATCTTTAATCTTCTCATTCCTCCGACATCTGATCTCTGATCTCTGATAATGTCGTCTCCCCTCCGCATCGCGTCAGTTGGCTGCGTAAGTTTCCTCCACTCCCCGCCCACTCCATCTCCATATGGACTGGCAGTCATCATCCTTCGAGACTGACTCATGTATACAGGGCCACGGCGCGCTGAATGAAATTTACGAAAATCTCTCGGTCGAAATGGCCAAGCGTTCCTGGGATACAGTGGACTGCGTTATTATTGGCGGTGATTTCCAGGTAATATCACATCGCTCTTTATTTGATTTTCCCTTTTTTTCCCCCACGAAGCCATGTACTAATATGAATGCAGACACTGCGCAACTCTAATGATGCTACTTGCATCTCAATGCCTGACAAGTACAAGACCGTAGGAGACTTTCATGAATACTACTCAGGAGAGCGTGTTGCCCCTGTTTTGACCATCTTTTGTGGCGGTAACCACGAAGCTGGTAACTACTTGTTCGAGCTTTACTACGGCGGCTGGGTCGCGCCTAATATCTACTATCTTGGTGCTTCGAATGTCCTGCGCCTTGGTCCTCTCCGCATCTCTGGCATGTCCGGAATTTGGAAGAACTATGATTTCCGCAAGCAACACCATGAGCGTCTGCCTTACAACAGCGAAGATATCATGAGTACCTACCACATCCGCGAAATTGATGTTCGCAAACTGCTTCAAGTTCGCACCCAGGTAGACATTGGTCTATCTCATGACTGGCCGCGTGCCATTGAAAAGTCGGGAGACTGTGGTACCCTCTTCCGTAAAAAGAAACACCTGCGGGATGACTCCATGCATGGCCGCCTGGGCAGTCCGGCCGCCCGCGAAGTTCTAGATCGACTACGCCCGGCCTACTGGTTCTCAGCCCATCTTCATACCCGATTCGCTCTTACCATGGGTCACAATGGTAAGCGGCTTGAGAAGGCCGCCCCTTGTTGTGAAGAGCCCGCCGAATGGTGCTATGTCGCCACAGAGGCTGCTACTCCAGCCGAGCCCACGCCTAACCCTGGCAAAGTGGAGGCCTGGCAGAACTTTGGGGACATCATCAGGGCCAAGGAACGGGCAGAGAACGAGGCGTATCGTGCCGATTTTGAGAATCGCCAGCGCGCCCGTGCCGCCAACACTGCTCCCACTGCTGACCCGGTGAACACTGCCACCTGGAGACAAGTCACAGTCAATGAAGATGGCCAGCGCAGTATTGTTGCTGTTTCGAAGCCGGCGACAGCCCCCAAGGTCCAGAATGAGGACGAGATCTCTCTGGGCAGTGGCTCTTCATCAAACGGCTCGCCTCCCGCAAAGCACAGTACTATCGTTGCTCCGAGGCCAGTGACACCCCCCACGGTCCAGAATGAAGATGAGATCTCTCTGGGCAGTGGCTCTTCATCAAACGGCTCGCCTCCCGCAAAGCACAGTACTGTCGTTGCTCCAAAGCCAGTGACACCCCCCAAGGTCTCCAAGGTCCAGAATGAAGACGAGATTTCTCTGGGCAGTGGCTGTTCATCGACCGGCTCGCCTCCTGCCAAGCGCAGCGCGCATATGACAATGGATGGTGCCTGTGATACCGAGACAGTCTTGGATGACGTGATCCCAGAGGCCCTCCGCAACAGGCTGCCTGCCAGCCTCGGTAAACCAGCTCGAGAGATGGAGTCTCCTGCCAAAATGAGCCAACCGGAGGCTATCAAGAACCAGACCACCAAATTCCTGGCTCTTGACAAGCCTGGTGGCCGTGACTCCTATCTTGAGTTGGTCGAGGTCATGCCAATCTCTGACCAAACGAACACCGATTCCACGCGCCCGCTCCGCCTCCAGTATGAAAAAGAATGGCTGGCCATTACCCGTGTCTTTGCCCAGGATCTCAAGCTCGGTGATCCTACTGCCAAGGTTCCCGCCAACGTGGGCGAGGCAGGGTATCTGAAGGCCATCCTGGAGGCCGAGGCCTGGGTTGAGGAAAATGTCGTGCAGCCTGGGAAGTTGAATGTCCCTTTCAACTTTGCCCGCGTCGCCCCGGTGTTCGACCCGTCCGTTCCGGTCACCACTACCGATGCCCCGCGTGAGTTCCCCAATCCGCAGACTGCCCAGTTCTGCGAGCTCGTGGGTATCGAGAACAAGTTCGCCCTGTCAGACGAGGAGTGTGAGGCGCGGGTGGCTCGTGGCCCCCGACCTTCCTCCCGTCCCAACTTCGACCCGAACCACCGTCGGGGTTCTCGGGGTCGTCATGGGCGTGGTGGACGTGGTGGCCAGAGGGGTCGGGGTCAGAGGTTTGGCTGAAGGAGAGCTGCCGGTCAGTGAAGCGGGACTGTGATAAGTCCATAAAAAGCAAGAAAAGAGACAAAAAAAGGGTGGGGAAAAAAGGGTGGGAATAAAAAAGAAAGGGAAAAAAAAAGGAAAAACAAAAATACAGAAAAAAGTGTTCGCTTCTGTGTGGTGTTGTCGTGCTGTCATAAGGGCAGCCGGTGGCGCCCGGGCTGCACGATGATATACCATATGTATCTATTCACATCTAGGAGGTTGAAGATGTCAAAGACTTTCAAGCAAAGAAAGAATCTCAAATTCATAATCTCTTCACATTTTTCTTAGTTTCATCATTAACTATACAATCCTCCTTTCAATCCTTCTTGTAATCATATCAACTTGAGATTTCATCGCAAATGTGAACATAAAGTGGTTCAATTACGTATCGATTCATTCCTCTGATATGAGTACCACGACTCCACGAGATCTACTCAATCTCCTCAATTCTAGGCCTCGAAGACCCACCCCTTCCAGCTAAAGGATCAACATCCAGTCCAGCAATATGATCATCCAACTCCATCTTGATATCCGATACACCCCCAGAACCAATTCCCCACATCAAAGACTTCTCCAACCACGCCTCCAAGCTCTCAATAAGCACCCGCAAATGCCCCCGCACAATAACATCCTCTTCTCGACTCTCGCTGAATCCAAGCGTCCGCAACATAGACGGGATATTCCCAATAGTAGCCGGGCCCCGACTCTGCGCCGCAGCATGAGAATACCCATCATCCATAATCGAAAAGCCAAAGCCAACGTCCCTCCCCTTTCGTTCTTCACGTGCGGTATCAAGTGCTTTCACAATATCAAGAATCAAGACTACGCTTGCACGCCGCAGAATCGCACTTTCGGGTGCCGGCTCCAACGTCAGTGTGGCCAGCGCGAGGTCCACGGCCGATGCAACGATAGTGGATCCCAGCCCAATGATATTAGTTTGAATGGCTGAGGCAAGGATTGAAACGGCCGATGCGCGGATACGCAGATCCTCTGGCTCAGAGTCGCTTGGCGCACCGGCGGCCCATGCAGCAACGATATTGGCGGCGTGGGCTGATTGTTCTGGGGATTCGTCGTCGTCGGAGTCTGGATCCAGTTCTTTGAGGCTGGAAGGCCCGACTGAACTCTTCCATCCTTCGGGCATGGCAAGGTCTTTTTGTTTCCTTTCTTCGCGTTCTTTGGCTCGGCGCTCCTTCTCTTCCTGTCTCTTGCGGGATTTTTGGGCCTGTGGCTTGCTTCCCCGGCGGCCTGCGACGCTCACCATGGTTTCACCGAGGGTTTTGGCTGTTTCACCTGTCAATGCGGTTCCCAGGTCTTGGACTGTTCGGAGAAGTGATTCGCCGAGTTTTAGGCGCTGGTCTAGTGTGCGTTGTTCGTTTTTGTCCGCGTAGCTGTCGACCAGCGTTTTTACTACGGTGTGGGGGTGACGGGATGCCAATGTGCCGATGAGTTTGATGGCGTTGAGGTAGATAAAGTCTTCATTGGCGGTTGATTCAGAGACGTCGGTTATGATTGATAGGAGGAGTGTTAGGGTTGACGGGATGTCGAGAACGGGGGAAGATTTGAGGATTAGTTTTGAGAGTAGGGAGAATCCTTCTCCTTGGACAGGCGGGAGGTCCGAGTTGAGGTTTGCGAGGGCTTGACGATGTGTTTCGAGATCGGCGATATGTGGTAGCGGTGCTTTGGTAGCGCTGTATTCTGGGGAGGTGAGTGTGATCTCCAGCAGCATTGATGAGGTCGTTGCCGGCTTGGAGAGACTGTTAGGAAGAAAAGGAATAAGTTCGTCCAAGGAGGCCTTAATGGATCCCAGGAGAGACTTAATGTCCTCAGACATCGAAAACTCTGCTGAAGCCAGGACAGTAGACAGTAAGCTGAAGGCAGTGGACAATGACTCAGATGCGTCATTGTTGAGTTCTTCGTCATTTGTGCTTTCCGGGGACACAATGTTGGCGAGTGTCGATAATGAGGGTGTCCCAGACTTCTGCCCTCCTTGGCTGGTCGTATTGGAGCCAGATGTGTGTAGTTCTCCATCAATGACTTGCTTGATAAGTTCTAGCACCCGAAGTGGACGGCGAGACAATGTGTCTTTGAAGGTATCCAGTAGTTTCTCCGCAACCTTTGCGCTGATAAGCTTCTTGAACATATTTTCCGAGTCTCCAATTGTTTGCGGTCCCTGTGTTTTCGAGCTTACAAGCCATGTCTGGCTTGCATAAAGGAATATGTCACCAGTCAAGTCTTCACTTCTCGGATCTGAACCCAGCAGACCAGCGAATAGTTCTGTCCGATTTTGAAGGGAATCAATCAATTTGATCAAATTTGACTGATCATTGTCCCGATCATTCCGCTTAACCAGATCGACTCCCCCTTGAACACTGGAGTTGTAAGTCCAAGTCGATCCACCATCCCATAGTAGGTTATCAACAAGTTTCTTGAGCGGCAACAGGCCCACTGATATGCTGAAGTATGTTTGAAGTATTGCCATGATCCTAGCATGAATTGCTTCCAGTTCGTGCTCTTTGGAATAACATAGCAAGCCCCACAGTGGTAGAAGAATTGGGGAGACAATCCTCTTCACCAGCCCTGGATTCGGGTGCTGCAGTGCAATCTTCTGTAATCTGTCGAGTGCCCGGTCTACCAATGTGTCATCCACGATGATATTTGAAAGTATGCTGCGTTTGGACTCCAGTGGCTCTGATTGCAACATCCACCGTCTTGTTGAATCGTTTAGTTCGGCAGTGAGGGTGTTGAAAAGGGGCTCCACGAAAATGGCATGTCCGATTGTGCCCGGGGCCCCGGAGCTTCTCTTTCCAAGAATGCCGCTTCCAATTGTGTATGACACGGTCTTCACAAGGTCTGGATCTTCGCCGTCAAGAATTGTCAAAAGTTGAGGTGCAATGATTTTAAAGTACGAAACAGGGTCTGCTCCTTGTGGAACGGAGGAGAGAAGCTTCGATATATGCATTATAGCTGGGAGAGTTAAGTGCGGACCGTTCGATGGCTCGCTGTGAGCCTCCTGTCCAAGGGAGGGGGCGCATTGTGAGGCGATGAACATGATTGTCTGTAGGACGCCTCCAGAGCGGAGAGGTATTTGAGATATTTGACTTGACACTATTGATTTGAACCAGGCGGTAGGATCCGTTTGAAGAAATGCAGACAGCGTAGGCAACAGGACTACACTGGGTGTTCTGTCCGAATATTAGTTAGTCATTGCCTTCAAACCAGTTAGGGAAACGACATAGCATACTCGTCTAATATCCTGGTAAACTGTGTTTGAAAATAATTTCTTTCCTCAGAGTCACTGCAGTTCGGGTTGAAGGCAAGATCAGCCGTGCCGCTGATGAGGTCGCTTAGAATACGGCCTCGAATGATAGGCTGCATGCTTGATCTCGTGTCCATGATGATGGTAAGAAGAGTCTCCATAACTTTGCGGAGAAGAGAAACATTGCGAGGTGAGCTACTTGTGGGAATCGGTGCTTGTGTTGCGATGACACCAGCAGGCAGCACAGAAATCACTCGCTGCTGGAGAGGAATTCCAACACCAGATGAGAGTGACGGGTAGATTCCTTCGAGGGAGATCAGATCCAAGAGTGCATGAAGCATTCGGCGACGCTTTGCATCTTCGAGAGCTCCATCTTCACCTTCCGTGGCTAGAAACTGAGACTGCTCTAAGTCTGGGGTGACAAATGCATTGTGTATGCGGCTCAGTATTTGCAACGCCTTGGTGATGACGGAAGTCCTTGTACGTTCACCGCCACCGGGTGCGAGATCTTCAGTCTGGTTTAGTGTCTCCAATAGAGACTTGCCTTCAGAATTCTCGATCTCAACTTTGGCACTGTTAGCTGGATATCCAATGATCAGGTAGATGGAATTTACATGCCTCGATTGAGCACTGGACTCAAAAAGTCATTGGCTTCCTTGAACGCGGCCCGGACTTCCATGGGCTCTCCCATTTTGAAGCAATGCGGACTTTATATTAGCATCTATTTAATCATTCGTCTTGATAGTCGATATCAGAATGGGCACTCGTGTGCTATGGACGAGACCTGAAGCTCCGGTCTTGGCGTTGATGAGGATGAGTCAGCACCTGATTATGTGATCATGTAAGTCAATTGCATGACTTTTCGCGTAGCGAAGCAAATTACTAGTACCTTCTAGCTGATTCATGTTATAAGTAGTCGATTTTTCAAAAAAGAGCCCCTGGGCAGTATTATTTGTACATGGTCAATTTGAGCATGGTCGTTAGTGAAGATTTTGCTCTTTTTCACTACAAGCTTTGTGCCCTTTAGGTCTGTTTTGAGCACCTTCACTCACTATTGTCTCAATTATTGAGAACTTCGGGTAAATGATGGATCGTATTAGAATTAAACCAATATACCTACTAGTAGTGTATAGGCGTTGTCGACCAAAACTTATCGCTGCATAGATCGATGGGATAACTGTATAGTATTAGTCAGCTGCATGTTTTGCCCCTCGCTGCATAACTAATCAGTGCCCCGCCATGGCAGAACGTTAAGGAAGGTTCCGAGGCGGGATGGGCAGCGGAGGAATTTTTTTTTTTTGGTATTGCCGCATAATTGCGATCAGATACTTCGTTTCCTCCACACGTCCTGCATATTATCTGTAAACTCCCTTTCTTTGAGTTTACGACCTTTCATTCAAAATGTTGAACGACGATACCCCCGCGCCCGTGTCGCAATTTCAGGATCTCAGTCAGGTCGTTGACGGCAATGACGACAATGGCCCTATGCAGCTGGACAGTCTGTGTATGAACTGCCACGAACAGGTATGTCGCGCTGTTGAGACCGAAAGACCGGAAGAGACTGGGACGCTTGACCCGGTTTCTCAAGTATTTGCCCTAGACTAATGTCTTTAACTTCTTTTAGGGTGTGACCAAACTTTTGCTGTTGCGCGTTCCCTACTTCCGAGATATCATCCTTGAGTCATTTGCGTGCGATCACTGTCATTTCAAAGATAACTCTGTCAAGTCGTATGTTAAGATTCAACCGAATCCCGTGGAAGTATATTCGATACTGACTTCATATGTCTCAAAGTGCTGGTCAGATCCAGGAACAGGGTTGCAAATACACCCTCAACGTCGAGAACGAAGATGACCTCCAACGCCAGGTCATCCGCAGTGATCTCTCCATCTTCAAGGTCGAATCGCTCGGTATCGAGATGCCCAAGGGTGAAAGTCAATTGACCAACGTCGAGGGAGTCATTCAGCGCATTCACGAATCGCTGAGTGGTGAGCAGGATCTGCGCAAAGACCAGGCCCCCGAGCTCTACGCCGCCCTTGAGCCTATCATTGCGAAGCTGAAGGACATTATGGACCGCAATGGTTTCCCATTCACCATTTCTCTGGATGACTTGACTGGTAACTCTTGGATTGCGCCTAACACTACCGATCGTGGTAACAAGTACATTCGCCATGAATACCCCCGTACCCACGAGCAGAACGAGGATCTCGGAATCTCCCACGATGCCAACGCCAATGCCGCGGAGGCTGAGGTTAAGGGTCCCAACGACATGGGTAACCCTGAAGACCTGGACATTGTTGATGGCGAAGTCTACGACCTCCCCACCGAATGCCCTGGATGCAACTGCCAAGGTGCTTCCACCCGCATTAAGCGCGTTAACATCCCTCACTTCAAGGAGGTCTACATCTTCGGAACCAGCTGCCCAGAGTGTGGCTACAAGAGTTCTGATGTTCGTACCGGTGGTGAAGTCCCCGCTAAGGGCAAGCGCATTACTTTGAAGGTCGAGAACATGGTCGACCTTTCCCGTGATATTCTCAAGTCCAACACCTGTGCCTTGTCTAGCGAAGATCTTGAAATCGAGGTCCAGCCCGGCACCCTTGGTGGACGATTCACCAGTGTTGAGGGTCTGTTGACTGAAATTAAGGAGCAGCTTTACGGCCATATCTTCGATGCCGAGGGCGCTTCCGGTGGTGACAGCATGCAGACCTCAGAGAAGAGCAAGTGGGAAAGATTCTTCGACAACCTGGACGCAGCTATTGCCGGAGATAAGAAGTTCAGCATCACTCTCGAGGACCCTATGGCCAACAGTTACGTCCAGGATCTTTGTTCCCCTGCTGTGGACCCGCAAATTACCATTGAGGAGTATGAGCGGAGTGCCGAAGAAGAGGACGATCTTGGTCTCACCGACATGAAGACCGAGGGCTACGAGAAAGATAACAAGGATGAGGATGAGGATAAGCCCGAAGACAAGGAGAAGGCCACCTCTGCCATGGATAACCTGCTTGAGGCTTCCATGGCCAAATGAGTATTAAATTAGATGTTGATCTATGATTTGTTATGTCCATTTTCATGATATGAGACGCTTTGTCTATGCTTTTGGTTTATATTATGGCGTCTGCGATATGTACATTTGTTTTCACTCTTAGATATCCGGTGGTGATGGGGTCGTTGAGAACAAAAAAGTTATTGTGCCTATTCCATTTATCAGCTTTTCTTCCACTTTCCAGGGCTACATACTGCCCAGGTGCCCAGGTGTCCATTGGCTTCCTTCAGTTACCTATCCTTCTCAACATTTGAAATGCACATATGCTCTGGAATGATATATTTACCAGGGCAAATTTTTACAGCTTTGGAGTATTGGCTGCGTTTTTTGGCCCTGCATGGGCTTTTATGTATGGGACTGATAATTGATTTGGGGTTTAGCTCTTGATGCTTGGTGCATCTGGAATTTCAAGCCATGTTCTTTCAATGTTCTATGTACATGCTAGATTCTTGCCTAGGCAATCAAGTCGAGTTGATCAAGGTTCTTTCTTTAAACTTTGCAATGTAGTGAGAAGATCCCACTGGCAGGATAGAATTGGACTGGTCTCCATGATGAACGCTTGAATGGAACCAACTGACACGCCCAGGGGTTTGCCTTTAGCCACTGGCTTCAAGATTGGATCAGACATACTTCGATGCAGTGCCATATATGCTGCAGGCAGGGCAGGTAATTTGGGAATAAAGGGCTTGGGAATCCCGGCAGACTGGTTCATCTTCTTGAAAGCTCAATAGGTAGCACCTTGCGGACTGCGGCCGCGCTGATCGATGCCATTGGTGCCAAAGCAGGCAATCTCGTCAAACTTATTTCAACTATGCGTGTGTGGAAGCATTCACTTCGCAAAAGGGTTCGCATGAATAGTGACGCGCTGAATCCGAAGCGCCTCAAAGTCGTCACCTTCCTTCGGCTGAGAAACCTTGCCCTTCTTATCAACCTTCGCATTGGCCTTCTCCAGCTTTGAAAGGACATCACCACCCTCATCCTGGGGAGTCAGGTTCAACACTTTTCCAAAGACCGTACTGGCTCCATCGAGATGCGGCGCAGGTGCAAAAATGATAAAGAATTGGCTTCCGTTTATAGTCGCGCCAGTCGCATTCTGTGAGCCGGGAGCAGTTCTGTCCTTGACGGGGCGGGACGCCATGGAGAGGACACCGCGGGCATTGTGTCGAATTGACGGAAGGTGGATTTCTTGGTTCATAGCAGCGGGGTGGTAGATAGATGTACCGCCTTTCGGGATCTCAAACGGCAGCGGTGGCTTTGTGGAGGTTGACGGCCGAGCGACTGGCCCAAGGGAGATGTCGCCGCCTTGGATCATGAATCCTGGAATAAGACGGTGGAATGGAGTGTCATTGTAGGCGCCAGATGCGCAAAGGGCGAGGAAGTTCTCTGAGGTTTCGGGGACTGCTTCACAGAATAGCTCAACCTTGAGGTCGCCTTGGGTGGTATGCAGCTGGATAAACAAGTTGTTAACGCTGTGTCTTTGTATCAAGCAATACGAGAGGAAGTGGGCTGTTTAGTACTTACTGTGACAGACATCTTTAGTGGAATAACCGTTTTATCGTGTATGCGCAGTAATCACAAGAAAGTCAGGTTGAGCTGGTGCGGATGATGAGCCCAGCCTCAATATAGTGCTTAGTCATGCAGATGGGAATGCGGCCGGGGTTCGTCGACACCTCCGATGATAAATGTTTACAACTCTAGCTTTCTCAATTCCTAGATAAAATTGCATTTTCGCCATTCTTCTACGACATCATATACTAAGCCGATAAACCTCGCATACCATATACCGCCTGACTGTTACCATCAAACATCGCTGCCGCTTCACTGAGCTCGGCTGCCCTGGTCTGAAGCACATCACCAACCATGAACAACCGCCAGATAGAGCAAGCTCTGGGGAATTTGGTCCCGACCCATGCCAGTGATCTACCGCAAGAGCTCTTGAGCCTGGCTTTCAGTCTCGTTGCTCAATCCCGAAGCTTTTCCGCCAGCCTGAAGCCCGAGGAAGAAATCGCCCGGCCTTATGCCTGCGCAGAGATCGCCTGCAAGAGGTATGTTTTGATATGATTTTGTTGCTCTGAGAGCTGCTCAGTTAGTCTCAACCAACTAACATCTTCCGATTGGCAGGCTCACTCGAGCATTAAATCTTCCTCCTTTGCTCGGTCATCCCCCATGCCCTCCGCGCGCCTACAAGAAGCTCTATTCATACCTAGACAAGTCCCTCTCAGCAAGCTCTGCCGGCATCAAACGATCAGCGAGTGGGTCTGTCGCTGGTACCCCATCGCGAACCAACTCTACCCAGACAGCGCCTACCAAAGCCACAGTCGGTGGGCGAACCCCTTCAAAGGCCGCTCCCGCGCCCCGAGGCCTACAAAACACACCATCTAGATCAACGCCCTTGAAGAGAAGCGTCAGTGTCGCCAAGCTTGGCACACCATCCAAGTCCGCACGCAAGCCCGCACCCCGCCCTAATGGCATTTCTGCCTCGACTGTTATCCCAGATGCCCCAGCATGGGCAATGACAGCGATCCGGACAGTATGCAAGACACTCTCGACTCCAGCACCACGGACGACCACATGGTCCCGGCCTCCAATCTCAAGAACCCTTCCTCCTCACATTTTCGCCGGTGTCTCGTCTATCCTTTACTTGACGTCCAGTATGTCCAGTAACGAAGAAGGAATGGATGAAGAGACCCTAGATTTCCTGGAGCCCATTGTGTCGATTACGAATGCGAACAACGATGACGATTTCAAGGAGCTTGTGTACGCCATGGTCGTGTCTGTTTATTTCCTTGTTTTGGCTCGTCGGCGAAACCCAGCTGCATCGTCAGATGGTGAAGTAGTGAATGAAGGCCAAAAGATGGATAAGAAAACCTTCACCGAGATGCGCCAGACGGCACTGACTAGTCTTGGTCTCCCGAACGACAGGCGCCACCGTGACGATGTTGATCAATGGATTGGTTTGATCATGGAGCAAGGCTGGGCCAACGATCATGAATGGTTTGAGAATATTCCACTTGCGGGAGAGCTGGACGGCGAGGACGAGGAAGGCAATTCCTTCCGTAATCTTGATGAAGAGGATGCAGCCTTCCGTGGTGTTAGCCTACCTAAGCGCAACGATGCGAGTGGGAGCAGTAAGAAAGGGTCTCAGTCCAATAATGCTACTCACGGTGGTCTCCTTCCGGGCCTGGGAACCATGATGCAGGACCGCCTGGATTGGCTCAGCGACGTCCGCCGCGAAAACTTTATCGACTGGAAAGCGGAAATGCTGGGCCGTATTGAGGGTGGACATAGCACGGTTGAACTTGCACCTGTCTGAGTTCTGTCTATTCGGGGGAAGTCTCGAAGTCAGGATGGAGAGCGAGTGGCGCTAGAGCTGGAGCTGATACCCTTCATGATGAAATGAGTAATAATTACTATGCATTCTATACCTTGGTTCACTAATTAATCAACGGATCATCTACCTATGCCGTATGTGCACCTGATTCACCAAATTTGCCTATAGAACCAACGAATCTATGTGCTATGCTTTTAACCCAAAGAACAGGGCTACCAGAGCCATATCCAATCCCGAGGTCGAATTTTCTGTAGATCGGAATGTCAATCCTAAAATGCTTCGCAAAGACACCACTGACGCCATGAGTAAATATATCCTAGTACCAAATGCTCCGTGTCCGGTGGTGAGGAATGCCCTCGTTGTGCTCCGCCTCCAAATTCTTCATTGTGTCGTAGAGGAAGAAGTCAATGAGGATTGCATTGATCCCGTAAGTTTTGTGCGGCTTCTCATCAATTACAGTTGGCTCTTCAGAGTCCTCGTTGTCAGGTTCACCAGTCTTGTCAGACTTGCCAGCGGTCTTGACTTCCGGGTGGCGCTTCTCAATCTCGCGCTTGATCAGCTCAACACACCAGATACTGGCCCCACGAAGCTCAACTTCCCAGACTGAGCCGGGGGTCATTGGCTTGAGGGCGCGAATGTGGCTCTCCAATGGGGGCGAGTAGCGGAGACACCCAAGCTGGTGCAGCATCTGCGGGATACGGTAGTCTGAACGATGATGATATTAGTGATTGGATGGGATGGTGAGGGATGTGGGAAAGCCTACCTGCAAACATGGTGATCTTGTCGATGTCGTGAAACTCTCCGAAGTCCTCGCCATTGAAGCAGGCCCACAGATCCGCGACCAGGATCTGGGCTCGCTTGTGTAGTCGTACTCGTTTGCCGTGGAAGACTGACTCGTCATTAAAACAGTCGAATGATTCGGTGATCATGTTGACAAGGCCTGCGGCGGAGAAGTTGGCGCTATCGACGCAGTTTGCGAAGCTGCCTCCAAACTCCTAATTGTTCTCTATTAGCATTGTATAAATTGAGATCAGGATCAGGAGTATACTACATACGTCGCACAGCACTTGGCCAGCCTGGCGCAGGCAATTGACTCTTTCTTTGAATAAAGGAATCTCTTCGTCGGTGGCAGAGCGGAAGACATGTTTAAGTACGTCCTCCGTACATTCTGACTCATTCACCCAAAAGTCAGGGGTAGTGATAGGAATACCTGTGAATTGACTGGTCAGCCTGATATTTCGCATTCGATCATGAAAAGGAAGTGCAGATATAATTCTTACCCTCATCGAGGGCTCTCTGAAGAGCAGCCACTAGGCTCCAATAACCAGTCCACTTCTTTCCTCGGTACTCGATCTGGAAGCGCTTCTCGTCATCAAGCTCAGACCAGAAGCTGAAGTTCAGAAGATCCATCGTAAAGATGAAATCCACAGTGCTCTCATCCTTGGCCTTTGGGTGAAGCTCATGCTCTGACCAAGTTTGGGTGGAGTATGCCTTCTTTTGCATCATGCGCCATATTGTCTCGGCTGCATCTTTGGTGTGGGTCAAGCTCAGGGCCACATCAATGGCATTGTCGAATACATACTGAGCATCACGCAGCACTTTTGTCTCTGGCGGAGCAGACTTGTTTGGTTTCCCGCTCAGGCCGTAATGTTGGCGAAGCAGCTCCACCAATTCAGGGTCCGCTTCGTCCTCAGACCCTGAATCGATAAGCTGCTTTCTAGGCTCGATAGGTTCCAGCGAAGGCATGTTTCAACGTGCTTTGTTTTGGGGAATTGATAAGATGTTGGGTATCAATTGATTAATAGGACAGGGGAGTTTTGCAGATGCCCAGGTGTTGTTGGTTTTATCCCCTATATCTCCTGTAGTCAGAATTTCAGATGTTGCGACAGGGTTCAGGGACCAGATACAAAACAAAAAGGGTCAACTGAGGACCAGTCAGCCCACCAACGCAAGGAAACCTGACGTAATGTTGTGTTTTGACAAGATTGAATATACGGAGATATGGAATCTGATCCTCTTGAATATGCAACAATCAGTGATGGGAATGTTCTTTCATTCGCCACGGAGAAAAACCATGGATTTTTGGATAAAAATCGCAATTAGGTAAGCAGACACGGGCCTGGATGTGGAGGCTGAAAGGAAGATGGACTTTCTCTGTTTTATGTTGTTTGATTGTACAGATCTTCTTCGTGTTCCTGGAAAGAGTTGATTGTCTGGGTAGATTCACCATATCTGATTTATAACTAATATTCGATACTACTTCACCTAAATGAGGTTATATGGAGTCACCGATATGTAATCGGGAATCGGGAACACATACTAGTTATTAACTTAACTAGTATAGAACCATGGAACAAAACCACGAGAATTTTAAGAGAAAAAGCGCCATGTTTGATATGGTTTGATTTGGATTCAAACCGAACAAAGGATCCAAACAAACCAGAAATACATGCCTTCAGTAGATTCAATCAACTGGAGAGATTATCTCCACAGGCAACAAGCGGGGGATGCAAGGTCCTGTACGCAGCCGCCAACTGCTGCATGGAATGCAAAGACAATTGTAACCAAGGCACAAACAATTATAGAGAAAAAAATCCTCATGATTCAAAATAAAAAGAAGATAATCAGCTTAGTAGATTAAAAAATCTAGAGAGAAAAAAAAGCAATGAAAATGAATTCAATGTCCAAGCCGAACAATTCTGAAGTGGCTGCGGAGTTGGCGGGCGAGGCTCTGCCATCATCGAAAGTCAAGACCTCGTCTCGGCCATTGCTTCCGGATCTCACGCGCCCTACCTTCCCTACCTTCCCTCCCTCTCCTCCTTCTTCTCCCACCCCTCTCCGCCGTCTTTTATTTCCACGCGATCGACATGGTCCATTGGATCCGCGATCACCTTTGATCACAAACACAGATAACGCCACCCCCAACCCTCCGCCCATCATGCCGGAAAGCTCCATCAAGCGCTCTCTTGGTGTTTCCCTCACACGCACCATTCAAGAGGTAACAAAGCCTGGAACAGAATTGGAAGCTCTCGGAAGGGTGGAATAATTTGATGCGATTGCATAGTACTAACATGCTTTTCTTTCAACAGTCACGCGTGTTATTGGTCGGCGCTGGCGGCATTGGATGCGAACTGCTGAAAAACCTCGTCTTAACAGGCTTTGGTGAAATTCACATTATCGACCTGGACACAATCGACCTCAGTAACCTTAATCGCCAATTCCTCTTCCGACACGAACACATCAAGAAACCGAAGGCACTGGTGCGTTCGACCCTTTCCCTCCGGCTCCCTTTACACAACTCCCGCTCTCTGCACAACGTGCGCAAAACGACTATGCGCATTTATATATATATACAAGAGTCTGACGAAACTGGTTTTCTTATTTAGGTCGCGAAGGAGGTTGCGCACAAATTCCAGCCGAAGGCGAAGCTAGAAGCCTACCATGCCAATGTCATGGACAAGCGCTTCAATGTTGAGTGGTTTCAATCATTCAACATTGTTTTCAATGCGCTTGACAATCTTGCTGCACGTCGTCATGTCAATCATATGTGCCTTGCTGCATCCGTTCCCTTAATTGAGAGTGGCACCACGGGCTTTAATGGTCAGGTGCAGGTAATCGAAAAGGTGGGTCGCAATGACAGGGAGACAATATGGTTCAAAGAAAGGATAATGGCTGACTCGAGCAGGGAACGACTGAGTGCTACGATTGCAATCCGAAAGAGACCCCCAAAGCGCATCCTATCTGTACAATCAGAAGCTCCCCCACCCAACCAATCCACTGCATTGTATGGGGGAAAAGCTATCTACTGCCGTAAGACAGCCCGCCAAACATTGGAAGCTCTGCTTTTAACTCATGGAATAGTGAATTATTCGGAGAGAGCGAGGACACAGAGACCCTCGATAATTCCACGACCGCAGACAATGGTTAGTTCACCCAAGCTATGTCACAGATGGTTTTTGTTTATGCTAATTTATGACCAGCCGATGAAATCGCAAAACTGAAGCAACAAGCGCGGCAACTGCAAGAGATTCGGGATTCTATGGGGTCGGAAGAGTTCCCTCACAAGGTCTTTGACAAGGTATTCCGTTTGGACATTGAAGAACTGGGGGCAATGGAAGGAATGTGGAAGGAGCGTAAAGCCCCGGAAGCACTTGTCTGGGACGACCTGCAGGAGCAGTCGAAGTCCGTCGAACCTACAATCGCCGAAATCGACCAGAGGGAGTGGACGCTACCAGAAGCGTTTTTCGTGTTCAAGGACAGCTTGGTCCGCTTGAGCAAACGCCTCAAAGAGCTCCAGAAAACATCATCGCCCGAGAGCCCTCCCCCGGTCTTGGAGTTTGACAAAGATGATACCGATACCTTGGATTTCGTGACGGCCACGGCAATCCTGCGGGCTGCCATTTTCGGTATCGAAAGTAGATCAAAATTCGATACTAAACGTGAGTTCAAATCAACTGATGTTACAGCTTTACATTTTTAACAAGAATTGCAGAGATGGCTGGCAATATTATTCCTGCTATTGCCACAACAAATGCTATGACCGCTGGACTTTGCGTACTGCAGGCATTCAAAGTCCTCCAAAATGATCTGGCAAATTCGAAGATGGTACGTTCAATTTTCTTCTCGTGAACATTTCCGATTCTCTCCATTGCTGACGCTACAATTCACTCTCCAGGTTTTCCTCGAGAGATCTGGCGCCCGTGCCATCAACTCTGATTCTCTGAACCCTCCAAGACCCGATTGCGGTGTTTGTTCAGCGGTGCACGGTCATGTAATTATTGACCCCGAGCAAGCTACTCTCAATGATGTCGTCGAGGGAGTACTTCAATCAGAGTTAGGCTACAGTGAAGAATTTTCTATCCTAAAAGAATCAGGTGTCATTTACGATCCTGATCTAGAGGATAACCTCCCAAAGAAACTTTCTGAGCTCGGAATAACAAACGGTACTTGGATCACCGTCATGGATGAAGATGATCAAGATAAAGTACCTCGAGTGAACCTGGAGTTGTTCTTCATTGAAAGGTGAGTCATATTTTGTGGGTGACTACCAATAGATTCAGGCTAACTCGGGTTTATAGAACTGAAAAAGCCACTGAGGAGGATAAGCCTGCTCAGCTAAAGCAGCTCGTGGAAATTCCCCGCAGAGCCAAACCCACAACCGAGGCTCTCTCCGAAGATACACTGTTGGAAAATGGTACCACTTCAACAGGCAAACGGAAGCGAGAAGGTGAAGATGATGATCTGACGAATGGACATATCGCCAAAAAGGTCGCAGGTGAGTCATCATCTGATGACAACGAGCCTATCGTGATTGAAGATGAAGGGGCTATAACGATCGACGATTAGAAGATAGTACATGCCTCGGATTTAATGGCTCAACATCTGCTTTTTTGGCAAAAAGAATAGAGGTTCACCGGCGTCCAGGTTTTCATTTTTCAATATTCATTTTTCTTTGTGGCTTTTATTACCCTATTTGTATTATACTACACCAAAGCAATTTACGTTTGATCAAGAAATATTTTTAGCACTTCGCAATCCCTCAATGTTAAATTATGCCGGAAATGAATGGCGGAGCATAGTATGAATATCAAGCTTGAGATGGTGACCAGGATATTGGAAGTACCTACTAGTATGTAATACAACTAGTTGAAACAGGGATGAATGTTTCTTTTATACATGATCGAGGTGACAAATGAAGACCTCGCAGTATGCTATTAGTACATGCTCTGTAACTATCATTTCCCTTGTATTAGGCTCAAATCAATAATACCGGCTAGACCGCGCTTAATCCACCATCGAGGTTAAGCACACAATTATTAGCATATTCATTGTGTGCAAGAAACACGGCCGCGTCAGCCACCTCACTCGGTTGCCCAAATCGATGAAGAGGTATGCTATCATTCAGTCTGCCTACTTCGCCTTCAGTGAACTCTGGAGATAAAGATCAGCAATGCGTAAAACCAATAAGAAATCCACATCTTTTAGCATACCTGCAATCATAGGAGTCTCAATATACCCCGGTAGAATAACGTTAGACCGAATAACGACCCTCTTCAACGATGCCGCCGACTCGACCGCAACCGACCGTGTCAACCCCAAAAGACCAGCTTTCGACGCTGCATAAGGAACGGCACCCGTTCCTGCCTTGAGAGCCAGCAACGAGGAAATATTGATGATACACCTGGAAGGAGGCTTCTTGTCTCCCTCTAAGGCATTCCGGTTCCGTACACGGCTGCGGATTGCGGCGCGCATCAAAGCCCGCGAAGTCAATATGGCGCCTTCAAGATTTGTACGTAGGATTTTAGAGATGTCCTCTACCTCAGACCGAGGAAGAATATTTGTGATTGAGATTCCTGCGGCATTCACAAGGACATCCACGTTTGTCTGCGTCGTTGTTTAGCTCCTGTTTGTAACCGACAGAGAAAATTCACAGCCAGAGACTCACCATTTCTTTTTCGAGTTCACGCATCCATGTGCCAGCTTCTGCTACATCGCCGACAAGCAGCTGTACCTTTGCCGGGGATGGGAGATTCATAGCTGCTGCTTCTAGACGCTCCCGAGACCTGCCAACAAGGATGATTGAAGACGCACCCTCATGCAGGAATCTCTCTGCAATTGCAAACCCAATCCCTGATGTTCCGCCGGTGATCATGCATGTCCGACCAGAGAGCCGGCTCGCAGGCTGGAAGGTAATGGGTGTATCATTACTGGACTGGGCAGAGGAATGAGACCGGAAGCTTCCTTTTACACTAGCTGTGCTGAGAAGCGTAGGTCTTGTCGTATTAATTTGTCGGGTATAGAGTAGCCATTGTGCTGGAGCTCTGAGCCGATTCCAAGATGCGCTGCTATTCATCTTGATCCGTATTCACTCAGCCACTAGTAAGCCCAGTATTAACGGGCTTCGAAAGAAGGACGCGGGCTTTATCGGCTTATCGTTATCGTTATCGTTATCGAAGTGCACGGACCTCGCGAATATCACTCGCCGCGGATCGCGGAATCTCACCTTCCTCACTTTCTTGACTCAAGCTTCAACTCAGGTCTGTCCACCATGGAGATCTCTGAAGCGCCGCGTTTCGAATATGTGACCTTGGTGTCGCTTGATGGTTACGAATTTGTCGTACCCTATGAAGCTGTTTTGTGTTCGGGCACACTCCGCCGCATGCTGGACCCTAAGAGTATGTCATTCCAATCCCGATGCTAATATTTGCCCATGTCTTCAAAACCTCTGCTTATCCTCGATTTTTTAGACAGTTTCCAAGAGGCTATCACCGGTCGCTGTGTGCTTGAAACCATAAGGTTTGTCCCCGATCCCGACCATCGTATCTCGCCACTTGCTTTGCTCCGTAATAATAACCACTCTATCCTCTCGTGTAGCGGCTATGTCCTCGTGGAAGTCTGCTTTTATTTTCTCTACAACTATATTCACAGGAATGATCAAGATGTGAAAGATATGGAAATTCCCACCGAGCTCTGCCTTGAGCTGTTGATGGCTGCCGACTATCTGGACGTTTAAATATCCTCCGAGGGTTCAATGTAAGTGTACGTTGCGTTCGTTGTTTGCTCTGGTCGCAGGAACAAACACTGACGAAGAGATGGTTTGGCAGGTTTGCATTTCCGAGGGTTTTTGTTATGATTCATGGCGCAACGAGAGAACATAAAGATATCACGGGCGATGTGTTTTCGTGGAGTTATGGACTGTTATTACTTACATATGCCTTGCAAGGTCTGTTAAATGGTTTAGTTACAGCACATGTCCTTGATGGGTAATGTTACTTGAATTCAAGCAGCCCATGTGGCTTTTTCACTATGGACCTCAGACTCGAGATATTTGGTTTTGGGAATCTTAGACATTATTGTTTGTTCATACTCAATATGTAGTACATCGCATGGATGTATACAAATGTTAGATGGCAAAGAGACCGGCTATTAACTTTAACGTATGTTTTAAATTCCCAAGTACTTCGTATTGAATGTTTGTATCCATATGGCTCTGGTTGCCTTTAATTCACATTTTTCAATAAAAATCCCAGCTTATTTCCCCCTCGCAGCCAAACTGTAACAAAATTTTGCAAGGAGATGTGAATCTTGATTGCTTATCCATTTGCTGACTCATCCGGAGATGCTGCCCGGATTGAAGGAAGCAGCGCGCAGCCCCTACCCTTTCTTCCCCTCCTTGATCAGTTTGCAATCAGCAGGAGCTACTATGCTCGCTATGGTTTTGAATGTGGCCCTTGATTTCTTCCATAGCTCCGATTGCATCTCACATTCCATCTGTTGATACCAAGCGTCGCGTGGGGGTTTCCCCATAGCGTTCCGACTTCCCCGGATCTTGTTGATAGTGATCACCGATAGGGTCCTCCTTGACAACCGCCCACCATGTCTGGTGTTTTAGGCCCAGCATCGATGCCATCCACCTCCCCTGCATCCGTGGTGCAAGCGATCAACTCAACCATCTCACAGACCTCCGGAAATACACTCCTTCCTTCGCCACGCGAACTACTCTCACTTCCACTCCGCGCCCTACACCATGCGGAAACATTTGCCTTCAACACCGTTCCACAACATATTGCCCGACTGGCTGGGATAGAGAATATCAGTCTGAATCTATGGCCAACTGCTGCGCCAGAGACCGGGCAAAATATCGCACACGAAGCCTTGAATGCCGCCGCAGAGATCGCGGCCGGTGCTCCCGAGGTGGTGGAACAGGTGGAGAACTGGTACCTGGCGGAACTCACGTCAACGATGCGGAAAGTCGGTGGCTTCTTTGGGTATTTGACCAGCATATGGTCTTTTGCATGCTTGGTAGAGGTAAGTACGGCGTCAATATTTTAACGTGACTGAACTAATGAATCGCGACAGGCCTTAATCCTGAACCGAATCACCATCTACGCATCTACGCGCCGACACCTACAACTGGGATGGGAGAGACGCCTTGCTATGCGCATCATTCCTATCGTTCTTTTTCTCTCGCAGATATTGTCCTTGACCCGTGGAATCCGGTGCCAAACCTCCCCTGACTTTTCGGCAATGCGCTATGGGAGACCAGGGAAGCCGTTAGTGTTTGACTACGCAACTGGCGGGGGCTCATTGCACTGGCTCGCATCGAGCCTCTTGCCATGGGAATCCGATGAGCAAGCTTGCAGTGCTGTGAATATGATGCGAACGGAAACTGCTCAGACCATTCCATATGGATCCTTCGCGCTTCTATGGCCGGTTTTCATCATCTTATGCCTCAGCCATTTTGTGGAAACCCTTTCTTGCGCACTACAAGGACGACCTGTTATGACGGAGACAGGAATGTCGATTTTCGAACACTCCCTTGCCTTTGCGGAAGCCGAATCTATGATCAGTAAATCGATTGGACTTGGCATGTTTGGCCTTGCGAAACAAAATCCCCTTACACAGGGTTCAACTGCAGAAAGTTCGGCATCGCCTCTCCAAATGCTAACTAGAGCTCAAGTTTTGGAGCGCATGAACGTCACGCCGGAGCTTTTACTTATTGTGTTGATATCGTGCTGCAACAGTTTGACATCGCACATCCTTGAAGTCTTTGGCAAACAAAGCCGATACCGGCTTGCGAATACTGCTGTCTGGGGGGCTTGCTTCATGGCTGCCATGTGCTGGGGATTGGAGAGGGGCCCACCTATAAGCCTCGACACCGGTGTCCTCAAATTCCCAACTGTTTGCATCGTCGGTTTCATTCCTCATTTACTTGTTCTATTTGGGGTTTTGATATGCGTCACAATCTATGGATTGGCTTTGACTATCACTGCATTCTCTTTGGCACCCGAGGGAAACCGTACCCTCACTCTCCGAGAGAAATTTATGGTGGCCAACGAAAACATGCAGGGGGCCAGCCAGATTCGTAACATCCGTTTCAACCGACATGAGGATTTCTACACCACTTTGCTGCGCGTTGGCTATGTGGCGTTAACGGCTGCGAGTGAAGCTGTCTTCTTGAATGAAGGCAAGACGGTGATCGCAAGGCAAATGACTTGGCTAGAACATGATCGACTGGCCGAAATCGAAGCCTCCCGACAGCGCAACTCGTCACGCGGAAACTGGGTCAGTGAGGGTGAGGGAACAACACCTTTTGACCCGACCAGGTTTGCTAGTTTTGAGTTGCCCGATGACGCTTCAACCTGGGAAAGCGGATACGGACGAGAGAAGAAGATCGAGAAGCCAAAGAATGGCTCACGAGCGACACAGTCCCAAGCTGAACTTGGAGGTGTTGGCGCCGTCCGGTCTTCCGTCCGATTATGGCATGGTTTTTCTTTCTTCCGCGCCATATTCTCGCTCATTGCGCGTTGGGTTGCCTGTGGTTTCAGTAGATTGCTTGACCGTATGGGTATCCACTCTCGGCCACAGTGGTTGAAACGATTGGCAGGGTCGCGTCAAAACCGAAAGGCTGCCAAAATTTCCTCGCCAGAATTTTTAGACTTCTGGATCCTCACCGATGATGGAGTGCTTCAACTTCCAGAGAACCATGATTTCGACGTCGAATTAGAAATGAGGAAGCAAGAGAGCTCCAGCCGACAACGATGGGAACTACCTGATGAGAGCCGACTGGAAGAGAAAATGTACCGGTGGTGGAAGGTTGGTGGGTCCTGGGGTAATCAAGATCATACTCCGGATTACAAACCTCCTCTTTACGAAGACGACTTGACCAGTGTCGTATCATTTTCCACCAACGCCTCCGAGTCCGAATGGGAAGATTACCCATCTGATGGTCGCCGGACCCCCACTCAATCCAATCCCCATGGGTTCTCTCGGGAGAATTCACCCCTTCAAGATTCCCACCTGGATATGGGAACGTTTGCTCGTCTCCTTGACCCTCGTGACCGTGAGAGCAGAGAAGAAGCACGCATCCTTGCTGCCCACCTCACCCCGGGACGCGAGAACCGCATCATGACCCGCAGTCAATATCGAAAGCAGGTAGAACTGGATAGATCCCGTGTCCTGCTTTCCTCCCGTGTTCATCACGCCGGCTCTAGGGCAACTGCCGAAAAGCACAAACCAAACCCCGAAGAAGAAACCGAGTTGCTGGAGCATCTGATCATTTCTCGGCGCTCAGAAACTGCACCTACTGGCGACGTCCACAGCTGGGAAGAGGGTGCCATGGGATTGGGTCCAAATGGACCGCCCTGTGTGGTTTGTCAGACAAGCCCTCGGTCTGTTATTACCTGGCCATGTCGTTGCCTTTGCATTTGTGAAGATTGTCGTGTTAGTCTGGCTATGAATAATTTTGGAAGCTGTGTCACTTGTCGTCAGGATGTGACTGGTTTCATGCGTCTATGGGTTCCTTGAAGAATTTGCATTCAAATGTTTATCTCGCACAAATGTGCATGCATTATATTTTGTTTCTGTTTTTATGAGCATAGTTTGATTTCAGTGCCCCTAGCTCAACTGCTTATGTAGAATATTCATGACCTCAAGAAACTGGTCCCAACGGATTAAACATTCGATATTATATCAATCAAATTGTTTTGTTACAAGGAATGTAGTAAATACAGGTGTTGTACGAGGGCAATATTCTCGTGAACAATGTCTGCACATCAATTATTACTACTAGATAGTACACATGAATCAAAAACACATTCCATAGTGGTGTCAGAAAAGGTGGTCTATAGTTCTATAAGAGAGAGTGGAGATTAAAAAAAGGTTATGGGGATAAGACAAAAGAAAAGATGAAGATATCAAGAATAAATCAGGAAGGCAAGAGCCAAGTCAAGATAAATAAGAGGCATCAATAGATCCGAGTAGCCTGTATGATGAATCACTAGGGAAGAGACAAGGCAGGAAGATAGTCAAAGTAGCTAAGGGCTCCCTTATATTTAATAATTTGAGGATAAATTCCATCCTGGCACCCACGTAGTCCAACTGGTTCCACCCTTCGGGACCTCAGCCAGCTCTGGATTTGCGGCCCCCACTTCAGGTACACTGGGCCCATCCACGATGGGGATGCTGAGTAGTACGGCGAGCCTAAGAGTCGAAGCCTAAGTTGAGTGACAGCGAGAAAGTGCGCCGCGGACCTACTACAAAGTATCTGCCCTCTTTTTTTTTCTTTTTTTAAATTAAGAAAGTATTTTATTTTTATCTTTTTTATTTGATTTGATTTTGGTTTTTGAAGTTCGGAGGGGAGTTCTTAGTATGAAGCCGTGATGCATCGATGGCGGGAGCAAGTGACTTGTTTCTTGGGAAATATTTGCGTGTTTGTGCTTTTTACCTCTCTGGAAGTCCCTGGTTCGATTCCTAGGTTGATCTTTCTTTCTTTTCTTTTTTTATTATCAGGCTGGTAGTATTAGAGAGGATTTTGAGTGTCTCTTTTGTCTACCTGTAGCTTTGTCTACTCTTATTAGGTTCTGATTAAGGATATCTCGAGAAATACTAGTACTAAAGAGAGAAGTTATAAGAGGCTTAGGGATATACTTGGGCTTTTAGGTATAATGGTATTCCTTTATGCCTCTATTTAAAGTAAATGAGTAAAGAGCAAGAGGCTTGAACAGGGAGGAGGGGGAGGTGAAAGAGCAGGGGCAAAGGGACAGGGACGAGGACGGGACGGGGACAGGGACCAGGACGAAGACGGGGAAGGAGAAGGAGAAGGAGAAGGGGAAGGAGGGGAGAAGCCCGGAGACAATTGCAAGATCAGATCAGTTGTGGAGTGTCGTCGTTTCTTACACTCGCAAGCTCGAAAGCCTGGAGACTTGTAAGATCGGAACACATATGTGATATCATCATGTCTTGCGCTCGCGAGCGTGAAAAGAGAGGAGCGGACGGGCTATCTAAGACTATGGAAGTCTACGAAGCTGGAATGATTAGTGAAGCTGCGAGGTTAGTGCGGTCTACGAAGCTGGAAGGTTAGTGGGGTTGTCGACTGAAGAGGCGCGACGGCCTTGAGAGAAGAGAAGAGAAGAGAGAAAGAAAGAAAAAGAAAAAGAGGGAGGAAAAAATGGTTTTATAGTCAGAGGAGGTGAGAGTTGGAGGAGAACCAAGCCTAATTGGGATTTACCTATCAATTGATCATTCGTTGACTTGGATGATTATAAACAAGGAAAGACATTGACATTTAAGAGATATTGATCTGCTGGAGCTGTAGCATTTACAGCCTCTGTAACAATATGTACTTAACAACCCATAGAAAAACAAGACAAATCCAACACGAGAGACGTAGTACACATAAATAAGCAGACCACGCTTCACGCTTCCGGCTTCACCAAAGACTGGTACGCAGCCTCCCACATCTGTGCCCGAATCCATTCCCTAAGATCATCATCCTCAGAAGGAATTCCTTCTTCCTGCGCCAAGCCCTCTCTAACCGAGCACTTGATCACAGCAGCAGCAATATCAACGCTGATCTCCCGCACATCCTCCACATCAGGCAAGAGAGGTTTATTCGGATCATCCAAAGCAGGCGAACGAGCCTTGAGTGCCTCCACCGCCGCAACAAGCATCTTCTTCGAAACAAGCCGCGTACGGGAAAGAACCGCGCCGAGTCCGATTCCCGGGAAACAAGTCGAATTGTTACATTCGGCAATCTCGTACTTCACGCCGTCGTATTCCACAGGCGGGAAGGGGCTGCCTGTTGCAACGAGTGCGCGGCCATCTGTCCACTTATAGAGATCCTTTGGTTCGGCTTCGTGGAGGCGAGTGGGATTGCTCAATGGGAAGATGATGGGTCGGTCCACGTGTTTGGCCATTTCGCGGATAATTTCTTCCGTGAATGCCTTTGGTTTTGTGGATGTGCCGATCAAGACGTGGGGTTTGACATGTTGAATTACGGATAGGAGGTCGTTTTGCTTCTCGGATGGCCACTCTGTATCTTCTCTTGCGAATGGTGTCTGGGCTGGAGTCAATTTCTCTGCCATGGACTTGAAGAGGAGACCGGGTTTATCGATGCACCTTTTGCATCACGTTAGTTTCTTTTTGGGGAAGGGGACTTTTGGTTTTGCGGCGCTGTACTTACCAGATCTGCTTTGAAGCCTCGCTCTTGGGCCTGTGAGTCTCTGTTGCAATCGTATCCGCGATCTGGTCCGCTATTCCCGTCCCAGCTGTACCCGAGCCGAAGATGACCACGCGAACATCCTTCATCTGGACCTGACTCAGGTGCAGAGCCGCCATCATGCCTGCTAGCGTCACACAGCCAGTGCCTTGGATATCATCGTTGAAACAGGGAATCTGTGATTGGTATCTGTCTAGGATTCTTTTCGCGTTGTCGAGTCCGAAGTCCTCACTTTTCGGGATTAGCACCAATGCAAATTATATATTCGAATTTTCTCACTCACAAGTGGATATAGGCATTCGGGAAGCGTTTGCGAGCTGCGCGAACAAAGTTATCCACGAATTCATCGTACTCCTTGCCTCGGGCTCGGCGTTGACGGAGTCCCAGATACAACTCATCCTTCAGCAACTCTTCGTTCTAGGTAATGAATTAGCTTCCAGTTGCTGTTTATATAGCTTTCCCGTGCCACTTACGTTTGTTCCACAGTCGAGGACCACAGGAAGTTGTCTTGCCGGATGAATACCAGCACAGAGAGTGGTGATCACAAGTTTGGCGACGGAGATAAGAATTCCACCAACGCCTTGATCCCCAATTCCTAAGATCTGCAATGGTCTTTAGAGACGGGTACTTTTGGAGTGGGTTCAAATGTTTCCATATGTATAGACTTACCTCCTCTCCATCACTGACGACGATATAATCGATATCCGCCTCGTTTCCGAAATGCGTCAGAATATTGTCAATGGAGCCTTGGTCTCGAATGTTCAAGAAACATCCTTCGGGCTTCCTGAACAGTCGCGAGTAGTTTTCGATGGCGTCACCCTCGGTAGGAGTGTAGATGATACTGAACATCTCCTTCAGATGGGTTTGCAGCAGCTGATTTGAAAAGTTGATTCAGCACATCAAAACACAATAGTGTGCGAAAATGCCAAGCCCATTTATACCGTGTGTAGCATACCTTGTAGTATAGCACCTCGTTTTGCGCCTTCATACTAGCCATGAACGTATTCTTGGCCAGATCGTCACTCCGGCTGCTGTATTGCTGGTAAGCGCGCTCCACCTGTTCATCCAGTGTCTGGATATTAGGCGGCAGTAGCCCGTGTAGATCGAAAGTTTGTCGTTCCTCATCTGGAAAAGCGGTTCCTTTGTTGAGACGCGAAGTCTGGAGTAATGTGGTGCCCTGAAAGAGCCCATCAGCATCGTATTGAGGCGTCTCACAACACGAGGATACTCACCTCGTAGGGACATTGCAATGGTCGCGTAATCGAGCGAGGTAGCTCATTATATTTGTTGACAGCCGACATATTGCGATCGGAGTATGCGGGTTTGGGATTATTGCGTGGTGAGCAGGTGCGGGGCAGGGGGGTAAATCTCACGCGGCCTGTGTGTACTAAAGTTGATGACAATCTCCAAACAGAGACCCCCTGCTAATTTATCCCCCGTAGAACAACTTGGTGACACAGTGGGGTATAGGATGTGGTCTAGTCTAAATATTCAGTTGTGATGTCATTCGGCTCGGGACCGGTTTCCAGTTCGATCTGATTATTTTCTTCAAATCTAATCTACTTGTTTCCATCATAAACATAGCTTTCATACAGATGATAAAGTGATATGGACATACACAAGTCAATAATCAAGTAAGCCTTGACTCAGCTTTCTTCAGCTAAAACTCTTTTTGCGCTTTCGAGCTCCGAAAGGAAAATGTGCTAAACCGCCTAGGTCTGGGAACTTCCACCTGTGGCTCGGGCTTCCCTTTACCTTGTAAGATTGACATTCCAAAAACCATGGGATTCTTCATTTTTTGGTATAGCCACCAGCATAGCATGACTATCAGTGTTAAAGGAATTGTGATAGCTGCCCAAATAAGCCACACCTTTTGTCCAATCGCGCCGCCAAATACCCCAGCTCCAACGAGGGTGCCGGCGAAGGTACCTGGCAGGAAGATCATGGTCAGAGCAGCGATCGCATTCATAGACGTAGAGTCCTGCTTCATGCTGTGCGATATCTGAATGTTGTTCTCTGCATCCTGCTGTGTTACGAGATTGTAGACCAGAGACATGGTGCTGTCCTTGCGTTGCTTGTAGTTCAAAAACCACAGTTTCTGTTTCTCCATAGACGAGATAATGTAAGATATAGAATCTTCCACGCGTTGAACAATAAAAGGAGCAGAGTGTGAAAGTGAGGAGATGAGTCGAAAATGAGCGTCTCGGATGGCTGTTGCTGTGATGATGGCCACATCTGCATTTGCAATATGTGAGTCTGCGTTTTTGGAGATGATCTGGAGCTGTTTGGTCAGGTCTCCTAATTTTGCTCGGTCGCTGATCTCAAGGCCGGCAAGATGGTCATCGACTTTGCTGATGTGGGTCCACATGAACCGTTGGAATCGCTTGACGTGGTATTTTGAAGCTTCAAAGGATAGAGTGGATAAGATGACATGAATATCGAAAGGGTCGTCTAAAAACACGGGGCCCCTTTGAGCACTTGAGGCAGTATTGAGTGCAATATTCAGCAGTGAGGTGAGTGTCTTGATCGGGGTATCGAACTGTTTGTGTGAGATGATGTATGTTGTCAAATCGTTTTTAATATCATGCCGCATGTAGACTGATGTGGGAGATCCCTGGACATGTAGGTTCCAGCGAGGATGCTGGCAGAACAAATCTGAAGTTTTAAAATTAGTACACTCTAATTCTCGGAGTATTTCTTCAGCAATTTGATGTTCACGAACCACAAGCAATTAACCTTCCCGTATCATCGGCCTCCCAGTGTTTTTGCGGCGCCCAATAATCAGGTCGTCCGATCAGATTGAGCAGAAAGGCTGGATTTATGTTCAAAGTCTTGAGAAGATCCTCAGTATCTTTCCTGGTGATCACAGCCCGTGACCCATATGATGTTCCTTCAGCGGGTACCAGAGGCACAAAACTAGACCAGTCAGGGCTGAGTCCAAAAGATTAAGAAGGGCAAACTCACAAAACAAGCATTCTACGGCCGGTTGTGCGGTTAGATGGCGGAGACGTGGGAGATGGCAATTTGAATTGCTGGTCATTGTTAACATCGAAAGAATAGTCTATATATGGCTTCGCGGACTGTTCATACCTGTAGGAAGGTTCCCATGCCATCTTCGTCTAGTGTTTGCCACTCTTTGATTCATTCAAATGTTAGAAAAATGGCCATTGTATCCTTGAGTCGCAAGTACATACCTCCACCCTGCGAGTCAACGTTCAGGCATTCTACGCGAGATACGGGAGAGAAATTATTTTCATTCTTCAGATGATGGTTGCACTGCACGGCATCGAAAACTTGTTGAAGGGAACTGAGATTTCCCAGCGGGTAGTTGGTTGTGTCAAGGTCAAAATCAAAATCCAGTTCATTCACAACGAGATCAGTCTTTTCAGCATGCCGGTCGACATCATTCTGCGATCTCGAATTAGGGCGTTTTTCAACTTCGGCGTTCACAAGGGAAGCTTCAAGTCGTGAAAATCGGGTCAGATCCCCGTTTTCGGCCTGACTGAGAATATTTGTAGACATCCTAGCGGGGATGCTGTAGATTATTGCAGCAAAGACGAGGTTATTTCAAAACACCCGCTGGGTGGGAATCGGGTCTGGATTTGCGCTAGACGACAATTGCGTTGCTTATAACAATTCAACTTGAAGTAACCGAAAAAGAAGTCCATGTGGCATTTATGACTTGCAAAATCCCTAATTGAGCCTCCATCATCAGCCACGCCGAGGGTCCAACGGATGCCCGGGTGCTGCCGTTTTCTCAGGGTTAATTTCGTATCCAAAATGCGTGGCGGGGAGTTTGCCGCGATAGCATGAGGGAAGACTGATGTGGCGTTTTGATTTGTCCACAAGCCATGAGTAGACAATTCCCGTAAGCACTAACTGCCAGCCACGCAAGTTTACTAAAAGTCCTGCAGATACACAATAAGCCAGTAAAAAGGTCTTGCCCGCGCGTGTGATTGTCTCGAAGGGTGGGATTCGCCCGCAAAGCCTGGCACAGCCTTAATTGGGGATTTTTTGATTTTTAAGCCTCGAAATCAACTGGTCTCGGGCTCGTAAAAATAATTTTAAGTTGCCAACCCCGTCTCCGGGGTCGATTCAACAGATTGATCCGTGATATATGAGTAAAATGGCACTTGCATAGCCAGGTACTAGTATGTGTTGTTTTCAAGGCCTAATTGAAGTGGCCCAACCTTAACCCACGAGGGGGGCTGGTCGCGTGATCGCCGCCAATCGGTGGCCGCGTTACGCGTACACGTCTCTTGATTCTTGCCTACCGAGTTCACAATGTAGATCCATCTTTTCCAAGAGCCATCAATCACACCTGAAGTAGAATTCGTATTCCTTCAGCCGCCAAGGCATTTTCATCATGCCAATTGGTCTTCTCAGTCATGCGGAGATATGCGCCAAGTTCGACCGACTGGTGTCGAACGGGATCATTGCTTATCAGCCCAGCAAACCGGTCCTTGTTACCGACCAGGGCATGATCGTTCGTCTCGACCACCACATGACTCCCAAGTCCCTCTCAGAAACTAATCAATTATAGTTCTGCTTCCATGTGGTCCAGACCCTGAAGAGCAAGCCACAGGCTGATGACAAAGTCCACGTCTTGAGCTCGGGCGCATCCGAGTCGGATCCTCATTCGGGAACATTTGGTCCCGGCAGCGATCTAGCAAGAGATCACCCTGATATTTTTATCACCATCGTCAATGACACCCATTATCTGGTGCACAACAAGTTCCCGGTCTTTCGCCCCATGCTCCTCCTGCTGACGGTGGACTCGTATCGGAGGCAACACGAGGCGCTTGATCGTGAGGACCTCGATGCCGGGTGGCAGATGATCTGTGAGATGAAAGAGGAACATTATGTTTTCTTTAACTGTGGTGTCTTGGCGGGCTCTAGTCGGGCTCATAAACATTTGCAGGTGATTCCTGCACCAGGGGCTGATGATAGATACGGTGAAGGGTTCAAGTTCTTCCCGGATTATGATTCGGTGCCAGAGGAAGGCCCGCCTGGTTTTGTTCATCTATTGCAACAATTTCGGGATCTGCCGGGTGATCCTGTCATAAACAGCGAGCTTGTGCTAGAAATTTACATGCGATTGTTGCGACAGGCTAGAGAATTGCTCAATGTGCAAGAGGGTGATCCATGTCCGCATAACTTTATCTTGACCAAGCGGTGGATGATGGTCGTTCCTAGACAAGCAAAATTATGTCATGGAATTACTGCCAACTCAGCAGCAATGGTCGGCTCGGTTTACTTGGATGACCCAAAGCAGCTGGATGCATGGAAGGAGGTTGGTCCGATGAAGGTTCTAGCCAGTCTTGGACTGCCTAGAGAGCAGCTAAAGAATTAAACTGGCATCCGGTCGCATACATAGATTACTATAGAATAGAAACAAAGGTTTGAAAGTTGGAACTGCTCAAATAAAACCCAGAGATTGGTCGATGCGTGTGAACAAAATGTTAGGCTTAATGGCACTAGTTAATTAAACAACCTATCTAGAACTCCCAATTTCGGCGGTTGATCTATACTGTGGATCGCCTCGTAATTGTCAATCTCCTCTTTAAGTCCACCCAGACTCAAATCGGCAGTTCCAGGCCAAACATACTTGGTCTTGAAAGCCAACTTCCAACCAACAAATGCGACGATAAAGAACCCGATCATACCATAATCCAGGAAGAACCACATCACAGACCAGCCCCCTTTCAAAAATACACTGTAGCCTCCTGCCAAAAGCATGAAAGACGTGCCACCCATAGCTAAATAGGATGTATATGGTTGAAACCGTCCTTTATAAGGGAGAGTATCCCGTGAAATCCCCTGTTTTGATAAAGCAGAGAAGAAATGTCGATAAACCAATGCAGTGAAGCCGTAGTTCATCAGCTGGCAACATGTGACCAGGTCAACCAAATAGTTCATGACTTCAGCAGAGGTGCTGTTGACCTGCAGAAATGCAAGAAGACAGAAGGATAATGTGAACATGAGGGCGTATATAGGAACACCACCATTGGTGCATTTCGAGAAGAAGCGAGGTGCGTGACCCATGATTGACATTCCGTGTAAGGTGCGGGTTGCTGTAAAAAGAAGGCCATTTCCAGCACTGAAGATCGATGTCATGATAAGAGCGTTAACCAGGTGAGGGAGACCTGAGATCTTCAGGCGCTCCATCGCAATAACATACGGTCTATACATGGAAAGTTAGAACAAGAAGCATTAGAATACCCAGCAAGTGTTGGATAGAACTTACGATGCAGCACCTGTGCCTGAACCAGACACATCTCCTCCGAGGATAGCAGCGAGTGTGGGATCGTTATATGGAATGACAATTCCCATGCATAGAGCGGAACCAACAAAAAAGACAAGCATGCGCCAGACAAATGATCGGAAGGCTGGCGGCAGAACTTTCCGAGGATTCTCAGCTTCAGCCGCGACAATGGATATATACTCAGGACCACAGATCCTAAAACCGATTGTCAGCGTCGATCAACAGGGAAAACGAGTAGCTACTAAAAGCTATCCTCACTCACGAGAAGCTTGCTTGGTAAAGACATGTCAAAACACCAAGGAATCTTCCAGTTCCCCCAGATGTAAGATATTCCACAAATGCACCAGGTTTCTCCCAGTATCGAAATCCATAGCGGTCATGCAAGGGGTTCCCACCAAGCATAGTGACAAATGTGAAGAGAAACAGCCCAATCATAAGCATTACTTTGAATATGGACAAGTAAAATTCCGCGATTCCAAAATATCGCACACTTATCATGTTGAGGAGCGCGTAAAGGAGAATCATCGCAACGATAATAGCTTCCACTGGTACCTTGTCCGTCCAGAAGGTGATCATAATATTCATGGCCACCATTTCGAACGGCACGAGAAAGGCCTCATTGAGGAAAAAGTTCCACGCCATCGCAAAACCCAAGGCATCATCTACCCACTCGCTACCAAAGCGGACGAACGGAGATGGCACGGGTAGATAACTCACCATCTCGGCGAAGCATTCATTCACTGCCCACATGACGATTCCCCATACGAGGAAGGCGATGAAAAGGCCGGCTGGGCCGCCTTTTGGTAGTGCTGAGCCCATTTGCACGTAAAGCGCTAGAAGTTTCATCAATATTGCTTTGCTTACTTTGCTATTTTCACTGGGCAAGAACAGGGGATGGGACTTACAAGTGCCAATGGCGCCACCGATGGCAAAAAGCTGCACCTCTTTACCTCGAAGCTTGCGATGTAAAGCTTGAGAGCCCGCGGTAATATTGGAGATTGTTCCAGTAGCATCTTCACTACCCCCCATTGAATGGTCACTCCCTGTCGTTGATATTGGGTCCTTTTCAGGATACCTGGGGGCTGACATTTTGCCGCGAGAAGTTAGGTTCACGGACAACTGGTGCAGATTAAAATTTATCACGAAGTTTGAAAGATACCCTCCATATTTGAATATAAGTTGTTTTATTGCGGGCGTATCTTTCTCTTCGACGAGCAGATATCAAAACAAGCCCCTTAGAGACCTCTTATCGATTCTTTGACTTACCTCCCGCCTCCGACATGTTCGCCTTCGCCAAGAATGTTAGAGCAGAACAATTCCCAAGCCAGCATCATATCTTGGATTCGCGTCTCTATGGTCAAGCAGAGCTTGGAAAAGAAGTGATCAGCCATTCAAAGTCTAGATGGTTATCGTGACATCGGGCTATCCGCTATCTTCAACTTCACGTAACCAACAGCTTATCAGTAAATTCTGCAAATCGGCTTGGCCGACGAATGGCCGATTTCTCGACCTTCTCCACTTAGATATAGTGCGGGGAGGCTCTAGGGGTAAGAATCATTTCTAAGCTTATAATTAGTGTATTATCATGTATAGTAGTTTGCTCAAGAAATAAGAAATTGTAGGTCAAAGTCTAAGTTTAATGACTGATCAAATGATTTTTAAAGGAGAGTGCCACATATATTAAGTTGATTCAACGTCAATTGATGTGAAACATTGAATCTAGATCGCCTGTACTATGTAAGCACCCATAATTAGTGCCTGTGCATATCCCACTAAAATCTGACAACCTGGGTGTGGTATTACTGAATCAGGTGTGTGGCAGTAGAGATTATTAGGAAACAAGTCACTTTTCGCCTTTTTATTGAGAACTACATTTCATTTAGCATAAAGCTGTTGAAAAGCCACCTGAAGATGATCACTGTGCACGATCCTATCCGTTGGTGGAACCGGTGCAATTTTGCAATCCGCGGCCGACATTGGATCGCCGACAATTGGAGACGAGTTCTAATTTTATACCGATGAGTGCTATGTTGAATCCGGGTGGCGTCGTTGACCAGATGCCTCTCGTTTCCCCGATGAGACCTATGTATCATGATACTGCAGTTCTCCAACAAGCCCAACAAAGAAGGGACGGTGTACCATAAGACGGATGGTCTGTGTACTGATGATGTGGTTGAAAGTTGGTATAGAGACATTCCTATGTATAATATATGAAGTCAAGATGCTTTTATTTATAACTAAATCTCATTTTCTAAACGGCTAATATTTGAAGTTACCATAAGATAGGTGGTCTTCGTACTGATAATGTGGTTGAAACTCAGTATAGAGACATTCCTACAATATATGTAAGCGTCAGTAAACAACCTCGGAACTTTGACAGGGGAACGAATCTTACCGGTGTGCTGGCCATTTTGAAATTATAAGCTGCTTCTTCATCGCTCACAATTTGCTTCTCCATCTCTGTGCGGTCAACGAGCAACTGCACTTTACAGCTCCGCTCCATTAAACAGAACAGAAACGCTGCCTCATCAACCGTCTCACCCACTGTCAAGAGCCCATGGTTCATCAAGATAACAGCCTTGCCATCTCCAAGACTTTTAGCAATCCGTTGTCCCTCAGAGGCCTCATTGGCAATTCCACCATAGTCCGAGTACACCGAATGGGCCTTGTAAAAATAGCAGACATCTTGGTTGATCATATCAAGAGGTTTCGCAAACGCAGACCAAGCTCGACCATGAATAGAATGTGTATGACAGATGGCATGCACATCTTTCCGAGAGCGATGCACTGAGCTGTGAATTTGGAAGCCAGCAGCATTGATGGAGCCAGCCGTATTCCCACCAACAACCTCGCCGTCCAGGTCCACGCAAATCATGTCGCTAGCTTTCAACATGCCGAAGTGCACCCCGAGTGGATTGATCCAGAAGCGATCTTCAAATTCTGGATCCCGCACACTGATATGCCCGGATATTCCCTCCGCGTAGCCCTCGCGGGCAAAGACACGGAATGCGCATGCCATATGTTCCAGCTGCCACTGGCGCTTTTGGGCATGTGAGTCAAAATCGGGTATTCCGGGCAGGGCTTTGCCTCTATGGGCCATCGCGGCCATGGCATCGACATCGCATTTTTGCACGACCGGGATAGAGGGCCGCAAAGCTGGCGCTGGGGTTGCTGTTGGTGCCATTATCCGGGGGACGTTCTGACGTTTGTTTTTCAACGTGTCGCAAGCAAATTGGCAGGTTGAAAATGGTGACCGTCTGAGTCGCGCGATATTAAGGATAGCAGAGAATGTGCCAACAAAGCTTCCTCCTCATCATGGCAATTTGAGCCTAGCATTGAATCATTATCGGAAAGCTCGCCCATTTTTCGGACAATCCGACCTTATCCCGGCTCATGATAATGCCCAAGCGATAAGATTACGCCTCGTGCGGAGGAGCTCCTCATCAATCTTCCCCGCACGCACGCGACGCACTTGGTCTATTTTCACCCATCGTAAAATAGAAAGTCTCTCTCACATACTTCCAAAGGCTAATCATATACTAGTAGTTTTGAATTCTAGGAACTATGGCTATTGCGTCTTCTTTAAAGGGTTCGTACCGATGAGAACAAATTCACTTTCATGCGATTCTAACACATGAGCTACGATAGATGTTGAAATCTCGCCATTAAAATTGGCTGTCGTTACAGGCGCTTTCATCCTGGTATCCATTATCTATCGTGTTCTCTCCAACCTATATGCGACACCTCTCCGAAGAGTCCCTGGACCCAAATCCTTTGCGTCCTCAAAATGGCGACTTGCATACGAAGACTACAAGGGTGTCAGAACACAGTCCATCCATGCTTTGCACCAGACGTATGGTACATCTGTGCGCGTCGGCCCAAATGAGCTTTCCTTTGCCTCTCTCTCTGCACTGAAAACGATCTACGGCGCCGGGTCCGGGTTCGAGCGAACATACTTCTACAGAATGTTCGATGTGTACGGACGCCAAAACTTGTTTACATTTGCTGAGGTCAAGAAACATGCTGAGCGAAAGAAACTGTTGGCTCACGCCTACTCAAAAAGTGCCATGATGTCACCCCACGCAATAGCAAAGCCACTGATTGAGAAGAACGTAAAAGACTATTTGGAGCTGCTCGAACGCGAGAAGGGAGAAGCAGAAGAGATCTTCCAAAGTCTGCATTGGTTCAGTCTGGACAGTATTACTGGGTTTCTTTACGGAGATAAACATGGTGGGACGGATGCTGTGAGAGGAAACAAGGCTCACAGAGATCTGATCGGCGATATCCTTGACCCAAGCAGGCGGAAACTCAGCTGGTTCGCCGTGCACTTGGGCCCCTATACCAAATGGCTATATAGCAGAAGCGGGAGTACCGAGAAGCTGATTACTAGCCTTGGGTTGCTTCCCATGCAGAAACCTGCCACATACACTGGCATTCGAGCACACGCCTATGAGTCGTCTACTGGATTCGAGTTGTCTGCTTCTGAAAAGCCCCCAGTTGAGAATCTCTCCATTATAGAAAAACTTTGGAAACATCAGACCTCTGGGAAAGCACCCTTCCTTGATAGCCTTGATATGGCCTCCGAAATTGCCGATCACTTCCTAGCTGGCATTGACACGACAAGTGACACTTTAACGTTCGCCATATGGGCTTTGTCACGACATGAGAACAAAGCGTACCAACAAAAATTGATTGAAGAGGTTACTCGCATCCCCGAAACAGAATGCGTCGATGGCATTCCCACCGTGGAAGCTTCCGACAAATTGCCATATCTCGATGCCATTATCAAGGAGACTCTTCGACTTTATGCTCCACTTCCAGCATCAGAGCCACGCTCCCTTCCTGTTGACACTATAATCGACGGCTATAAAATCCCAGCCAATACGGTTGTGAGTATGTCACCATATACGCTTCACCGAAATGCGGAGGTCTTCCCAAATCCGCTGGTGTTCAAGCCAGAACGTTGGCTCGGAGAATGTGGTGATCTTGTTGAAATGAAGAAATGGTTCTGGGCATTTTCAAGTGGAGGTCGGATGTGCATTGGCTTGCAGTATGTATTAATTACTCCATGAAAATACCCCCCGCGCTATCTAACCATCTGCTTTGTCTAGTCTTGCTATGGCCGAGATGACGACTTTGTTAGCTGCCATCTATCGGCGTTATACAACGAGCGAGTATGAGCGACAGCGAGGAGTCAGTCCAGGAGTGACAAGTCGGTTTGAGGTCTTCTATGATGAGACTCTGCCAAAAATGGAGGCAAGTTGACAACTTCAAGTCTATATCTCGCGCAGTTACTAACTTGGGTTTTTTTATACAGGAACATGAATGTTGGATCAATTTCGAAAAGTGCTAGCTCAGAGTGTGTATCTTGTTAAATTTCATTGGAATGTCAAACTTAGCTTGGAGTAGGAGAAGTTTGGAATATGCTATTTATTTCGCTTCAGAATGATGTCATTACAAAATTCGAATCCATCATGAGACAACTTGAACGATTGAACTTCTTTTCCTAAACAGTACGGAGCAGACCGCACTCTCATTTGATACATAATAATCTTATCCACCTGGACCGGGGCAATTGGCGAGCGACATCAATGTGGAGTCTGATCGGGGCTAAACCGCGGGGGCAGGCGGGGTTTGTATCCACTTTCCCGGCCCCCGAGACGAGGGCCAACTTCACTGTCCAACAAGTTACACGATGGACGGCTCTTGACCATAACAGTAATCGCACTACTTAGAATCAAGACTATTAAATCATGGCTCCGCAATCCTCGTCTCGACGACTACGTATACGAAAGCCTCGTGGCCGTGGCCTGCGAACAACAAATGGGTGGTGAGTGTCCCGTGCTCAGATTCAGGTACAGCTTACCTAAACAGATGAAGCATAACATGTCGGAGGCGCCACCTAAAGTGCGATGAGGCCAAGCCTATATGCGGACCTTGTGTGAGCAAGGACAAGAGTTGTGAATATGCCAACACTCCCGAAGGCCGCAAATCGATTCGGGCCCAGGGTAGTGCGAATACTGAGACTCATGTCTCTACAACACCGCGAAAAGAATCACCGGATAAGAACCATGAGGTATCGAATGCAGGTATACTTGACTTGGCTGCAGTTGAGCCGCATGAAATAGCGCCTCTGGCTTGGACTAGCCAAGACGCGAGCGCCACCAACCAGTCGGGAGACGTGCATGATCAGGATCTAACAGTCGAATCAATTGAGATCACAAGTCCAGTGGGTCTTCAGAAAAGTTACCTGTCTCCATCTAATGCATCCGTCGCGGCTGTCAGGTGGTTTGGATTGCTAGCGAGTGATGCTGCAAGAGACAGCCCTCAACAAGCAGCCGTTCCGAGTTCATGGGAAACGGAGGGCTTGCTTCTTGACCAATCTAGTGGTGACATCGATAAGCCTAGCTCACTTCAGCGCGCGACTCAAGTTTTGGACAGCCCTCCTGTCTTCAATGGAAGTCATGAACCGATTAATTCTGAGGCTCATGAAAGTGCCACGCTCCAAGGAGAAATCTGGCATTCGCGAAATCCAATCGAGCTATTACCTAATGAGCAGATATTATTTGTTCATTTTGTAAATCATGTCAGCTCCTGGGTAAGCTGAACATTGATATGTGAAGACGAGTATTGAACATTGCGGCTGACACTATTTTCTAGATTGATCTATTTGATCCAACAGACCAATTCTCTACATTTGTTGCTCATCTAGCGGTATGAAGATCCGCCTTATCAAGAATAGATTTTCAAGCTGACGAATAATAATGCAGATTCACAATGCCGGACTTTTGAATGCCATTTTGGCACTTGCACTACGGCATCTATCCTTAAATCCCTACCAAGACACGCAAAATATCCCCGGCAAGGGGGAATCAGCTGTTCAGTATTATTACCAGACGCTGCATTATGTGCACCGAGCAATGCAATACTCGACCTACAAGACAAGCCTGGAACTCCTCGCCACAACCCTGATAATTTCCGCATATGAAATGCTGGATAACTCCACAAATGGCTGGGAGCGGCATCTTGAAGGAGTATTTCTGATCCAGCGATCCCAAACCATTCATGGAGAGTCTGCGGGTCTTCATTCCGCTGTATGGTGGGCTTGGTTATGCCAGGATATTTGGGCTGCATTTCGCGAGCAACGCAAGACACTTACGTTCTGGGTTCCTCAGAAACCGCTTTCTGCCCTGCTACCACACGAACTTGCTAATCGGGCAATCTACAATGCTGCTAAAGTAATCAGCTATTGTGCTGACAGTTCTACTGAAGCCAGTATTCAAAATCGGATGGACGAAGCTAATCGTCTCCGCAGTACATTGGACGACTGGCAGCAACATCTGACTATTGAGTTCTCGCCTCTGCCTCTGGCTTCAAGAGAAATATCGTCGTGTTTCAATCCAATATGGGTCAATCCTCCTGCTTTTGGTATGTGTCTGTGTCGCATTCTTGATTTTGAGTTTTATACTGAGCTTCTGAAACACACATTAACATAATCATGTAGCCGTGGCAGTTCAGTTTTTCAGCGTATCACACATCCTGTTACTAGCCAATGAGCCAAGTATCGGAGGCTTGGAGCAGTATGCCACGCGACAAGGTATGATTAAACGATATATTGAGGATATCTGTGGCATTGCCATGACTCTCAAGGATAGCGCTTCTAGCGTTATGTCATCGCAAGCTTTGTTTATCGGTACGTGCTTTATGATTCGTGAATCTAATTGAAGCCCAGCTAACTCAAGCAAAGCGGGTTTGTTCACGCAGGATAAAAAATCTAGAGAAACTATATTGGAGCTTTTGGATTCATGTCGGCAGCGGAGTGGCTGGCCAGCTAGCTCACTCGGGGTTGAACTACGCCAGCTATGGGAATGCCATCATATTATGAGTGCATCCTCGACCGGCAAGGGCTTTATTTAGTATAGCGTGTTTACAAATGAATAGTATTTATTGTAGACGGTGGGCCTGCTCGGACTTCGAAATTGCATTGAACCGCCTCTCGGAGGAAAGCCGATGGCAATGACGACGGCGGGGCTACCCGAATTTCAATCCATCCTCGTCACGAGGCTATCCCCGGACCCACGAAAAGCATCGCAACCCGGGCCAGCACATTATTAGTTCCAAAGCAATGTAATCAATTGGCCATTCCTCCCAGTGATAATATAACCTCCCTTTCCTCCCTCTTACTCCTTCCTCAAGCCCACAAATTCCCATTCACCAAACAAAATATACAAAAATGTCTTGGAAAGATACAAACAAGCACCTAACCATCCTGCGCGATGCCGCAGCCGGCCAATACGGTGTCATCGCCGCGATCGCCTACAACATCGAACATATCCTAGGCCTTATCCGTGCCGCCGAAACAGCCCGCTCACCCCTCATCATCCAATTCTTCCCCTGGGCCATCGAAGCGACAGATGGCCTGCTCGTACGCACAGCCGCAGATGCAGCCAAACGTGCCAGTGTGCCGATCAGTATCCACCTTGATCACGCACAGTCCGAAGACATCATCAAACGAGCAGCAGACCTTCCCTTTGACAGCATAATGGTTGACATGTCGCACTATGAGAAGGATGTCAACTTGGCGAAGACCCGGGAGTTGGTGCAGTACTGCAATGAACGTCAGAAGGTTACCGAGGCCGAGCCGGGACGTATTGAAGGTGGGGAGGACGGCGTGATGGATACGGCGGGGCTTGAGGCGTGCATGACTACTGCGGAGGAGGTGGATGAGTTTGTTGACACGGGCGTGGATGTGCTTGCGCCTGCGTTTGGAAATATTCATGGGGAATATGGACCTGTGGGGCCTCAGCTTGATCTGAATCGGTGAGTAGCATTTACCGATGCCTTCTTTTTAAAGTAAGAAGCCACTTACTGACTGTTTCGTGGAATGGGTAGATTCGAAGATATTCGTGTGCAGGCGAAAGGAAGAGTTGAGCTCGCTCTTCACGGCACTAATGGATTCCCGCCGGATCTCATGAAGCGTTGTGTAGCTGCTGGCGTTACCAAAATTAATGTCAACAAATTGGTTTTGGATGACTACTATGATCATCTGAGGGCTAATGTTGCGACAATGCCGCACACTCAGCTTATCGAAGAGGGCATTCAGAAGGTGGCGGATTTGACTATTAGATGGATGGAGATTTCAGGCTCAGCAGGAAAGGCATAGAGCTTGTGTATAGTAGTGCATTTGGAAATATTTCACGTTTCAAGTCGTCATTCACGAATAAAATGTACGTGTAAGACTTGGATGGCACTTCACTTTTAAATCAACAGTAAGCATGCAGGTGTATTGCCTTAATAATTCTTCGAGGCTTCTTCTATCATATAAGCTGTACAAGATTCATCAGAAATGCCCAGGTGCCAGTTCCAAAATTCCAAATTATTGTAAATTGCTGAACATTCCACCGTCCGCTAGTACTCCTGTCGCATTTACATAGCGGCTCATCTCCTCACAAGCCAAGAATACAGCCGGTCCGGCCATATCATTGGGATCACCAATGCGACCAAGTGGGATCCGTGCTTCGAGAGCCGCCTTCTTGGTCGGGTTTTTCATATCATGATCGGCCAATTGAGTAGCGATTGTCCCCGGCATCAGTGCATTGCACCGGATCTGATCTTTGCCCAGCGAGATTGCCATCGATTGCATCATTGAAAGAATTGCAGCCTTGGTCGGGGTATAATGTGTCTGAAGTCCACCACCTAGAAGAGCACTGACGGAGGAGATTCCAATGATCGAACCTCCGTGTCCTTGCTCCACCATCTGTCGAGCAGCTGCTTGACAAGAGTAGAATGTACCTTTGACGTTGACGTCAACGCTGTGGTCTAGTAGCGAAGGCTGGATCCTATGGTCCACGAGTGTCAGCAGAACTCTTTTCACGATGGAAGGATCAATCGTCGGGTATTTCATACTTGAGAAATTCTGCTTGCTTAAACACTCCAGCATTGGCAACAAACACATCGAGCTTGCCCCATTGAGACACTGCTGCTCGAACTAGATCCTCGCTAGTCTGCGGGTTGGTAACATCACCAGAAAGCTCGAGGATCTTCCCCGCTTTGATACCCTTTCGCTCAATCACTTTGACTTCTTCGAGGAGACTGTGTCGGTGGCCTTCATCCTTCGAAAGCCCCAAATGGTTGACTGCAACGTTGCATCCTTGTGTAATGTATGCCAAAACAATCGCTCGTCCAATTCCAGTGGTGCCCCCGGTGATGGCGGCTGTCTTGCCTGCGAGCAAATTCCAAGCTGGTAGCGCGGCCATATCAGATTATTAAATGATTGAAGGATCGATATTTTCAATGAAGAAAGGTGTGCATGTACCTATTAAGAGCCGACTAAGTTTCAATTAAAGCAGAATGAATTGGGGTGCGGGGGATTATCTGCCATCCGTCTCGGGGGCAGCCCCCGTCTCGAGTGCCCCACATGTACATGTGCGGGGATGATCGCAGATGTCTATGCCGTCTGTGGCATACTAACTTGATCATTGTGCTTTTAAGCACGGGCATTGAAAGACATCTGTCAGGTAGGAAAGACCAGTTGCCATTGTTAGGAAGCTTGTGGGGGAATGAAAATCCGAAAAAAAAAAAAAAAAAAAAGAGGGAAAAAAACGTTGCTTTTGCCCTACATCGGCCGCGTGCATTACTGTACCGTCAATGGTCATATCATTAGAGCTTAAGAAGCAATTTCAAGTATCCCATATTGACGAAGCTGAATACTTTATAATCTTCAGGAATACCAGGTTTTTAATGCATTTCTTCGACCAAAATATCGACCAAAATATCAACTTGGAACGAAGCTGTTAGCCATCTAAAGGTGGGCGGCAGTGGACAAGTCACAAGGATATCCACACCGCCCCACGCCACACGGATGCCCGCATTTCCTTAGTCATCATAGCTCATTTTCCAAATGACTAATCCGGCTTTTGTGTCTTCAGGCTCACGAGTCACGTCTCCAATCTCCGATTCTCCAAACCGCTACTTTATACACCCACACCCTCCTGCTACTACCTCTTGACCTGCCCACCATGCCGGCCAGGGTTGGTCTTATTGATCCTTTTCAAACTCAAATCACCGAATTGGTGCAACAGGGTCGAAAACAACCCGAAATCATAAGCATTCTCAAAGATACACACAATCTCACAATTTCCAGGTCCACCCTGCAGCACCGGCTTAAAGAATGGGGCCTATATAAACCCCAACTACCCAATACAGCCGCCATTGAGAAACGAGTCCGAGAGCTGACAGGCACGCATAATTCGTCGGAGATCCTCACAGTCCTAGAAGCCGAAAACCTGCCAACGTCAAATCGAAGCTTACAACGCATACGACGGCGTCTAGGTATCAAACTCCGCCTCACACCTGAGCAGCGAGAGAAACAGATGGCAGAGATCAAAGAGGTTATACTCGCGGAGATCCAAAAGGGGGAAATCAAGTGGTATAGCAAGAGATATAGATATCTCCACTTCAAGCGAATGGGCAAACCTTATACTCGGTATCCTATCCTCCCAGTGTCTCTTTGTCTGGCCACAATTTATCGTACAAACTGCTTATATCTCGGGTTTGCCTTAGAGACCAGATCCATGCTGTATGGCAGGAACTGTACCCTGAAACTTCCGCTTTGCGGACAAAAATGACAACGCGCGTCTACAAGGAAGATATGCCGAATACACTTGATTCTGTGTCTCCCGATATAGAAGGTGATTCTGAGTCACATGCAGTTGATGATGAATCTCATGAAGATGGGCATATGGAGCCGGAACAATCTGGTACCGAGACGTATAATTCTATTGACGGTGATACCCGACGTTTCATCGAACATCTCGAAGTAGAGATAGCCGCGGAGCGCTCGGCAAATTCAGGAGTCTTACTGGAGAAGAATGCTGTACTGCCACCAATGGAAACCATTCAGCCATCGCCTTCGCGAATGACAAGGCAGACAAAGTCTCAAGCGTTGAAGCGATCTCGCCCCCTAGCGCCACAATCACCCACGCGGAGGAGTACGCGGAGAAAGATTGGACATGATGAGTGACTATTTTGCACGGCAGGGTTGCTATGAGTTTTGTGAACTTTAAAAGGACAATTTACGGCCTGAAGCCACGAAGATTTCTTCTTACTGGTGACTTTCATTCCAATGTGAATCAATAATACAAGCAGTGTCCCCCTTTTTAATGTATACTACCCAGCTCCGTAAAATATTCCAAGGTTGACAAGGCGTACATATTATATTTCCAAGCTGGCTCAAGATCCCAGCCACGCCCTTGACTGCCCAGCACTACCCGCGTCGGGATTAATATTCACATCAGTCATCACAAGTTTCCGTACGATTTTCACCTAATTGTGGAGCATATCGTACTGAAACCTTTGCTGTATAATAGTAATTGGCCGAGTGGGGGCACAAGCTATGTACTACTAGTAGTACCCAGAGAAAAATTCAACTGTTCCAATCGCGGTCCGACGAGAGCAACCTTGAACGCCCCACGTTTGAATACACCGAATGCTACAAATTATAAGCAACAAAGGCGGACCTTAGTTCTGTACGCCACTCCAGACAGCATTCATCAAATGCCACAGAAGGATGTTCGAGATACTCGGAGGTCGCCCTGAATGGCTCTTGTCAGTAGGCTGAAGGGGCCGAAACGAGTAAAATTAACATTGAAAAGATAGAAGAGCAAAAGATCGGAATACAAGAAGAAGGTCATTTACTTCCTGGAGACCAATAGCTCTTCCCAAAATACGACCACCTACTAGTACTTTGTACCTTCTTCCTCCAGATGTCTGTACCAGCTCTAGCCACTCAATTGCACAGAAAGACTGAATACAGGATATTCTGGAGAGCTTCAAACAATCGTATTGATTCTGCTCTTAGCGAAATCGATGCTTGGACACAAGTTGGGAATCTTTGCATGCACGATTGGACTTTTGCGATGCTTGGTTTAGGCAATAATCTGTTTCTATGTAGTTTATTTAGCTGCAAGTCTTTTTTTCAAAACAATAGTTACTTGATTAAATTGTACCATAAAGATATCCGTCAAGATTAGTTGCATTAAGTCACTCAAATATACAGTATCAACACCATAACATCCTCGGCATATTGACTCCAAATCGGCAGCGTGCAGCAGCACGAGGCAAATTGATCACATCCACGGAGACCCAATCACACCTGACATAAATATACCGATGGAAACATATTAAACTAAATATTTTACAGGATGTAAGCAGCGACGGCAGCGACAGCAGCAACACCAGCCATGTTACCCTTAACATTAGCACCGGCGTTGTAGGTAGCGGAGGTAGTAGCCGAAGAGCCGCTGCTAGTCTTGGAGACCAGCGGGGTGGAGGTGCCAGCGGGGGTAGATCCACTGGGGGTAGATCCGGGGGTAGTGGCGGCAGTAGTAGCGGCAGCACCCGAGGAGGTGCTGCTGCTGCTGGAGCCGGAGCCGGAGCCGGAGGCAGAGGCAGAAGCAGAGGAGGACTCGGTGGTCTGGGCGCCGCTAGCGGTGGAGCCGCTGCCAGAGGCACTGCTGGCAGTAGTGGTCTCAGTAGTAGTCTCGGCGGAGGTGGTGGCGGAGGTGGTGGCGACACTGGCGCTGCTGGTGCTGGTGCTGGTCACAATCGGGGCGAGAGTGATGGGGACGCCGGCTGCGGAGCACTCGGAGACGACAACGTTGGAGACGGCTAGATGGGGGGAATGTTAGTGGGGTTGCTATTATGATTGGATGATGTTTTATAGTATAAGAAGTACATACTTGCTTGGTCTGCGGTGTCACAGGCCTTCTGGACGCAAGGGGTGATGTCGCTGATCAGAGCGGTCTTTGCGCAGTGGCAGGCGAAGTCGGTCAGGGAGGAGCATCCATCGCTGGTCAGGGCAGAGACGAAGCAGTCGAGCTGGGACCATGTTAGTATGCGGAGTGAGGTGGGTATGAGCGGAGCGTATGCAGATCATACCGAGCAGGTGGGAACGTTAGGGAGCTGGGCGTTGGCCAGACCGGCGGCAACGAGAGCAATCAAGGCGTGGGAGAACTGCATGTTTGCTGATGATATTGGAATATGAAGAAGTCAAGTGAAACACCGGAAGCGACTGGCAAGGCTATAACGAGCGAGGCGATAATCTAGAATATGATAGAAGCAGGACCTGGGGTTAGACAGAGGGCACAGAGGCCTTTTATAAGCTTTGTTTTTTATGTTATACTACAACTTGGCAATCTATTTTCAGGGTCGCACTGGGTGCCTACTAGTATCCATCACATGTCTCCATCAGAAGAGGGAAATGAGCATCTAGAATCCACCAGGGCCGCGGTTGACTTAGATCGTTTTTGGTGGCTGGAAGCCAGGATCCCTGAACGCCAAATTCGAGGGCAAGCCTATGGCTGACGCCGGATCCTGAATTGAATCCGGAGACCTGACTCAAAATAAATTAAAAGCTGGTTCGGGGTTGGCGTCCGCCACGCTTCATTGGCTTTGGAAAGTCGGGGTTAAGCGAAACCTGCAGAGAACTTTGTTTCCTCGAAATAGTGCACCCAATGCTACCAATCAGCCACTTCATGCAGTGCCCCTTCATGGTTAGTTGCACAGCGGGATCAGGGAACCTTGTCTTTAATCTCCACTGTCTCTGGAAGGGCTCCCAAAGCATGATAGGATAGACAGTGCTGGGAACGATATGGATGTAGCACATGCTAATCGACACAGAAGGTCGCCACTTGTCGAACGCCCTGTACGTAATAAAACTCGTGGTATGTTATTCCACGGATATTTTTTAGCGGTGCAACAATGATTGCTTCGAGTGCATAGTGGTCTCCTTGGCATGCATGGCACTTGTAGGCAGCACGGCGTGCAAGGAGAATGAACCGGTTCACCAAGACTGAAGCGTTGATTATCAGATATTGAAATAGTTCTTTTCAAATGAGGAGTTGGCATTGACGCCTGGCTATTCTTTCTGAGCTTGAAAAAAAAAAAAAATTTCATCTTGGTTTGGAGAAACCGTAATTTCGTATCACGGAAACATGGAGCCGAAGGTAAATCTGGGGAAAGACACTAGGCCTCGACTTGCATCAGCGTAGCATCCGACTATCCCAAATCAGGCCATGATCCGATAATTCCGCTCGGCCCACCTGTGTCATCAATATATTTTGTTTTTGGGGTTGCACGAGATGTTTATTGTCAGATTTGAGGTTTTTTTGGCACGGTTTGCGGGATATTCCGATCAACAATGCGGTCCAGGATAGGGCTCAAGACAGAATACCCCTTTTTAAAGAGGTTTCCCTCATTCATTGAGCAAAAAAAAAAAACTAGTGCTCTTTTTTTTCCAGACTTCACGAGCAGCATGTTTCGTGGCCCGTGGGGGTAGCCTTGAACTTCCCCGGCGAGGACCTGGACCCGTGGGGTCTTGGATTCTTGGGCTTCGGGATACCCCGCGTGAGCTCATCAACTCCAGATGATTCGACCCACTTTAGTAGTCCCCTTGGCGATATGTACCCAAGGGCCATCCAGGCCCCAGATAATCTTTTTGACATAGAGCTCGTTGTACCTGCATACCAAAGGGTCCGTGGTCGAATCTTGTATGAATTCTGTTTGATATCATGAACAGTTGAGTTGGACAAGTAACGGGTGGTTCCGATCTCAATTTGGGGGTCAGGCACCTCCATCAGTCCACAAGTGAGACATTGTGGCGGAATCAAACGGATTGTGCTCCGCAATCTCGGCGACAGGGCCCTTCAGGGTCAACATAAGACCCCTCAGATAATCGATCGGTGGAGACCACGATAAATACGCTAGTCACTGGCGTCGTGGGGCATCAGGGACGAGAAGAAAAACAGCGATCACATGGAGTCGCCTGTCGGGTAAGTGGATCTTTGACGGGGTCGGAGCGCTGAGGAAATAACGCCTGGGAAATTGGAAGCCAGCCTCCTAGGAGACGGGTAATTCAGCGACTCGACCATTCTGGTTTTCCCGGCTTACGGTGTCCGTTGCCCATGGGCCATGTCCGGATTGTGGATTCTTGACCGTTGATTGATTGCGGGGAATCCGGGGGCGAGTTGGAGTAACAGTTGGAATTTGGAAAATTGGGAAATTGGAGGGATCCACTCCCTTAAACAACGAAGTCCACACCCGTGAACTTGAATCAATTGATATCATCACTACGCTAACAATATCACTTGCGCCCTTGTATTTAAAGGCTACGAATAACCTCTGTCACGACTTTTTATCGCTTGAAAGTAGGAGTTGAAAGATCAATTGATTATCAATTTCAGTCACCACCTGAAGTCACCTTGAGGCCTCGTCCAATCCACGCGCTTGTGGAACCTGCCAACCAACATCATGCAGCCGTAACTGCGCCAGATGCCTCACCTCCGAAGCTTGCCAATGATACTCCAACTGTAGCCCATGGAATTCAAACATAAATCAATGGCTGAAAAGCCCGCATCGTGAATCGTGATCGTCGGTCTAGTCTTTCAGAATCTTCCCAAATTCGGCGCGTGCTGCGACTTCAAGAGTGTTGGATGCGATGACCGCAAGCTCGGCGACACATCGAAGGATGATCTTGGAATCATCTACTGCATCTTGGATAGCAGAGCTGAGGATGTCGAGGGAGATTGCCATCTCATCCGCGCTGTTCTTCGCTGCCCGGTATCGTTCTCGCAGGGCTCGAGGCGTGGTGTCGCAATTATGGATGCCTCGAAGAAGGAGGCGGCAATCGCGTGTTGCCTGTTGCATAGCGCACTCAAGGTCATCCAGGGCAGCTGTGGCGTTCTCATTGCTGTCCTGCGCTGCTTCGTGTTGATCAAACAAGGTATCGATGAGCTTCAGAATCTTTTCTTTGTGCTCGGATTGTGTCTTCAAGGTCTTTCTCAGAATTTCAATCCTAGCCAGAGTGTTCTCTATGGCCATGGTGTCCGGTGGGTTTGTGGACATTGTTGGGGTTGGCTAGAGTGAGCAGATAGCGGACAAATGTTAAGTGAGGTGTAGTGGATAAAAGATTGTTGTGTGGGTGAAGTAGATGTAGCTGGGGAGTGATTGAAGCTAGAAAGTATGGCACTGGTCTATGCAATATTTGTTTGCTATTTCCTCCTCTTTACTATGTACATCGAATTTACAAGGCCAGTAGCCTTGAAAGTTTACCTAGAATGGATTCATGTTAAGATTTTCGAGGGCCATAGTCTTCCAAAGCTTGACAATTGCCAAGTATTGCCTGTTCAGAGCGGACATGGACTACAAAACAAGCAGATGTCTTATAGATGAGATCCATCATGGTGGTTGGGTGGGAAAGTCCAAAAACTTTTTTCTGAGGTAGAGGAGTCTTTCATATATGATATAGATGTGGAAGGCCATCTTGGAGACAGCTACTCTGCCTTCTTTTTCTTGCAGCCTTTTGATATAGCCAAAGAAATCCGCAGATAACATCAACAGGCAAGATGGCCGAGTTGGTCCAAGGCGTGCGGTTCAGGTTCACCTGATCCAGATTTCCGCATCTCGTTTTCGGGGCGTGGGTTCAAATCCCACTCTTGTCATTTCTTTTTTTTTCATTTCTTGTTTTACTTCTAGTTGCAATCGCAACAGATTGCTCTTCTTGGGCTCATTCGTTACTAAACCATGCATGTTGAATTGGGTCGTGATTTCCTTCCTGGAATCTCAGTTCTCTAATGTTGGGCTGTTATACAAGAAGAAAATGACGGCAGCTTTCCATGGGAAAGTTTCTATATACGGAGGAGTAATTGTTTTTACCTCATTTCATACGTTAAAGAGGGGTTTCCATGATTTCTGGGGGCTCAGGTCTATGAGCTTAGTATAGAATTGGCAGGAAAACAATACATAACATTGATATGTGGTAGCCTAGTAACATCGAGTGGCCTGGTGCCGGACCAAAAAAATTTATGTCTGCCTGGGAGACAGGATAGAAAAGATATTGAAAGATCATGGAAGCAACTAAGATTCCCGGTTTCTACTTTATCTTTGCATTATTGACAGATCGCCGTCTCTTTTGACCCCAGTGGTACCTGATCGACACCAAATCTTTCTTCACTCCAACCGCTTTGTTTTGTTTCCGTTTCAAGTGATTGACCGCCCGCCGCAGTGGCTAATCAGCCGCGTGGACACTTTCACAATCCGAACCCTTCTTCCCCAAATACAAACCGCCACATCCACCTGCGATTCCAATCTCAAGTATTTCTTTTTTGATCGCTTTAACCTGCTACCACTCTCCTACCCATCATGACGCTTGCCGAGGAGTTCCGCTCACGAAACTTCAGTATGTATCCTCGTGCTGATCGAGCGACTATGCCGATCAGCTACCAGTGGATTCCTAAGCCCTGCTAACCTCGCCCTTCTTTAGGCATTTACGGACAATGGTTAGTACTCCCGATTCCTCTTGTCGCCCGACGAACCCTTCAAAACCAGTGTCGTCAAAGAGAAATGCGCTTGTAAAGTGGAAGGTCTCCGGCGCTCAATTTCGCCGCCGCCTCGGATTTTCCGTCTCTGTTCAAAGTGTCGAACGCCACAGCTAACATCATTCAAATAGGACCGGTGTGCTGGGTATGATTCTTTGCCTGGCGCTTGGAATCGCCAACATTTTCACCGTTCACGTCGTTCGGATCATCTTCTCCGTTCTTGCCCTGTAAGCCTAGAATCTCTTTCCGGCTGGAAACCTCTCCGACTAACCATGCGACAGTGCTTCGACCTTTGTGATCCTCTTCATTGAAGTTCCCTGGCTCCTCCGCATCTGCCCCACCTCCTCCACATTCGATGCCTTCATCCGTCGCTTCACAACAAACTGGATGCGAGCTGCCATGTACCTCGTTCTCAGCGGCATCCAGTGGGCCAGTCTTTGCACAGGCGCTTCCAGCTTGATCGCTGTGGCCGTTGTCCTCATTATCGCCGCGCTGTTCTACGCATTCGCGGGTCTGAGGAACCAGGAATTTGTTGGCAGCAAGACCCTGGGTGGTCAAGGTGTCGTACAAATGATCGTTTAATGCGCTTGGCTTCCGAACTTGGTATCACGTTGGTTACTTTGAATCCGGGTGTATATGTGCTAGCACAACTCTTGGAAATTCAAAGATCTGCGTGAAATGATGAGATGCTCGATGCGAAATCCTCGAAAAGGCCCTTGGCCAACTTGCATTGGAATGCGTCATGACCTTACTGTTTATTTGCCCTGTACTTGTATGTCTCCAGTTTGGGGCGAGCCCTCCTCTTTCGCACTTTGAAGTTTTCGCCACGGACATATTCCGAATGCTTTTTGTACGGTTCAGCTCTGCATTGCAGATGGCTTTTATGACTTAATTATTTGCGCTTAATTAGAATTGGGACAAAACATTCCAACAATCACCACGCATCTCAGTTGTGCGCATGTGCTTCTCGTAAATCCCGTCATTCCGACATTGGAATAGATTATCTAAGTTTCTAATGTTCCAACTTTCTGCACACATTTTGGGCACTGCACATGTGGGTTTGGAGGTTCAATGTTGGGGGAACCGGGTGGGACCTCGGGAGGCATTTTGAATGCACGACTTAGCCCTGGAGGTCGTATGGATAGATCGATTGATAGTACCTGCACATGTGGACGGGCACGGAGTGCTACCTAAATATTTCACGCCTATTCCTTGAGCCCTGCAGGTTAAGCACCTGAGGAAGGCAACTGGTTGTTCAATGTTCCGCGGCCCATACCTACATTGGTGCTACGTACTAGGTACCTAGTATGTATGTTTTTTTGCCCAAGCGTGATGTGATAGGCAACATTTAAACCTTCAATGTTCAAATCTATTCTCTTCTGAGGTTGTCCACATGTGCCCTTAAGGTCAAAAATATATGCATACTAGTATGTTTAACTACCAGTTGATCCTATGTACTCGCTCCTCTATTCAGCATCTCCACTATACTACGCATGTTCCCCAGCTTAGGCGACTTGAGAAATTTCTTTTGAAAACTGGGTGGGAAAACTAGGAGGCTCGACGGTGGATGTTTCTTCGGTGGTCTGATTTAAATTCAAATCATCAAGCTTAGTGTCGGGGTTTATGATTAATGTATAGCCTATCGGAGGAATGGGATTCGAATTTGCTGCAGAACCACTACCAAGACGTCTGCCTGGTGTTCGAAAAGCACTACTTAAATGTTAGCCAATATTCTCACGAGATTCCATAAGGGCTTTTGAATGCTCCGCTGAAGCTATACTCTTTTCCTACCCTGGTTTTGTAGTTTCGTGCTTGTTCACACAAGTATCGATTGCCCATGCAACTAGTCCAGGAATAAAAAGGGTGATGATGATGATGATAACAGCCCAAAATCCAGGAGCAACATTGTACCCTAGGCCCGATTTTGCCCCTCGGGTTGTAGTAGCTGTGACTGTTCTCATTGCAGTTGTGACTCGGGATGTCGTAATAGAAGTTTCGCTTGGAAGTGAAATGACCAAAGTGATAATCGGCATTTTGGAAAAATGTAAAGGAGCTGATGATATGGGAATAATTTCCGAGAGTTGAGAGAATAAAGTACTGCGTTTCCAGGAGATGGGGTGATCCACTTCAGGGGTTTCCGGCTTATAAGAGTGGCGAGCATGAGACGGAAGGTGCGGCCAAGATGCCAAAACTTGTGGCCAGCGAAGGGATACAGCCGCTGCTCAGGGAAAGGAAAGAACGGAGAGAGAAAAGCAACTGGATTGGCTATGGACAATCTCTCTCGGGGGGGGGTGGAGAGAAGAACATTTGAAGAAGGGAAAAGGAAGGAAGGAAGGAAGCAAGCACTAGATATACCTAGAGGGGGTTACCTGACCCCTCTCAAGTCTGACAAGTACTATGTTTCCAAGAGATGGGGTGATCGATCCACTTCAAGGGTTTCCGGCTTATAGGCACTTGAGAGTGGCGAGCATGAGTGAGTCTTGATCTGCCCCAAATCCCTTCTCAAGTCTATTCTCAAGTCTATTCTCAAGTCTATTCCCAAGTATATTCCCAAGTATATTCCCAAGTCTATCCTCAAGTCTATTCTCAAATCCCTTCTTAAGTCCCTTCTCAAGTCTATTCTTATGTTCATTCTCATGCTCATTCTTAAGTCCAGTGCATAGTTTATACACTAGAACCTATGTATGATTTATATAGACTTTTTTCTTCAAATGTTAAAGGGTACTATGCACATGTGTAACTAGTAGTTACTACTAACTACTAGTATATACATTCAAAATCACATGACCTCTTTTTCTGCTCAAGTGCCAGAGGGGCTGACCCGTGTTGAGAGTAACCCGTGTTTACATTAATTTGAAGACCTATTATTAATATATATTAAATACATTTCCATAAATGCGCACTAAAAGTTGTGTATCCAGGAGGCCAAAGCATACTAGTACACATGCATACTCAACTGGTACATACGCGCACACTATTTCCGAGGTTGAGGAGTCTTCTTGGGTACGATTAGTTCAAATGTTTGTAGTTGGTCCATGAAACCATGAAAACTTTGGTTGGGAATTTGTACTAGGTAATAATTAGGTCATATAGCCAAAAATCTCTTCAACTTACATCAATTGGTAAGATGGCCGAGTTGGTCTAAGGCGCCAGGTTAAGGTCCACCTTGACATCATTTCCTGGTCTACGTTTGTAGGCGTGGGTTCAAATCCCACTCTTATCACTTCTTTTTGTTTTTTCCCCCTTCTCCACGAACCCTCCTCAAGTCAGGCGATAAATGAATCGATTCATTTTAACACGTGGAAATCACCCCGGAGAGCTGTTATTAGACAATCAATTCCGAGGAATATGGCATATCCTTGAGACAAGTTGACTTACACGCCCACAACCTTATCCGGAGTGGGCAATCTAATGCATCTTCGATCTCCAGTGGGTTTTGAAACCATAGGCGACATGAGATTGCAGGTTTTATACAAAAGGTTACAGGCAAAATATATTCAGCGCAATTGACTATATGTATTTACTGATGTCTACACAGCGTCCATTTATGGATGAATCCATCCATCCATCCAGGCCAGGTCCACGGGTTCAACCTTCGAAATTTTGGATTATCCCGCACAAACTACTCTAATTCCCACCCACTCTATTACAATATGCTACTACAGCGCCACATAGTTAACTATTCCAGTCAATACATAGTAACGTTCATGATAATCCCTCGGTAAGATTCTCGCCCCCGCAAATCGTGTATACACAGATCCAAGTAAGTATCAACCTGACGCATGACCCCTCAATCCAACTTGGAATACTTCCAACCATCCTGATTCATACCCAGGAACCACGTCAGAATAGTCTTGTTCCAGGCCCTCGCATGATACCGGACCGTGACGGTATTTGTCGCAATTTCTGTAAGGCTAGGTACGGCTGAGAGTGGATCTTAGAGCTTAACCCAAGCAAACTTGATCGTGTGATTCTCCTAGCTAGATCGAAGATCCAAACGGGTAAAATAACAATATGGACACACCGTACCGTTTAAAGACCTTAGCCTGGAGTAATTGCCTTTTAATTGATATACATATGCCCTCTGAGCAATGTGCATTGGAAGAGGGGGCCTTTCATGCTAGATGATGCAATGCGGAGAACCGTTCGCACACTCACCGCCTCGGTTGGACAGACCAATGAACTCGCATAGAAATAATCGGCCAGACCGATACCAAGTGCTCCTTATCATCAAAATTGGAGCTATCCTTAAATTTAGTTAAAGCATCTTTGAAGCACCGCCACAGTCTCAGAGATATGCTATTAATATACATTGGGCCCATGTTCTGGGCAAAAATAAGCATCGGCTTGATGGCCTCGAAAGTGCAAGGGAAAGAACAGATAGAGAGAAAGAAAAAAAAAAGATATCCTTGTACTCCGGAGTCCGTACTACTGAGGACGCTACTTAGAAAGTGGCTCGAGTCTAGACAGACCGCCAGAAAAGCTGCACGAGGCATGATTTGCCCCCAAACCTAAACAATTCTAACCACTCTCCACTCTTTCATGAGGCATTTGCTTGAAAAATGCCGCAGATAGGACATCAAGTTTGAGGTATTCTAATAATCTAGATTACTCGGATGGTTTCAGAATGAAGAATGAATGGAGAATTAAACATCTCGTAGGGTGATTCAAGAATTGCAAAATGCAAATTTTATTCCCATAGTATAGTACTCTATAGTGTCATGAAAGAACTTGAACATCCACACATGTAACAATACTGTAAATGCTGCTGTAATATTCAATAATTGATTTCTGGTACACTGTATGGGGACTGGAGATGCGGTCAGAGCACGTCACGCGCGCTCTCGGTGGGTCACGGCAGAAAGAAGACATATGGATACATCATCTTGCTTTCCTGTCTTTCGCCAACTCTTCTGTGATTCGATTTGTCCCTTCACTAGTCACTACATTCACCGATTTGTTTTGCATTCTGTCAATTGGCCTATAGGCAATCCTTGATATCTGACAGATCAATCTGGGTAAGCAAATCACCTCTGCATCTGCTTATCAGCTACCCGCCCTATCCCCTCCTCTTCTGGATAGACCAGGGGCCCGGACCTATCCTGCATGTATAGACGTCACTTGTCGGGCAGTTGACCCCACAGAATAACCACTGTCGAGTCTTGGCCTGCAAGGATTACAAGCAGACTGAAAGACGCCCAAATTACCCCCCTAAACACGTGGCCCTCGGGTATAGTCGAGCCCAAGCTGATACTACTGAAATCCGGCAGCTTCAAAAAGATCTTCATCATGTCCTCCCAGACTGCCCCGGCCATTCCTCCCAGGCCTTCTCGATCCCCACAGCCACGTTCATCCTTAGAAATGCCTGGTATCCCCCCACGTCCGGCTCACCGCCGCATCGACCGATCAATGTCTCCGATGCGGAGCAGTTATGCACCATCTCCTTTCAACGAATGGAGTGGCCCGAGCCTGAGCCGGACCACTTCAAACGATATTCCCCAGCGTCCACCGAGCGTAACAATACCTTCCCTGGGTGAAGAGGGGATAGAGTATGCAGATCTAAATGTTGGAAACGTGCCCGAAGGTCATCACCAGGCACCAGCGGAGACTCGTAACGTTAGCAGTGACCTCAAGATTCATGCACCGAGACCTTCCTTGCCGACGTTAAGTGCTAAGGCCAAAGTGCAGGCGGTCACCCGCACAGACTCTCGCCAGGCTGCTGCTGCTGGCCTGGGTCGGGAAAGCGAAAGCTCCCCCGCAATCGAAGAGCCGGAGCGGACCAGTCGATCGCTGCATTCCCGAGCAAGCGGCTCACGGGCCGAGTCGTCTACCGCTTCCTCCGATCGCAGACTTTCCATGCAGCCCGGAGATGAACATGGTTTCCGGGTACCTATGTATCCCAATGCCGGTGATGTCCAAGCACCTTCGCCTAGTCCCTACTTAGAGCAAGGCTCTCAACGCTCGGGTCGTAACCACCATCGTTCTCGTAGTGCTCGGGATTCTTCATTACCTCCAGGTAGTTATGGCCTGCATGGGCATGGTGTGCCGAATGGTGACAAGTTTGAGAAGGCTTGGTATGAAAAACACCCCGATGAATACGTGAAGGAGGAGGGACAGTATGGCCCCGGTGTGGGTACTCCTCGCCCTGATTGGGCTCTAAGCAGCGACGACCTGAACAAGATTGTTCGAGGTCCAGCTGGCTCTACACCCGGTAAGTACTAAATTGGGTGAAATGTCCCTTGAACTAGACACTAACCTCAGTTATCAAACACTAGGTACTTCTCCCGATGTTCTGGGAACACCCGAGGAAGAAGTTGGCTACCTTGCCTCCGATGAATATATGCACCGGATGTCATCTCCCCCACCTGATTCTCGCCTTGATTCCCAACCCGTGGTGGAATCTCCCCTGCGCCAAATTAGCTTCCCAGCCTCTGAAATCGAGCCGAAAAATGCGCCTGCCTCCCCGCTGCGTCATGGCCGAAGCAGATCGCACGGGAATTATGCTGATAATGAAATTATCCACGTTGATAACCCGAAACATCCTCTTCATCACCCGGATGGATTTGCTCCTACCCCAGTGCTAGATGAACCAACGGTAGCAGTCGAAGAGGCATTGGAGGAAGATGAGCCTATTTTGGCTTCCGATGAAGTGCGCCCTGGGTCGGCATACCTGCACCCTGCTGTTTCGCCCACCAGAGGAAGCTTCGACGAAGAGTACAGAAGCCGAACGCCCAGCGTGTCGCACAGCCGTTCTAACAGCAGATCGGCCAGTGCCCAGGCAGCGCCCGTGTTGACTCGATTTGACTCGCGTGAGCTTTATGATGATAACCACACTCCTTTGGAAAATGTCGAGGAATACGAGCCGCTGTTCCCAGAAGACGAGAACAAGAAGGACCGCCCTGTCTCGGCTGCAGACCGCTTTAAAAAGCGCCCAGAGTTATCTAAACACCGATTCCCGAGCCAAGATATCTGGGAAGATACACCGAACAGCCTGCAACTCCATGCTACTGTCAACACACCTGATCTTCCGAGAAGTGACTCTGCGGGGGCCTTCGAAACACCCGAACAAGAGGCAGTTCGGAGAATGCAAAACTCAAAGATAAATTCCCACCAAGTAGCCAGTCATATCCTCGAGGGTGAAAGCGCCCGCGAAAGCCCCAAGGCCCCGAAGCGCCCCGATGCTATTAAGCAGCGGTTCCCAAGTCGAGATATTTGGGAGGATGTACCCGACAGTCAGCAACTAGTGACTACTGTTGAGCCTGCAGACGATGAGATCAAGAGCCCAGAAGAGCCTGTTAGACCCTCTATCCCTGCTCGCCCGCAGAGACAGCCTCAGTCTACGTCACCCACGGAGAAACGCCAGCCGCCAGTGATTCCTGGCCGCCCGAAACCTCAAATAGCGGTTCGCCCCGCGAAACCTAGCCCCCAGGCACCGGCGAGCTCAGAAACTAGAGAAGCTGCAGTTGAAGGGCCAGCCATGCCCAAAGCAAAGCCCGCAGTGCCAGCTCGTCCCGGCGGCAGCAAGATCGCAGCTCTTAAGGCAGGATTCCTGACAGATTTGAACTCCCGTCTTCAGCTTGGCCCGCAACAACCCAAGCCACAAGAGAAGGAGCCAGAACCACCAGTTGAGAAGCAGCCACTGAGTGATGCCCGTAAGGGCAGAGCTCGTGGTCCTGCCCGGCGCAAGCCAGCGGCCGAGAATGCCAATGCCCGACTGCCGACTATTCCAGAGATCAAGATTACAGAAACATGGAATGTCTGGCAGGTTTGCGAGGATGGAAACCTGCTTGTTGGTGACGAGAAAATTGACACTCAGTTGCCAGAGAAATCAATTCAATCGGAACCTATCGTCGCCCCGGAGATCGCGAAGAATATTGCTGGTGAACCCGTTGACCCCACTCCGGAGTCTCCCATCGCCGCGGTTGAACTTTCTTCCAATAACAAAGACGCAGCCACTGAAGTTGAACAGACTTCCACGGCAGAGCCAGTGCCAGAGCAGATTTCCTCTCCCGTTATCGAGCCCCCAACTCAGCAAGACGAGCCAGAGCCAGAATCAAAACAAGAGGCAGTCCTGCCCGAATCTGCTCAAGCTCCTGCTGAAGAAGCGGTCTCCCTCAAGTTGGACGACGCCCTTGAGGATATGACCGCAGAGGCCGATAGCAAGAAGGCATCGGATGGCGACTTTCATGACGTGGTATCGTCATCTTAGTATCTGACCTGCTATGACTTTCCCATCTTCTATTTTCTTGACTTGTCTTCTTTGTTTGCATTTCCTATTTCTTCTTGAGCTGTTGATGATCTGAATATGGGCAATACGAGTGGAAGTGCATTTCCACGACGTATCACATACGCATCCTGCTAACCCTATTTATCCCACCCGAACCTGCTCAACCTATTGTTGCGTGTTGTTTTAATAAGTGATTGATTGAATCACCAGATCATGAATCTACTCCATTATGGCATTTTATTAGAATGCCACTTGGTTGATTTGGAGGCTGTCCCACCCGTCATTTAGCACTAGTGCGTTGAATGGCTTAAGGTCCAGTATAATCAGGTAATGTTTAGTATTTTTTAATTAGAGTATATAGCCGAGTAGACCGAATTTTGATGAGAGTTGGGTAGCACCACTCTACAAATCCGACTATACACAGAACTTCTTACTCCATACCGAGTCAATACAACCTAATAAAGAAATGTTCTACAGAACAGAAAGGAGCACGGGAGGCGAGGAACGCAACTTGATGTTGAATGAAATAACAATAAATGATAATGATATTGTAAGATCTGGTTTAGCTGACTGCCGATATAATACATGCATGGCATCGCAGACTATCGGCAAAAAAAAAACATTTTTGAACTGGAAATCGTAAATTCCGGGGTATTGCATCAGACAAAGAACCTTTTTTTTCACATTTTCTTTTTTCAAAGTCGGGAAAAAAGACCAATAGGAACCGATAGATATGTAAAAAGCCACAGATCATCAAGATAACGATATGTGTAAGAAAAACTGCACAGAATCATAGTTAAGAACTGGGTAGATTTAGCTCACAGGGAGCTTAGACATATCACCCCTGCCGTCCTTGATCCATTCTTTGTCAACCAAACGCTCACGCTCAGCATACAGCTGCTTGTAGGCGCCTCGAATGGTTCCGTCACTAACGTGGGCAACCAGAGAGATCTCCTTGGCAGACTTGCTGTGACCCATAAGGTACGAAGCCATGTAGATACAGGCAGCCACGATGGACAGGGGAGAACGACCAGCAAGGTCACCCATGGCTGTGACACGGTCAGAAAGCGAAGCAGAGACGCTGGTGACAGAGTATGGAAGATCGAGCAGGTTGCAGAAACGGTTGCAGAGGTCGCTAGGTTTAGTCGAGGTAGTAGCCGTGTAGTTATCAGTCGAATCTCCAGCACCGCCAGAAGCCTTGTTGCGCTCAATGTTCTGAGTTGTGAAGAACTTTTCAAGAGACTTGTAGATGCGGCCAATCTCCTTGCGAGTGACCTTGGTCACAGCGAAGATCTCAGTGAAGGTTCGGGGGACCTTGCACTGACGGCACGCGATGAAGATACAACCAGCAATAATCACTTCCTGGGATTTACCCTTGAAGGCCTTTGCATCGTCCACAACTTTGAAGAGATACTTGGCTGTATCTGCAACGTTCTTCTGGATGTTGAAACCGTCGCAGAGAGCACCGATCTCCTTGTATGCAGCCAGCAGCGCCTTGTTGGACTTCTCATTCGACTGCTTGTTCTGAGCACGGTAAAGATCGCGGGAACGACCAGTAGCTCCACTGGCGATGGTAGTCTCCAGCTGAGCTCCGTTCAGAAGGCTGTTTGGGGCATCTCCAACACGGGACGGATCGTCATTATTCTGATCATCGTTCGAGAAGGTTCGCCACTCGGAGTGCATATCGATTTCGCGATCGGCAAGAACCAAGCCGCAGGAGCCACAGACGGTTTCATGGGAGTCTGGGAATTCCAGGTTGGGAGGCACTTCCTTGCATTCAGGGCAGCAGAGGGTTGCAGAGAGATTCTTCTTCCACGGGGTCGTCGCCGCCGCTTCGGCTGCCATACCTAGAGTGGCCATCTTCTTTGCTTGCCGAATTTGCTCGAAACGGGATTTCTGCCTCTTGGCGATTCTTTTCGCACTGATGGGAATGTTGTATTTGCGATTGTAGTAACGAAGGAAAAGTGGCGAATACACCTTGGCGGCTGTGCCACGAGTAGAAGAAGGTAGAAGCTATCTCCTCGGTTTGCGTGCACCACTACCCAGGTATTCATGTTAGCCCAGTCGTATCCAGCATGAATCCTACGACGACAAGCCAAGGGATAGTGTCACCGCCATCTGGATGGATATCCAAGTTGCGACACCACCGACTTTCCCGAGTCTTCGAGGCTGTCATTACCTTTCAGATATGGAGACGCACACGAATCAGATCACCCCCCAGTAGTGAGAAATCTTTCACTAGTCTGCACTTTCTTTGAGAGTAGAGAAAGAGATTCAGAGAGCCTCGATGCCTGAGCTTGTTCGACCACAAGGAACCAATCAAGGTCTCCGTAAGAGCGAGCTCACGAAAGGGGTCGGCGAACCGGTCGGCTGCAGGAGTGTAAAGAGCAGGAGAGTCGAGTTCCGGAGACAAGCTGAGGTTGGGGGTGAAACGAGGGGCGGGGGAGAGATGAGAGTGAAATCGAACCTCGAGTGAAGTGAGAGATGGAGGCACGGTTGAGAACAATCCGGAGTATCACGTGATACTGACTCAGCGCCAAGCATTTACTTCCGAACAGAAGTCGTTTCGAACTTCACTGCACCGGAACGACGGCTCAGATCTCCTTCCTCTCGAGAATCCCCTCACTCTACGTCTACCGACTACCCCCGTCGTCAAGATGATGTCTCAGACTCTCCGGGCTTCGGTAGGTTCATATTGATGGTGATTTCTAACCAACAAGCTAACGCGATCCCGAACCAGCGCTCTCTCTTCACCCGTGCCGCTCGGCAACAGGTCCCGGTCGCTCGCACCTTCATGACCTCCGCTGTCCGCCGCGGTATGTATCGGCCCTTGAACCCTCCGAGAGCTCACGCGACCTACTCTCAGCTCGATACTCGATCTCGCCTGTTCCCTTGACTAACTTCACCCCTTCCAGCCGACCCCGTCCAGGACTTGTACCTCCGTGAGCTCAAGGCCTACAAGCCCACCCCCATCAAGGCCGGCGACGCCGATGCCCACGTCCAGAAGTTCGCTCTCCCCAAGGCCCCCGCTTCCCCCGAGGAGGCCAACCTTGCCAGTGAGCTGTCCGCCTACGAGCAGTCTGTCGTCGAGGTTGAGGGCCAGGCCGCCGCTGGTGAGGCCGCCCCCGTCGAGGAGAGCTGGTTCGTTGAGGAGGAGGAGGAGGCTGCCGCTGCCCACTAAATTTCCCTTTCTTTCATTTGGTCAGGTCTGGGGAATTATGGAGATACGGTCGTGCATGCCTGTGGCGTGACTAAATTGGCCGCCTCTTGGGTCCTGAAGCTTGTAAATTAGACCGCCCGTGAAATGTTCAACTTCTTTTTATCTTGTTCTGGATGTGATTCTCCTGGAGATCTGTTTCAATCTGCTTCATGTTGGTCCTCGAGCTGAAGCAAACAACCCTGGGACATCATGCCAGGTGCTCGTGTGCCCTTGGATAGGGTGCGACAGCCTTGGGGGATTCCCGTAGGTATGGATTGTGACGACTCTCAACATATGTAGTATATAATGCCATACGCATTCCACGACTTCTTAAGTCTAATTCATCATGTGTGTAAGGAATGGGATCGCCACATTGACGTCTTGGAAGTGATCAATATTGCGAGCCACGTAAACAATGGCTCAATTGATCCCACTTCATCTGATAACAGGTTAAGTTCCCAAGGTTTGAAGGCCCAGGTGAAAACTCGATTCCAAGATTATCGATTGATCTATGAGACTAGTCCGACTATACTTGCGCCAGGGAATTTACCAACTACTAGTAGTGTTTCTAGCTCACCATGCAAACGCTAGTTAATAATTACTACAATAATGTCAATAGACAGAGGGGTGCTCCGATGCCGGCGACTGGTACTGCCGAATTAAGCATAAACTAAGATACATAACTATGAAACACTTGGAAGGGCTCTATTTAAGGAGCATCATTGATTTGAATTGTCAAAATTATGATTCAAATGTTATCTTTATTCAATGTTGGAGGACACAACTATTCATCCATATGGTACATATCTTTGGTAGTCTTGGGAGAATGCAGGGTTGCATAGGGAGAGTTATGGAAGTATAAAATCCCCATTGTCTGATTGATTGACATAGACAAGATACAATGCCAATCTTGTCTAAGGTTAAACGGAGACAATGAGAAAAAAAAGCAGTGATTTGACTAAGACAAAAATATGAAAAAGACAAAAAGAAATGATAAGAGTGGGATTTGAACCCACGCCTACAAACGTAGACCAGGAAATGATGTCAAGGTGGACCTTAACCTGGCGCCTTAGACCAACTCGGCCATCTTACCAATTGATGTAGGTTGCAGAGACTTTTGGTTATATGAGCCAAAACGCTCGACAGATTGTCAAAATGAAGGTCTGTTATCCAAATGCGAGCAAACTTCCACGTCGTAAAAGGTGGACCTGGGGCTGAACGCCCTGCATAACGAGCCTAATGACGTGTTCCTGTCCATGGACCGTCTGGCCGAGCTTATTTCTCGGTTGTTGATGCCTCTTTTTTTCTTTTTTGCCTTATCCGATTTCTATCGAATTGCTTTTTCTCTTTGTTTGTTTGTCAACCTTATGCACCGGTGATATTACCCGTCCTCGCAGGCCACACACTATTGATCGGCATGCAGCAACTATTATATAGCGCCTTTTTTTCGTTAACCCGGTTCAGCTGAATGCGTGGCTGGAATACGTCGGCAGGGGGGCCCAAAGATGAAACCATGGCCAAGAGTTTGCGCAATGCCCTGGGGAAATGGCCCTGAGATTACACCAGCGGAACCAACTTCAAACCCAAAAACACAAAATGGCCATGCTTGGCCAGGTCTATCCATGGCTCTTGACAGTGCTCTAGTGGCGAGAACCCCCTGCCGAGTGGGTAATGAACGACGATGATGTTCCACAGGACGGTCCAGATGAATATACATGTCCAGATGAATCTACCTCCCATGCCGATTCGATTGTAATCCTGGTCAGGTCTGGTGCATCAGCTGTACCAGTTCAAATTCAGGTGTTTCCAATTTTCCGTGCGGAGGAATGTGGGGCACCATGTCATTGTCGTTTGTTCTCTTATTCCTGTTGGGTGGGTTGATGGTGCCATTCAGAGGCAACATTCCATAGGTATTGGTAACTAAGAGTGGAATGTATATCCAATCCATGCGAGAGGACCCGAGTACATACAGGGACAACGAACATCTGAATACGGGCATGCGGTTGAAGCATATGCACTGTGGAATTAGATACATTGTATTATGTACCAGATAGATACCACATTGATCTATACATTAAAGCGGAAGTGGTCGGATCGGGTAAGTTGTATATGAACCTAATTAAGGCTGGACGCTGCATATCGCTTTGGACGATTTCCCCTCTTTGGGGCGAATTCTATCTATCTACGGAGTAAACAAATGCTTTTTTTTTTTTCAATTCTCCGGAGCCGATACGATTGGCGCTGTGCCAGGTTACAATCGGCCCCAAGGACAAGCTGGAAATAGCTTTAACTCATAGTGGAACACAAGATTACGCGAGAATGATGGCTACTTATACGGAGTGGGTTCTGTAGTGGTGGGGAACGGACAGCGTGTCTCACCCTTAGCATGGGGAGATTGGGTTAAGGGGAGAGAGGATCTGAATCAATTACAGCATTGATTTTCTTTCAATTTATCCAGTTTCAACTTTACATTTACTTGTCCTTTAAGCCTCTTGTTTCTCTCTCTCTCTCTCTCTCTCTCTCTCTGATATTTTTTTTTATTTTTTGGTCAGTGTCTGTCTCTTGCCAACTACCTCCTTCCTGATCTCAATAACCAATAAACAAAAACCTAAAAAAGAACAAGAAAAACAAAAAAAACAAAAAAAAAAAAACTCTCAAGCTCCAAATCCAATCATCACGTCTCGCATAAAACGGGGGCTGTTTATCCCTTTCATCAATTATTCTGTTCACCTTTTGAACTCCCTCACTTCCGCTTCCCCGCCACTACGCGACCGGACCCTTGTTCTGATCCCGAACCGCCCGTTAAAGCATTTCCCGACGCCGATCAATTTCAGGCCGCTGGGGTTCCCTTGACCGTAGCTGCACCGGCGATCCATCTATCTACAGGTCACCGACTCTGCCACTTTTTTTTTGTCTTCTCGGATGTGCGTGCGCGTTCTGGTCTAGGAGAAATCTGATCTCTCCCCGCGTGTGACTTATCGAAAGGACCTCTGCGCTTCTCTCTGTTGGTCCCGTTTTCATTTGATTGGATCTGTTTTCCCTTTCTGAGGGGGGCTGCTGTGTTTACCTTTCGGTGGAGCTGGAAATGCTGCGCGTCTAAGCATTAACTATTGACCGGAAATCTTCCTGGTGCATGGAGGAGCTGGCCTTCTTCAAACACCCTCTTTAACTCTGCGGTGCTTCTTTCTCCCCCCGGGGAAATGTCCACTCGTTGACAGCTATTCTTCTAATTACCCCCTCCTATCATGTCTTCGCCCGTCGTCGAAAACACGAGTGTGTACATGAACGACGAAGGAAGTGACTTACCTCAACGCGCCGCCAGCTACACCGACCTCCCTAGCCAGACGAACACGGACGGCTCCAGCTCACCGAGCTTACGAAGAACCTTCTCCGATTATGCCGTCCCTACCCAGGCCGAATCGCCGACGAAGCCTACAAAAGAAAGCGTAGCTGCTGGGAAAGATATTCTGCGTCGCACTTCTCTCCGATCTAAAAATAGACTCTCAGCCGGCGTCTCTCATTTTACACTGTCATCATCCGAGGACTTGCAGGAATTGAAGAATACGGAACCACAAAATGCCCCAAAGCTACCAGAACACAGGGCGCCGGAGCCCGCTGCTCGACCGTCCAAAGGTCGTTCAATGTCAGGTCGGATAGTCAGCTTGGCGCGAAAGCCCTTCAGATCCTCGTCGAGATCACCTTCCCCTTCCACGGCAAAGCGAGTGAAACAGAGAGTAGAGGAATCCCCCACGCGATCCGGATGGCGCAAGAACGAGTCGGACTCTGATTCAGGACAGCCATCACGCAGGCGCACAATTCTATATAAACGGCCCCGTCGTCCCATGCTCGCAGTGGTAGCCAAAGGGCATGGGGATTCCCTCGGTTCACCAATTAGCCCTTCTGGGAACTCTGCACTACGACACCAAACCTCATTCGAAAAGTTTACTGCGTCTCTCTCTGTGTCGACACCGGTTCTTCCTCCGATGCCCAAGGGGGCTGCAGCTACAGCGGCATCATTTCAGAATAGCGCGCCTGAGCAATCCCGGAAAAAGGATGAGCTCTGGGGTATTTTCCGCGGGCTTGAAGCGGATTTTCAAAAGTGAGTTTCTGCGCTTGCTAATTTCTCTAAATGCCATTACTGACTCTTGAAAAAGGTTCCAATCCAAGTCAACCTCACTCAAGGCAAACGTTATTCGGACCGCCCTTCTTCCCTTTCTCAGCCGTCACCATCTGCACACCTCCTGTAAAAACCTTCGTCCCGAAGACTTGGATCGCCGGGTGAATATTCTCAACAAATGGTGGATCGGAATGTTGGAAATGCTCAATGGGAAGCATAACCAGTCGATATCTGGAACAGACAGGCCGGTGTTTTTAGAGGCCGTCGTGGGCATTATGACCCGACCAGAATGGCGTATGCCATATCCAACGGCACAGCAAACCAGCGGCGTCACGACTGACTCCATGCATTATGCGTCCACTTCTGTTTCAGAAACCTCCGAAGGTTCAGGCTCATCAGGCTCCGATTTCCTGGTTGAGTCGATTCATCATAATATCCGGAATATTTTCGTCCAGAACCTTTTGTCACAGATGTCGTTTGTTGTGGAACGGATGTCCATGAGACATGCACCTGCCAGTTTGGTGGCTTTCTGTGGGAAGGCTTGTGCGTATGCGTTCTTTTTCTGTCCTGGGGTATCAGATATCCTGGTTCGTTTGTGGAAAACTGCTCCAGCCATGTTTCGCCGCGTATTCTCCGAATCGACCGACTCTCGAGCTGCAGCCACACGCGCATACACACAAGAGCTCGCTTTGAATTTCCCGGCTTCCCTCCGTCCCTTGGCGTTTCACTCCCATGCGCCCTTGTTGCGCTATTTGCGAACGAAACCCGAACCCCCCCTTAACACGGCCAATATTCCTTGGAATGGACCATGGACGGCACGATGGTCTGGCCGCGATACTGATCTATTTTTCGTTTTCGTCAAGTACATCCATATTCTCTATGCAGAGTACTTACCCCCAGAGACACAGAAAGCAAAGCGAATTTTGGCGCCTGGCTTGCTTCTCATCCATGCGCAGCTTCTTGTCGCATTCGAGGATACCATTTACAAGCAGTCAATACAACCGTCAGCCGAAAATCCAGCTACAGCTGCCGCCATTACGTTTGATGATTATCTTGAATCACCAGACGCTTCTGCGGCTCCCCATCAAATCGGAGGTGCACGAAATAGCCACCGTTCGATGGCAGAGAATCGATTGATCATTCTTTTGCGCGACTTTCTTTCCGAATCCTCTGCAGAGCCGAATCGTGCACGTCTGCTGTACGCCGAGACTTTCTGTGGCCTTTTGAAGATTGTTGCCCAAAAGATATCCCTTTATGACCACAATGCTTGTTTCCTTCTGTGTGACTTTACCGAGGAGGCGATTCCAATCATCACACGATATGCGCAGTCAATCGAGACGGAGCTCTTTGATTGGACGTTTTGGCTAGAAGTGTGTCGCCGCATGAATCAGAGCCATAATTCGCTGACTGAAGTCCGTGTGTTTTCGTTCATCTACGCTGTATGGGGGACCTGGACTACCACCGATGAGAGAAAGGCCGGTCTCTGCCTCGACTACCTTCTTCATGAACCTGTCTTTTTCCATTATTTCAACCATTGGAGTCCTATGGTTCGTGCCTATTTCCACCGTCTGCTTTGCTGGAGGGTGGGTCGGTTCAGCGGAGATCCATCGGCGCTTGACTCGTGAGTTCCACCTCGATCCTCATCATGTGATTCACTGCTAATTCATCATTTAGAAATATCTATGAAACCCTTTCTGACCGTTTGTTACGAGTTTGGGAGTTTTATGTTGGGTTTCAATCAAAGGCTGAAGAGACACTCACGGCGCCATTATCATCTGCCCCCTGCACACCTGCTCCAGGACGAAGAATCATCATTATTCGATGTGACAATCAAATCTCCCCGGTGAATCTGTTTGTGTCTTTTGATCGTGTCGTTCCACCTATGTCCTCTGATCATATCATGACACATCGGAGATCCGGTTCCTCGGATTCAACGGGCTCAGATGGCCAGCCTTCTAAGCGTCGATGGGGTATTCTTCGGTCCATGTTTGGCAGCTCAACAAGTAGCAAGGGCACAGATGGTCCTGGCAGCGGCAGCAGCAGCTCTGACGATTCCGATGTCACCGGCATTGACTTGACCGTGACATCTGAGAGTAGATGTCTGGATGATCATGAGTTGACCCCAAACAACAGCTCGGATAATGTTGTTCGTCCCAAAACACCCCATCAGCCATTCTTCTTCAAATTCTCCCTGGAATGGATGGACCGGCCACAATGGCCCACAAAGAACAAGCGCCTTTTCGCCCCCTGCCTCCCCGTGGCATCTCAGATACATGTACAACACCGGCGTTCTCCCGATAAGCCTTCCGAGTTTGATGCCGATGATGATGACACCGGCTCAGAAGCCGTCACGGACCCCGAGATCATTCCCGATGCAGATCTATCTGATCCTGCATTAGACACCCAGTCACTCCCGACAGAACCCGTTTCAGAAACCCAAAACAGAAATCACACTACTAAGGACTCCCCATTACCAGAGCTTCCTTGTCAACCAGCTTATGGTCATCTGGTGCCTAGCAAATATGCTGGTCGTGCTCTCGCAGAGTGGGCTCACATTGTCTCTGAATGCGACAGCTTCTTTGCGCGACGACGCGATGAAGGTGTCCCGACCGACCGCGCTGTGGAGAACCCTACCCTGGGAGTCGAAAGTTTCCGCAAGTAAAGCGTCACACTTGTTCGTCCTCTTCAATTTCCCACACTCTCCTACACTCACCTACACCAACTCATCCGCACAACCACACAACCCATACACACACACACACCCTTCACTCACACTCCCTCCATCCATTTCTTTATATCTCTGTCTTCGTTCTACTTCTTCATTGCGCCGTGTGCATCGCGGGTTTGGAGCATAGGGTTTTGGCGTTCACAAACTCGACCTTCGAGGCTGGTTTTTTTCTTTTCTTTTCTTCTTTTGTATTCCAGCGAGATGCACACCTTTGACTACTACTTACTAGTACCCATTTAAGACTATTTCTATACATGGTAATTAATTCTTTCCTACCATGCTTCTCTCGACTGTACCTAGCCCAAATGAATACAAGGCCACTGGAATCGATCCCAGGCTTCTCTCTTGAGACTTTTACAATGTGTATCTTTAGTAGTCGGCTTGCAGTTTGCCAAAGACTGGTACCTGATACATGTTTATCAAGCACTTAAAGATAAGAACAAAAGTGTGCCAGGCGGGGGTCAGACTCACATTAAAATTTATGAACATTGTCTTGAATCAAGAACGCGTCCAAAATCTACATCACACATACGCAGTGCTAACTTTTCCGCAGACCCCAACCTGATTAATTAAGCTCATACTAAAGCAACAAAATATGGTACTTATTTTAGATAAATATTCCAAGAATTAAAGACTAGAAAGATTAGACATACTCAAGAGCTCAAATCAATGTCAAAGATAATCTCGATCAACATTCCATACCGTGGTCTTACCTCCCGACGCGCCCATTAGCACGTGGCGTAGAATGCGCGTCGCGATCGATCGACGTGATCCCAGCCCCCATCCCCATTTAAAAGTCCACCCCAATCCCCAGTTACCAAGTTCCCACAGCATCAAATCAATCACTCCCAAGTGGATCTCAAAGCTAAACCAAAACCATCTTCAATCCCCGGACTTGGCCAAACCACAACACCATCCGCATCCGAACCACGGGAACCAAGGGCAAAAAAAAAAACCCACTTTCCACCTCCATCCACACCCACCACCATGTTCGCAACACAATCCCCAACAACACCCTTCCGCCAAACCTCCCACTACACCCCCACGCGTCCATCCCCCCTAGGACCTCGCACCTCCAACATCGCCACTCCCCCATGGACAATGGGCTCCCCCCTCACGCGCCGCACCCGCACACCAAAAACCAGCCGGAGCACAAGAGAACTGCTTCGCCCCGATCTCGTTCCCTACCTTGGCGCTACACAGTGACACGCAGCGCCAACCACAGCACCACTCTTCCCCGTCAACGAATATCTTTGGCGCGTCCACGCCATGCAACTTCTTCCCTGCCCAGTCGAATCTCATGTCGCCCACCTCGCCTTCGCCGTCTACGCGCTCAACCAAGTTCGCGGACCGGTATGCGGCGCAGGTCGCGAATCCTATGAAGGGCTCTGCGGCGCTGGCGCGGTCGAAGACGCGGAAGATGTTTATGAATCGCGTGCGGAATGAGCGGGATGAGGGGCGCTTTGAGGCGCGGGGCGAGCAGATGATGCATGCGGATTACTTGGCTGATAAGCGCAAGTGGGAGGCGGCTATGGCGCGGGATTTGGATGGGTCGATTCAGGCGGAGGCGGAGGAGGATGATATGCTTCCTGGTATGTTTTTCTTCCTTTTTCTTTTGGTCTAGTGTTTGTTTTCGCAAGGGGTGCGTTTTGACTAACGTTTTTTTCTTTGCAGATGAGGATACTCGTGCTTTTGATGAATATGTCTCTCAGCAAGAGGCGATGGAGATGGCTCTGAATCAGACTGGGGATCAACAGAACTGTTCCTTCAGTGATGATGAGTATGATGATATTTTCATGAGTCTGCCTGAGCATGCGTTGTCTCATGATAATGAGTGCCAGGATATGGACATGTCGTGAGTTAATATTGTCTGAGTTTTGAGTTTTGGAGGTGTGGATGTTGTTGCATTTTTTAGCGTTTATTATCATTGCATCAGGGTGGTGTTTTTTTATGGATTGGATATTGGGCCAGTATTCATCATCTTGTGAATATCTCGGGAGTACATAAATTAATCAGGGTATCGGACGTGGTTGTGTATATTTACAGTACAGAGCAAGTCAATGAAGATGTTGTATCATCATGTCATATCGAAACCCTTTCAACTCTTCTATTGCTGCGGACATTCAGGGACTCCTCCAGCTGCAGCTGCAGCTCCAGCATTTCCCATATCACCCATATCCATGAGTGGATTCGAGATCAGCTCCTCTGGCGGACTACCGGCAGCTTGCATCTATCGAACCAATTAGTCAAGCCCCACCAAGTTGAATCGCGTTAAGAAAACGACCAAAACTCACCTCTTGCATCCGCTCCCACACATACTCCCTACACTTCGGATCATCATCCGAGTATCCCGCCTCCTCAAACTTCTTCACAATCTGCCCCACAACCTTGGCCTGCGTCTCATACCGCGTCATATCCTCAACAGAAACCTTCCCACCCGTCTTATTCTTCTCGATCCAAGGACCAAACTTATCATCCAGCTCCTTCATAGGCTCATACAGCATCTCCTTATTAGACAGCTGCTCCATCATGCCCATAAACATCTTCGACAAATCACCCTCGTCACCGCCCGCAGCCCCAGCCTCAACAGCCTTAAGCAACTGAGCAAGCATATCATCCGACAACCCATCGTCTTCCGTCGCCGCCTCCGTAGCCCGATCACCAGAGTTCTTCATGCGCTCCATGGTCCGTTGAATCGCATCATTAAAAGACTCATTGGGCTGCTCGGCACTGGAGCCTGATGCGCCAGTATCGGCTGGTGCACGCGCAGCAGGTGTGGGGTTACTAGGCGGCGCTGCACCGGCCTCGGCATTCCCGCCCTCCTCGGCCATCATATCAGCCAGCAATTGTTTCAAGAAGTCGCCTGGCGGGATCCCGCTATCGCCGAGCTCTTTGGCGAAGGCGTCGGCGCCTTGTTCTACCGAGGCTGCCATGTTAGGGTCGGCGCCTGCGCCGAATGGCATTGCGCCCGGGTTGGACATCATGTTGGCCATGTCTTGTTCGAGCTGCTTCAGGAAGGCATCTTCGTCGAAATCGCCCAGTGAGGCCTCGGCTGCCGCTGGTGCGGGGGCTGGTGCTGGGGCGGGCTGCGCGGGGGCAGGCTTAGGTTTGGAGAAGTCATCTAGAACGTCTGTTGCGGGGCAATATCTTGATCAGTTTCCGATATGACGGGATGGAAATGGAAGATGGATGAAATAGGAGGGGATGGAGAGGGGCAATGTAGTGTGTACCATCCAATTCGTCCAAGTCAGAGTCATCGTCGTCATCGTCGTCGTGATCGGCTTGCTGCTTCTGTGGGGGCTCTGCAGGTTGTGCTTGCGCAATGGGCTGGTTGGACGCGGGGGCCTCGGGGGCCGCAGGTAGGGTTGTATCCTCCCGCAGGTCGGGGCTAGAGACGTCTACCATGGTCGCCTTGTGTGTGATATTGATCTGCTATGAATGAAGAAGGAAAGAACGACCAGATCGGAAATGTTGTTTTGGTAGCCGGGGAAGGTGAAAGGTCCACGGCATGTGACTGGGGGATTTTGGCGGGGAACCGAATGCCGATCGCCGAGATGCCATGTTGCATACTTTGCATACTTTGCATAAGCTTAGTAAGTAATAGTATACATAACTAAACTAGCAACTACAATAACTAACTGCTAGTAGTTAAATAGTACTTATGTAAATAGTACATATTAGGTACTACATAGTACGTCAGAGGGGATTTTCCAACTCTCTCTTCCTATTCCGTATTGAGATCTGATCTGACTGGGTCCATCTCAGATGCAAGATGCAAGGATTGGAGATCAGTGGGCTGAATTGAATCATCCGGAGGTGCTTCGTGTATATACAGGATTGGGTTTATATGGGGCCAAGGTACACCCGCATATTATTCTAGACAAATAATCCGGGGATTCCCAATGGTTTAAGCCTTCCTTTATACGAGATGTAGTATGTGCTCCGTACTACCAATGTACCAGTGTACCAATCAGTCGATCTAGACGAGCTCGGAAGTCGGAAAATCAGTCATTCCAATATTGCATCATGGGCTTTTAGGGCCAAGAACGTGGAACCGCGTGATCGAAAAGAGGGTCAAGGCACCCGTGGGCCTTTCTCTAATGACCTGCCTAGATCGGTGCCAAGCCTGTACTTTTACCAATGCACCATGTTTGGCACTAGCCTTGCCGCCTTAAGAGCAAATTTTTTTCACTTTTTCGCCCCTGAGACCCCGCGGTGAGCTGAACCAGCATAGGCGGAAAGCACCGAAGTAGGCACAACGTGACCCCCGGTGCGCCCCGGTATCGGCTAATCGGCCAACTTGGTGACTTGCAGTGACTGGGAGTACTTGACTTGAGTAGCATCACTCCATATACTCTCGAGGTATACTTCCGTTTAGTTATACAAAATGACAAGATTCTCCGCGGAACTAAATCCTGCCTTGACGTGCGTGGCAGGTTTTTCTTTTTTCTCTTTTTTTTTTTTGTTGTTCTGCTCTTTTTTTTTTTTCTCTTGTTCCCCACATAGCTCCTTTAACCCACCTCGTATGACCACTAAGGATGTTGAGAACTTGGTCTTTCAACCAGTCTGAAGTCTGATGGTGGACCCGTGCCGTCACAACCAGACATGGTTGAGAACGAAGGCAAAACCCCCAAATAAAAAATAATAATAAACGAAAGGAACAGAGCAAAAGAAACAGAAGAAAAAAGAAAAAGGAAAAGGAAAAAAAAAAAAAAAAAAGTCAAAACTAACTAGGCGAGCCCCTCTCGTCTGACCCTTTGGAACAATAATATTAGTCGATTTTTACTCAATCGTTTTATTCACATTTCTTCTCCTCCTCGCCCCATTCCGTTTATCTCAATTCTTCTGACTCTTCTTTTCTCATAATTTCAATTTCTTTTATGTCACTCTCTTGCCTCTCACTCGTCCCCTGCTAACCGCCGAGCCGCGCGGTTGCGTTTCTGATTCGGTCTCTTGTTCCCTCTGCCGCTTTCCCCCCTAAAGCCCGTGGTTCGGCGGGAGAAACGAATATCCCTGGTCCGTGTTGTCAAAGGACAAGACGTGATCTTCGTTAAGTAAGAGAAATCAAGATCACTCCAATCCAATGGTCTCTATGGTCGAGACCTCCCATCCCGATCAGAATGACATGGGCATGGATCCTGTTGTACCCAAGACCGAACCCATGCTAGAGGGTTCGATCAGTTCAACCGTGTCGACGCCAGATCCCGAAGTCGAAGCCTTGACTCAAGACCCTGCGCAGACTCAAAAGCGAAAAGGTGGTCGAAAACCTGTACGTAACAACTTTGCTTTGCAGCAAAAATCCGGGGCCCCGCATTCCTTTTTATTTCTTTTATTCTTTTTATTTTTTGTTTTTCCATTTTCTTTCGATTATCTTTTTTATATCTTTTTATATCTTTTTTTCTCGATCTCATCCTCTTATCATGTCATTCTGTTTGGCCCATCTGCACCTTCCCGCATCCCCTTATCTTTCCCCTTTATCTATCACTTGATCTTATATTAACCTTGCATCTTAGATTTACGCCACTTCCGAAGAAAGGAAGCAGCGCAATAGGCAGGCTCAAGCTGCTTTCCGTGAACGCCGCACGGAATATATTCGGCAGCTCGAGACCACCATCAAGCGCAATGAAGAGTCCTTGCAGAGCTTACAGCAGAGTCACCGCAGTGCCGCGGATGAATGTCTGATGCTCCGCTATAAGAACTCCTTGCTCGAGCGCATCCTGCTTGAGAAAGGTATGCACCCCTTGCGTCCGACTTGCATTCCACCCCCGCTTTTGGACTAACCCCGGACTTTCCCAGGTATTGATGTGCAAGCTGAGTTACGGATTAAGACTGGCGCACCGGGGGCCCAGGCTAAGACTACTCCGATGCCACCCAAGCCTCCGGGTCCCACGGGGCCTCGACCCGCGCAAAGGCATCCTGGCCTTGCCTCCAAGCAGGATCCGTTCGCCATGTCGCAGCGCGACGGTGCGTATGGGGTCTCGTCGCCACAGTTTCAGCCGACGCCGACATCTCATGTCTCATCGCCATCGCATGTCAAGTCACCTGGCTTCGGCTTCCAAGCTGGCATGTCCCCCGCTGACCCGCAAGGGACTGGGCGTCCGCAGCTACTGCCACAGCCTAGGGCTTTCAATAATCAGACTTCCCCGCCGGCTATCAGTATGCCGCAGACTAATCCAAATGAACCCAAGTTGCGGGGGGCGCCGCGTGGCCAACAGCGGGTTGCAGCTAACTATTACCCGTCTCCTTTCCAGAAACATTATGATCAACTGGGTGAGTTAACTTTCCCGGAATGAATTCCCCCAGAAAAGAAAGCCAAAAACACAAGGAATAGAGAAAAAGAGATAAAGAAGACAGGCTCTTGAAAAAAAGTTAATGATCGTGGCTAACTAAAATTTACAGAACAAGAGTATGATGCACAGGCTGACATGGTGGATGATGACCATGATGGTTCAGTGAATACATCATATGTGCCCGGATTCACACCACAGTCGGTTGCCTCCGGCTCGCATAATTTGTCTGGCTTCAATCCTCCCCCCGGCGGGGACGGAACGCCCGGAGACTTCGGAAGTGCAAACCAAATGCTTGGTCAATATGAACCGATGCTAGATGCTGATCCATTTGGACTCAGCGCAAGTATGCATTTCCCTACGCCATTCAACTATGAGCAAAGCAATTCCCGCAACTAAGCCGATGCATGCATGTATCGATTTACTTCGATATAATTATTATCGGAACTTCAATCTCATATACCCTTTGTTTTGAAGTGGGAAGAAGCGACGAAGGAGAAAAAAAAAAGCATTTCGCGGGATTCTGGGGTTACATTGGGTTGGCTTCTAAAAAAAAAAGTTCTTCATTTTCGAGCATTGCCTGGCGTTGATCATTGGGATTTTTTTGGTGGTTTTTGATACTGATATTTTGATACCATCGGATTGTGCATTTGTGCAATGGAATAAACAACTCCTTTACTAGAGAACCAGGGCCTTCAAAAGCTCATTAAATAACATAATTAGACCAGGAAGTAGCTCGAGGTTGTAGAATGTATGATGCCATCTAGTGACGCCATGATACCCTAAGCCCTAGCCTGATTCGCTTAGTAAATGGCGCCTAACCGGATTCGTGCTGCACCACAAACCCTCAACCTTCCCTTCCTAAGACTACACCCCTTCAATCACTATCAAATTAATAGGCTGGATCTGTTGAGGTTCTGCCTTGTGCCTACCTTTCTACACACCCTAGTGATCGTTGAGTGCCTCCCGCGCCGGAAGGAACTCCGCAACACCAGGCGTCATGGTTGACGCCATCCGGTCTAAGGTACGCTGAAAGTGGTCGAAATCATGAGCGGAGCTCGGCCCTGCGACACAATTGGGCTTTTATAGCAAGCGCCGTGGCTAACATCATTGCGTCTTGCTTTTTCTTCGAAACAGAACCTCTACGAGCTTCTCGGTATGTGATTCTCGAATCTGAACTATGAGCTTCCGTGTATTCCGTTTCCATGATCCAATTCATGGTCGGGAACCCACCCCTCATTTTCAGAGCATCTCCCAAGCTTCCAAAGTCAACCTCCAAACTAACCCTTTCTTCTTCTGCTATCTAGGTAACGACCCCGAGCTCGACCCCTCCAGACCTGCTCCCCCTCCCGCCCGGGCTGTCGACCGTCCCGCTGCCCGCGTTGGCAAGCGTGATGCTCCCAAGGAGGCTCCTACCGATGCCGCCCCCCGCACCGAGAACAACAACCGCCGTGGTGGCCGTGTGACCGCTGGCAACGACGCTGGTATGTGAAATCAAATCGGTTTTTGAAGAGTTTGGTGGGGTAGATGAAGTGTGGGGAAAGCTTGATAGGAAGCATCGGAAGCTGACAAGCTTGGCCTCTTTAGCCTACCGCGACCGCAACGCTGGTCGCACCAACAACCGCTCCAAGCCCACTGAGGAGGCCGAGGGACAGACCTCGCGCCCCCGTGGCAACCGTCCCCCCCGTGGAGACCGCCAGTCCCGCACTGGTCAGACGTAAGCGACCCTTTCTGTTTCTCTTTGGAGATGATTCCATCCAAGCAAAATCAAGCCACACACGAATCGAAAGAATATCAAAAACCTGAATAATGGAGACGAGCGAGATGATGAAAAAGAAATTCTCAATCACTCTTTCGACAACAGTGTGGCAAAATCGAGCTTGACCCCGCAATACAGCGTAACTAACGAATATTTCCGATTACAGCGACACTCGCAAGCAGGTCCAGCAGGGCTGGGGCGGCGAGTCCGGTGAGAAGACCTGGGACGACGAGCGTGTTGGCGAGACCATCGCCAAGGAGGACGACAAGGAGCCCCAGACTCCCGCTGAGGAGACCGAGGAGGCCGACAAGTCCAAGTCTTACGACGACTACCTCGCCGAGAAGGCCGCCCGTGACAGCCTTGCTGCTAAGCCCGTCCGCTCCGCCAACGAGGGTGCCAAGACCGACAAGAAGTGGGCCGCTGCTACCGAGCTGAAGCGCGTTGAGGGTGAGGCTTTCATTGCCCCCACCTCCGAGAAGAAGCAGCGTGAGAAGCAGCGCAAGGAGAAGAACTTCCTTGACGTTGACATGCGCTTCGTTGAGCAGCCCCGCTCCGGCCCCGCCGACCGTGCCCCCCGTGGTGGCCGTGGTGGTGACCGCGCCCCCCGTGGTGACCGTGCCGAGCGCGCTCCCCGTGGCGACCGTGCCCCCCGTGGTGACCGCCCCGCTCGCGGTGGTCCCCGTGGTGGTGCTCCCCGTGGTGGCCCCTCTGGTGCCCCCCGCGGTGCCGCTGCTGCTCCCCGTGGCGGCCGTGCTGCCGCCGCCGGTCCTACCGTCGACGAGAAGAACTTCCCCAGCCTGGGCGGCAACTAAATTTTCCCCCCCATTATCGTGCCCCCTTCTCATTTCGCCCCAGCGCTGACTTAAAACGGGAAACGAAACTGCTGCCCAGAACCAGCCCTTGATTTCTGCTTCGCTCTGTTTTCTTTTCTCCCTCTGGTGCCCGTTTTTTCCCTTTTCTCTTTCTTCGGTCGTGGAAGGAGGGATGTGATGATACTATCTATTGTTCGTGGTCTGTGGTCCATGAAATCCTCAACTGATGCTCTATGTGTGTTGGATTTCTTCCTATTTTCGTTATACGGGACTTGAAGTGAGCCAGGGGGGTTGGAGGAAGAGAGTTCAGTGCGCAGACAATTGATGGTTGTTGAAATGAAATGAAGAGATCGGTTTGTGTTTTAATCTTTTTCTGTTCTGGGCCGCGCTCTAAAAAATATGGCCACAGCCTTTTGATTTTGTACTTCTTTTCTCGGATCCATGATTATAATCTCCTGGTCGTTAAAAGAGTGGATTGTCTAGGCTGTGTCTTGTGTCTACTGTGCTCTTTTAACATGTGTGCAAACAAACGTGAATTGGATGAACTGAAATTCAAAAAAAAAATCAAATCCTACTAGTATGTAAATGTAAAAACCTTCCTATCATGACTAGAGAGAGCATATATTAAAGTCAAGAGGATACGGAGTAAAAGCTTTGTTGCTTACTCCGTATGGGACTCGACATTAACCCTGGAAAGTGGAGCGGGGTTGTGTTCGGCATAAAGCCCGGAGATCGAATCCTTCTCTGCATATGATTTTTTTTGACAAGGCAGGGATGTCTTGGAAAGCCATTTCTCCGAGTCTGGCATGGTTGGCACTATTTGCAATTGATTCTATTCGCTGGATTTAACATGGTTTACTCCGTCATTTTCTAGCCCCGAAATGCTATGTATTGTGCAGCTTTAACGCCTCCGGATTTACGAACTTGTATGTAGTATGGACAAACCAAGACAAAACAAAAATCCACCCGCGCTCCAATCTTCAAACCCAAAGGCAATAGCTATAAAATGGGCCATATAGAACTTCTAAATCAGACATTCCAGACTAGATTTCCCACTATCATCCCAAGTTCCCATACACCCACAGAAGCAATCCCACACTCTGATTATCAACATTGAACCATCCACCATGTCTTTATCAGGCAAAGTAGCCCTAATCACCGGCTCCTCCCAGGGAATCGGCAAAGCGACAGCTCTCCGTCTTGCAAGCGAAGGTGCCAGCATAGTCATCAACTACCGTTCCGACTCAACGGCCGCGAATAGCGTCGTCGAGCAAATCGGTACAGATCGCGCCCTAGCCGTCCAAGCAGATGCCTCCAAGCTCTCGGATCTAGACCGTCTCGTCGACGCAACAGTGGCCCGATTCGGCAAGATCGATATCCTCATACCCAACGCGGGAATTCTTGCAATGAAGGATCTGGAAAATACCACCGAGGCCGACTTTGACAGTTCATATAACCTGATGGTCAAGGGACCGTACTTCCTGGCACAGGTAGGTTCAGCCGATGCTTATGCTTCTTTTTACATCTTCTCTGAAGAAGCTCTCAGCACCAAGCACCATTCAAGACACAGTCACTGATCAGTACCGCTATATATAGAAAGCCGCGAAACACATCCCATCCGGAGGGCGCATTATCTTCGTTTCCACCAGTCTCAATGCCGTATCGAGTATCGCGCCTGCTTATCTTCTGTATGTTTCGACCAAGGGTGCCATTGAGCAAATCTCCCGTGTTCTTGCAAAGGACCTTGGGCGAAGGGGTATTTTGGTTAATGCTATCGCTCCCGGGCCGACGAGTACTGAGCTTTTCCTTGAGGGGAAGTCGGAGCAGGTCCTCGAGGCTATCGCTGGATCTAATCCGTTTGGTCGTATTGGGGAGCCGCGGGAGATCGCGGCTGTGATGGCTTTCTTGTCTGGGGCGGATAGTAGTTGGATGTCCGGACAGGTTGTTAGGGTTAATGGTGGGATGGCATAACCTTGGAATTTAGATGTCAGATGTGTAGTATGTATGTATGTATGAACATGAGTTTTAAATATTGAATATTAATCAATCAAATAGTTTTATGCTTTTGCCAGGATTTCTCAGCAAAGTTGTACAGGTTTTCAATTTGTTGAATAGTCAGTTCCTTTTTCTCTGGAGCTCGGATGCCGAGGAAGCTAGTAGCTCAAGTGCTTACTCAGGTGGTGACACTTCTGCAGAAAGTCACCGAACGATTATAAATCCAAGTGGGGGAATTGATGATGACCTCAATCCCCAACTAAATACTTAAAAGCCACCCAAAGTCTAGTGAATGTAAACCTTTACTTTATCTTCAAGAATCACAAAGCTTGCCTCATCACTCATCATGACTCGCCCTAATATCACTCTGTACACAGCTCAGACCCCCAATGGGATCAAGATCTCCATCGCTTTGGAGGAGCTTGGGTAGGACTTACTTCTTACTTCATTATCTCACTCAGTAACGCGACGTTGCTAAAAACTTTACAGCTTGCCTTACAAGGTCGAGGTCCTTGACTTTTCCAAGAACGCCCAAAAGGAGGAGTATGTATCACAATGCCAATGAGCTCGGCAGTAGCCAAGACTAACGGATACAAACAAACAGCTGGTTCCTCGAGATCAACCCCAACGGCCGGATTCCCGCTTTGACCGACGAGTTCACTGATGGCGAGAAGATCAATCTGTTCGAGTCTGGCGGTATCTTACAATACCTGGCGGAACAATATGATCCCGAATACAAGATCTCTTTCCCAAAGGGCACCCGCGAACACTACGAAATGACCAACTGGCTCTTCTTCCAAAATGCAGGCGTTGGTCCAATGCAGGGCCAGGCCAACCACTTTGCGCGATATGCGCCCGAGCGCATTGAGTACGGAGTCAACCGATACGTCAATGAGACTCGCCGACTGTATGGCGTGCTCGATAAGCACCTTGCCAAGTCCAAGTCCGGGTATCTGGTTGGCGACCATGTCTCCATTGCCGATATCTCACACTGGGGATGGGTGGCCGCTGCAGGGTGGCCTGGTATTGATATTGATGAGTTCCCTAACTTGAAGGCGTGGGAAGAGCTTATGGCTCAGCGTGAAGGTACGGAGAAGGGACGCCATGTCCCTTCCCCGCACACAATCAAGGAGCTGCTTAAGGATAAGAAGGCCATGGAGGAGAAGGCCGCTGAGGCCCGAGCATGGGTTCAGCAGGGAATGAAGGATGACGCAAAGAGCAAGGTTTAAAGCGCGGAGAACTGCATACATAATAATGAATCCTACAGAGTGACGATAAGATAAACCTCAATTCAATCAACCCCAATCTCTTAAAAACCATCTCCAATTTAATTTTTATTGTATGATTCACCGCCTTCTGTCCATTCTTCAGCACGTGACCGGTGGCCACTTTTCGTTCAGAAGCTTCGTGACTTTTATTATCTTTTACCTTAAACTTGTGTCTCTTTTGATTAACCGACCTTTTTTGAATCTCAAAAGCCATGGCCTGGCGCAACCAAGGAACCACAGGTTCCAACAATATTCCCCTGGGTGCGCGCCGTCGCTTCCAGGGTGATGAGGAAGATGATAGTAACAATGCGCCTCCGTCTATGCCTGATGGCCCTAAGCGTGGCCGCAGCCCCGTTCGAGGTATGTTATCACTCCTGTGTCCAACTTTCCGATATCATCTCTAACGTTTGTTTTTTCCCCCGATTTTAGCCGAGGCCCCAGCAGTAGATGGTGATGGCGTGAAAAGGCGCAAGAAGCGCAACCGCTGGGGAGACCAGCAAGAGAACAAGGCCGCTGGTCTGATGGGCTTGCCCACCATGATCATGGCCAACTTCACCAGCGAACAGCTGGAAGCTTACACTTTGCACCTGCGTATCGAGGAGATCAGCCAGAAGCTGCGGATCAACGATGTGGTCCCTGGTGATGGTGACAGGTAAGTACTGCCCTTTGATGATGATTGTGGCGTTATCCCTTATTAACACAGAAACAGATCCCCCTCGCCCCCTCCGCAGTACGACAACTTTGGTAGACGTGTGAACACTCGCGAGTACCGCTACCGCAAGCGACTCGAGGATGAGCGTCACAAGCTGGTCGAGAAGGCCATGAAGACCATTCCTAACTACCACCCGCCATCTGACTACAGACGCCCTACCAAGACCCAGGAGAAGGTCTATGTTCCCGTGAATGACTATCCAGAGATTAACTTCAGTATGATAACTAACCCTCTAACTCCTAACTGTCCCTCCGCTGTGTCTGTCATGGCTCCCTACTCGACTCGAGCCGACGAGACATTTTCATGGATGTCCTCGGCCCGTTTCTTGATAACACTTGGTGCTTGATGTTGCACATACTTAACAAATTACCGGATGACTAACACTTAGCTCTTTGCTATCTTTTTAAAGTTGGCTTACTTATAGGACCTCGTGGAAACACCTTGAAGAAAATGGAGACCGAATCTGGTGCTAAGATTGCTATTCGTGGCAAGGGCTCCGTCAAGGAAGGAAAGGGCCGGTCTGATGCCGCTCATGCCAGTAACCAAGAGGAAGATCTTCACTGTCTGATCATGGCCGAGACTGAAGAGAAGGTGAACAAGGCCAAGAAGCTGATCCACAACGTTATCGAGACCGTAAGTCCAGCTGCGACCCCTTTACTCTAAAGTCCACTACTTACCATTCTTGCCTAGGCCGCTTCTATTCCCGAAGGTCAGAATGAGCTTAAGCGCAACCAGCTTCGTGAGCTGGCCGCTCTCAACGGTACTCTCCGTGATGATGAGAACCAGGCTTGCCAGAACTGTAAGTTGACATCCCTCCCATTACTTGTAATTCTCGATTCTAACTATACACAAGGTGGTCAAATCGGACATCGCAAGTACGACTGCCCTGAACAACGCAACTTCACAGCAAACATTATCTGTCGCGTTTGTGGCAATGCTGGTCACATGGCCCGTGATTGTCCAGACCGCCAGAGAGGTAGCGATTGGCGCAACAACACTGCCTTCCCAGGCGCCCGTGATTCTGGCGCTCCTCGTGTCTCTGGTACTGGTGATGCTGTCGACCGTGAGATGGAGGTAAGTTTTAAATTCCCATCCTAGCTGATATATTCTGAATACCCACTTACATTTCTCACAGCAACTCATGAATGAGCTTTCTGGAGGTGCCCCCGGCGAGTTCCCACCCCGTCGTATTGAAGCTGGTCCTGATCAGGGCGCTTATCCTCCTCCTGCTGGCGACCGTGATGCGAACCCCTGGCAGCAGCGCGGCCCAGGAGGCCCTGGTGGCCCACCGCCACCCCCACCCAGTGATGTGGCTCCCTGGCAACAGAGACGTGAGAATCGCCCCCGCGATGATCGTCCCCGTGATGACCGTCCTCGTGACGACTACGGTTCCCGCGATGACTACGGTTCTCGTGACAATGGCCCTGCTCCTTGGGCCCAGAGACGTGGTGGTGGTGACTCTGGCGGCTACGGCGGCAATAGTGGTGGCTACGGCGGTAGCGGCGGCGGTGGCTATGGATCTCAAGGTGGCTACGGTGGTAACGGTGGCCACGGCGGTCACAACAGTGGTGGTAATGGATATGCTGCACCTGGCACCGCTCCGGGCGCTGCTCCGGGCGCTGCTCCCTGGCAACAACAGGCTGCTCCCGGTGGTCAAGCTGCATACGGATATGGAGGCTACGGTTATGCTGCCCCTGGTATGGCCGCCCCTCCTCCTGGAATGGCTCCTTGGTCCTACGGAGGTGCTCCTGGCGCTCCTGGCGCTGGAAGCCCCCCGCCTCCTCCCCCTCCTGTCGATGGACCACCCCCTCCACCTCCCAGTGACCAGCCCCCTCCCCCTCCCCCGGCTTAAACTAATTCCTTGCGTGCAATCGGTTTTTCCGGTGACAAAACTCTCCAGACTGTTTGCTTTCCTTAATCAGTGATACCGAAGATGGGCCTGGTTCTTTCCATCGTTTTCTATGTGAAGTAATATTTTTTTTAGCTGTGAATCTACCTGAAGCTACCTGAAACGGGTATGAAATCTTGCTTTATCCATTTTTGTAGAATCCAAAGAAGTACCAGGTAGAATCTCCTAGACTGGACGGGCATTCAAGACCATACTGCCAACAAGTGCCTGATGCCTAAGGCCGTCAAATCTTGGCTCCAACTTTTCTTCATCCCCGCAAATTCCCCCGGCATGATTACATCCCGAAAGCTTCGTATATACCCTAATTGGTAAAGCTTTTATCGAATGCGCATGGGGAGTTGCACCTCAACAGCTTAATATTATCTCCAGTATACTTGCAAATTTTGTCGCACGGGGAGCTGTCCCGGAAGCCAATATGCAAGCTTCCGCTTCGTCCACTCAGCGGAAAACGTCTTGGCAGTCTCAGCGCAAGCCGTCCGCGCGATCAACGACATCAAGCCATGCTCCATCTTCATATCATTCGACCATGTCTGCAGCTCCCGGTGTTTTACAGGAAGAGCCTTCGCGCCGTACTTCTACAGCGACGTCGGCTCAGTCCTCTCAGCCAAAATGGTGGCGCGTGCATTTATTTCGAGGCATGATCAACGATGTCAAGCGCCGAGCTCCGTATTATTGGAGTGATTGGACAGATGCCTGGGATTATCGCATCGTTCCCGCGACGGTGTACATGTATTTTGCTAAGTATGCATTTCGCACATCCACGGAGTTGGTTTGGGGTTGAATATCTTTGAATACCAACCACTCATCCCCTGATAGAAAAGTACTCATACTTGTCTTAGTATATTACCTGCGTTGGCGTTCTCATTGGATATGTTTGAAAAGACGAATCAGAGCTACGGCGTCAATGAGGTTCTGCTTGCTTCTGTTCTTGGAGCTGTCGTGTTTTCTCTATTGGCAGCCCAGCCATTGGTCATTGTCGGTGTTACTGGTAAGTCACATACGCTTTCGCTTTATCTAGCGAATACTATGGACCGAAATTAATAGCTCATACATAGGACCTATAACCGTGTTTAATTATACGGTCTACGATATCATTAGTCCCCGAGGAACCCCTTACCTCGCATTTATGTGTTGGATTGGAATGTACGTCCGTTCTTTGTCCCCTCGTTCTGCTTATCATGCATATGCTCACGCTTAACCTTCAGATGGTCGTTGATTATGCATTGGCTCTTGGCAATTACAAATGCATGCAACGGCCTTAAATATGTCACTCGATTCTCGTGTGATATCTTCGGTTTCTATGTTGCCTGCATCTATCTCCAAAAGGGAATCCAGGTTCTTACGCGGCAATGGGGAAACGTTGGGGAGACTTCAGCATATCTCGCTATCATGGTAGCCCTCCTTGTCTTAATGGCTGCTTGGGTTATCGGAGAGCTAGGCAACAGCAACTTATTTCAACGATATGTTCGGAAATTTCTCGAAGACTATGGCACACCCTTGGTCATTATCTTCTTTACTGGTTTTGTTCACATTGGTCACATGCGTGATGTTGACGTCGCTACACTCCCTACCAGCAAGTCGTTCTTCCCCACGCTTGATCGGCCGTGGCTGGTGCATTTCTGGAATATCGATGTCGGGGATATTTTCCTAGCCATTCCCTTTGCAGTGCTCTTGACAATTCTGTTTTACTTTGATCATAACGGTGGGTGTTTCAAAAATACTAGTAGTCCAATTCTTTGTTCCACGACTAACTTCAACCAGTCTCATCTCTCATTGCACAAGGAACCGAGTTCCCCCTTCGCAAGCCCGCTGGTTTCCACTGGGATATCTGGCTTCTCGGCCTTACAACCTTTGTTGCTGGCCTTCTCGGAATCCCTTTCCCCAATGGACTTATTCCACAGGCGCCCTTCCACACTGCAGCTCTCTGCGTGACACGCCAGGTAGCCGATGATGATGACACCAACAAGGGCAAAGCCATCCGAGTCACAGACCATGTAGTGGAACAACGGGTCAGCAACCTCGCTCAAGGTCTTCTCACTCTCGGGACAATGTCCGGCCCGCTTCTGATAGTCCTTCATTTGATCCCTCAAGGTGTCATGGCTGGTCTTTTCTTCATAATGGGAGTTCAGGCTCTCCAGGGTAACGGCATTACTCAGAAGCTAATCTTCCTCGCCCAAGACAAAGAATTGACTCCTGCATCCAACCCCCTCAAGCGGATTAAACGCAGATCCGCTATCTGGGCATTTGTGATCATTGAATTGCTTGGCTTTGGTGCCACGTTCGCAATTACTCAGACCATTGCTGCTATCGGGTTCCCAGTCATCATTCTTCTTTTGGTACCTGTACGCTCTTTCTTGTTCCCACTTTGGTTTACCCGAGAGGAATTGAATGCTCTAGATGCACCTACAGCTAGTCCGTTCACTATGGAGAGTTGTGGTGGTGTACATGGGCTGGACGAGCAAGAACCTGCAGAGGAGACATCCAGTGGAGCACAATCGAGTGATGGAAATGGCGTTCTACGAGGTCGGTCATCTTCTTCGGAATCTGCAGTCGAGGACAATGATCTGGAGCGTGGAGAAGCCTATGAGCTTCGCTCGTCTATGCGGAGAAGAAGTACAACCAGTCGAGCGGATTAATGTGGTAGTTTGGTCAATAGAGAGACGTTAAAAATATAGAGAATGAGTTCAAAAACATTGAGAAATCAAAGGTAAACTCGTACAGAACAGAGGGATTACTTCCTTAGCAGGTTGAAGAGTAAAAAGACAAAAAGACAAAAAGACAAAAAGAAATGATAAGAGTGGGATTTGAACCCACGCCTACAAACGTAGACCAGGAAGTGATGTCAAGGTGAACCTTAACCTGGCGCCTTAGACCAACTCGGCCATCTTACCAATTGATGTAATAAGCAGAGATTTTTGGCTTTATAGCCCAAAAGAAATGTACATTGCACTCAAAATGATCAATGTGCAAATTGCGGAGTGAAAGCGGAGAGGCGGCCTTCCTTAGTGCCCGACATATTAAGCGGCCAGCACTCACACCGCCAGATAATTATCGCATTTTCTGCCGCAAAATTATTTCTCTGGCAACAATCAAGATCAAAGCTGCAACCACAATGGCTTCCTCACAAGATGATCTGAAGTCTGACGACTCTTACGTCTCTGATGCTTCAGAAGAGAACCAGGTTGACGCTCAAAACCGAGCTCCCAAGCGACGCCGTCTCTCCGAGTCTTCCAACGACTCTTATGTTGCGCCAGCACCTCTCCCCACTCTATCCCGTATTAAGAAGAAGGACGATACGAAGAAGACCGAATCAGACGAAGATGAGAACCCAGTCACAATTAAGGATGCCCTTGAGATTGGCTTACAGGCCGAGCGGTCCACTTTTGGTGCTCTCGATGTGTCACCGTGGTTGGTAGGATCTTTGACTACTATGGCTGTTCGACGGCCCACAGCCATTCAGAAGGCGTGTATCCCTGAGATTTTGAAGGGTCGGGATTGCATTGGTGGAAGTCGGACTGGTTCCGGAAAGACCATTGCGTTTGCTGTTCCTATCATGCAGAAATGGGCCAAGGATCCCTTTGGAATCTTTGCTCTGGTTTTGACTCCGACTCGGTATGTTCATTTGCGCAACCTCCATCTAGAAACAAGAATTAGTTCTTGCTAACATGATTGTCTCCACAGAGAGCTTGCGCTACAGATCTTTGAGCAGTTCAAGGCTATCTCGGCGCCACAATGTATGAAGCCTATCCTTATCACCGGTGGTACGGATATGCGACAACAAGCAACCGCCCTTGCAGAACGCCCCCACGTCGTGATCGCAACTCCAGGTCGACTTGCGGATCATATCAAAACCTCTGGGCAAGATACAATTGCCGGATTAGGACGTGTGAAAATGGTCGTGATGGATGAAGCAGACCGACTGCTCGCAAGTGGACAAGGAAGCATGCTGCCGGACGTAGAAACCTGTCTATCAGCTCTCCCACCATCAGCAGAACGCCAAACTCTCCTCTTCACAGCTACTTTGACAGCGGAAGTTCGATCCCTGCAGTCCATGCCCCGCCCAGAAGGCAAGCCGCCAATCTTTGTGACTGAAATCGCCACCGAAAACCAGGGCAACATCCCCCCAACCCTTAAGCAGACTTACCTTCAAGTCCCCATGACGCACCGCGAGGCTTTCCTTCACGCTCTGCTCTCCACCGAAGAAAATGTCACCAAGCCCGTCATCATCTTCTGTAATCACACCAAGACCACTGATCTGCTGGAGCGCACTCTTCGCCGTCTGGGTCACCGCGCCACATCCCTGCACAGTATTCTCCCACAATCTGAGCGCACATCTAATCTGGCTCGATTCCGTGCCGCCGCTGCTCGTATCCTAGTCGCTACGGATGTTGCATCGCGTGGTCTTGATATCCCATCTGTCAGTCTGGTTATTAACTTCGATGTCCCTCGCAACCCAGATGACTACGTCCACCGTGTCGGTCGTACAGCCCGTGCTGGACGAAGCGGTGAGGCCGTCACATTGGTTGGACAACGTGACGTTGAACTGATCCACGCCATCGAGGCCCGAGTGGGTCGACAGATGGAAGAGTGGGCCCAGGAGGGCGTCAACATCGAAAGTCGTGTTGTGCGGACCAACGTCTTGAAGGAGGTTGGTTCAGCCAAGCGCGAGGCCATGGGTGAAATTGACGAAGGCCGTGATGTACTGGGCCGCAAGCGGAACAAGTTGAAGAAGGTCCGGGAATGAAATGTCTCGTATATCTAATGTATATGTATACCTACTCTTAAAGTTGATACCATCTAAAACGAATGATTTTGCAAAGCGTACACATACATCCATGGATATATTTCAAAACTCTAATCTATTGAAGAAAGACCGGTCCCTGACCCCCGATATCCTCTAAGACAAACCGAAACTTTCTATAAGGCCGATTCCTAGAGCCAGCATCCTTGAGCGCACCTTGAGTCTGCCGTGTTCCTGGCTTTGAACGTGGCGCCAATTGCCTACAACCCATATCGACACTGGACACATTTGGCAAAAGGTCATTGTTATCCAGTGAGAAGCCCGAATCAGGAAATTGAGGCAAGCAATCCAAACCCGGGAGACGGAAAGGCCCGGCATTCGGATAGGAAGGAGACGGCGCAGGAGCAAGAGGAACAAAAGAAGGCGAAAAAGGCAATCGAGGCACCATCAAGTCGCCAGCCATGGAAGAAGAAGAAGAGGAGGATAGAAGAGGAGGAGGTGCACCTGTCCACCAGTTCCCAGTAGGATTGGAGCAGTCACGATCAGGGAAGCAGTGGAGTAGTGCTCTAGCTTCGGATGAGAGTATACTGTCCACATCGGATCCAAGGGGCGTATCGCCGAGCAAGTCCGGCAAGGGTCTTTCCTCCGGCCTCTCTGTCTCTACCATCTCGGTATTGAGAGACTGTAGCAGCTGGTCAAGGGCTTGATCGGTAGTAGATGGTTGGAATGCGTTCGGGTGTATACCGGGTGCAACAGCGTTGTCGTATACTCCTTGTTCAGGCTGGGCCTGCACGAACGCCTCTGGTAACGAAGGAGTGTCCAATGCACCTAACACGCTCTCGTTCAGCCATGGGTGGGCTTGTTGACGTTGAAAATGACTGGATGATACGCTGGTCATTGAGGAGCGGCGTCTTTCTTTCCTCTCCGTGATGGGAGAGCTATAAGAAGAGACATGGTAGAAACCTTGTCTCAACTGCACGCAGGAACCATGTTAGATAAGAATCTCGTGGCTTGACATGGGCAAGATCAAAATCAAAAGCAAATGCAGGCAGGGGGGACAAAGTACCTTCTGGCGGCAGTGCTCGCAGGCCTGATTGTAGATCATTATGCAATAGCAATGAAAGGGTGGGTTCTCCTCGAAATGGGAGATACAGTAATGGAGTATTCAAGATACATTAATATCGCGTGCGTTGGAAATACAGAAAGAAGTTAAGAGATAAAGATGTCTCGACATGGATGTTTGGACTCCTTTTATACGCCGTAAATCGGCTTCTTCAACCGCCTCTACCCTCCATCACAGTCAAATCTTGCGCGAAAAAGGAAAAGAAATACAAGTACTGCGTCATAGCATTGAACTTTGGAAAAGCCGAATGAGACATTTCTTTCGCCACGAGGCTTCCATATCACGTTCCACACACTGATACATTACTCCAGGAACCCTCGATCTTTGGAGTTGCATAATCCAGATGCCGGTAATCAACTCCGCACCCACTCAGCGTGCATTTCAGACGACCACCACAAAAGTAACTGGCCAAGTTAGGGAATAACAGATCGGCATGTCAGACAGATACTCATAGTGAAATAGGAAATACGGCAGCTACGTAACCTTTGATCCTTTTGGGCAGCGGCTCCCAGCCCTTTGGGTCTATTTTCCCGGTGTTGTGTTACCGACGATCTATAGACTCGCATTACACAAACGGCACGGCGTGGCAACCATTCGTGGGGATGATGTACCCTCTCACTCATCGAACTAATCAAATGGCACTTGAAGATAACCGAGACTTGTTCTTCACACCAAGCCTTGCCTCCCTCTGAAGTACAGAAATCTTTCAAGCCCAGATCGTTGCCCTGATTTTTAATCTTTGGTCCGTGTCAAAAGCCCCCTGGTCATGACGATGGGCTAGGCAACATCCTGAGGGAAGGGGGTATACTGTATTGCATCCAGTGCTGGTCTCTGATTCGGTCTTTGGGTTCAAATATTGACATGATAGGATGTATTCTCCTTGTACCACTGAGCGTGACGTGTGTGATGCATATTTGTCCCATGTACGATAGCTACTAGCCTATCTTTTGCGTACACCCCCTTCATCGTCCAAGGTTGCCATTCGCTTAAGATCGGTACCAATCATATGAAAGAGAGAGACAAGAAAATGGTATCGTTGATTAACATGCAATGACAAGTATTCTAAACGCCTCACCCACAATTAAAGCGCCCCGTATCTCCTCCCCAGTCAAGCCCGAATGAAAATGACGACCAGAGTAGAAGAGGATAATATATGTGACAAAAAAAAAGAAAACCAAAAAGAAACATTCCCAAACCCATTCGTTACAAGCCCACCGGACGATCGTCAACGTGGAGAGCCTCGTTCCACAGAGAAACCAATCATTCACTCCAAGCATCTGTACTGGTCCGTCGATCAGCCGTGCTCATCAACTTGAGCAGACCGTCTACCGCGTCGCCTCTTTGAGACGGCGATAGGCCACCAAGATTTGCATCTCCACTCTCCTCCACATCACGGGTACGACTATGGCGAACTACCGTGGCAGGGGGACTACTCAGTTGCATGGGCGATCCAAGCGTGCGAGGCGGTGTGCGCTGCGAGGCCTTGACGCGTTCTGCGACGTTAGCTAAAGGGGACCGGCGACGGGGAAGATCGGGCGTCTGGTGACAAGGTGTCGAGCTCATATCTGGCATGGAGCCAATGCGGGGAGTGGTGAATTTGGGAGTGGTGGTGTTTCGGAAAGACAAGGGTGGTAGCGGCGAGGAAGAGAGGGTCGGCATGGAGACTCGTGGGCATTTCCGGCTGTGTTCTTCTAGATCGGAGAGGCGCCGATCGATTTGGTGATCGGTTGATTTGACGTTGCGCATGGCGGTTTGGAGGGTGTTTCGGAGGCGGGCCGCTTTCTTTTTGTTTTGAGTAGATTGTTAGTGGGCTTTTTTTTTCGTATGATTGGGATTCGTTTCAGAGCGCCGGCTTACTTCTTGAATAAATATTTTTCTTGCGGCTGGGTCGTCGGGGATTGTGGGTGATACTTGTGGGCTGGCGAGCGCGGTGGGCGAGGTTTGTGTATCCATATGTTGATTTTGGTCGCGTTCGGAGCGTGTAGGTGTGGCGATGTGGATGTCCTGCGCGTCCAGTTCTTGATTTTGCTATGATTTGCCATTTATATTAGCCAATTGTTTTCTTTTTTCATTCTGCTCTTTATGGGGGCATTGCTTTGTTTAGATGCTAATAAAGAGTCATCGGTATATGGAAGCTTACCTTTGGGCTAGCATTCTTGGTCGGGGAGCGTTCAATGGAAGAGCCCCGCGTCTGCACCGATCCGTTCCCCTCTGTCTCATCCATCTGCTCCCTGGATCTTTTTTGACCTGCAAACATTGGCGAGGGAAGAAGCTTCTTGGGTGATAATGTCGAGAACAGAGTCCGTTTGACTGGCGTTCCGGTAACCGGGAGAGATTGTTTGTTCTGGTGAACTGGCGACAGACACGCGTTGGTATCCTTTTCACCGAGGATGCGGCGTGCGTCCTTAACTGGACTAAGCTGGACTGATGTTGCCTGCATCTTGAAGAAGTTTGTCGGGCGCTAGCAGGGATGGGAGGTGTAGAATAGCTTTGAGGCAGGAGAAACGAGCCGCGTAGCGGGGAAGTGGGCTCGGAGCTTCGGGATGTGGGAGCGATACAATAGGAACACGGGGATTGGGTATAGTTTGGATAGTACAGCTTGGAGAGAAAGAGGAGAAAGGAAGTTAAGCTTGACAATGAAGAAAGAAGAAAGGGTAAAAAAAACGGTCGCGTCAATCGCGTATAGGCTTTGATACCTTACTAGCTTGTATAGAGCACGGACTTGGCTCCACCCGACACACGGTCGTGTTGAGCACGCGTCGTGGAGTCTAAGCTACAACCATTCTAGTTCTAGGGCTTTTTGGAGGGCTCAGTGTAAACATTTGAATATCACATTTGAATACTGGTTCTATTTGTCTCTATCTGTAAAATACTTGCAATTACTGGTACTTTTTCTTTTTTAGAAAAAAGTGTCAAGTTACTAAAGTAATCTTGGCCGCAGGTTCAATTTTCAGGCAGGAAGAGATTGTATGATAGGAAGGAATCCTCATACTGGACAATTGATGTCGAACCGTTAGAAATAGAAACCCGCGTGACCTCTAAAATACCACACTTAATGTAGAGTGCATGTACTATGTAGTGTCAGGCGCGCTAAAGACGCGACGCCAGAACTCAGTAAGGAACATTGGAATTTCAACGTGCGTAATTATTTTTAATATTTGACTTGTAACATGGAACTTCTCAATTTTTACAACACATACATAGTGCACATATACATAAAAGATGGTCGCCAGTCAGAACCTTTCTGCCTTGGGATGGTACTATGTAGCCTACTATTGTATATAATGGCAGGCTACAGCCCTACATTTGTACTCTAGATTAGCATTTAAATACATATGGGCAACTTTTTCAAATATTTTCCTTTTTTTGAAACTTCAAACATTGAATTTAAGCACACAGAATTGAAAGACCCAGCTAAGTATAATCAAGTTAACATTTGCTTTGAAAACATGCAAGGTACACTATCAACTGGTTGCATCTATTCGTCTCCGCATGACATCATCGGAGAGGAGTGCTGAGTACCATAGATGATAGATCAATCTTGCTTAATATTGAAAAGAATCAACTCCATTCTAAAGAGTGAAAAAAAGATAGAAATCGATGAAAAACAAAGACTTGTTTCAAGTATCTACTTAGTCATTTGTTTCTATGAAATTAGTAACTAGTCAGCTCCCAATATAGTAACGAACTGCTCCCGATTCGTGCTCGGCGTTGATCACACCTGAACCTTTTCCCCGCATTTTACATTCCCAAACGCCCCTTGGCTTAATTCTGGCTTTGTCACACATCTACTCCCTTACTGACCCTGCTTAGTTCTACCATATTGCCGTCATTCATTTTGAAACAAAACGTGCCGCCATGCGCTTGTCACTTGCCATTCTGGCCACCGTCTGTCAGGCGGCTGTGACGACAGCATCGAGCCTTACACCGCCAGTGCTGCCACTGATCGTGCGCAACCCGTACCTTAGCACTTGGCTGGGAAATGCCCGTGATGCTCCGTGGGCCAAATGGCCCATGTTCTACACAGGAGATGAAGTTGGACTATCGTTGATGGCCCATGTCCCGAGCCAGGGCTCGGTTTATCCTCTGGTAGGCAAGCCACAAGATTCCTTGGGGAAAAATGCAGGGTAAGCAATACCCCGAGAAAAAATAAATGTGTCTCGCTATACGAATGAAACCATTCACTGATGACTTGAGCTATCACAGATACAAAATACAATACCCAGAGTATCTAGGAAATAACTATGATGCCTCCACGACCAACTTTACCTATCGCATTGACACTAAAGCCTCCACCCCTCTCGAAATCACGGTCTCATTCCTCTCCCCCATTACGCCGACATCGACTTTGCGACAGTCTATTCCGGCTTCTTATATCACAATAGATGTCAAGGGCGAGGTCGATGTTAATGTCTACATGGACATTGATGGGCGATGGCTGAGTGGAGACACTGGGTCTAAGATCAACTGGGAGTGGGACACTGTTAATATCGAAAATAAGGAGAAACCAACTCTACAACAATGGAAAATTCGGAGAGAGAACGAACTCCTGCTATCGGAGATCCGCGATCGTGCGGAATGGGGCACCCTTCACTTCACCGGGCCTACAGTAAGTGCTTTCAACATCCCGAACTTCATATCATTGGCTTAACCATTTTGTCCATAGAATACTAGGTATGAGTCCGGAGAGGCAGGGAAGGTAAGGCAAAGGTTTGCTAAAACCGGCATACTTGGAAATGAGAATGACCAGGACTTCCGTGCTATTCGGGACCGCTCGCCCGTTTTTGCATTTTCCAAATCCTTTAGCCTTGGTCGGTCATCCAAGCAATCATCCGATAGCGTCACCTTCACCCTTGCTCTTATCCAAATTCCCGTTGTGCAGTATGCATCAGCTCGCGGACTTACCCTGATGCGACCGCTTTGGGAATCGTGGTATCCAACTACGGAGGAGTTGCTCAGCTTCCACTATAACGATCACGCCGTGGCAGCCTCTCTGGCAGCCAATTATTCCCAGCAAGTGGCCGATGATGCCTACCTCTCTGGTGCAGATGACTATGTTCAAATTGTCGCCCTCAGTGCGCGGCAGGTCATGGGTGCTACAACTTTTTCTGGAACCCCAGAGAACCCTCTTTTGTTCCTGAAGGAGATCTCATCAAACGGCAACTTCCAAACTATTGATGTCATCTTCCCGGCCTTCCCATTCTTTTTGTATACCAACCCACGATGGTTGGCATATCTTCTTGAGCCATTAATTGAGCATATGCTGAGTGGTCAATACCCCAATACCTACGCTATGCATGACTTGGGCACTCATTTCCCCAATGCTACGGGTCATCCCGATGGCAGAGATGAGTACATGCCGGTGGAAGAGTGTGGTAACATACTGATCATGGGCCTGGCTATTGCGAATTCCCTTCAGTATTCAGAGGCATCTGAAGCTGCCTCTATTTGGTCCTCACAAGGGTCGGCGCAGCCCTTGACGCAATCTAGCGAAGAGACTGGATTCTTCCCTCTGAACGAGCTCCAGGAATTCTCAGGTATTGCACACCAAGATGGCAAATGGGGTGGTGGTCTTGAAGGCCAGCACCTTGCCGAGAAATGGGTCAAGCGAAGCTACCGTCTTTGGAAGCAATGGACCGGTTATTTGGTGGAATTCTCATTGGAACCAGCTAATCAACGTATGTCCAACATCTCGCTCCTCAAATCCATCAACATTTAGCTAACAGACACAGTTTCAACCGACGACTTTGCTGGCTGGCTAGCACTGCAGACTAATCTAGCATTGAAGGGGATTGTTGGCATCAACGCCATGAGCAAACTTTCCGAGTTAACTGGAAATGACGATGATGCCAAATACTTCAAGGTACGTATCAGACAGCTTGCTATATGCACAAGACATGAATACTGATGTCATAATCTAGGGCGTTGCCGACCAGTATATTGCCAAGTGGGAGAAGTTTGCCATGTCCCGCGATGGCTCGCATGCTAAGCTCGCCTACGACTGGTATGGCTCATGGACCACGATCTACAACCTATACGCAGATGCCCAGCTCTGCTTCCACCTAGACGGAACCAATACCGCAAACGAGTCCCCTGGCTTCGTTCCTCGTCACATCTACCAGAAGCAGTCGGTGTGGTACCACTACGTGCGTCAAAAATACGGACTTCCCCTCGACAGCCGACACCTTTACACCAAGACCGACTGGGAGTTCTTCTCGATGGCCGTGGCATCGAAGCCCGTTCGCACGGAAATTCTCGAGTCCGTTGCACGCTGGGTCAACGAGACTGTTACCGACCGACCCTTCACTGATCTTCACCAGACGGAGGGCGATGGTAACTTCCCCGGTCCGAATTTCTTTGCTAGACCCGTCATCGGCGGCCATTTTGCTTTCTTAGCTTTAGAGCGTGCGTGCGGAGGCCGGGCGATGGCTGGTTTGTCTTTCCTGGATGAGGTGGACGAGGAGACCATGCAGACGTGGACCAAGACCGCCGAAGCTGCCGCTGCAGAGCTTTCTGGCCCCTGGAAGAATCACCACGGACCAGATGGAGAGCTGTAGAGATATTGGTTTATGCCTGCTATTGGATTTTTGGACATGGAACTCACTATGAACATTCACCCGTGAACAGCTGTCTATGGCCTAACCCAGCTGCTTCGCTTCTATATCCTCAAGTTAGCCTGTTTATTTGGAGGACAATCTTGGAATGAATTGGCTTTTTACATACTCTGTAAAGCTCCACGCTCTCTCAAAGTATTCAATATCTTTCATTTACCTGGGCAGTACTCAGCATAAATCAGTACAGTAGATCCCGCACATAGTATGTATTGAATACACAGATATACGCATACGTCTCGGGGGTCATTCGGTTCGAACAGAAGAATACATCCTCTGATACAGGTCGTGAGAAACACTAGTACTGAAGAAAGAAGTTACAAGGGGTCTTACGGATATACTCGGGCTTTTGGGCATAATGGCATTCCTTCATGCCTCTACACCAAGTACGTGAGCAAAGAGCCAGAGGCTTGAACGGGGAGGAGGGGGAGGTGGAAGGGCAGGGGCAAAGGGACAGGGACGAGGACGAGGACGAAGACGGGGGAGGGGAAGGAGAAGGAGGGGAGAAGCCCGGAGACAATTGCAAGATCAGATCAGTTGTGGAGTGTCGTCGTTTCTCACGCTCGCAAGCTCGAAAGCCTGGAGACTTGTAAGATCGGAACACATGTGTGATATCATCATGTCTTGCGCTCGCGAGCGTAAAAAAAGAGGAGCGGACAGGCTATCTAAGACTATGGAAGTCTACGAAGCTGGAAGGTTAGTGAAGCTGCGAGGTTAGTGCGGTCTACGAAGCTGGAAGGTTAGTGGGGTTGTCGACTGAAGAGGCGCGACGGCCTTGAGAGAAGAGAAGAGAAGAGAGAAAGAAAGAAAAAGAAAAAGTGGGAGAAAAACAAAGTATTTATAGGCAGAGAAAGTGAGAGTTGGAGGAGAACCAAGCCCAATTGGGAAGGGGGAGGTACTCTCTATGTGAGAACAGTGATAGCTCCTAATCGGGGAAAGTACTAAGAGGCTACTAGTACTATGTAGCTACTAGGCTCCGGTGAAGCGGTTACTATTATTGCTGATCTTTAATTGGAGCAATGAGATGTAGGATTCGAATCTTCCGCTGGTCTTCTATCATTTTCGCTGAATAAGTTCAATGCTGAAGATCGATGTGATTTTGCTCCAAGGTTCATTCGAATGTTAATGGAGAAAACGGAATCGAATGGAAGATTATGGATATGCGAGTCATAGCAAGTATAACGCACATCAAAAGAAAGAAATGTACCAATATAATGATCAAGTACTAATACACATGGATAGCATCTCGGGGCTCCCTGTTCCCCTCTTCAATGTTGGTGCTAATCACGTTCAATGGCTTAAAGCTCAGGATACAAGTGATGTCAAGCTCGGAAAATTCCAGGGATACTAGTACTAGTCAATCATAAAGTTCCAAGCTCCCATAGATAACCTCTTCATTCAAGTGCTCCAAATAGCACTTTTGGCACAGCTGCACCATAAGCTTTACGCAGATTTTTGTTTATTTCATCTGTCTCCATTCAGGCAAATAGAAAGATCCAAGTCCAGTAGCTTCATTAGCTACACCAAGTGGGAAAGCTGGCTATCACAAGAAGCTTTTCATCACCATCCACGGTAGTCTGCGTGTTTAAACTAGTCTTCTAGATCTACCAGTACTGCGAGCGCCGAACGACTCCACATTAGAAAGAAATCACGTACCATTTGCAACTCAATGTTTAGCTCTTCATAAGCTTTTAAACGATTAAATACTAGGGGGAATTTAGCCTCACAGTGATTCAAATGCACCCATAATACCCATTGGTAGCTACTAGCTAGTACCTTACCATATAGAGCCGATAACTGCATCTCATACCGCCCGGCAACACCGCCCCAATTCCCCGAATCTCCCCCGCTCTCTCCACCGCCCGATATACCCAACAGGCAACGCTTCACCTCCGCGCGAACCCCCCAATAACCCCTAATTGGGATTCATATACCCTGTCTAAAGCTCAATTATTTTTCAAAACCCCTGGAAACCCACCGAGACACCAGTCCCGAAAAACAAGAAACAGAAAGGAACAACAAATCACCGCCAACATGTCGCAAATCAACTACCGCACCATCAACGTCGACAAGCTCGACCCGGAGTCGTCGGCCAACTTCCCTATGGAAACCCTCCTCCCTGCTACCCTCCCCCAACCCGAGACCTCCAGTGACGCCGCAAATGTCGCAACCCAGGTGCGCCAGCTGCTGCGCGGCGGCGACACCGAGGGCGCCCTCCGCCACGTTCTGGACACTGCGCCGCTGGGCGGTGACGACCGCGCCAAGGAGGTGCACATGGCAACTGTGATTGAGGTGCTGCAGGGCATTCGTCAGGCGGAGATGACTCGGGTTCTGGAGGGTGTCTGTGCTAACAATGGTGGGGCTGAGCGGGCGGATTGCTTGATGAAGTACCTGTAAGGCACAATCCCTCCACGTTTCCATGATTGGAAGGTCTCTTGAAACCGAGCTAACTTGTTTAAAATCAAAACAGATACAAGGGTATGTCTTCCTCTGGCTCCAGCAGCGGATCGAAGAACATTTCGCCGGAAGGTACGGGCTTCTCGCAGATCCAGGCCCGGAACGTTGGTGAAGGAGGTGGTGGTCAGCAGATGAGCGTGCTGCTCAATTGGCATGAGAAATTGGTGGAGTTGACAGGGACTGGATCAATTGTTCGGGTCATGACGGACCGCCGGACGGTTTAAAAGAAGCGCAATATTGTAATATTGTTGACTTTTGTTTTCATTTGCCGTTGTTTATGGTAGAGGCTTTATGCTTTATTTGCATTTCCATACAAAGCTCCCTTGTCTTTTTTTTTTCTTGTCCAAAATCTTTTCCTGTGGGCTTTCAGCGTGACTGTTTTACATTGATATACTAAAACATTATGTTGGATTATCCATCCAATCTCCATCTCCTCTTCTATACTATAAACATCATGCCGAAAGTGATCAAGGCCGTTCAAAGTCGCCTCCACCCAAGATATCCTTCAGGTTGACATCACCACTACCGCGTTGCAATGGCTGCGGCTGGTCCTTGCCCTCCTTCCAGCCAATCATGTAGATCATTCGGAATGTCGCAGGAATACCGGGCGCATCATCCTCCATATGCAGAGTACGGTAGATGGCCTCGTTGGCCAACAAAACATCCCGGGATATGGGGCCAGCCTCCCGATGCATGATAGCATTGTTTTCACCCATAGCCTGTAGATCCTGCATAAGAGCAAATGTATCCGGGAACTCAACCACGATATCCTCCACATCTACTGTGAGCATCTTGAACCCAGCACGATTGAGCAGACTTCCCACGTCCTTAACATCCGCCAGTGGCGACACATGCGGACTAACTCCACCGCGTCGCTCCAGATCAGCCAGCTGCATCGACCCCCGGAGCTCGAACAGAGTATCCCCACCGAACATAGCTCCAATGAAAGGGCAATCCGGCTTGAGGATCGTGTTGACTTGATTCAGCAAGGCCGGCAAATCATTGATCCAGTGCATCGACAGCGAAGAAAGAACAGCATCAAATGTATTGGGCTGATACGGCAGTGTCTCCAGGTCCGGGATCACGTCGCGGGTGATATTGAGTTCTTTATTGAAAGGCATGTCCTCGTCCCGGTGTAGCAAAGCCCGCGATGTCTCCACGCAGGTAAGATTGGGGATTTTCTGCGTCAGCGGCGGTGTCGATACGCCCTCCGGCGCACCCATATCGAGGTCCGGTGTCGTCAATGCTTTCGCGATGTTGCAGCTATTTGCGCCGAGATCAAGCACATGGGGGAAATCACGTTTAATGTCCTAGAAGTCGCAGGCGAACATAGCGTCAGCAATTGCATGCTCGGGATCCCTTCCTTCCTTGTCCCGTTTTCTCTTGTTCCGCGAGCTTCCTTACCAGCAACCGTTCGCATAACCGCCTTGCTACCTCATCTTTCAGGTAATCGACTTTGCGGCTTTCCTCGACATTCCGAGCGGCTCGGTCCTTTTGCAGGTGCTTTGTTTTGCGGTTGAATACCTCTATCATGGGATTACCGGGGGTCTGGCTAGCGTACGTCCGCACGGAATTTGCGGCGAGACATCGTCGCGGGAGACTGGACCGGATGGCCTGAAGGGAGAACATTGTAGGATAAATTAATTATGTGGTTTTTTTGTTGGTGATCGGAGAACAGAAATTAATCGTATGTCATTGTTGGGGGAGGGTTGCGGGGGTGGAGGAGAGTTGAATGGAGGAGTGATTGAAGCCCAAATTTTGTTCTGACGTCGATTGTTGATATCGACCTCCGCAGGACCGCAGCTTAATCTCCGCGACGCTCGTGCTTTTTCTTGCGCCCGCAATTGATTCGCCGTCCCCGCTGGATAGAGCTTCCTAGGTCCCTATTGGAAGCCTGGGCAGACCATTTCGAAGGCCGGGTGTTAAATAATTTACTTGCGCCGTATTTTGGTATGTTTGTCGCGTATCGTTGACGACTCCTTACCCCACGACCGGGAGGCTCGAGGTGGTCAGAACGAAGCTCAAGACCCAGAAGTGAATGCTAATGACTGGACCAGCATTTACACTAGCCCACCGGGTCCTTACACTACTGTTATAACCTACTGTCTCTGCATCTTCCCCTTATTATCTCGACCCCGCCAACGTGAAGCATGAATTGACCGAGCCAAGCACCATTTTATGAAGCCGTCTCATTAAACCGCCATCCACCGGCAAGTTATCATGTCGCGTCCATTTCCATACACCTACATCTCGTGCCCTTGCGCCGATACTCCAACCCCAGATCCCGCCAGAAAGCGAAGGTCGAGGGAATCACCACGGAAACAAACACCGGAACGAACAACAGAATCCACGAATGAAGATAAGACAAACCCAAAGCAGGAGAGTGGCCAACAACAGGAGGAAGATGAAGATGAAGAACAAACATTCGACCCTAGGTCTCTGCGTTCCAACTTCTCGCTGCACCCCCCTGAACAGCTTCTATACTGCGAGGACTGTCACCAAATCAAATGCCCCCGCTGCATAACGGAGGAAGTCGTGAGTTGGTATTGTCCAAACTGTCTGTTTGAGACACCGAGTAGCATGGTGAAAAGTGATGGCAATCGGTATGCCCAAATATCTCTATCCTCTCCAACGCAAGCTTGCTAACTGCATTCAGATGTGGACGTAACTGCTTCAATTGTCCCGTCTGTACAGCCCCGCTAGCTGTGAGCACCATTGAAAACGTGACGGGCAATGGAAGTCAACAAGGGCCATGGGTACTGTCCTGCGGATACTGCATGTGGACGACGCTCGACATCGGCATCAAGTTCGACAAGCCCACCAACATCCGCAGCCAACTACAAAAAATGACCGACTCCACCGCATCGCCAGCCTACGACGCCCGATCACGACAAGGCTCCCGTGCATTCGGCGACTTGAAATCCCCCCTATCAACCCTAATCTCCGCCGAAGGGCAACCCAGCGCCGCGGGAAGCAACGACAACAACGGCACCGAGGAGACGCAAACCACAAAAGAAGACTCCAACGACCTTGCCCCCGCCAACACAGACGCGCGCTTCGCCGCCCTAAAAGCCTTCTACCGCACCCAGATCTCCGAGACCTCAACCTCCCCCAGCGACCCGCTAGGCTCAGACTTCGGCTTCTCCTCGCCCGGCGCCCTAAACCGCCTCATGTCCCTCTACGCCTCCTCATCGCGCCTAAGCGGCCTGTACGGCGGCAACAAGAAATCCAAATCCAAGCCGCCCGTCATGCGCGAGGCGCTGACCGCAAGCGAAGGCCTGCGCATCACACCAGCCGGCGAAGAAGCAGCCGTGATCGAGCGGCTCGCCTCCGCAGACGGCGGCTGGGAGGGCGTCGCATCGCTCGATCAGCGCGCGCAGCAATCGCCCGACGTCCGCTTCGTCGACGAGCTCCTCCCGCTCCCGGTCCTGCTCCGCACCAAGCGCGCAAAGCGCTGCAAGTCCTGCAAGCATATCCTCGTCAAACCCGAGACCAAGCCGCAGTCCACGCGCTTCCGCATCCGTCTCATCGCCCTCAGTTACATCCCGCTGCCTACGCTGCGGCCGCTGGCGCTGGCTGCGCCGTCGTCGTTTACTTCGACGACGGTCTCCTCGGCGCCGGACCTGGATGCGCTTCCCCCGCTTAGGCCGGTGCATGTTCTCCTCACGCTGAAGAACCATATGTTTGACCCTGTCCGCATCACGCTCGCTACCCCGTCTGTAACGCCGGGCCGAGTCGCGAGTAGAGTCACGGTTCTCAGTCCGCAGTTTGATATTGGGGCGAATAGCGATGTTTGGGATGAGGCGTTGCAGGGTGCGTCGGCTCCTATCGCGGGTGATGCGCGGTTTACGGGTTTACGTGCGTCTGAAAAGGTTCCTGAGGCTGGGAAGGTTTGGGATAAGGGTCGGAATTGGACGACGGTCGTGCTGGAGGTTATTCCGGGGACTTTGCCGGGCTCTGAGGCGGATACTACTAATGCTGGGAACAATGATAACGGTAACAATGATGGAGAGGGGGGCCGGGATGAGAATGCGGTGATACCTGCTTTGAAGGAGGATGAGGATGTGTTGGAAATTCCGGTCTTCGTGCATATGGAATGGGATGCGGAGGCGCAGCTTGAGCAGCAGAATGTTGGCAAGGCTTCTAAGCCTGATGACCTTGTTGCGAGGGAATTGGCTTACTGGATGGTTTTGGGAGTTGGGAAGATTCAGGCTGGGTTGTAGATTACATAGATGGGTCGTTAACCGTCTTGTCTTTGTTCATAGTAGTTGCTTGTTCTTCTTTTTTACTTTTTGTTCATACCCCCGTGGATAGTAATAGTTGCATACCATACATGTACCATCTTTTATCATGTCAACTGGTTGCTCGAATGTATATGACTGTCCGAAGTTCGAGGAGATATCAAAACACAGATAGAACAATGAATAGATGGAACATGAGAAAGGAACGGGAGAGCTACTTGATCCTTTATGCATGTTTAGACTAAATCCATGGGATATGCAGTACGAGCGCAAACCTTGGGCTTTCCAGGACAGTATTTCGGGCATCTCTCTCTCTCTTCTGACGTTCCTACGCATAATTGAAAGTCGGAAATGTTCAATTGGAATAGTTTATCACATATCCCATCTCATCCTCATTAAAGAAGAAACACGGTGTCCGGATGTGGAAAAAAATAATACTCAGCTCCGTCGCCTCGTTCTCGATGAAAGAACCGGAGGACAAACCATGCACCAAGTCAATGGAAAGGGGCACACATAAATCAAAGAAAAACCCGTGAATGCATTTTTTGGTCTTTTCACCCGTCATGCCTGGCTTGGATCTAGTTGAGTTTCAAGACCTAGAAACAAGTAAACCCAATACACCGACATCCTTTCCTGTCCTTTCCCTCCATTCCTTCAAAACAACACAAGAAGCAAAGCTCAAACTGGTGATTCGTATAGTTTAAGCTTAGTACTCAGCGCCGCTCTGGGGGAACTCGAACACAACGTTGCGGCCGGTCAAACGACGGTAGACCTCGCCGTAGGCGTCGAGACGGTGGTCAACACCACCCTTCTCCTTCTCATCCAGAACAACCTTGAGGGTCTTGCTGCCGTCCTCCTTGGTGCGGATGCGCTTGCCGACGATCTCGACGGGGTAGACGAGATCGGCGAGGATGGAGTCGTGGACAGCGGTCAGAGTGCGGGAACGGGGGCGCTTCTGGGTCTGGGTGGAGCGAGAGTTGACGGAGCGCTTGGGGCGGGGCAGGATGCGGCGCTGAGCGACGAAGAGGACGTGGCGGTCAGAGAACTTCTTCTCCAGCTCGCGGGTGAGGCTGTTGGGGCGCAATTGATTAGTTCTCTTGATTCTTCCTTTTTTGTTCATTATGCGTAGGGGTTTTTTTTTCGTGGTTGGTGGTGGGTGTGTGTGTGGTGGATGTCGAATCTTACCGCTGCTGGATCTTGTGGAAGCCCTGGAGAAGGGGAACGGGGACGAAGACAACGATGGCCTTCTTGCCGTGGCCGACCTCAACCTGTGATGGTGAACAATGTTAGAATGACTGATTCCAACGTGCAGCGTGTGCACACAAAAAATGTAAAAAACATCAAAATCCAGATCTCAACCACAGAAACCATGTCGGGGGAATTTTTTGGGTCGTTGCGTGTCGGTTGGCGTCATGGTAGTGTGTGCCTTTTCCAGATGTCGATGTTGCCTTGTTGTATTTTGTCTGTGACAAGGAATTGAGGCGTGTCCACATTCCCCATGATCAATCTTTAAATTTCCGCCTCTTGCTCCGATCACACAAAAGCGCACCAAAAAATTCCAGTCGACACGATTTCCAGGTTGATATCCGATAGGCGTAGGCGCAATTCTTACCTCACGGGCAGAGACGAACTGCAGAGGACGAAGGGTGGCCTTCAGGTCCTGTGTGTTGCTCTCCAAGTCGAAAAGAGCGCCGGCGATGGCGGTCTCCAACTCGGAGGGGTTCTGCCGGGAGGGCGAGTTCAGGGCAATCTTGTTGACGGCAGCCATGGTGAGCAACGGGGTGCTGCGGAATTGCTGGTTGTGATGTCGGCGGAGGGGAGGTGTTCTCGCATCAAGAAGCCAAATGGGAATTTGCTGTGGGATCGTCACTTTCGCTTAGGGTGCGCCTGGGCCAGATTGGGTTTAGCGTACTTTCTTGTTAGGGGATAGGTGGTCCCGTGACTACCCTGCCCTCGGCTGCTTCTGATTGGCTGCTTCTTAGTTATTGGTTCCTAACGTTCCAGACTTTAACTAATTTTCAATGCTTTTTGTTCGGTAATGGCCTAGTGTGCTCTAGTAGTTCCAGGGGTTTTACGGAGTACATTCCAGTATACTGCTCTAGGCCCAGATTCTCTATACATTCAAGTTCTAGCAGACACTGTATCATTGAATTATGATGCAAAAAGAAAAAAAAGACAAAACAAAAGGGTGATAGACCACTGAAATGTGCAACAGAGACAATTGAGAGTTTACAACATGAGGTGTAACTCATACGTATCTTGAATGACGGAGCGAAAACAAAGTAATAGGTATGAAGACGCCTGAAAAATTGCCAAGGGGATGTTAGGAAAGCAAGAAAACAGAAAGATCAAATGGCATGCGGAGATTTGGATCAGCAGGCGCAGCCCTCCTTGGCCGTCGCAGCACCTTGATCACCCAAATTCACACGACTATCTTCTCCGGCCCGGCCACCGAGAGCGGTTTGGCCAGCTCCTGCTGGGCCGCGACCAGTCTTGAGACTGCTTTCTGGAATAGCATTAGCAATAGCCGTGAAGACATCCACCACATTGGTTCCAGTCTTTGCACTGGTCTCGAAGAACAGCAATCCCTCTTCTTCGGCATAACCGGTTGCCTCGCGAGTTGACACTTTCCGAGCATCACCGGGGGTGGCATTTTGCTCCTCACGTTCCTCGCCAGATGCCTCATCGCCCTCGGGAGCAGCCGAGTCCTGGGCATCGAGAGCAGCGGAGGCATCGCCACCGTCGTTGGTCAAGTCCAGCTTGTTACCGACGAGCGCGATGACAATCCCAGGGCTGGCCTGGCGCTGAAGCTCAGCCACCCAGTGTTTCGCCTTGGTTAGCGAAGAAGGCTTGGTAACATCGTAGACCACCAGAGCGGCTTGGGCGTTGCGGTAGTACATCGGGGCAAGCGAGGCAAACCGCTCCTGGCCGGCGGTATCCCAAATCTCAAACTTGATTGTGCGCGAAGGAAGGGTGCATTTCTGTGTAAGGAAGGCAGCTGTATGGGGAAGATGATGATGTTAGCCTATCCACTTCGGATCAAATATGGGGTATAGAATGGGGGGTGATGGCGCATTAAATGGATCGCCACCGGTGTAACACCATGCAAGGCCCTCTGCGACAGACACGAACGTATGACCGGGCGAAATGTTGAGTCATCTCCATTGATCTTGTGTGGTTCGCTGGATGGGGGAGGGGGGTAGAGAAACGGGAGGAGTGTCTTACCGCCGATGGTTGGCTCCTTGTTCTCTTGGAAATCATTGTTGACGAAGCGAAGGACGAGAGAAGACTGGAAATGGCCACGAAAAGCTGATCAGCTGTTGTTTCCTGTGTAACGTGGCGAGGAGAACTATACCTTTCCCACGGCAGCCTCTCCGAGCAGCACGAGCTTCACGCTGCTGCTTGGCTTGGGGGCATTTGCGCCCGCTGATTCGGACATGGTTAAGGGGAGAGTAATAAAGGTGAGGGGAATGCGAAAGGATCGGTCAGGCCGTCGTGCAGGAAGTGATGCTTGTCAAACAATCGATAATCAGGCAGAAGGCTAAGTTGGCGAGATTCAACTGAGACCTCTGAAGCTGGCTTCCTGAGAGGCGAGACAGAAGCTGATATACAAGAATTGGGGTTTCTCGCGAACTGGAGCGGAAGTGATATAAGATTTTCAAGAAACGTCGCAACCGGAAGTGTTCTAGGAGGATCTCGAGGATTGAGCTGCTTAGGCGGACGTCGATGATGATGCACTTTCCATGTCTGGCTTAGCGCGAACGCCATGCGCTGGTATCACGTGACCACATACATAAGCAAATTGTGTAGTAGTTAACTGGTTGTAGTATAATGCATAAACACTGCCAAGGATAGGAGATCAGGGTCTGCAGGCTGAATTGACTGCACATGACGAAATACATCATTCCTATTAATCTCCAGTGTTGTCACCTACAAGTACATTAATTGATACCAGCCTCTGTTAACGAAAGCTCAAACCTGAGGCATCTAGTGACCTGCATTAAAAAGCGGTACCTAGTAGTTAGTTAGGTACCGCATTCGAGACTGTGGTATAGAATCATGGGGTCGGAAGCGCCCAAATGAGTTAGCTCCTGCTACTGGACATACCAGTGGTCAGATATAGATGAACTCATCCAGGGGCAATGGGGAGCGGGGGAAACGGTACTTTTGTAACTTCTAGAACAGAGCAATTCTCTGCAGTGCTACGTTGACAGGAGACCCCGTGAGCAATGAAAAGTAGGCATCCTCAAAATGATAATCAGGCGTCAATTGCTTTGGGCCTGTGAGAAATGAACCTTGGGATATTCTCCAATTCCCTGGTTGGCTACCAAGACTCTTTGATGATCAGGAACACAAAAATCCAGATTGAATATGGCAACGGCGCATTCGCCGGGAAAACCAGAATCTGGTAGGTTTGTGTGAGCACAAACCTCGTTCCTGACCAGGCTAGTGCCCAACGGGTATGCAAGATGATGTCGGGTACTGCCTGCCGATAGATTTGACAGGACCCACAATCCAGAATCAGACCGGTTCCTGGACTCGTTAGTCCCCAAGCAAATCTGCCCGATGTTCAACAGATTCTACCCGCACCTGGCAAACCCGAGGGACACGACAGTTGGTCTGCAGGTTTGTCTGGACAAATCAGTCCGACATGGATTCGGCCGTTGGTCTAGACATCATCGTGGAAAGGTGGACCAAACCGATAGACGCTTACAATTGAGGCGCGCGGAGGTATGGCTTCAATGCCGAAGCGAGATACACGTACAGTTGCACATACAGGGACCAGACTAGCTATCACGAGTGACGTTTCCAAAAAGATCCAAATTTTTTCAATATCAGCAAAAAAATAAACGTGCTTTATGACCGTGAGGTCGAAGGTCTAATTCCTTCTGGTATAAACCCATGCATCCCATGCAAACAAGAACATCCATCCCGTCTAACCATAACGCCGAAGTAAAATCAAATCACAAAAGAAAATCAAAACAGGACAAAAAAATCAACACATAACAACTTTTTTTGATAGATCAAAAGAAAGGTAACCCCGGAAGGCAAGGTCGGAGATAGAAAAGTAGGTTGAGGAGATGGCGGAGAAGAGGACGGGGTTCCGAGAAAATAAAGAGGCGCACATGCGAAGACGGAGCAAGTTGAGAACGAGAAAAAGCGTCGACGCTGGGGGAATCCGAAACCGATGCGAAAGCTGAATTAAAAGGGGTATAATGGTTGGTCGCCTGAGTCCGGTGGCGTAACATGGACAAGGATGTGACCGAAAATAGGACAAGTTGAAAAAGCAGAGCCAAAATTCAATAGTGTTACAGGTGTCTAGTATATCATGGTTAGCCGTTGTTCAGTTGGTGCCCAAGATGAGGCGAGGCCTGACTCACCGAAAAAAAGTAAAAGTGTCAACTCCAACGTAGAGGCATGAAGGCCTAGAGCAAATTGCGCTAGGTAAAGAGCAAAACGTCCTTGATACCGAACGATCCAGTATGAATGTCGAGGGTATCTTGGTAAAGCGTTTATTTAGGTGGTGGTGGTGGAGCACCAGGCTTCTTCACACCGGTTGTGTCGTAAGCGCCGCGTCCCATGTTGAAGGCAGAGAGATCTCGCAGAATCATATTAAGCCCTGCGGAGGAAAGCATGGTTAAAAGCAAATTCTTGCGAGGAGGAAAAAAAGGCTTGTGTGGTTTGTTTGGATGTGACGGTGGAAAGCTGAGGAATGAGATGAAGAACATACCAAATAAACACGACGACGAGCCGAACTTATATAGTTCGAAATTTCTCGGCCGGGGTTTTTGAGCAGTAGGCAAACGGAGTCCCAATCCACCCCCCGAAGTATGAGAAAAATCGAAAGAAACGGCAGGAAACGGTTGTTGACAAGGATGGTGGTGATAGGCGTATGCGGTCGAGATCGGAAAAGGTGAACCTTTTTAAAGGTGACCGCTAGGTTGATGCGGGAGCCAACAGGTTGTAGGGCAGGAATGTGACGATTGCAGACCCGATACGCTCAGATGGTGGATTTCGGCAGTGATGTAGAAAGCAAAAGAGGCTCGATAGGTCGCAGCTCGTTTCTTTTTATGGGTTTTGCCACGGATGAAGATCGTAAGAATCGGAATAAAGCCCCAAGATTGTAATTCGAAATTAGAAGGGTGGCTGCAGAATCAAGTTCATTCGAAATCGCGATCTGAACCAAGGATAAACGGGCAGAGAAGGGATAGCTTTTGAGGTCCGGCAAGGGAGGCCCTGGAAAGGAGAAGTGCCGCGGAAGTGACCCGGTAGTTCCGGTTGAGAAGCAAAGATTTAATCGCAAGGGAGAGAAGGGAGAGAACAGGGACAGGTAGGGGCGTTTTTTGGGTGGTTTTCGTCAAGTATGTCCAGGTAGAGTCCCCAAAGTGTAGAGAATTAAATAGAGAGAAGAGGAAGATCAGGGAAGAATTAAGTAGATATAGACATTAGGATGATCGTCCTTCTTTTTAAAAAAAAAATTTCCTTTGGATTTTTATAAAAAAAAATAAAACTAGAAGGAACAAAAGAGAAAAAAAAGAATAAAAATGATAATTAAAAAAAAAAGGAATAAATAAGAAATGAATTTTAGAAAATAAAATCGAAAAAGAAAAAGAATTACGGGAAATCAAAAGGGGAACAAACTACGTAAATTGGAAAAATCAATAAAAGAATTAAATAAAATAAGATAAAATAAAAATAAATAAATAAACCAAAAACCGATGCAAATCATGCCAGTTTGATCTCGATTTTTTATCTTTAAATTCGATTTCTTTGTTTCTTGGGGCCCGGGGGAACTGATCCTGCTTCCCCTTTCTACAAGATAGCGCCAAAAGGGGCCGATCAGATGCTTCTATTATTTGGATTTTCTATTTTTTTTCTTTTATTTATCTCTTATTGACATCAAAACCCACTGGATCCATCATAATCCTCTATCGATGCATCGTTCCACTCTATCATTATCTCCAAAGTACCATGCAGTAAAAGGGTACAGGTGATATTCCCCCAGCTCTCCACTGTCCCAGGGGAAGCTAGGAACCGAATCTCCGGGCAAGCCTTTGCATAAGTGGGGACAAGGGGAAGCAGCCGCAGGAACAGACGGATCCATCCGAACAGGTATTTCTGATAGGTACTCCGTCATTGTAATGTACAGGTAAAGTTACCTCAACTTCTATTCGGATTTCCCGTTCTTCAGGGGTCCTGACATCTGATGCCTAGGTAGTTCTATAGAATACTGTAATGAACACATGACCCAATAACCTACCAGGTGCGATGTTCTCATCAGAAGAAAAAAGTAATCAAGTTCAGACATTTGGTTTCGGTTTCGCCTTCACGCTATCACCTTTAGTCTCTCCTGAATATTGTTATGTATCTAAATGGACTTTTTCCCCCCAGTCAAACCTATCGCAATATCCTAAACATCCTTCATATGAACGAGATCACGGTCTCGGCAAGCTTCGCACGACTCCCTCGGCCAATCGCTTGCCCTATCTTTCTTCCCCCTTGATCGCAAATTCGCAATCCCGTCACCAGAAACACTAAAACGTTCAAACAAAGCCAATCGTTGAGGAAAAAAAAGAAAAGAAACTAACATGTAACTCCCGTCTCCTCGGGCGTCTACTTTTTCTTTCTTTTTTATTTGTTATCTCTCTTTTCCTTCTTTTCGCGCCCGACTCATCTGATGATCCCGTTTCTCCGTGTGTCTTTTTTTTGTGGTTTCTTTCCTTTCTCTCGCACTAGTCGTTAACCAACCGATCTCGATCATGGTTCCCACGATCCTGTTGGGAGAAGTCTCCATCATAGGGGGTGGGTCCCCGGGGGGCGCGCGCTAAGGACCTCCGTAACACCCCCCCTAAACAGAGCCCAAAGGAGCCAAAAGGAAAAATAAATAAATAAAAAACACTGCCATTACGGTATCAGTACGTCAAGTTTTCACAAATGCGAAGCTCGAATGAACCCAAGGTCTCGGTTACGTATGAACATTCTTTTGGCCTTCTAGCCTTTCTAGTTTCTCCCGGGGACTTGGGTCCAGTGGCCCACTTGACGGTATGCGATGATACAAGTGGCACCCCCGACCCGGTAAATTCTCCATCGCAATCTTTTTCTGGAATCTCCCTGGGAACTGCAGAAAACAGTTAAGTCGGATCCACCCCCATACCCCTATCTTTTCTGTTTAAGGGTACAGTCCAGCCTATAACAATTAACAATATTATTAAATGCCCTCTTGCGTCAGCCCTCTGTCATTGTGTCTTTTTTTTCTTTTCTTTTCTTTTCTTCTTTTCTGTTTCCATTTTTCTGTAATGGAGTAAATGTTCGCCACACTGGAGCTGATGTGGCTATGTTGTACGGAATATGGAGTTGTTCCCCTGTCATCACCTCCCCTTTTAGATTTAGGAAATTAATAAGGCCTCGGCCACGTGCGGCCCTGCATCTTTCCATCCTGGCTCACACGCAATTGGCTCGGGAAATCCTGTTTCAGCCGTGTTTATCCCTGTAGTTTACACATGTGCATGGATTATATAGCTACCTGGGTAATTGATATCATCTGCCTAGTAGGCACAGCCTAGACACTAGCTACATAACTCCGTCAACTACTGTATATAACTGATTCCATCTACCTATCAGTAGGTACATAGTAGGCTAAGATCTAAACTAGGGCAAAGATTGCCTTCAATGTTGGGATAGGTTAGACTGGGAGATAGAGTGCGAATAGTGAAATCGATAAGTCCTACTAGCCATACCGGACATTCATGGGCTATTGCCATCGGGCCTGATGATCTACCGCGGAAGTATAGTCCGAGAGCCGTTAGCGAGATCGAGCGGTACCCTAAGACACGGCAGGCGAAACTTTGAGAAAGAGCTTCTACGGGGAAGGAAGAAGAAGAAAAAAACTCCATAAAGCTCGCAAGTTGCTGATGTGATTGCCGCCTTTGCAAGCCACCTTTTCGCAGGCTGGGTCCCCATTCGTGGGATGATGGGCCTCAAGGCAGGGGAATTGACGATGATCCTCAGTGGGTCATTCTCTCGCACGCGGTAGAACCTTTGGAAGGATCCAAATAATGGGACCGGTATTTACGTTTTTTTCGTTGCAGTAGGCTGGCCCGATCGGGAGGGAAAAGTATGAGTTACATACTCCATATATGGGTTTTATATGGGTACCACTCGGTGGTTTAGGAAAGAAAGCAAAGAGATAGTGGGAACTCAAGGAGAAAAGGGAAGGGAAAAAGAAGGAAAAAGAAGGAAAATAGAAGCCGTGTTCCACGTAATACAAAAAAAACGAGCTTCCTTTTACAGTACTACCGTAACGCAAGCTTAGGTGGAGCAACATACGGGAAGACCCCGTTTCTATTACGGCTAGAAGAACGCTAGAAACAAGTTGACTTCCAGAATCATCATGACTCGGGGCTGCACCGTTCTCCCCGAGTCCGTAGTCCGTTTGGTCCTCTTTGTTTATTGTTTGTCTATACTCCATAGCCGGGTCCAAAACGGCAAGATTTACCCAGGGCGCTTAACGGCTCAGGTGTTTGGTTTTTTTTTTCTTTTTTCGCCTCTGCTGATCTCGGATGAGCTTGCCACAGCGGGTTCCTGAACGCGTCTCCAGACTTTCGGCTCGATGCATTAGTTCACCCGCGAGGAACAAGGTTTAGCGAATTGCATGAACCGCTTTTTTGGCTTTGGGGGGCTTTCGATTACGCAGGGGAGGTTTTTTTTTTTTTTTTTTTTTTTTTTTTTTTTTTTCTAGGTCAAGATTAAGGGTTTTGGGAAATCAATGAAAATCACTACTTACATTTACTCCATATACGCAACAAAAGCAAACATGATGTTAATCGAATTCTCCGATCGGGGATAACGGACACCACATATGCAATGCGCCAATTCCAGTCCGCGGCGCAGGGGACGGGGAACAGGGATCAGGGAAGGGAATCCGGAAAGATTTGGACAAAAAGCCTGGGAAACCGGCCTTGCTGCACAGGGGGTATCCCAGTCAACGTCGATTTCTCTTTGTCTCAATAGATCTTGATACATCAATTGCTCAAGATTGTGACAGTGACGGCCGTTGGGGCATTCAATCTCGCAATGGGCCAGACCGTCTAGTCCAAGTAGCAGTTGGTAGTTCACAATAGCTCACACGGGTAGCGTCAGACCAAATTCGAAGCCGTTTTTTTTTTCTATATTTTTTTTCCATATTTGCTGGCCTTTTTCTCCTCTCTCTTTTCTTTCGAACTAGGGCTCCGCGGAAGAGAAGCCGGACGATCTGAGGTCCCAATAAGAGCGGGAAAAGAAAAATCTCCAAGCTTGGAAGGCTCCATCCAACAGAAAAATTATGGAAGAAGAAGGCTTCTGGAACAAGTGGACTCTCTGGCACAGTCCACAAAGTCCACTTGGTTCTGGTATTCCGGTTGTACTCCGTATGGGCTCCGCAGCTTCTAGCCGATATTCTGGATACTCTTCCAAGGCTGGATATTCTGGAACCCGGTATGGATCCACGATGCCTTGTGTAAATGCTGAGCCGATGCGGGCCTCGAAGTCCAACATTGAAGGATGATGGTCAGAGAGGTTGGTGATGTGTCAAAGAAAGGATTCAACAAAAGTACGCCGTCCAACTCCGTTCGTTCCCCGGGCCAATCTTTCTAAATCGAACTTTATCGTTTCTTTGTGATTGTTTCCCTGTTTTTGAGTTCGTGATCTCCCTTTGTTTCCTCTATATCGTGCGACGTGCTCTATCGCATGAGATCGTCGGAAAACCGCACGGCGACACCCGCAGGAAACCAGACTTTCGCAACTGAAGTGGAGAGCAATCCATGATCCGTTTTCTGGTAAATGGCTATGAGAAAATAGAAAAATAGAAAAAAAAAACAAAAAAAAAAAAAAAACCAAGAAACAAGTCCAGTGAATGACGATCATTCCAATTCCCCACGGGCCCCAACATCCGTCTTGTCGGGTATGGGATCGTCTCCTTTCCCTCCCTGCCGGGTCCCTCTCTGTGACGCACTTGAAGGGGGAGAAAAGACTATCAGATTTGGAGATTTCTTTTTTTCAGATGAATCAGGATATCCAATAAAAATTTCCAAAAATCAAAATAATAAATAGAGAAAAAAAAAACATCAAGAAAATTTCAATTGGACTCCACAGGGCTTTATTTCTAGCATTCTTGGGCCGGCTTCTCATCTTGACCTTCCGCGCGCCACTTGAATGGTCAGGTCAGGACGGGAATGGGTATTGATTCCAGCCACACACTAATCAGTGGAGATCGCTCCGAAAAAAAAAAGAAAGAAAAAAAAAACAAATTCAGCTTCTCATTTGCGCGCTTTGGTGCTTTAGCCCCTGGGTTCGTTCCAGATCGGCGTCTTACATGACACTTGGGATGCACTATGACATTTCCCTCTCTTTTCCTCTGCAATCTGTTCTCCGTACATGTAGTCGGACATCTCGAATGTACTCCGTACCTGACTACATTCTACATCTACATGTGCCCTGTACGGAGTACATAGCTGGGGACTGTGTGCCATGGATAATTTTGACTTGCATTTGATCTGCAAGACTGCAGAAGATCCAACATTGAACTTAATATGACTTAGTATACTCCATAATTCTCTTTAGCACGAAGGTACTACCCCGTATCTCCTCCAGACATCTAGAACACTCACTTAGTAGTTGCATGTACTCCGTACTTAATCCGTTACTTAATCTTACATGGAACGGAGAGGAGATGTACGGGGGGGTAGACTTGTAATGCACTTTGTCCTTGCAGATCCTACCTATTCAATACATTAGTACCTAATGTACTTACAGATTCAAATTGAGTAGCGCCTCTCCCAAGGTTACAATTTACCACAGTATTGCAGCTTCCCGATCGCCATTCCCGATCTCGATCCTAAGATTTCGCCCCTTCCCGCCTGCCTGCATTACTGCGTCCTGATCGACTGGGAAAGGCTCGGGGGGAAGCTGGGAACGGGAATTCCGATGCAAGCTGTCGAATCCGACAACCAGGTTTGGATCCATCACATTCATCAACTTTGCGCTGTCAATCGTGATTCCCCACTTTGGATCTTCGTAGATTAGACTCAATTGCATTGGAATGCAGGGACATGTCTTTTTTTCTCTCTCTTTTTCTCTCTTTGATCTGGGCTTGCCCCTTCACACGCATGACAAAAATAAAAGCCTAAATGCGCCTATGCGCGGTGTTCCTGACATTTCAAATTGAGGCGCTTTGTAGCCTACTAGTACATCATACGGTGTAGCGAGTACGCAGGTCAATCCCAATCCCAAAGAAGTCATAAATGTCCCATCACCTTCCAACCTGTCATATGTGACATTTGTAATTGTTTCCCCCCAAAAGAAAATTCCAATCCAATCCAATCCAATCCAATCGCTCTGCCTCAAGATTGATCCAAGGCTAGCCACTTTCCCACTGATCACTATGATCCAACCAAACCGCTCCTCCAAAGTTCATCGCGTGCAAACAGCATAAGCCATTTCAAACTAAAAAAAGAAAAACATCAGCAAACAATTCCCAACCCTGCTTCGCGGAACGAATACCGGGCAAATGCAACTAATCAAAGCCGCCAAACTCCATTCTTACCTGTTCATTGGTCTGGCAAATCAACACCCGAGGCCCCTTGCCGGTCCCAAGGGAGATATCTTGAACTGTCTCGTTATCCGCCGGCCCCTTGTCGTTAGCTCCCGAGTCAATCGCCACACCTAGACTCCCGCACTGCTCAACCAGCCTCCGCCGCAACAACGCGCTCTTCTCCCCAATCCCGCCCGCAAATACGAGCCCGTCTACCTGTCCATTCAGCTTTACGTAGTAACTCCCGATATAGCCCAGAATTCGATCTACCATGATATCGAGCGCCAGTTTGTGTGTTTCTGGCGCGTCTTCGATCGCGATCTTGGAAAAGTCCGTCGTGCCGGTTAGAGCTTTCCAGCCGGATTGTTTGTTGAGGATTTCTTCCGCCTGTATCACATCACATCCGTGAGCGAGGGGTTCGGATTCAATGGTCTCGAATGATTCTGTAGGATGGGGGAGTCCGGTTTTTTTTTTTTTTTTTTTTTTTTTTTCTTTGGTCTTACCGTGCTTATGTGCATCTCTTTGGTGCTGCCGGGACTCAATTTTCCCGCCTCGCTCGTGTAGTGGAAGACCAGTCTAGATCATGAGGGGTAGATGGTCAGTATGTATGCCCTGCAATAGGGCTAGAGTGGAGGTAGGTAGATCGAGGTATGGAGTAACCCACGAGGGATCAATGGAACCACTTCGCGTTGCGCCGGGTAGCCCAGCTAGGGGTGTAAGGCCCATTCTAAGATAGAGTTGTTATTAGTGACCCGAACAATGAATCACGATATGAAGAAGAGAAAAACAATAAGTGGGTAACTCACGAGGTATCAATTGATTTGCCATCCTTGATCGCGCAGATCGAAGCTCCACTGCCAATATGCATTGCGATCAGGTTAGTGGACTCGGCCGGTTTACCGAGAAACTGTGCTACGGAGCGTAAAATGAACGAGTAACTGATTCCGTGGAACCCGTACTTCCGTAGCCCGTTGGCTTTGGCGATTTCCTGGTTGATGGGATATGTTTTCACGTGGAGGGGCATCGTCTGATGGAACGCCGAGTCGAAAAAGGTGATGCTCTCGACGCTTGGAAGCTCTTCTTTGCAGAGGCGGATGATTTCCAAGGCCGAGAAATTGTGTCTGGTCGAAGGAAATTAGTTACAAATGTACAACTCTCACTTAGCACCTGCGGTATATATGTGACCCGTAAACAGAAGCAGAGCACTTACAGCGGCGCAAGGTCCTCCAATTCTTCAAGCTGGTGCAAAGTCTGCTCGTTGATCTTGATTGATTCCTTGTAGTCCCCGCCATGGACTACCCGGTGACATATATATTTGAGGTCAGTTTCGCTAGCGACCTCCGATAGCTCGGGATCATTAAAGCAGCGCTGCAAGATGTATTTGAATGCATCCTGAGGCGTGTCCAGCTTCCCCTTCAGCTCTTCTTTAATTTTCACAGTGCCGCGCTGGTACTTGAGCGAAGGTGGTGGGGCAGTGATACCTGACACCTGGGCATCGGCGATAGCTCTTGGCGGGTTCTCGTATGTATAGAACGTGACTTTGACCGAAGAGGAGCCGGCGTTGACGGCGAGAATGTACTTTGCCATCGTGGAAATGAAGAATGACACTCGAAATGATGCGCGAAGAATTTATTGCAACTGGGCGCGTGGTTCGTGGTGGTTGTAAGTGATGTCAAAGTTGCAAGGTTGGAATCAGTTGTGACGTAGATGAGATGCCGGATAATACCTATACTTAAAGCGGATGCCATGGCATGATCTTTGCATTAAACGGTTTTAGTGCCCTCCGTTTCGTACCTACTGAGGCATCTTTATGTTTTTAATTGGCCTTTTTCATTCAATTTATGCAGTTGTTCGTTTTTAGGCATTGTCATCCACCGAACTTACCCATCTTTACCCGTGGACTCTACCCGTCATGCCAGGCGAAGTCATTGATCGGCCAAATCCACAACCATTACCATCACATTTACTAAACGAGATAGAGAATATCAGGGTCACCATTCCTCCTAAAACACTAGATTAAAAAGCCTGCGATGCCTTATTCAAATTTCGCAGGGCGGCATGCTATATCGCCGCAGGTATGACATGACCCACAAAACATACTGCAAACAGGAACCTATCACCAAGCGATGATTTCTTGCATGAGAACACTCTTTTGAAACAAAAAGCTTACGTTTGATGATATTAAGCCTTGGTTACTGGATGAGTTTACTTCCTTCCTTCCTTCTTCCTCCCCCCCCCCCTTTTTTTTTCTTTCCTTTCTTTTTTTTTCACGCAGTACTTTGCTAAGATCTGGTAGGCCACTGGGGAACATGTCCCGGCCTAGTGCTAGTCTACTCCCACCTCAACTATGTATCTCAACAAAATAATGAACCTCGAAATGCTGTTTGTTGTCGGTCCAGGACAAGGAGCACCGGGAGTTCTAGCAGGCTAGAGAGATTGTTGGAGAGATTCTATCCAGAGTATTCTCAGGACGCCCAGGGATTTCATAACCTTATATCCACGTTTAGCAGAACGGCTGGTTTCCCGGTTTCCCAAGCCACATCAATGCCGAGACCCCAGGTGCGATCCACAAAGGTGCGGAATTGGGGTATGCCTTGGCTGTATCGTTTGGCGCGGTTATGGATAATCTTTATTTGATCGTTCCCTCCGTTGTGGGTGATGGGGAGGCCGAGACCAGTCCAACGGCTACGTTCGTTACCAATTCTGCCATTTCAAGAACGACAATGACATTGGTACAGATCCTGGCATGCCATAAAATACCTTGATCTCAAAGAGTTTGGGGCCGTTCTTCCAATCCTCCATGTCAATGGGTTCAATATTAGTGAGCGCACCGTCTTTCGGTGCATGGACCGACCAAAAGGAGCTTTTGGCTCTCTTCAGTGGGTACGGATATCAAGTTCGGTTTGTGGAAGATATGAATGATATGAATGACATCGATGCTGATCTTCACTCTTGTATGATTTGGGCTGTGAAAGAGATCCATGGAATTCAAAATGCGGCGCGCTCCGGAAAACCAATTGTGAAACCGTGCTGGCCGATGTTGATTCTGCGAACTATCAAGGTAGGTCTTCATATTGTTCCGGATAAAGAGTGCCACAGGGTTGGTCGGGGTCCAAAATGCTCTACGGAAATTTCGTTGAGGGCTTCTTTCATTCACACGAGGTACCCTTACCCAAGGTAAAATCTGACAAAGAAGAGTTGGATTTGGTCCAGAAGTGGCTCTCAGATTCTAAACCCGAGGAGCTGTTCACCGAAACTGGCGATATAATTGATGAGATCAAATCCATTATCTCGACCGATAATTCCGAGAAACTTGGCTAGCGCATCGAATCATACAACGGCTATACTGCACCGAATCTACCAGACTGGAAACATTTTGGTGTGAATACGGCCGTGGAAGAAAGTTCGATGAAGGCAGCGGGTAGAATGATCAATAAGCTTCTCCTACAGAACCCACATGGCGCGCGTCTGTCCTTGCCAGATGAACTGGAGAGCAACAAGCTAGATGCTGAAATTTAGAAGACGGGCCGAAAATTCCAGTGCTCAGTGAAAATATGCGCTAGGGCTCCATGCAACATTGGATACACCTTGATCGGTCGCGTGGGTATCTTCCCGTCGTATGAAAGCTTCCTGGGAATCATTCACACGATGATAGTGAAGTACGCTAAATTCATTAACATGGTTAGCTGGATCTACCTACCTTTGCCTCTTTCCACTCGAATTCAGTGAATAGAATATGCCTTTCTAACAAATAGCAGGCCCGGGAAAGCAAATGGCGTTCCACCAAAGCCAGTCTCAACTATATCGAGACCGGCACCTGGACCCGACAGGAACACAACGACTTCTCTCACCAAAGCCCATCCTTCATCGGACCGGTGTTGAAACTGACACGCAGTGCAGCTCGCGTATATCTCCCACCAGACGCAAATACTTTCTTATCCATCCTGCACCACTGTCTGGAGTCGAGGAACTATATCAACCCGATGGTAGGCTCGAAACGGCCGACTTGCGTGTCTGTGTGATTAACGTGACAGATCTGATGATGCTGGTAACGCGAGTGTGCATCCGAACTCCTTGTCGACTGAAGAATTTGACCACCTGTTCACTGCTAACAAGTGCATCCATTTCAATTACCATGAGCATAGGCACGAGCTGCAGGGGTTGCTTTTTGGACGCCCTCGTCTGGGATGTGTTTTGATTGCTGCGTATATGGAGGAGGGTTCGACTACCACGCCGTTCGATACGATGCTTGTCAAACGTACGTCGCGGTATTGTGTGGCACAAGCTGCTGATCAGGGTGCGTCGAAGGTCAACGAGAAGATCCAGATCCGTAATTACGAGTTGCAGGCTGAGCTTGGTCATGATATCGTTGGGTCGAGGAAATTTATCATTGAGAAGCATGAAGGTAAGTATTTCACCCAGTTCTTGGTATTCGGCTATGCCTTTCTGATTGAATTTCAGATCCCGAGGGCTCATACGACCTTCAAAGATTCACACAGACAGATGACGTCGGCAGTGGGAATTCAACAGATTAGACTGCATGGGATAGATTTGCAAAGAAGAGTGAGGTGTGCGTCTGCATGTGACTCAGTCAGTATGTAGAGTTGACCTTTAGATCCAGACTGGCCCGTGATCTCGTATACCTAGCATACCGGAAATGAGATTGGGTATTGAAAATCAAACGTTGAAGGTGAGCATCCAAGAAATCACGGTTGGTTGAGTACATACAATAAGTTGAATGAATCCTACTTTTTTTTCTTCCAGATAGGAGAATTCAACGGGATCATGTCTTCCACGATATTTTGCAGGCAATTTCGTACATAAGACACGTACAGAAAGCAGATCTATCAGCTTCGCACTGCAACTCAACTTCTTGGCAAGTTTCAAATGTGTCAAAGACTCAAAGGGAACATGGGAGCGGTGAAGGCCCGTGCATACACCACAAATAAAAACTTGGAACTGCAGCACGTCGTCAGCTCAAGCCTTCCCTTTACAATCCATCTTGCGAGATTCTGGACCATGTTGCGAGTCTTATGACATGGCCATTGGCTCTCTGACTCTGTTATTGTTACGGTCCAACTTCAATATATGAAACAATTTCCCCAAAGACAACAATAGTGGCTTAGTACGAGGCTCATTCGGCAACGTCGGATCGGAGTTCAGCGACTGTGCCTCCACAGTCTCCACACCACTAAACCCAAAATGGAGGGGCTTGCGAGAGATCCAAAGTTGACATACGGACAGTCAATTCTAGTCGGCCCGAATTCCTATCAGATATGGTTCATATCACCCAGCGCCTAAGCAGTTGAAAGCCGGTTCTTGCTGAATACAATGCAATGTTGCTGCAAGTTGATTCATACCTCCCAAGGTTGCCTAGCTGGGTATCCACTTTACCTCTCTTTGACGCCATGCGGTTTCTAATAGTACCAATAACGTGCGGCATATTATCCGTACGAAGAATCGGGATTGGTTCCCCCGATGGACCCCCGGTCTTTAGCCGGCAGAGTTTGCAGATAAAAACTTGACGAATAAATTTATTCGTGGATGCATGGTACGTACGTACTTATACTTACAGGATCCTCGCAAGCATCTTCTTGGGGATCTTCGCAAGCATCCTTAAGAGGGGTTTAGCGTGACGCTCGCTCGGCCTAGCCTTATCTCCGCACTCCCTTTTTTTACTTATATACTAATACCCTGTGGCGCCGCACTCGTTCTTTGCCTAATTTCTGATCCCGCAAGCTTGTGGAGTCTATCCGTCCAGACCTACTTTCTTTATCTCCAAATTTCATTCAGACGACTCCCAGCTTTATATCACTCAACACGCTCGGTCCACTCGAGCCACTAATTTCCTCGACTCTATACCTTCTTCAGTCGCCTGCCAGGTGGTATCAAGTTCACCATGGTTGACCGAATGGCCTTAACAATGGGCTGCCACGCCAAGATTGAAGGTGTTAACACTTCCTATGGATATGTCCCGCACCTGTCAGTGGGAATCGCGTTTTGTGTTCTTTTTGGCGTTTCCATGATTGCACATACGATTCAGTTCTGCTTGAAGCGACAATGGTGGTGTGTGGTATTTACACTTGGCTGCATGGGTGAGTGATGAGACATAGAATGGATCTTGACCGGTTTACAGTTCAGTATAGCTGACGAATGATATTTACAGTGGAATTGATCGGATGGGCTGGTCGAACCTGGTCGCATTCGTGTCCGTATAACGGGACCGCATTCTTAATGCAGATATCCACTCTCATTATTGGTAAGTAGAGTGTGCTTCCTGCTGTTTGAAGGCTTATTACTAACTTCCTCAAAGCTCCGACTTTCTTCACTGCTGGAATCTACGTTCTCCTCGGTAGATTTATCCAAATCCTGGGCCCCCAGTCCTCCATCTTGTCACCAAAATTGTACCTCTGGATCTTCTGTACTTGCGATATCATCTCCCTGGTTATCCAAGCTGTCGGTGGTGGTCTTGCCTCCATGGCAGTGAACAAGGTTGGTGGCAACACTGCACCCGGTACACACATCATGGTGGCTGGTATCGTGTTTCAATTGCTCTCCGTCACTGTCTTCGTCATCTGCGCCGCAGACTTCATTCGCCGATCTGTGCGTCACAATCTTATCCAACCCCTGACCGGAACTATCATCCCGCTGCTGGTTGCCATGACCTTCTCCGTGTTGTGTATCTATGTTCGGAGTATCTACCGTACTATTGAACTGTCACAGGGTTGGACTGGCTATCTGATTACACACGAGAAATACTTCATTGCGATGGACGGCGCTATGATGATCGCTGCTGTTGTGGTTTTCAACGTTGTGCACCCTGGCTGGTTCCTGCCCAAGGATACTGCCTTTACGCCAGATATTCCTTCAGATGAAGTTGAGATGAAGCCGTCTCCGAACAATTATTAGCTTTAAGGTTGATGTCCTTAATGCCGGAGTTGAAGAATAGAAATGTAGATAATTCAAGACCGACTTTATAGACCAGCAGAATTAACAAAAGCGTCATTTCAATTTGCATTTAAATTCGTTCAATTACTAGTAAGTACTTCCAGTAGATACTACATTCTTATCTATAGAGAGCTTCTCCGGATGCGATGACTCGGAATGGTACTAATACATAGAAATACCAAAATACACCCCGCATGCGTACCTCACAGACACAATAGCACCGACAACAAAGGTAAATACCAGTATCAATAAATTACATATCCCACCTTCAACATCCCGCCCACAACAACTTCATCTACAATCCAGCCCGATTCTATACCCAACACTCCTTGAAACTCCTAAAATGGCCCGTACGTCCCAACCGAAACCCCCCCCAAACCCCAAATAACTAACCCAAGCCCCCCAAAGCCCCCACCAACACCAGACCGATCGTGATCACCGGCCCCTCAGGCGTCGGCAAGGGCTCGCTGATCGCGAAACTCTTCGCCGAGCACCCCAACACCTTCGCCTTCACAGTCTCCCACACAACCCGCCAACCCCGCGCCGGTGAAACCGACGGAACAAGCTACTTCTTCGTCGACCGCCCCCAATTCGACACCCTCGTCGCCGAGGGTGCCTTCGTCGAGCATGCGCAATTCGGCTCAAACAAGTACGGTACCAGCCACAGGACCATCGGCGACCAGATGGCCAAGGGTCTGGTCGTTGTGCTGGATATCGAGATGAACGGCGTGCAGCAGATTAAGGCCAACCCCAGCATCGATCCTCGTTATGTGTTTATTCAGCCGCCTAGCCTGCAGGTTTTGGAGCAGCGATTGAGGGGGCGCGGTACGGAGACTGATGCGGATGTGCAGGCTAGGCTTGCGCAGGCTACTGCGGAGCTGGAGTATGGCAACTCGCAGACTGAGGATATGCACATTGTTAATGATGATTTGGAGGTGGCTTACAGGGAGCTGGAGGCGTACATCTTCCAACAATAAATAACTAGATGGGGTTTGGCTTGCTTGGTTGTTATTTGGTTCGATAGTTCACTCCATTTCATTTCAGTTTGGCTCGTGTTGGATCTATGGGAATTTCATTTTGCACATGAGCGAATGACGAATGGGAACAAAAGGGAAATGTCCAGTTGGGCAACATTGATTTGAGAGAGACAAAATTCAAGATTCAAAACAGCAGCCCAAGGGTATCTAGTAAGAAGAGCCGGAACACCAGAGTCTAGAACGACAGGCAAAAAAAAAAAAAAAGATAAAAGATAAAGCCCCTAGATCATTTGGGGGCAAAGCAGATGTTGGATTGAGCCAACATAAATCAAACGTTAGATGTTAAATGAAGCTAAGCTCATCGTCGCTGTCATCTTGCGAGTAGGGGATGGCAGGCTGCTGCCGAGGCACCACCACCACCGGGCTAGGGGCTGAAGAAGCCGAAGGTCGTCCGGATCTTCGCCGGTCCATAGACCGAGGATGCCGCTTCTCAGCGTAATTGAGGGCAGGCATTGCAGTGAGCCGAGGACTTGGTTTATTGATGATCACCACTTCGACTTTAGATGTAGGCCTGGATAATGGCACAGAACGTGTTGGATTGGAAATAACATGATTTGACATATCACGCAAAACACGGCGATGAGAACGAACCGGTTCCACAGATGGAGATCTCGAGGGAGACTTCGACAGTGAGCGTTCGGACAGAGACTCAGATGACAGACATTCAAAGAACGGGGATGCGGATCGGCCTTGTTGTGGACGTTCAACCGTAACCATAGGAGTGGTACGTCGTCGTTTGAAGGATCGAGTTCGAATGGGCGAGGAATCCGCGGCCTCATTTTGATGATTTGATGAATCGGAATCGGAATCAATCTCAGGAGAGCCGATCTCCAACGAGTGTTGAATACAAGGCGAACAGTTGGAGATCCCAGAAGCCCGTCTCTTTGTTGTAGTGATTGTTGTGGGGTTTGCTTTGATTGCGGGAGTACGAGCAACCCATTCACCAATACCATCTTCCCAGCGAAAGAGGCCACTTTTCGGTCTTGAGTCCTCATCTTCACTTGCTGACCCGGGGCTTGATTCCGTTTGGTGTCGAAGAGTAATGGTTGCTTCCTGAATATCCACGGCCCACAGATGATCATCTGGGTCCCCAGTCCCTTCTGCGAATTTCATAGCGGCCTCCACGGCAACACGACTGAGAAATGTAGATAGACCTGGATCTTCTGTCAGAGTAGGAAGTCGTGAGACTACACGTCGAATTTCGCTTCTCATATCGGTGTCCCTATCATCGTTGGACGGACTGCTGAAGCAGCGGAATGATTCACGAACGAATACTGCCAATTCCTTGATCACACCCGACTGAGATGTCAATGTAGTTGAATATTCTTCAGTGCACGCTGTTGATACCAAAACAGGCCCAGTTTCGCCTGCCAAAACTGCATCGTTACAAAGCACAAGGCAACGTGCCAGCAAAATGCAACCGCGTCTTAATAACTGATGGGAAGGAAGAATGGAAATGTGGGAGAGTGGTTCGCGTTCCACCTCTTTTCCCAATGTAAAGGAAACATAGTTGATAACATGGCCTGCTTTTGTACCACCTGTATCCTTGATCTTATCAAGCATACGAGATCGCGATATGTGCATACCACAAAGCGTTGCCAAGAGACTTGCAACATGGTTGCTCAAGGCATCTTCCACTGGCACAGGACATTTCCGATAAACATACAAATTGCTTGCTGGGGCCATGGAATTCCGCGTCGCTCTGACTTGGCCAACGCAATGGCTTGTTGATGGCGTTTGAAAAAGGGATTTGGAGGTTTCATGTGGAAAAATTTTGCAAGCAGAAACAAGTACAGCCTCGATTAACCGCGAGGAAACAGCATAATCGCCATCATGCCGTGAGAATGATATTGTTGCCCGAGTCATCCAGCCAGTCCATGGCTTAGTGGCCATCCATTCTGGAGGAAGTGCACCTCGAACAAGTAGTTTTGAAACTTCGTCAAACATGTAAGATCGATGACCAGATGACATAGCATACTTATGCAATAACGCAACGGATCTTCCAGGCGAGGGGCTCTCCGTAGTAGGCTTAAGAGCCATAGGAAGAGGGCAAGTCGTGCAGTTTGAAAGAAATGTGGAGAGAAACTGTTCAGATGCATCTTGCTCAAGGTGCGGACACGCATCAATTAATGCGAAGATGATTGAGTCTGTCAGCCACCGATTTCGTATCATCGCACAGACCATATACAGGCCCTGGGCGCGGACTATCTCGCGCAATGGTTTCCATCCCTTGCCATGGGGAGCATAAAATGACTCTAGCTCCGTCAAATACGCGTGGCACACATCATCATCCCCATCCTCATCTTCTTCATCCATCGCTTCTTGCTCGATTGCGATGAACTCTGGTAAGTGCCGGGCGACCATAGAAAGAAGAGAGCGTGCACCTTTCTTCGGCCTGGCGGATGTATCCGTTTTACTCAAGAAGTTTAGAAGCACATAGTCAAGGTTATGTACGATATCGACAAGGCCCGTATCTCCAGATTCATTGAGGGCTTCACGCCAAGGATTCTTGTGCTGTGCGTATCGGTCACGAAAGACCTGCGTAGGGCCGCGTGAATCGGGTTTCGGTATTTGCTCCTCCAACAGCTGTTGTTGTGATCGAGCACTCAAAGGTACCTCCCATCGTTTGCCCGTAATCAGCGGCGTAGCCACCTCAATCGCGCCGGGGAGGGTCCTCGGAGTTTCTGGACTTTGAAGCGAGAACCTCGCGCGCTTGCGCCCACCTGTATTTCCTTTGCGCCCAGAATATTTATGCCTGACGCGCCGTTGGCCGGCGCTTTTGCCTGGGATCCATCCGGGATCATCCTCGTCGGCGTCCGATCCGAAGCTTTCGCGAGGGTCTGCGGGTTTTGGTGCTTCCGAACGGTGTTCCTGGGAGTCTTTGTCGTGGTTGAGTGCCTTGGATTCGGCCGCGATAATGGCTAATGTCTCTTGGTGCTTTTCGAGTCGGCGATAAATGGAGGTCAAAGGGCGCAGCACACGGTTTGCCCATTTGGCGGTGGGTTGAACGTCATCCATTGATAAATTCTGGGAGTAATGCTATCGGATAGAAGTATATGCCTGGGAAAAAAAGGCATTAGTCTGGTGTACAAAGAAATTGAGTGGGGAGCAAACGAGGCGTACTGCAGAAATGGGACTTGCGCGCGATTATATCTGCATTTAAGCATGGCAAAAGACCGCACTCAGCCTCCAAACATAATGGGAGAACTAAGCAAGTAAGAGTATACAAGATAGAGGTGCAACACAAGAATACAACGCGTTGAAATGGAATGTTGATGTGAACACAACCGACACTCGGAGATCGGAACAAAACAAACTCAGGTGGGTCTTCTGTATACGGTTTAGCGTCCATCGTCATAGTCTTTAGGCCTGAATAATAAGGCATGAAAATTAGGGTTCCGACACGTGATAGATGGGCTATCTTATCTCTTATCTCTTATCAGTCATCTATTCTCTCAGGCTGTCAGTCTCAGCTCTGAGATACCATAAGTTATAACACGTATCACATCGTTCATTGTTCATTCTTTCAAAGGAGCTGGATTATAATAGACCCAAATTTTTCTGGCTGCGGTCGCCGGTCAGTAATATGAAAAAGTAAAGTAAACCACTGCTAGTAAGTTAAGTAGGCCTATGACCCATGAGGCTCGTGTGGTACATTATATTCAGACCTCTGGGCAAGCAGCTGTGGATTTAGCTCACTCACTAGCTCAATTCCAAGGTTGTTATCTAGTAGTAGGTAGATGATGTCCAGGGAGCACGGGCTGGCATTCAGCTGGGCGGATGCTGTTTAGCACCCCCAATGATGATATCATTCGAAACGAAGATTGTATCAGGTGTTGTAGCTAACGAAGTAAACAGGATAAAATTGGCAGCAAGAGCAGCACTTGATGGAAAGCGTATAACATACCCACCCCTCTCCAGGGCCAACGTTTCAAGGACGAAACAAAATAAAGTCTGTAAACCGAAGCAAAACAGCCCTAACTTATAATCCCACCCAAGTCATCTCTTACACGAACGCATGCACGCGACAAGCATTGCCAGCATAGTCGACACATCACGAAAACCTAATAATACTTCGTGTTCGGTGGGAGTCCCTCGGCCTGGTCACTGCTCTGTATTGGTCAGCACGTCAATCGCTCCAAACATAGGGCGCAGTGAAGTGCTTACCAGTGCTGCCCCAAATAACTTCACAAGCTCCATAGCAGAGTTACAGGAGAACTGCTCTTCCGGCCCAAGGTTGGTGAAGGTCGTGGCAAGATCAAAGTCAATCCAGACTACTAGCTTATCGGGGTCTCCAGGAACAACGAGAACGTTCCTGGGAGAGATGTCATTGTGTTGAACGCCCGCCCTGTGAATATCCTTCATACCCTCTGTTGCCTGAGAATATAGTGCATCCGAGTAGTTCACGCAGTTCAGAGTCTCTGCGTTCGGCAAGTACTCAATGACGATTCCTCTCGGCTTGAACATGTCTTCGGCGAAATGATCGAAAGCAGGATGGAATGCTTGCGGGTCCAGTCGATCGATGTAGCCATAATATTTAGGAACATAGTGGCGCGCACAGACGCCCGAGGCATGGAGTTTTTCATATGCATCGCGTTCGCGGTCAAATCGGTGCGAATCGTGACCTCTCTGCTGAGATCCAGCTTCGCCATGGTCGTGAAAAAGCTTTAATGCGTACCTTTCCCCCTCCATATCTACTTTGAATATCGAAGACGGAACAGAGCGCGTAATCTCCCTGATGATATGAAGTGCGGTGGAGCGAATTTCGGATGGGTCTATTTCCGCTAGGGAAGGACGTCTTGGACCCGTTGTTGTCATATCGGAAGTGATGTCAATTTTTGACCGAGGAGGTCGGCGCCGTGAAGTAGGTCAGGTAACCAGAAAAAAAGGACGAGTCTTGGAGGGCGTTGGTTTGTGTGAACCATGAATAGCAAATCATACCGTAAGGTTGGAGGCGTATTTATAAGATGGAGCAATCTGTGTAGTAAACAAAAGCAGCAAGGTCGCGTGATCTCTGGGAGTACTAAGAGGACTCAGGCACGTGCAAGATAGGACCGAATGGCACATAGGGCGTGGAGATTTTAATGAGAACACTCCAACTCCACCTGCTCGATCTCCAGGCCATCAACTCTGTTTTGTATCACTTGAAATATTTGAGCTCGAAATCCCGTTCCAGTTCTATGAACCTATGGATACAGTGGGAATAAAGACAATTACCTTGATACCCAGGTAAATCATGATAATAAAGCATGGCTTTGCCTTTCGCCGTAGAAAAAAAACAACCAAAATTATTTTTCAAAAGGGTTCAAATTGGCATTTTTATGTCTGGTATTCACAACGCCAGTTGAATTCGAGTGCAGGGCTCATTTTATCTTGCCCAGGCGTGGCCTTGTGGCCTTAGTACCCTACTAGTAGCCCTCAAGGGTAGTGGGCCTCGCAGAGGCAAGTGTGGAACTGGGCACTTGATTAAGCTAACCCATGCCTACTAGCACTAGGTAAAAGGACAGACTCTCGCCTATGAATAATGTCAAGCGCTTAATTTATGGATCATCTAACCTTAACACGTCATATGTCCTTGATAGATACCAGTCATCAACATATTGAGAGAAGGATTTTATAATACAACCAAATCCATGAAATTCCCATCCATGGATGCGGTGCCCAACTAAGTAGACAGGACAAGATCAATAGATCAAATCGTAAAATGAATCAAAGAGAGGAGAGAGATCTAAACATTGAAAATATAGCAGTTTTTCGCTCATCAACCTTAACCCCCGCCCCCTTCCGTACATAATCATGGAGTATATTTGTTGTTAAGACACGAGATGACCAAGAAAGAAAAAAAAGGAAGAAATTGAAAATCTGAACCAAAATGGAACCCCAAACGTTATGTGAAAAAGGAGGGATTATCTATGCCTTGGACTGCTTGGAGCCCCGGAGCTTGGGGTTGGCAGCGGAACGCTTCTTTTGCTTGGAGCCAGAAGAGTTGGCATCACCACCCTCGATGAACTTCAGCAGCTCATCAATGCTGCGGGAGTCCATGGATGAGCCAGAGACACCGGCCGTGCCAGCGGTCTCGGGAGCGGTCTGACCAACCTGGGGCTGAACGCGAGTACCCATGGAGGAGGTACGCGGGTTGACAGCGATACGACGCAGACGACGGGCCTGGATATCCTTGGCATGCTTGGCGATGGAAACAGCGTTCTGGGTCAACTGCTCCAACCAGGACTCGGCCTCCTTGGTGTTACGGTCCTCGGGACCGAGCTGAGCAAGGAAGATGTTGTAGGCATCACGCATCTTGCCGACGGCAGCCTTGGAGTCCTGGTCCAGGGCGAGGGCCTGTGCCAACTGGAACAGGATAGTGGCGGTGTTGATAGACTCCTTGCCAAACAGGTTCTCACAAACGGAGAGGGAAGCCTCGAACCACTTGCGAGAGTCACCGTACTGCTTAAGGTGTTGCAGCATCACGGCGGCGTTGTTCATGGTAGTGATGGAGTCGGGGTGGCTAGCGCCGTAGATGATCTTCCAGAGATCCATAGCGTGCTTGATGTACACCAAGGCAGTCTTGGTGTTGCCAGAGGCGTGCTCAAACAAGCTCAGGTTCAGGTAGGCGAGAATAGTGTCAGCGGAGTCAACACCCATAGTGCGTTCGGTGACAATGACAGCCTTGCGAGCCAGCTCCACGGCGGCTTCCTTCTCATCAGTCTGGTAGTAGAGCATGGACAGCTGGTGGTAGAGCTTGGCAACCTCGGGGTGGAGGATGCCATAGATCTGCTCGTGCAGGGACAGAGATTCAAGAATGAGCTCCTGGCCCAATTCCTTCTGGTTCTGCATGAGAGAGATTCGACCAGCCTCCAGGGCCTCTTCAGCCAAAGCACTACGAGGAGAAGCATCCTTGACAAGTGGCACAATGTTGAGAATATCATCTGCAAGGATAGAGACAGCAGGCTTGGCCTTCTCAACGACAGCGCGAGCGGGGGCCTTGTTATCACCGCCCTTCTTGCCCTTGCGCTTCTTGCCTTCATCCTGGCTGTTTCCGTTGACAGGGGCAGGAGCCGGAGCTGGTGCCTTGACATCGGCCTTGTTGAAAGCATAGTCGCGAGCACCAAGCTGAAGACCAAGCTTGATGGAGATGTCACGGAGGAGCTGGAGATGTCTGAGAGAGTCGGCCCAGCTCTTCTCCAGGGTGAATCGGTAACGTAGAGTAACCTGCTTCTCAATAGCAGTTCGCAGGGACTCAGGAGTCACCTTCTCGAAAGAAAAGTCACCCTCAGGGTAAACCTCACGAAGAGACTGATCAATCTCAGCGACGGGGGCGGAGTTCACATCAGTACCCAAGAGACAGTTGAGCAAGTGAGCAGCACAAGGAGCGGCGAAAGGAGCAGGGACATTACGCAGGTAGCCGTTAGCAACGTGCTTGAAGGCACGAGCAACCATCTCCTGAACAAGGAGAGTGGACAAAGCCTGCAAACGGGCACCCTTCTCAGTAGAAAGCTGTGCCAGCTTACCCAGGTAGCGGATGTTGATACCGCGCTTGTGCAGCAGCTGGGTCAATGATTGGCCATCCATGGGGAAACCAACATCACCGTCGTGCAGATCCTTGACCAAATCAGGAATGATCTTAGACCGCAAGTGGTCACCAGCATCACGCACTTCCTGCTCATCCTTAGCCCACTGCTCCTTCTCCTCCTCGGTCTGGGGGACCTGACCGCTGAAAACATCAGGGTTCAGGGACAGGTTGAATCCAGAGATGTCAACACGCTCTTGATCAGCAGCCTCCTCGGTCTTCTCCTCAGACTTCTCCTCAGATTCACCTTCGGTCTTCTCCTTGGGTGTCTCCTCAGCCTTGGCAGCGCGGCGCTTCTCAACCTCAGCCTTAACATACTGGCTCATCTTGTGTCTCCAGTATGACTCAACCAACTCCAATCTCAAAACCGACATGCGGTGGGGGTAGGAATCTTCGCCGATCTCCTCCTGCCACTGAGCATCCAGAGGGGCAATACGGTAAAGGTCAAGAACATACTTGCGACCATCAGTGCCGAGAAGACCCTTGGTCTCAACACTGCCCTGAAGGTCGTGACGCTTGTTATCCTTATCCCAAACAGGGTGCTGCTTGATACGGAGTGCCTTAGACAGCTTCTCAAAGACAGGAACAAAGTCCTCGTGAGTAGCCACAACCTCCTTGCCCTCAACACCACCGTAGTCGATCTGGTGCTCACCTGGCTCGCGCTGCTTGAAGATTCCTGGGACAATACTCTGACCCACAATACGCTTACCCAAGTAATCAACAACCACGGTACCAGGAGTGAACAGACCCTGGATATCAAGCTGGTTCACAGCCTTGATACCAAGAACGTCCTTGCCAACGGCAACGCGAGCGGCCTCGTCACCACCCTCGGAGGTGAAGGTGCCAACACCGTCAGCGCCAAAGGAGTAGAAGATGTTGTTGTAAACGAAGATTTGGGCATCCTGAGCCTCGGTGGGGTTCAGAGGAGCAACCTCGCCACGGGCAACCAGCACCGCACCGCGGGCAGCAGCCTCGTTGTAATCGGCGAACAACTTGGAAGTCAGACGTTCACGGAACACGCGATCCTGGACAGTGTCACGAGGAAGCTCGCGGGTGGTCTGGAACTCCTCGTTCCAATCACGCAGAGTCTCAGCGTTGTCGGCACCGGAAATCAAGAAGCTCTCCTGCGAACGGGTGATGTCGGGCTGGTGAGCGTTCAGGGTCGACGAAGTCGGGGCAACCAACCATGGGCTGTTGGGGATGGCGTTCTGGAAGGGGAAGGTGGTCAGGAGATCCTTCTGGTTGTTGGCCTCCTGCAGGGCCTCGAAGGAAGCGTTGAAAGAGGGAGAGAGGATGGAAATCAAAGTGAGGAGAGAGTGGGCGCTGGCCTTCTTGGGGATCGATCTGGGGAAGGGATCAAAACGGCTGGTCGAGCTCTTGTTCACAAAGAATCCTGAAACGTGGGAAGTGATCTGGAACTGCTCGCCCTCCATGGTCTGGACCTGGAGGTAGAGAAGGTGACCCTTCTGGCGGAGGTGGTATGGAACGGGGTTCCATGGTGAAAGCGAGATCGACTTCACAGTCTTGGGAAGAGGAGCCTCAGACTGGGGAAGAATGGTCTGCAGGGAAGAGGGACCAGTCAGGTCGTACTTGGCGAGCGAGTGGTCCTTCTCTGATTCACCGGCAAGAGCTGCCTCTGCGGAGATGGAATCGTGCAAGGAGAGACCAGCAGAGATACCGTGGAGGGTGTCAACACGATCTCCAGCGGCACCAACCAGGTCGCGCATGCGCACCACATGCATACGGGCCTCCTTCTCAGTGTAGGGCTCCTCAACCAGCACGATCTCGGAGTTGGCCTTCAGATCGGGGACCTCGGACAGCTCGACAAAGTCGTTGACGCGGATGCCGTTGAACTCAAGGTGGAAGCAGGTGTACTGGAAGGTACCGGGGAGCTCGACGATGGATTGGCGAACATCTTGAACCTGTTCTTGGCTCGAGACCTATGAAGCATTCGTTAGATGGTCTACTCCATCAAGACGTGATACGGCAATCTACCCACCATCACTTGAATCTTGTAGGGTTCATGAGGAAGCTTGACGGAGATTTGGAAGAGACCTTGACACAAGTCAGAAAACCACCATGTTCGTTCGGGCACCAATGTTTGAGCCATTGCACATACCACCAGCGTTCTCATCCTCCGCAGCACCCTCCAAGTGGGTTCCATTTTCCTGAGGAACCTCTATTGCCCGAGTCAGAATATGTCCATCTTTTCATGTTTCGTGTTTTCTGCCGCATTTCGATGTCGTGTGACAAGCTGGGGGTAATCGAGGGCGGACCAACCTTTCGAGGGCTCCAATTCGCCATTGGTGTGTGCCATTATTTCGGATTGCTGAAAGGGATAGCTCCAGTCAAGTTTGACAGGTAGCTATCGCACGAACGGAGTAATGGATGAATCAAGAAAAGATGAAAAGAAAGGTGACGACCTGCGGATCACAGGAAGAAAGAAGTCGCTATGATACAAGAAGGATAGGGCAATTGAAAGGAGATTAATAAAAAACCCCGTACCCCAGAATATAGATGCAAAAAAAAGGAAAGGGTCCAGATAGTATGAGAGATGGAATGGAGGAGAAAATTTCGCGGATGCGGCATACCCTCGGAAGTGCTCGGGCGGTGGGTTCGGGGAAGGCACCGTGGATCTTCTCCACAAACCTTGAGATTGCGGGAATCGGACATTTACAAGTAGTATTTCAAATGTTGGATTGAAGTTGGAATGGAATAGAATTTTTATTAGAAATATCAAGGTTGTATATACTAGTAGTATATGTGGATCTTTGAATTGGTCAAGTATAGTAGAGTACTTTACAGGTGTTATACTTGAAATGCTCTGATTGGTGACGTGCAGAATTGGAGGCCTGAGGCTTCCCCGCGGAATTCTGTTAACAAAGCAAGTCAACTCAGAAATCAGGTCACCCCACAAAAGGTGAGGTGAGTGACCTGTAAACACATCTATGCAGCGCGTCCGTGGCTTAGCTAATTCCAACAGGCTTGCAATCCTGACAAACCTTATGAGGGTGATGAATCAAGAGGACTGAGGGGAAAGGGGTCATAAATTATAACCTGTCGAGGACCGGCCATCAAACTAGCGGTAAAGCGGTAGAAAATTTCTATAAAAGACTCAGGTCTTCTGTGCGCGCTTATTCGCTCAAAATACTAGGTTTTAACTACTTTTCTTTTCCAAGATCTGGGGAATTAAAGAAAGCCACCTGCACTGTGGTATCGTCGCGTAGACGACGGGAGGATGGAAAGCTGAAGGCGAGTCGACCTGCTATCAACTCGTGATGATTTCCACCTAGTGAGTTTCGCACCAGATGAACAGCAACGTTGTCATCTTGGACTATTGTTCTGCCCGTCACGAACTTCCAGCTTACTCCATTCCAGAATTGGCCGAAGTCGAATGGTTCATATGTTGGCTCTAGCTTGCTGTTCCTCTTCTCAGTCGGTTTGAATTCCAACCATTTCCCCACTAGATCTACTGCCTGCTGACTAGAGAGCATATCCCACAAGCCATCTGTTGCCATGATCAGGAATGAAGGATTCCCAGGGTCGATCTTGATACTTGTCACGACCGGTTCAGCCGTCAAATAGGGGGGCGTTCGAATGTTGTATCTTGGCACCAGCGGCGGTGGACCATAAAATCTTCGTTGCACATCCTTCTGGAATCCAAGAGGCCACTTCCACTGTCCATCACCAAAGGCTCGTGAGACCGCCATTCCTAACACCCGTCCATTTTTAATCATATCTCCTTCATCCGGGTGCTCTTTGTGAAGCCTGGCAATTTCTTCTTCGTTCTTGCCAGTCTGATCTACTGATAATGGTATTGCTTTCCACCTTCCGTCTGGCATTTGCTGCCCCAAAACAGCCCTCGAATTACCAGTACATGCTACATGCAGTGTGCCTGTGGTGGAATCGTACATGGAGAGCAAAGCGCATGAGCCAGAATAACCGGGGGATAGTTTCTTTACTTTCTCCTGCAACGATCCTTCACTTTGAGCCGTATCCTGAGCGGTTTTTATAATGGAATCATCGAGGTCGGTAAAACCTTTGATGATAGCACAGTGCACTAACTCCTCTGGTGCGGTGTTTGAGGCTGAGGATAGCTTTATTTGACCCAGGCTGTGCCGGACAAAAGGGAGAAGTTCCTTCTTTAGCAATTCTGATGTTTGCAGGCCCGAATGGCCATCAAAGACAGCCCAGGCCATCCATTGGTTGCCTTCTTTCCATGGTGAAGGAAATTTACCATGGGTGAACTGATCCTCGCACGGGCTATTAGAAGCTAACTGAGCACCATCATATCTGCTGATGCCGGCAACGTTTCGGACCAGAAATGAATATGCTCCTTGCGAAATGATACGGGTCACTTGGTCTTTAGAAGGACCTGGTTCAACATTCCAGTGCTTGCTTGGAGGATTTTCAATTTGTGGGGCATCGTCTCTCGTCGCATCGTCGAGAGTATTTACCAACCACCAAAGTCCTGGCGTACCGACTACGCCGGCAACCATCATATATATCATCGCGTTCGAGAATGAGTCTAAGCCTGAGCTAGAGCCCCTACTCGAATATGGATTCTTTGCCCGCGCCCGTAGACTTGATGTTGTGGTCACGCGTAGTCGCGTTCGAGCTGGGCCCAATAACATGATCGGCAGGGTTCAACTAAAGAGGGGAAGAGGAGAGCAGAAAAAGGGCACACTTTGGTAGCAATTTATTTAGACGTATTTTGACAAATTTCGCATCTGTAATTGAGGAGAAATTGAGAGCGGAAATTATCAGTAGCCGATGGCAGTGACGGGTAACTCGAGTCAACTGGTAGTGGCCCCTGTTGTGGTTCCAAATCATGAAAATCATTGAGATTGTGTTGAAAGGCCAACGCATCTGCCAAGCGGTCCAAGCCCCGGTAGAAACTCCACCGCTAAGCCACAATGCCCTCTCTGCACTCTTTCCTGGCTGACATCCTCCAGGGCTGCACCCCATTCCACTCATTGTCTCTCCTTGCATTTCTTTTCATTCATTGAATCAGCTGTTCATTTCATCAATAACTTTTTCGGGCTTTTTTCTTGGGTCCAGTCCGGTCATTTATTCTCTCACGTCACCCCCTGGAAGGTGTGTGGCGTCGACATTGAAAACAAGTTTACTGTCTAGCACAATTGACGATAAACCTTGTCAGCTGTGCCCATTGTAACGGTGCATCGAACCAGCTGGGACTAGCAGGTCTTCTTAAATTGAACATTTTTGCCTAAAAGCAGGCACCAGAGCCTCCAAATCCATTTGAAGCTGCATTAGTGTCAGATAAAGGTGCCAAGGAGATCCACAATGCTATGGAAAAGGCTCACGCCACCCTTGTCATCATTTGCTCGACAAGGCCTATCGAAACCAATTAGGCCTTGTGGACGCATTCTGCAATACACAGCCAAGAGGTACAACTCGAACCCTCAAAACACCGGCCAGTATACTCCAGATCCTACCGATCAAAATGACGAAGAGGATCGGGGACGAGGCCGCAAAAATGATTCGGATCCCAATCTGAAATCTACAATCCTCAAGATGCTTGAAACTGCGGCAACTACTGCAGCATCTATCTTCATCCTAGGGTAAGATCCTTTCTCACAGAAGAAGTGAGACCGGGCCTAGCTAAACCGTATTACACAGCGCGGCGGGTTATTCATACCACCGGTACTACAAGTACTTGATCCTGGACAAAATGGATAATGCCTTCAATCCAGGAGATCCCGCTCTCGAGGTGGCGGGTGTTGGGCCAGGCCAACATGAGTATTTCCATGAAGAGCACTGGATTTCTCGGGATGAGCAACCTCGGATTGATGATATCGTTGCCGGAAAAAAAGCCGGCCACTACTATTTGATGGTCGGCGAAAAGGGTACTGGAAAGACATCAATGCTTCTTGAGGCCATGCGCAAGATCAATGGCGCTGGCGTTGCTATTTTTGAAGCACATGCTGATCTGGAGATCTTCCGCGTTCGTCTGGGAAAGGCACTTGATTATGAATTCCACGAGGAGTAGGTTCCATTCCATACGCCCTGGCATAGTGGTACTAACAAAGATACACAGCTACATCGGCAGCTTGTTCAGTATCCGCGGTCCGCGAGACACCACCGCCTTGCTAGATATCGAACGCGCCTTTAACAAGTTGGAAAAGGTCGCACTGACGAGGAGAGCGACAGACAAGCAGCCATTGGTTTTGATCATCAATAGCACTCACTTGGTTCGCGATGATCATGATGGACAGGATTTGCTGGAGATGATCCAGCAGCGAGCTGAACAGTGGGCTGCAAGTGGCCTGGTCACCACAAGTACGTAATAAAAATGTGACAGTATTCTATTCTACTAACTAACAACAAACCAGTCCTCAACAGTGATGACTATTGGGTATATGAACGCTTAAAGCGCTACGCTACTCGGATGGAGGTAATCCCAGTTAAGGATTTGCCCAAGCAGAAAGCGATGGACGCCTTGAAGAGATATCGCAAACAATTCTGCAATGAAGATCTGCCTGCCTCCACTCTCGAGCATGTTTACAATGAGGTTGGCGGTCGACTTTCTTTCTTGAACCGAGTAGCCAAATCTCCCGATATCTTGCAGACCTGCCGTGAGATCTGTCGGGCCGAGAAGACATGGTTCCTGAACAAGTGTTGGATTTTAGGCGAGAGCATGGATGACGACGTGATGGATCAACAGAAGTTCTCTGTAAGTGCCTTTTTACCTTGAGATGGAATACGCTAGATATTAATGAATTCCTAGTCTGCCGCAATGGTTCTGGCTAAAGCTCTCGTCGACCTTGAAAGTGAAATGGAGCAGACCTACCACCCCGAGACTGGCCACATCTTGCCTGAAATCCCGCTACACAAAGCGCGCGAGATTATGACCCGTGCCGACTTCATGCAGGCCTACGATCATGAAAACATTTTCACCATTGACTCGCGAGCCATGGTGCGTGCGGATTCTGTTCCTATGCAACGTGCATTCCAGGAGATTTGCGCCGATGAAGGATTTGATAAACACCTTCAGGGAACTTTGGACCGGATTGACGACATCGAATCTCTCGGCCGTACCCGTGAGTTGACTATTAAGGACCTCTGGAATCAGGGCAAGTACCGGGTCGTGGTGAAGGACAACAGGGGCAATGAGAGCGGAACTGTAGAGTTCTCTGTGGCAGAACGAGAGGATGATGAGTAGATATTTGTCAATAGTAATGTAATTTATGTGATCAAATTTTGTAATTGGAACTTCTCAAACTTGATTCCAAGTTCTTACCCAGGTGTACAAAGTGATTCGTTCCAACTTCCAAGATTAGAGAAATTTAAACTGCCCAATCACATAGTGACATCATCAGACTTGACCACTCACCGCCGACCAGACATTCCAACTTTCCTGTTCTGTTAGAGCTTCTTGCGACTGCCAAAAAAGCCCATATTTCCTTGCAATTGAATTGCACAGAGCTGAGAATGTCGCCTAAGAAGCAGTCAACTTCAAAGACCAGCTATGCGCCCGAGCGCGACTTCACAGAAGCTCTGGCCCCTGCGGTCCCACACCTGGCGCGCATCCCCTCACCAGCGCGCTTCTCCCTGGTTGTCCTGACTAGTCTCATCGTGAGCTCAGTTTCGTTTACTCTAACCTCCGACCTTACCGTTGGTGATCTTGGACTGGTCAGCAAGCACTTGGAGGAGTGGTGGGAAGTGGGCGGGCTCGTGGCCTGGAAAGCTGTGGAGATCGGACTAGCTTGGGTGCTGGGATTCGATAGTAAGTGAACATACCACACATGGCGGAAGATTTTTGATCAGACGAATGAAGACTAACATAACCTTTTTACCTTTGAATACAGGCTGGGATGTTGCCTCGTTTCTTTACATAACTCACCTTCCCACCTACTCGCTCTTGACATACTTCTACGGTGTCCGGCCGACATCCACGATCATATCCTACGCGATCACAGTTCTTTCAACAGTGATTCCTTTCTTCTTCCTTCGTCGCCCCACATCGGTCCATGACTTATCGCACGCACCTTCCGGCGCAGTGGCCAACCGATCTATCTTACAAGATCGCCCCACTACAATCTACACTACACTTGCCGCGACCTCGATTTTCACCGTTGTATTGTATGCCAGCTATGCATCCTGGCTCCCCGCCCAGTTGGTCGTGCACTTTGAGAGTATTCCCGACATTAGCGCTGCGCATGCAGGTCCTGCCGGGCTCCCCGCTCTCTTCTTGACCCTCATTCCCACCGGCTATGCCGTGCGCGACTTCCTTTTCGTCAGCTCCACGGGTCACGCGACAAATGTGCAATCGGATCCTACAGACCTGGAAGGAGAATTATTGATCTCAGCCGTTTACCGCAAGACTTGGTGCCAGCTGTCGGCCAAGACTCGAATTCTTACTTCCCGGACTCTTGTGCTTGCTGCTGGTGTGTTGCTCAATACGGTTGTGCAGGTGGCAGGTACAATCGACTGTGTCTCTGTTGAGGGAGCGTCGCTTTGGGGTGCGGTCTGGACGTTCGCGACATTGGCTGTGGGTGCGGTCTTTGGCTGGATTGAAGCCGTTGATGGTGTATGATGGGTGAAAGGATGATCAGGGTGTTGGAGACGGCTGTTGACGATCTGACGATTCAATTCTGATAGCGCTCGGTGCACGGTGTTGGAATCAACGTTTGTTATCATATTTTTAATGGGAGTCTTTGGGTTTCACGTGGTAAAATTCTTTGTTTGCAAGATTGCCATAACAAACTTGAGAAGGTTGATGTTCGCCAAATTGTCTCCGAGCCAATAAAATGTGGCTGTAGCAGTAAAAAATCCAAAGAATTACTTTAGAAACTGATTCACATCCAGGTGTCTTGGCTACCTCTTTCGACCTGGGATCTGCAACTTCCGTAAAGTCCGACGGGGGGCCGAATGGGCCTTATTTCAAGGGTTGATCCCGACATCGGTCAGTCCTTTTGACATGTCTGCGTCACTGAAAATGCAAAGACCCCAGTTGTAATTCAAACATTGAATGGGGGCTAGTCAAGCATCTGGTGCTCTTCGGAGTTCAATTCCTGTCTTTCTAGATCAATCCCAAGCATGCTATGCTAGCGGCTCCAGTGCTGATGATGAACTTGACTTTGTTTCCCGAAGTCAGCCTTAAGAGTTAATACAGCACAAAATCAGGGAATTTGTTCAGGGGTTGGAAGTAGAGAGGCCCAGCACAATGAGATAGACCAGCTGCCAGGCACAGCTTACTAACTGGGTGCTGCCTTACAGCTCGAATGGATTCATGACAGTCCTCAATTAAGAATGACTTCCTGTCGTCAACTTTCTTCCTCTTTGCCTGCTGCGGCGAAATCGGCGGTCTCTATCTGTCCTGCCGCACTTGGAGATGGCGCCATCGTCGCGATAAGCTGGTCTGGATCTGACGAGATATAAATCAATAAATAATGACTGCATATGCAATGTAACGTCGGCTGGCCCCAATTGCGAGGCGTCAATCAAAACTGCAGTAAGTTAAGGATGACCTGCGTTAGTCTGAACGCTAGATCAAACCGTTACAAGTATTTTCGCTCGTATTCAAACTGGTTCGAGGTAGTTGGCATACAGAATTTGTTTATGCGTATTCATGGCAGGAGAAGGAGAATCTGCCATAATTTCAAATGTTTCAAAGCCTATTGACTCCTCTTTGAGTACCACATCGACTACAATGGCCCTTAATTGCTTGTAAGTTGCAAATCCATACTCCCCTCTTTCATGTGCGTACACCAACATTAATAATTATAGACTCCAGTATGCGGGAGCGGGAAGCAATACAATATGTTACGTACTACTAGCGTAATATTGTGTAGCGACTTGGAAGCCTAACTGGTGGGATAGAAAACACTAGTCCCAATCAGCACTTGAGGATATCAAAATCCACCAAGACTACTATAAATTCAAACGTCTGCCTAATCAGCTCTTTATTTGCAGTCATGAACTCCTTGAACTTAGTCAACACTAATTCCAAACTTTGCCCCTGGTTCGTTCAATGTTCTCGTAGCTCAAATCTATCCTGCTGCTTTCAGAACCACAGTTTAGCGTCGATCTGAGGATTCGAGGATGCTAGATGCTCCGCCAGACTGTGGGGATATGGTCGACCACAACCTCCCGTCCGCTGACCCCAAATATTGCGCTCGCCATCTACTCTGCCATCAAGGCTTCACTTTCAATACTCACAGAACGGTGCAAGCACGGGTCTGGCTCCGTGAGAGCAGCAGCGGCAAAGCGCCCGATATCATTGGGGTCAATGAGCATAGTCCTATTTCCCGCGGCCATAGCGGTGCGAAGCGTACGGAATTTCGCCAACTCAGGAAAGTATCCATGTACACTAGGAAGGAGAGAATTCAAATGTCATGTAGACGAGAGGACGGATAAAAGAGCAGACGAGACGATACGACTAGTAATTAGACGATATGGGAAAAGTATATTTTATTAACATTGAACGTGCAGGATTGGGTCTTTCCCAGGAACATGGTGGATGCATTGATTCTGCCTTTATACTACTCCAGGGCCCATTCCTGAATCCCAAGAGCTCCTGTTCTTCATCTCATCTTATCTACCACATGTTTCCCATCTCAGTGTAGATGCGTAGTCAATTCATCTGTGATGACAATGTTGAAAAATACAAGCGCCGTTTTGGTGGTCTTGGTGGCTGATTCAATCAATACTAGCGTAATTATTGTACCAATTTAACCCTTTCCCCTCACCCCATTGTGGTGTCCGACGATAGCCCTACGGACATCAAACACATGTGCTTGAAGAAAAAAAGTGTCTTATCGGAGGAGTTGGATCGAGGCCCCATGGAGTCAGCCCGTCGGACGGGTGTGCAGCGGTTCCTAATAATCATTGCGCCGCTTCCGGGCATGCGTCTGATAAAATCGGGATTTTCAATAAAGGAAGATAATCTGGACTCTGGAGTAGACAAGGCTGCCGCTTTACTAGAGCCCGGGCCACCTACTAATCCACATGTGCAGCCTTCTTCCCGTGCCAATTCAGCCAACACATAGAAGACCGACGTTCCTTGAAGGCAGCCTGAGACTCAAAATCAAGTAAAAATTGAAAGTAAAAGCCTTGAACAATTGGAAAGACCGGAGGAATAGTCTCAGACCCTTTGGACTGGCTTGACTGAGATTCTGTTTGTCAAAAGAGTTAACACTACATACCGCGCATGCAACCACGAAATAAAATCTTGGATTTTGGATTTTGGATTTTATAGATCCACTTTGGGACGCTTATATTGTTTCTTGCATATACATGCTACATGCTTCCTTCAGGGCTTAAGAAATGTTAGTGATTCCTTGGCCAGATAGTACAGAGTGGCTGCGTCGCTTACTGGATAAATGTAGACTAGCATATGCAAGACTGCAATTGTGCTAGAGGCCATAGTGCTGTAATGGAAGAAACACGATGATTTCAAAGCAGTAGCTTTTATTTATGCAGCACGGCCGAAGTTCACGATTAGAAATCGCAGCCCGCGAAGTAAGATCCAAATGTATCTCTTCGTAACTGAATTGCTTTTATCTTGTCCATTAAATGCCATGCGTGCAGCATTCCTAATGGGGTTGAGGATAGCCGAATTCCGTAGCCGAATTCCGCCAATACCATGGCCGATGATGTTATCTTGGCCAATGGTTGGTGGTAGCAATGGTTGGTGGTAGTAAAAAACGCCATTTCAGGTCGTGAAGGATTTGGGGCCACAGCTGAACACGAAGCTATGTGTCAGACTCAATCTATGGAGCGCCTGAAGAAGTTAAAGTATCAAAGTGACAGCAGCTCTATTAATCGAGGTTGCCCAGGTGTAGTAGGTTCTCGTCTCTTTCCTTTATTTTTCTTGATCTAATACCCGCCGGAGCAACCATGGCCCCACAAGCTAGACATGTGGCCTGCAACTCCTGTCGCCAACGCAAGACCCGCTGCGACGGTAATCAGCCCTGTTGCAATCAGTGTGCCACTAGAAACAGTGCCTGCAGCTACATTCGCCCCGAGGTCCACGACCAACGGGAGATTCTAGGCCTGTTGAAAGATTTAACTCAACGACTGAGTGGGTACCATCGACGCAGGAATCGATTGATGCAATTTCCGCATCGGGCCAGCTAATGCGTCAATCGAATACAGGTGCCTTTGAAAATGACCTTGCCCCTCAATACGAACCGGTCACTCCCGGAGTTGAGCATGATGCTGCGACAGATCCAGTGTCATTTTCACCAGACGACATGTTACCCTCTGATTTAGGGACCGTGGAACAGACTTCAGATGACAATATCTTCATGATGCCGCAGGTAGCGGATATTGATTTCCAACAAATACTGGCCGATTTGGAGATATCATCACCACCAATTTTTGGGGATACGTTTCCAGTGCCGATGATGTCCTGGTACGATGCGAACAAGCTTGTTGAGCCCAAATTGGCCGACAATGTAGTTTCATCGGACTCGGAATTGCAGAACATGTATTTCTCACCATTCAATGAAGATCGGGTTGCTCTGGGTCTAGTTCCTTACCATCTAACCATGGCATTCACAGATACCGGACATATATTTATAAGGCGAATTCTGGCTGTTTTATGATTGACCCTGATCGTTTTCATGCAAGACTCCGAGAAGTCCCAGAAACACCAGAGGTCAGCAGCCTGAAATATGCTCTCCTAGCTCAAGGAGCGTCAACTTCAGCGACTTATTTGAGATACAAGGTAGATTTTTACAACCTGGCCTGCAAATTTTTTGAACAGATCAAGGCCTCAAGCCAGGGAAGAAATATTGTCGCGCTACAGGCTTGTGTTCTCATTGCATTCTATGAGCTGCAGAATGTTCATTTTGAAAAGGCCAGGGCTAGCTTGAATCGTGCAGTTTTGATGTCTAAGATATTTGGCTTAGATCGTATAGATCAAAGAGGAGACTCTAGTCCAGTTAGTGGTGATACACAAAGTGAATTGGAGGAACAAAGGCGAACATTCTGGACTGTTCTCAACTTGAGTTGCTTTGCCAGCATCACAGCTGGTTGGAACGCACATGCGCTGATTGACTACAACCAGGTAACTTCCATCCAAAATAAATGCATTTTCCCAATGAATGGAAGCACAACGCTCGCGGTGCCTCTGGAAGCTAATCACTCTGACATGGCAGATCACAACATTCTTACCGACTTCATTGCCTCTTGAGCAGGTCATATCATCCTCGAAACTCACACTATCGCAAGTTCTCTGTCCATCAACTTCCCCTAAAGCATTGTCCACTGCCCAAGGATACATCGTCAGTTTTGCTGTGCTAGGCTTTGCCTTTGTTCATCTGGAAAACTCATCTCAAAGACTAAATCCTGCCCTCGGACAAGGGGATTTCTGGCTGCAACACTACCAACTTTGCGAGGCCTTGATTCATATATTCGAAACTTTTGGGATAGATCAGCCCACATGCAGCTTGATGGGTGGCCAAGATTCGGGTCCAATATGCATGTTTCTAAACCTACATGCTACTAATATCACCCTGCACTTTGCTGCCAACCTGCAAATTGCAAATTCCAAGACGTCGCCTCTGCCTGTGTTGATCGATCATGAGACAAAGTGTTTGGACTCGGCGATTAGAATCGCTGAGACCACTAGCGCAGTCTGTCAAATGGACCGCGGTACAGTAAGTTTCTTCTCTCCCCAGGGTTCACGCAGTCGTTCTTCCAATTTACCTAACCTTACTTGTTGAATCTCAGATTAGCCCCTATATTCTGTGGGCTATTTATGTCGCTGCCCAAATCTTTGTGCGAGACTTGCAACAATCAGGAATTTCATCAACACCAAATCATCTGGACGCCTTACAGAAAGAAGCCGCACCTGCGACCGCCGGGTTGGGTACATCCCAGTACAGATTTTTGGACTATATTCAGCGACTGCTGGAAACATTGTCAATCCTTACTCTGCATAACCCAATCGCCGGATTGTTTATTTCGCAGATTGATATGGAAATTATGGGAGGCAAGCCGTTCACTGACCTTCGACTCATTGGTCGAGTGGAGAACCTAGTGCCTGGGTTCGAAATACCTCACGATTGAAAATAACTCTTTTGGCCAAGAGCAAGAAAGATCTCTATAGAATCGATCTTAAGATAACATAAACATAGATACATGAGACGACAACTGGAAGAAATGATGGCGATATCTCAGACTGAAAAACAGTACCTAGCCCTGGACTATATTCAATGAAATTCACATTCCACAATGAGTGACCGCGTTTCAACAGGTTTCTACGGACATGTGGAGGGATATGGTAGATACACGCCAGGTGACCCAACAACCCTATTGCCCATATGTAATTCCTATGCTGAAATCAAACTCGAAAGAAAAAGAAACGAGATAGCCACAAATAACCCAACGAGGGGAGTATATAGGAACGAAAATGAAGTTACTCCCTTGTTTACCTTGCTGTCATTGGGAGCTAGCTGTAGCTCGTCGTCCCATGGCATAGTTCCAGTGACATCACGCTTCGGTAACTGAACATACTCTAACTTGCGAGAGGCTTTGATCAATTGAGCAGCCTGCTTGGCAAATGTAGTGTCAGGAAGAAAGGGGACCACGCGTGACAAAAGCTTGTGGAAGGGCGTATCCCAAGCCTGAATGCGCGTGGCAAGATTGGAGAAGTCGATGATCTTACGCATGCGCTCCTTAGTCAAACTCTGATACTCTGACAGCACCTGCTCAACAAGCTTTGCATCCGGACGCCCACCGGGGTGGACCTGGATGGCGCGATTGAGGAGGTTAGACAAAAGTACGATGCTCTCCATAGCTGAGTTCCCACCAAGCCCGACATTGGGGGTCATCTTGTGGACCGCATCACCAGCGAGAACCACGCGCCCAAAGTAAGCATGGTCAAAAAGACCTTCTTCGACGTTGACTAGCTCCCCACGGATACGTGTCTTCCAAAGCTCACCAAAGACCTGCGTGCTGGAAATGGGGCAATCGGCACATTCACGGGCCCGTTCAGCCGCGTCCGCGTCGCTCCAACGAGGACGACTGGGCCAATGGAGTCGCTGGGGGTTCTTGAAAAAGACGAACCAAAAAGTGTATGTCTTCTGGCCAATGACGAGAAAAGAGCGACCTGGATAGTGAGTGCATGTCATGTCGCAATTGCTCATGCCGGGGAGTGTTGGGCTAAGACCCACGAGGGCAGTCCAGTCACAGAAGAGAGCTGGGGGCCATGAATGTCAGCATGTGGAAGCTAGCGTTTTAGGTGAAACTCACATTTCTTCTCAGTAGTGGTTATGTAGCCTGGGATTTTTGCATTGGCATTGCGCCACATAAGACTGCGCACAGCACTATGGACACCATCACAGCCAATAACGAGATCCCCTTCCTCAATGCTGCCGTCCTCTAGCAAAACCTTGACCCCATCGACACCATCAATGATGTCCACTACACCAGCCTTGGTGCGCACCTTGGATTTGTCGGGCAACTGTTCGTACAGGATTTCGAGAAATCGCCGACGCTCTAGCACCGGAATGGGATAACCATGACTAGAAGTTGATTTAGTAAAGCGATGGAGATGCACAGTGGTGAAGCCTTACTAGTTGCGTGAGTGAGCAAAGAAGTCACTGTTCGCGATGATCTTACCATTGGGCAGAATATTGATTGATTTTCCCAAAGGATAACATTCCGCTTCAACGGACTTCAGGCAACCAATTTGGTCTAGGATGCGAGACCCCTGTGGGTAGATGCCAATACTGGCCCCCATCGGCGGAGCAATCACACCTTTCTCCAGGATCACATAGTCGATATTGGCGCGGTGAAAGGTGTGAGCTGCTGTCAGACCACCGACACCGCCACCTACCACGATAACACGGAATGGTGCTTTTTGAGAAGAACTCATAGCTTGGACATGAACTCGAATCTGAGGCAAATAGTGTAGCGTGCTCTAAACCATGGATCAAGACACAAATTCTTCGCTATTTGTTTACATTTCTCACTCAAGGTACGGAGGTCGAGGCCGTCAGATCTCCAAAGGGTCGCGCCATGAATCGCCGGCCCTCCTCAGCTTACTCTGATGCCCTGCCGGCGTTCGGCCCGGGCTCTTTGTCTCCTCACCGTTCGAGGTGAACTATGGCCTCAGTAGGTTTCGCGAAGAAAATCTACGGAGATTTAAATGACCGTCATGGCTCTACAGGTTGAAACTATTGGTTCCAGTCTACAGCCGCAATTTATCTACTGAGTCGCCTAATCATGTCTGTTCCTACGATCAACTTTGCAACCCTACAACCTGCCATTGTATGGAAGGTGAATGCGGGGGCCGCGCATCTTGTTGGACCTCGCCAAAGTGGCTCGACATTGATCCATTTTGTATGAATTTTCCTCAAAGTTATATTCACCATGCGATTTATACTTCGGACTACTAATGGATATCATAGGAAACTCCCACTGGGACAATCGAGACCGTGCCAGGATTTGAACCCCAGTTCTCAGCCAAGGTAGTCTTTGGTGCCGACTGGCTTGAATTTGATCCCGACAAGAAGCATGCGCGCATCAACATGAAAGCTGTTGCCAGGTAAGTCTGCATTATGTGCCTGAAATCAATTAAAGTCGCCTCTGATTCCATTCAGGACCGAGGACGGGAAGGATATTAGTTTCGGATACGAAGGCATTATCGAATTGAATGAAGCAGTGATGAAGATTTTCAATATGGAGGCAGATTCTGTCAGTGTTCCATTCGGGTTCAGCAGTAAGTAGTCTTGGTATCAGGTCTTGAGAGGGATAATTACTAATAAGAGGAAAAAGCGGGATCCCATGTATTCCATAGCGGAGACCCAGCCCTTGAGGAGCTGCAGAACATGACCCTGGTGGGCAATGGACGTATGCTGGTAGACGAGGAAACACGGGTTATTACGGTGGAATCTCGTATCTCACGCGTTGTTCCTGCCACCGGGTTTGAATAGTGATTGAGTTCATAGTAGCACCGAATGATGTGATTCGGGCTCCGGTGGTTGCGGCGAATTTCGCCGGCCTGCCCATGCCCGCGTCGGGCCGTTCCCCGGGACAATCTAAGAAATGAACTCCTCTTATCTTAAATAAACAATAATCTCCACGCTTTCACTGGCTATCAGTAAATACTCCAATTTGCATCTCAGTAACAATTGTTAGGTGACGACTTCTCCTGGCTCTTTTCGGTCTATCTCTCTTGCAGATCTTTTCTCTCTTTCTTAATTATCCTTCTTCCCTTACTCGATCAGCAGACTTCCTTCTCCTTGCCTGCTCACAATCCACCTTTTTCAACAATGACGAACCAGAAAATTTTGTTTATCCTTGGTGCAGGCCCTAATGTTGCCACTGCAACTGCCAAGCACTTTGCTGCGCAAGGCTACCAAGTCGCTCTCGTCAGCCGTGGTACCTCTACCTCTTTCGATCCTTCCTACTTCTACATCCAGGGTGACCTTTCCAGCCCTGAGAAGATCCCTGAGTGGTTTGCTCAAGTCAAGAAGAAGTACGGAGGTGCTCCGAATGTGGTGATCCACAATGGTAAGTACGCATGATGCTTCGTGCCACAAAGTTAAGAAGCTAAACACCCATATCCTACAGCGTACCACGTGTTTCCCGCGCAGCCAAATAATCCCCTGTCGCTCAGTCTGGGTCAGCTCAACTATGACCTGGCCGTGAACTTCACTTCCGCCTACCTCACCGCACAGGAAGCTATCAAGGGTTTTGAGACGCTTCCCGCTGAAACCCCCAAGTCATTCATATATACTGCAAATGGACTGAACATGATGCCTATGCCTCGTCTCGTCAGCCTCGGGCTTGGTAAGACTGCTTTTGGCCATGTCATTGAGAATGCTACTCTCGCTTTCGCAGGCAAAGGATATACGTAAGCAATCCATCTACCCTTGCAACTTTTTCGATACTTGGTCAAGCTAATAATCTACCCACTAGTTTCTACTATGGCGATGAGCGCCTTGCCAATGGCGATTTCGCTAGTGGTGCTATCAGCGGCGTTGCTCATGCGGAGCGGTACTGGGAGCTTAGCCAGGATCGTAAGCAGAGACCGTGGATGGATACCTTTGTCGCTGGCCAAGGATACAAGGAGTTTCCTAAGGTTTAAATTTGTATGACCAGGGCCTTATTCAAGTAAATAATCGAGAGAAGCAATTTCTTCGCAAAGCCATTTTGAAATCTCAATCCGTTGTACGTACGCAATAATCTGGATCCTGATCACCTACATAATTTTTCAAAGCATTGTTAATAATCTGCCCAGATTGAAAGGCATGAAAAATAACATTTGAAGAAACCGAGCACAACATTGGACATTCGTATGAAACATTACAAAGCATAAGTGGAAATCACCTGCAGTCATGGTTCCTCAATTGATGACAGGCTGGTATAGGAAAATAAAATTTCTTGACAGGGACAAGAAAGACTCTTCTTGAAGCTAGTCAAGAATCATATATTCATTGCAAATATTTCTCTTCTAAATAAAGTCGTCGCGAGATGCTGGCATTACATCATTATGGCAACAGTAGAGAAAATCATGATAAATGCGATACTAAATCCGAAAATTCCCCACGTAGATGGAATTCGCGTCAAGGCTTTGGGTTCAGAGGTCGAAGCCTTCATTTGATTGGCGAAATACTCATCGATGAAACCATTGAAGTCTTCGGGGCGATAAGGAGAGAAGATCTCTGCTAGGGGGTTTGATTTTCGCCGAGAGTTGATCCCCAAGTCCTTACATAGCGTATCAATATACTAGGTGCAATTAGCATATCGTGAGTGGAGTTAAGTTTGGAAGAGTAACATACTGGCAAAAAGTCGTAGAGGGAATAAGGAAACTTCTGCCCTTGGCTCAGGTACCGCTTCCTAGTCCAAGCGTTCCACTCGGCAATTTCTCGAACCATAGTTTCGCTGTCCGGGAGAGTAACTCGACCAAGGAGATACAAAATAGCCCAGAAGGATTGGAATTCGGCCACTAGTGGGGTCTGTACAGTATGAATCTGGCCTAGGATTACGAGCGAGCGATCTCCCTTCTCAGCTAGCTCGAGAGGAACGGCGCGTCGGTAAAGACGCCATTTCTTCTGGGGTCGCTGGAGATTTCCTGGGTTCCGTAGTGCAGGTGGGTGTTCCAGGAACGGTAGCTTGAGATTTACAGCTGCATCGGCATCTTGATCGGCCTGCTGCCAGCGGTCGGGGCTCTGCTCAACCTTCAGATCCTTCGGCTTGGTCTGAGTAGGGAGCCCGATATCTCGTTTTGTCTCTGCATCGAATAATGCAAAGTGATCCCCCCAGCCAGTGCACATTACGATAAAGTCAGTGGGCACTCTCTCATTCGACTGCAGCAAAAGAGCGTTCCGATCAATACTTTTCAGGTTCTCTCGCACCACGCGAACCTTGCCCTTGTGAATGGTCGACCAAAAGTCTGGGAGGGTGACTACTCCCAGTCCCGAGTTTGCCCAGAATATGCTGAGGTATTACTTAGTTCCTGAAGTACCCGATTGAAAGCAGAAAGAATCGCTTGCTCACCTCTTGTTCCCAATCTCGGGGCGCAGCGAAGCAACATGATCGCCTTTGTAGTATCCAGCATGAAAGTCACTCAGCATCGCCACAGTGTCCCAAAACCGCCCTGTGAGCCAGCGACCGAAATGATGTTTCTGAAAAATCCAATACAGGTATCCATCGGTGTTGAGAATGGAGGGACTGAGCCCAGTCATCAATCTGGTGGATGCCACGCCAATACTGGTCCATATTCCAAGTAGCGTAGAAGGTAGGATGGCCAAGGGCCCTGCGCCATTCTCTCGGATGACCCAAGTCACTTCTTTCCCCATGGTGAGCAGGAGATACACCGCGTCATAAGCGGACTTGGCAGCACCGACGACTATGACCTTTTTTATTTCAGGGTTTTCCAAGTCGGAGAAGGAGCGGCCTAAATCCATGGAATGAACAACTGGCACTCTCGCAGTATCGGGTTCAATGCCGGGGATGTCAGGCATGTTGGGGATTGAGGTGACTCCAGGAGCGACCAACAGCTTGGCGGTTTTGATGATCTCCGAAGAGTCACGGAGAGTCAAAAGCCATCCACCCGATGAGTGATCACGATTCACCTGAGTCACGAAAGTATTGAACCGAATATGCGGGAGGAGGTTGTGGTCTTCGGCATACCGCTGGAGATAATCATGGATCATGCGGCCGGTTACTTGTTTCTCGCCAGTGACGCCGATGCTGGGCATCGGCGTGTCGGTATAGTTGAACAAGCCAAGATTTACTTGCGCTACAAGGTTGGGATACAACCGGTCTTCGCTCCATACGCCGCCCACTGTGGAGTCGGAGTCAATCACTACTAGATTGACATTCGGACAAAGTCGAAGATATGTACGCGCTGCAACGAGGCCATACCATCCTAAATCGGAAATAGCGCGTCAGGTAAAGATCGATTTTCATGAGACAAGGGATAATACCTGCTCCGATGATGGCTACATCGACATTTTCAACCGACTTGGACTCCATTTAGTGATTTTAGTGATGGACGGGGACACCAAATAAAATAAAGGGAAGACCTTCCAGGGTGGGAGCGACCGTAGTGATTGGTGTTATGTAGCCAATATGAGAAATGACCAGAGGTGATGTACTTGGAAGCATCCATTCTATTTGAACAGAGGTCTTGTGAAATCAGTCCAAGTGAGGCTAGTTCTGACAGCAATAATTCCAAGCCTCATTCGCTGACGGAGGGCCGGCGGTAGTCCCCGGGCCCCGGGGTATATGGCCTCTGCCCAGGTGAGTATTCGAATTTCGGGGTCGCCCCGAAGCGTGTGGGGCATCACTCGGCGGTCCCGGTCCGGGTGAGAACCGGAGTACTCCAGTAGAATTCACACAGTACTTGGTACTAACTAACAGGTAAGGCTGATACAACAAGATCTAATGGATTAATCAACAATATCGTATTTGATATTACCTACTGAAGAGGGGAACGCTTGAAAGCAGCACATCTCAGGATCTGAGGGCCGATTCTGCCATACAACACAACAACACAACCAACCGCACACATGCATGGGTTTTTATGAGATATTTGTGCATGACACTTACCTTTGCACATCACATGGAGAGTTCTAGACATTACTATCTTCGAGATTCTAGACCTCTTCCGGTCTTGCCCGTAATAACATGTAACATGCGGTTCCCTACTACACTATGTATTATCACAGTACTGGTCGAGCTTAGTCCGTACCGCAAATTATACAAAAATCTTGGAAGCTGAATCTTGGTGTGAGGAGCCCCGGCCCATGGGTATAGTGGTGTAATCTATTGTAATTTTGACATTCCAAACATTGGTATTTCGGAAAAGTATGATTTTCCCGAATGTTGGTTTGGGGAAGTCTACCTCTATGGCTCTGAAATAATTTATATGCACATGTGTATATCATCAATTGAAATGAATGTTTAGGTAAAAAGACCAAAAGAAACTACTCAAATGCTCCCGTAGGTGAATATGTAGGTATTCAAGCACCCGAGGCTGGCTAAAATTGTGCAGGTAGCTAAATTTAAATGTTGATAGCACACAGCTGTAGGATATGCATTATTTGGTTTTCCTGGTACGCAAGGAACCGCTCTTCATGGAATCCTCCTTGCGCGCCATCACAGTTTCTCGCCAAAGCAGTACCAGTGATACAGTTGCACCTGCCCCAAGAACGACTTGGCCGATGAAAAGAAGGAAGGGTAAGAATAATCTGACAGAAGATTGTCTGTCCGATGAGCGACATGCAACCACATATGCCCACGACAAGCTAGACAGGGCAATGATAATCAAATCATACTGCAGAAATAGCCAAGGACCCTTTGCCAGCAGCGTAGTAGCGTCGGGAGGTCCGTGGAATAAATTCGGGATGTAAATGCGGCTCCAGGTCAATTCCAAATCGGAAGACCGATAAATCACGATGGATGCGTATAGATGACCAATAGCGGATGAAAGAGCAGCAAGACCGTATACGAAGTACACGCCGCGACGGCGGTTAAGGTGTGCGTCTATATTTCCACGCCTTGCCTGGCTCAAAATTGCGATGAAGATGACTTGGAAGATCGAGACCCATACAGGATCTGGCTGCCAAGCGGCCAATATCTTTTGATGACGAATATCCTCCCGAGGACCCCAAGTAGGGAGCATTCCGATGACTGCCGGGGCGACGGCTCCCAAGAGGAAGCTTAATGACAAGACATCGGCCGAAGTGGAATCCGGAGCCCCAACTTTATGAGCCCCAACATTGGAAATCCACTTTAGGTGATGATAATAGAATAGAGGTAGGGAGATTGCAGCTCCAGCTGCCTGCCACAGCAGGCCCCAAAGAATGGGGCGCGAGATAGTAGAAGGCTTTGAAGATGGTCGGTAACTTTCAATATATAACCACACAAAGGCCGACTGCAATGTTGAATAGGCATCGATGAGGAAGACTTGGTATCCGGGGTGAGAGCCATTGGTTCCATAAAAAAAGAACGCAACCAACAGGCCGATAGGAAAGTCCAGAGGGAAGAATCCCGTATAGCTAGCAAAGAATGGTGTCCCATCCTCAAAGTGTCCGCGCCAGACTGTCAGGATCAGCTCCAAGACGGTGCCGTTCCACAAACTGACCCCCCAAAGCAGCAGCGTTGCCACAACTGACAATGAGATGAAGTAGTTTTCCGCTGTCAACATTGCTACAGCAAGTGGAATGATGTTTGAGATGAACCACGGTACTTGTGAATGATGGAAAAGTTTAGAAAACCATGTATATGATCAAAAGGTTGGCGGGTCACAGGAAGCATAATGAGCAAAATGCCAAAAACTGACAGAAGTCCACAGGATGAGTATAGAGCTGAACATTGATGCACGGATCCCGCCGTGATTGCCGAACGCGATATTACACAGAAACGAGTGTCATGGTTGTTTGTGGCGGCTTACCCAAGGAAGAGAGGCCCCCGGGCCGAGCCTCCATATCTCGAATTTCGCCATACCGGAACTCGGGCCGCAGGCTTACAAACATCATTATTTGGCTTGGGAGGTATCAAACAATGAAAAAACATTAAAGGATGGCTTCAAGCTTGACTCTCATACCAGTTCTGTTATCCATCACATCGAGCTGGATTTGAGCCACCTCTAGATTGTCCCGTGCTAAATCCGCCGACATGCCTCACTTCAACGAGGATAAACTGGGAGAGGACTGTCCACTCGAGCCCATCGCAATTGTAGGCATGTCATGCCGCTTGCCTGGGGGCGTGGATAGTTCATCATCCCTATGGGACCTCCTCGTCCAAAAAGGATCAGTCCAAACCCCACGAGTCCCCGCCTCACGATTCAACATTGACGCCTACCTGCATCCGAATCTTGAGCGCCCCGGAAGCTTCAATGTCCCCGGAGGTTACTTCTTGGACAAACCGGTTGAAAGCTTCGATCCTAGTTTCTTCAATATGACACCCATAGAGGCCATGTGGTTGGACCCTCAACAGCGCAAGATTCTCGAAGTTGTCTATGAGTGCTTCGAGTCGGCTGGCCTGACATTGGATCAAGTGTCAGGCAGCAACACTGCTGTTTTTATCGGCAGTTTTACTAGTGATTATCAGCAAATGTCGACACGCGAACCGGATTTCCGTCACAACTATGCTGCGACAGGTGTGGACACGGGCCTCATCAGTGCTCGCGTCGGAAATGTTTTCAATCTGCAGGGACCAAGGTAACTCTACCGTTACTCTCACCTGGAAATGAAATTAAGACTGACTATTTTCACTAGTTTCACAATCAATACTGCATGCTCATCGTCCATCTATGCTGTCCATAACGCGTGCCACGCACTTCGTGGAAGAGACTGCAATGCCGCCGTTGTAGGAGGAGTGAACTTGATTATGACAGTCGATCAGCACATGAACACTGCGAAGCTGGGAATCCTTTCACCAACATCTACTTGTCACACCTTTGATGCCTCGGCCGATGGTTATGGTCGTGCGGAAGGCGCTGGTGCTCTTTACATGAAGCGACTGTCCGACGCGATTCGCGATGGGGATGTCATTCGAGGAGTGATTCGTTCCTCTGCCGTGAATACAAATGGCAAGGTTCCTGGGATGGGTATTACCCACCCAAGCAAACGCGGTCAAGAGCGCGTCGTTCGGTCTGCTTATGAGAAAGCGCACCTGAATCCCGATCGCACCGCATATTTCGAATGCCACGGAACAGGTACTCCAGTGGGAGATCCCATTGAAAGTCACGCTGTCTCGATGGCCATGAATGACACTCGCAGTCTGGAAAAGCCGCTGCTCATTGGAGCGATCAAAGCAAATATTGGTCATAGCGAGGCCGCTAGCGGTATTTTTGCAGTGATGAAGGCGGCTATGATGACAGAGGCTGCTATCATTCCGGGCGTGTGTGGGCTAAAGACACTAAATCCGGCAATCAAGGAGGATGAGTGGAATATCAAAGTAAATGCCAACACGGTTCCATGGCCTGCAGAATTCTCTGAGCGACGTGCTAGTGTTTCTTCCTTTGGTTATGGAGGCACCAACGGCCATGTCATCGTGGAGAGCATTGACTCACTGTTCCCCCACTACCAGCAGCATGGTAAAGCCAAGTTTGAGGCTTCATACGACCACTCTGCATCTCGGCCATTTCTTCTTGGCTTTTCAGCTCACGGGAAAACAACTCTAACGCGAAACATTGTGGCACATTCCCAGGTAGCCGATCGCTACTATTTGGCTGACTTGGCCTACACGCTGCTCCATCATCGCACCAAGTTCACCCAACGCGCTTTCACGGTCGCTTCCGAGGGCAGTCTCGTTCATGCCTTTGATGCTAATCAGATCACCTATGGAGTTGCTCCAAAAGCCACCCCCAGTGTTGGCTTTTTGTTCACAGGGCAGGGTGCCCAATGGGCGGGTATGGGGGCTGACGCAATCAGAGCTTTCCCTTCGTTCCGAGAAACCATTAAACGCCTGGACAAAGTCTTGCAGACTCTCCAGCCCACCCCTGGTTGGAAAATTGAAGATGTTCTGCTAGGCCCCATCGAGACCAGCCGTGTCTCCGAGGCAGAATTTTCCCAGCCATTGTGCACTGCGGTGCAGATTGCTATTGTGAACCTTTTTGCTGAGTGGAAGATCACACCCAAAGTGACTGTAGGCCATTCATCTGGTGAAATTGCAGCCGCATACGCTGCCGGACGCATCTCTGCTCCTGTTGCCATCATTGCGGCCTATCTGCGCGGATTGACTGTAGCGCAGAATGCTTCGGCCGGCGGCATGCTAGCTATCGGCCTTGGACAAGAAGAGGTACTTCCATACCTTGAAGAGGGTATTGTCATCGCCTGCGAGAACAGCCCTGCCAGCGTAACCCTAAGTGGTTCGCTGGAAGCTATTCAGGCAGTCAAATCTAAAATGGATGCAGATGGGGTTTTTGCACGAGAGCTGAAAACGGGCAAGGCTTATCATTCACCACAGATGGATCCCGTATCACGTGTCTATGATGCGCTACTCGCAGACGCCGTGAAGGGTGTCGATACAGAGCCAGTCTTACCTCGGGTTACCTGGGTTTCGTCAGTCACCGGAGAAGAATTTACTGCGAAACAAGTCCCTGCGTCTTACTGGAGTACCAACCTTCGTGAGCGGGTACGCTTCAATACAGCCGTTGCTGCCATTCCAGGTCTCCTGGATGAGAATGAAAGCATCAGCATGATTGAGATTGGTCCTCATGCTGCCCTCAGTGGGCCATTTAAGCAGATTCACAAGGCCGTGAAAGAAATGGCACGGTTCAACTACCTACCAACCTTGATTCGGGGAAAGGACAGTGCTGTCCAGCTTCTTCAGACTGCCGGCTCCCTGTGGGTCCAGGACTATCCCCTTGACCTTCACCGTGTCAATGCAATGGACGCAAGTCTTAAAATTCGCCGCCCTCGCACACTAGTGGACCTACCTCCTTACCAATGGAATTACGATAATACCTTCTGGGCTGAGCCCCGCCCAAGCCAAGAGATCCGGAAATTGACACATCCCCGTCACGACCTCCTCGGCAGTCGGATTGCAGGCCTATCGGATCGCTCGTGCGTGTGGCGCAATGTGCTTCGGCATCGGGATATCCCTTGGTTGGTGGACCATAAGTTAGGAAATGCCGACGTTTTCCCTGCTGCTGGCTATCTGTCCGTGGCAGTTGAGGCTCTGCGTCAAGTGTGCGAAAACGAAGGAGTCGCCATACCTGGCATTACCTTCCGTGATGTGGCGATCAAAGTTGCCCTGGTAGTCCCAGATAATGACGATGGAACTGAGATTCAAGTCCGTCTTTCACCGATCACAAAAGGTACCAGTAAAGACGCGTCCGAAAGAGGATGGTATGAATTCACAGTCGAATCCATCCAGGATGGTGTATGGACACTGCACTGCGAGGGGAGAGTTGCGACGTTAGAGAGCTCTGAGGCTACTCTAGGACAGCATGAGCACCCCGTCGAAACATTGGCATCAAAACTTCCTCACCAGGTGCCAGGAAAACGCTGGTACGATGCCTTTCACCGCGTCGGCTTCCAATATGGTCCAAGTTTCCAGCCATTAAGCAAGATTCGAAGCAACGGCCACGACCACCATGCCGCCGCACAAGTGCAGATCAACACAGAGAGCGGACTGATCACTGGCGAATCCCGATATGTTCTGCACCCGGCTACTATCGATGGCTGTCTGCAGCTCATCATCATTTCAATCAACAAGGGTTTACATCAGGAGATGCCCCACGGCGTCGTCCCGATTGAGATTGAGGAGTTGTCGCTCTGGTTTCCTAACGAAACGGAGATCGGACTAACTGGCCAGGCCGTGGCCTGGACCGACCAGGTTAAAGGCCGTTATTTCGATACCAACACGAAGCTGTTCACTCCTTCGGGCCAGCTAGTTCTTGACGTACATAAGCTCCGCTGCGTTTCTTATGAGGCTGCGGTTCCGCAAGTAGATGATAGCGTGGACCGTGCTCCGTACATGCAGACTGTTTGGAAGCCCGAGATCACCACACTTGACACAGCTCAGGCAGTAGCTGCCTACCCGTCCGTGCAATCAGATGCAGACTCGGCCGCTGCGATTGTTGAGCTAATGGAACATCACACCTCCTTGGCCCATTTGATTATCCTGGGTCGGCCTAGTCAGGAAGTCCTCGAGGCAGTATGGGCGCAAATCAACTCATCCACTGCCGTAACCATACTCGATCCATCAGATGAGTACCTGGACAACCTTTCAGTAGGGCACTCTGCGGGTCGTATCTCCAAGGTGACGGTAGACGCGTCTGAAGAGTGGAGAAATCTCAACCTTGCCCCCGCAGATCTGGTACTTGCAGGACTCCACAGCGGAGTGGATACTGCCCAACTATTGGCTGCCGTGAGCCCCTTGCTGGCAGAAAAGGGCAGCTTACTGGCATTGGTGTCTCCTTCTTCCACCTCAGACTTTGTTGAGAAGCTTTCAGAAACCGGATTCTCATCCCCCCAACTAGTCTTCCCGCTCCCCGCAGTCTCCGTGGTCTTTTCGCATAAACAAGAAGTTGAATCTCAATCTACCAATGGTCATTCATCGAAAGCAACTGGGGTGACGACCTTTTATCGGGATGACAGCCAAGATCATCACCTTGTCTCGCTGGGACAGCAATTGGGCTCCAAAGCAGGGGTAAGGACGCAGCAATGGCCTCTGTCAGATGTCACTGTATTGAACCCTCAACCAAACGAAGTGTTTCTTATCCACGATGTGGATGGCAAACTGTTGTCAACTTTGACAAAACAAACCTGGGTCTCCCTGAAGCAGATCCTTCAGTCTGGAATTCCAACTATCTGGTTGACGGCCGGCGTCAATGAAGGCCAATGTGTTGAGGGAACATCCTCTCAGGGCTTCCTTCGTGCCATTCGATCTGAGCAAGCGAATGCTAGGATTGTTCTGCTTGATGTGGATCGAAATGAAGATCAGGAAACAATAGCCGCAACTCTTGCCAAGTTGCTAGACCGAATTCCGACCAAAGATTCGCGAGAGGAGACTGAGTTCTGGCTCCACAAGGGCATCCTTCACATTCCACGGGTCACACCAAATGTTCACCTCAATGAAACCTGGGCCAGTCCGGGGGATAAAGACGTTCAAAGCACACCCCTTACACAAGGTCAATCTTTCGCGGCCAAGCCGGTGGCGGGAGAATTTGTCTTCCACGCCGCTACTCATATCGATATTGCCGAAAATGAACTTGAAATCCAGGTTCATGAAGCGCAAATTTTCGAAACCGATCTGAAGATTGTGTCTGTTGAGCCGCGACTGGTTGCAGGTAGTATTACCCGGGTTGGAGCTGGGGTGGATAGCTCACTGATTGGCTCCACCGCTATTGCATATACTTCCGGCCCAATCAGCACTCTTGTAAAAACTACATCGCTGGCTGCTGGTGTTTACGATCCGGAGAATCTCAATCTCAGTGCTGCAAATGTGGTCACTGTTCTCCCCGGTCTCGTGTCCGCGATCAACTCTGTTCAGGGAGCTGCCCAGGTCTCAGGGGCGGCGGACCATCTGATTCTACTTCCGGCGCCTTACTGGTTCATCCAAGCGGTCATTCGACTACAGAGAGAAATTGCATTCCAACTAACCATCTTTTGTGCCGATGAAGAGCAGCGGCGGCTGATCTCATCAGCACCAGGGTTCAGTGCTGAAACCCACCTTAGTGTTGCTGATTGGGATCAAGTGCGTGGGGCTTTGCAAAGTTTCTCCAAGCAAGCCACTCCTGTCTCTATTGTCAGCCATGAATGGAACACTCTTAGTCGGAACGCATGGCGATCCATCCCGGCCCTAGGCCGATTTGTCTTCAACGGTGCTTCGCTGGATGAAGCGCCTGATGTGGTTCCCTTCCAGCGTGGCGCCTCTTTCCAATCTACGAGCATCGAGACCCTTTACAAAAACGAAGGTCCGGTTTTGGGTTCTCTGGTGAAACGTGCTCTTCACTTGTTGGAAGGGCAAAATGATATTCCTTTCGAAGGTGCCACGCAACACAAGATCACATCACTGGGTGAGAGCATGCCTAACGCTGCAAATTGGTCGACTGGATATAATGTCCTTCAATTCAACTACAATGATCTTCCTGTCCAGGTATGCTACTGACTTCTCTAACAGAGACTAGTTGATGGGTTTTTAAACTAATGAATTTTTTTATTAGATTTACTCTGCCGAAAGAAAGCTCCAATTCCCATCCGATGTAGCCTACCTTTTGGTCGGCTGTCTTGGTGGCCTTGGTCGAAGTCTCACGACATGGATGATGGAACGGGGAGCGAGAGATTTTGTTTTCCTGTCCCGATCGGGTGATGATAAGGCTGAAGCTAAATCAGTAAGTTAACTTTATATCACTTGCGTTGAGATTTTATTTGCTGACATTTAGTAGCTGGTCGAGTCTCTACGAGTAGCAGGGGCTCGGGTGCAGGTTTTCCGCGCCGATGCTTCGGATGTAGAGGCCGTCACAGAGGCCGTCACTCAAGTCACATCGGAGCGGCCTCTTCGTGGAGTGGTACATGCCGCCATGGTATTGCAGGTAAGCAGCAAATCCTCTCATAGCCAATTAATATGTTTTGACATCGAATTTAGGATGGAATATACAACGGCATGTCACATGAAAAGTTCAAAGCGGCCCTGGTTCCTAAGATGAACGGAGCTCGTATCTTGCACGAGGTGCTGCAGGGACATGCACTAGATTTCTTTGTCATGACAAGCTCTATCTCCGCCACTCTCGGAAACCCCGGTCAAGCCAACTATTGTGCCGGTAATAGCTATTTGGATGGCCTCGCGTGGCACCGTAACCAGCTTGGTCTTCCGGGTGTCTCTCTTGTCCTTCCCATGATCCTTGATGTGGGTGTGGTCTCAGAAGATCAGAGTCTTGAAGCTTCCCTGACGCGCAAGGCAATGTACGGTATTGATGAACGGGAGATGCTTCGCGGCTTTGAGGTTTCAATGGCCCAGCCAATCCCTCAAATCGGCAGCCCGCCCATTCTTGGCGATGCTCAGATAATCCTAGGCATGGAGCCTGCCCGGCTGGAAGCCGCTTTGACAGCTTCCGAGTCGGCCGATGCTTACTGGTACAACGATGCACGATTTCAAAGCATCCGCCACACTGTTGAGTCTATTGGTCAGGATTCTCCATCAGGCGATTCTGGTGACGGAGATATTGCGAAGATTCTCAAGGAGGAGGGACCTGCGGCCATGCTTGAAGCAGTGGGTCAACATGTTATCAAGAAGCTCGCTGGAATGCTGCTCGTCCCATTGGAAAGTTTTGAATATGATGGCAACTCCATTGCTAGCTACGGCATTGACAGCATGATTGGCGCAGAGCTGCGCAATTGGCTTTTCAAGCAATATACTCTTGACATTGCGTTCCAGGAGCTTCTGGCAGCGAAAATGAGCGTCAAAATTTTGGCTACAGCCATCGCCAATAAGTTAGGCCTGCTCCCTGTGCCACTGTGAGACGTTTACCTTATTTATTTCATACGTTCCATGTTATCGTTTGTTTCGTGAACCTGCCATTGATCGAGAAAGATGACTCTGAATATCTCTCCGAGGCTTGTTTGTTTAAATTGTACCTTCGCTACTGACAGATCAATACAAATTGCATTAAATGAAAATGCTTCTGTGTATATTGCGCTGTATGAGTGACCCGGGGGTCTAAGGTTGCAACCTGCAGGTGCATTCTATGGAATCCGGCAGCTCTTAAGTTAGTAATCGATATCTTCCCTGGGCCCTTTTTTCTTGGCTAACATTTACTAGCGTGTAATACTAGCAGCTCTGGCAGCTCTTAAACCATTATCTTGCTTCTTTGATGAACTGAAGGATTTGCATTTGCTGGTACAACTTTCCAAGTCCAGTAAATAATCACATGACCCTTCTTTCTGCCTCGGGCAGAAAGAATGCGTCCCGGTTAGGCTTAGCGCATTTTATGACTTAGCATAAGAGTGAGTCAGTGACCCGTGTTTAGATTAAAACGCTTATATTTACCTCCGAGCACTCTTACAGTCTCAGAGATGTCTTTTTTGGCGACGGAAGTACTCAAGTGCTGCTGGGGCATGAGCCCAAAAATGGCTAGTGTCGATTTGGCTTTTTCCATTATCGATTTTAGTCCTTAGATATATCCATGGATGGTATCGCTGAATTCGCGCGCCACGGTCTCGCAAGTGCCGTGTGACGTGTCTGATCACTACTATGCCTTCTAGGGTTCCGACTTGAACATTGAAGGTTTGCACGGAGCACACTGCACAGGTAACAGATATTAACATTCCCACCACTTCTCCTCATCAACCCAAGTCAACCAAATTCTTCCACCTGCAAAATCCCACATCGTGCAACCCAAGATACATACGATCGCTCCATGGATCCAAGGCCGGAAAATCTCAATATGAATTTCCTCGATCGACTTCCCCCCGAGCTCATATTATCAATAATCGACTTTCTTCCATCTACTGATCTAACTTGCTTTGCCCTGTGCAATCGCCGTCTGCTTGAGATATCTCGGAGGCCGCTCTCGCGGCTGGATACACCATCAACCGATGATAAATTCTCTCTCTTAGCACGCCTGGAGAGAGATCTCCCAGAATACTTTGCTTGTGATATTTGCAGAATTCTTCACCATTATGATGGCTCTGACTGGTTTGGACCCATTAAATCCACTCGTCGCGGAGTTAGACAATCCCCACTGAAGTGTATCCGAACGTATGAGTGGACGGTCAGGGCATTTAGTATGAGAACCAATTCCCCGATGTTCTGGAATCATGTGCAGAGCAGAATTACCTTTCTTCAGCTTAAACTCGCGATGAGGAGGTTTTACTATGGTCCAATAGCTGGAATCAGTACTGATTCGCTATCATATACACAAGTGCACCACTTCCCTAAAAAGTTGGGGCCAGTTATAATCTCGTTATTCTCGCGAGAAGCACAAATCTGTCCAAGTCCCCCGGGCCTCCATTTTCGAATGCAGGACATAATACTTCTCAAACCACAAAATGGGTTGAATCTTGACCAAACTGCCAAATTCTTCCACATGCAGTCCTTACAGACTCTCCAGCCCTTACAGGCCTTTGAGCTATGTAAACACTCTCTTTTGATCGACAGTATTCTGCCTATCATGGACTCGATGAGTGAAGGAATAAAAACCCCTGCTGGTCAGGACTTTACATGCGATATCTGTAATACCGATTCCTACATTGAGGTTCGGGTTGCTGAAGACAGTTCTACGATGACCATTGTCATGACAAGATGGTTCAACCTAGGGCCTGGCCTTACTCAAGATGATGAGTTATGGAGGACCCATATTGAACTGATCCCTTTTTGGCAAGCTAAGGTTCCAAATGATAATCACTACACAAATCCTCGATTTTACTTTGAAGGCATAATGGCTTCCAAATCATTCAAGGAGTTGGAGTCTCGCAACCTCTCCTATCTTAAAAACAACAAATACAAAACATTCATGTCTCCTGAGCATATTACGGGAATTGGATGGCCTGAACTGTGGCACACTGTGTTCGAAGAGCCTCCTGAGAGCAAAGAGAGGCCGAAGATGAGGGAGCTCAAGTGGCTTTCATTCCTACTACGCTTTTTGAAGAAGGGTCGAAGGTGACAAACATAAAAAAACAACTTTGAAACATTAGAATCAGAAATCATTACAGATTGACTTATTTTCCAATCGTCTTCTCCTGGAAGTACAAGTATAAGCCGATGCACAAGTATCACAAATGATAATAGGCATCATTCAAACAAATCTCCATGTTAAAGGCATCAATATCTCCATATTCAAACCAATTAATTAATCAATTACGGATTTCAGATTCTCGAGATATACTGCAGTCAGTGCTGGAGAACATAATAAATTCATTTGTTCTTCCCCTCGTCCTTGGAAGTTTTACTATTCCGCTTGGACGCCTCTCCGGGATCGGGGATCTTCACCCCCGAAGACGTTCCTTTTTCAGGAATCGTATTCACCAGCCCCTTTACCAGGGCTTCCAAGTCCACCAAGCGCCTATTCGCATTCTCCCTTTCCCCCTCGAGTATCTTGATTCTATCCTTATCGGATAGATGCCCCTCTTCGAGGTCCTCACTCTCATCCCCCCCATTTGAAGCGTTTCACTGTACACTTCCACAAAAAACTTCCGATTGCCTTCAACGGCAGGATCAGGGCCAGAATACCCAATATCTTGGTTGTGAGGTCCAGCCCCACATAAGACTCCTTGATAATAGCTATATTTTTACAGTGTACTATTAGTTACTGAACACTCAAAAAGTATTTTATTCTCTAGGTAGATACATAGACATGTTCTGGTCTCTTTTTCATTTAGCATCTCTTGATGAGCATATTTTCTTGAAAAAGCCAAGAACGCCAAAAAGAACGCCAAAAAGAAAATCAAGCACCACATCATGTCTAAGTATCTGCCTCGAGATTAAAAGCAGGCCAAAAGGGAAGGTACTTACGTTTCAACGAACGGCAATACTCGTTAAGCGTGTCAATATTCACGCAAAACTCTCCCAAACTGTTGGGTAGGGGAAAGTCGGGAGTTGCCTTCTTGGCAGTGACAACCAAGCTCATCTATCACATATCAAATCTCGTTAGCCTTCTTCTGGAATACTAGGTGAGACGCTTGCGCCGCCTAATCGGACATGCTGCCGTGTCTCGGCGTGCTTAAGTGAAATTTCCACTCCGCGTATACGTGGGTGAATTTGAATTGATAGAGTGGGGAAAGAAAATCTTACCATAAAGAGAGCGAAGAACACGAGGATCATCCACGAGATGGCCATTTTTGATTTAATGGTTTTTGTGGAGATTTGGAAGGTCTTCAAAAACGGAGGAAAAGGGCCGAAGAGAAAAAGAAAAGGGAAAGATACAAGAAGAAAGGAGCACCATTAAATATCCAAGCCTAGTAGGTTTACTCCTACACGAAATCAGGGATAAAAGAACGAACAAAGAGAACAAAGAAAGAAGAGCAAATAACGAGAACAAAGGAACAAACAAGGGGCTGAAATAGCTACTATTACTAGATATGGAAATATTCAGCTCAGAAACTGTTATATGGTAATACTGATATAATACTGATATATGATATTAGGGAGTTATAAGCTCTTATTAGTTATCTGAGCAGAGAGTAGTAAGTCTTAGTTAGTTGTAACTTATCCCCTTTTAGCTATTATAATAAGTTAGTGAATAATAATGATTAGTATCACTGAGCACTTACTGAGCACTCACTGAGCACTCACTAAGTACTTATTCAGGACTTACTAGGCACTCATTAAGGACTTACATGATCTAGCACTTACTAGGTACTTACTACTAACTAGGTACTTACTACTAACTAGGTACTTACTGAGTACTTATATGATCTATAGTGAATGAACAAAGAATAAGTATAAACGAGGAATAAGGGTAGGGAAAATAGGATTATTTGAACTCTTGGGTGATGCCCCTATTTAGCTTGTTGATCTTACTGATGAAGAGAGCGAAAAACACGAGGACCATCCACGAGATGGCCATTTTTGATTTGATGGTTTTTGTGGAGATTTGGAAGGTTTTGAAAAACGGAGACCGGGGGCACCAGGGGCAGGGCCAGGGGCGCCAGGTGAACCGTGTGATACGCCATGGGATCTGCTTTCCTCTTCATGACGACTCTCGTGGCGACGTTGGGCCGCTGATGGGCGGCGGATTCGGAATGCCATCACCCGCTGTATTTCGGCTACAAGCAGCATTTGCCTTCAGCTTGGTTCTGAATTCGGACAGCCCAGCTTCCACTACAACCGATGGCCATTTGGAGCCTGTAGGGCTGATTGGTTGCATTGTGCCGTCCGCCTCCTTAGAGCAGCATGTCCCTTCCACTCTGGTTGAGCCGGCGGCAGCCACAGGCAGCACCGATGAGCATGCCGAACTGACGCATGAAGTTGTGGGAAGCCCGCTCATGTGGTCCACTAGGTACAGTAACCAGTAATGTTCGGCTGCCGTGATCAAACATCTGACGGCATGCTTTTGAGATCTTCTGTTCGGAAATGTGGGGGGGTACATTAGTGAACTTGATATACACCTATGGTGGGAGCCCGGGGTGCAGTTGATGCTGCGGGCGGATAGCGGCTACCGCTATGCTGATAGCCACCGTGCTGAGTCCTGACTGACCGCCTGTTGCTGTTAGAACCCCAATGAGGTTCTAGGGGGAAAACGAATGGTAATGAGGAGGAAAGAGAAAGAGGAGGAGAAGAATCAATGGTAATGGTATTATTCTACTGAGCGGAATGGAGGGGAAAGAAGGAAGGAAGGAAGGAAAGGAGAGAGAAGCTCTCACTTCCCTGGACTAACTAGTACCAACACTAACCCTCTCGCACACAAAACCAACCCACGCGCTGGAGCATCTACCATGTGACCAGAATGGTTCATATGGTTCACTTCTCCTAACAGTTAGTTTATTTAGTTTATATCCTGATGCTAAAAGGGATAAAGCTAGCTTATCACTTACCTGCTGCTGGTAGGGGTGTGGAGAAATAACTATTACTAGATATGGAAATCTTTAGCTAAGAAACTATCATATAGTAATACTGATATAGTATTAGTATAAAATCAGTGCATGTGAGATCCTAGTCATATAATCCATTCTTAAGTCCCTTCTCAAGACTACTCTCAAGTCTATTCTCAATCTCTTCTCAAGTCTATCCAAAGGTAACCCATGTTTAGATCAAATTCCTTCCCCTGCCTGAAACTAGATTCGATCTACAGTCAAGTTATCGAGGGCGCGAATCCGAATTGAGTGAGGGGCAAACCAGGCTAGTATATCGTTGAAGAGGCCGTTGCGGAAACAAAGTCGTTATATAGGTGTGACCATCATGTTCATTTATTCATATCACCTGTCGGACTACAAAAAATCAATTCTGTGATCTATTGCTTCTGTGAAAAAAAAAGAAATATGTTAGTACTTGTGATACTTTTGTACCCGATGTTGCAGTATTTGATCTCGGATACCTCTTTATCTGAGGCAAACATTGAAGAACTCCAATGTTTCTCTCGTGTTATAAGGGCCTTCGATTGGTTTCGAGACTTATCCATACCCTCAGATGGATTGTCTCCAAGTAATAAGCTTATTCTCTTTCTAACCTTAAAGTACTGGGGCTGTACCAAATGCTCAGTGGTAGATCTTGTGCTGAAACTATATTGAGCCAAGTAAGTGCACAAATAACTCCCCCTAGTCCTATTTTCCTTCAAAGCAGATCAGTACTATTACCAGGTTCTCCGGGAGGGTTCATTACTTTAAGTTTGCTTTGAATACTAGTATTGTTACATACGTTGATCTCGTTTTAGAAGGCTCCAGAACAAGAAATACATCAGACATTGGCAAGGGACAGTCAAGTAAAGGTCAAATTGGTTCGAATATACATTAAAAAATACAACTTCGTAGCTCAAATGGGCGGCATAATTTGAAAAAGTCAACTAAGCCCCCAAAACCCGAGTGTTCTCTCCGTCTTTGTGCGGTTTGAGAAATCCCGCAAAACCATTGTCAACAACCACATACCGGCGCCGCTCGCCGGGATGACGGCGAAATTCGCCGTCACTGCAGCAGCGGACAGGAACGCCCCCAACACTTAAAGAAATGTATTCACGATAAAACCTCGACTTTCTCTGCTTCTAATTCTAATGTGTTTGACTTGTCAATTGACCACATTTCCTGGACTCCCGGGTCTGTCTCTCTTCTAGGTCTTTTATTCTTCTCTCTTCTTCTTCTTCTTCTTCCTTCTTCCTCAATCTTTGGTCAATAATACCCCTTTTCACAAAATATTTTATTGTATATTTCTGCCCTTGTATCATCAAGTGCAAGCATAACCCATCAAATGGCCGATTCCAGCGAGAAGGCACCGTCTTCGGACGCGACCAACGTTGATGAATTCAATGGGCACTTTAGCTCTGGTGAATCCGCGCCGGACACCTCAAAGGAAATTGTGCCGGTTGAAGATGAGCGAGACAAGTACCGCAAAATCCATGGCATTAAAGTGGGATTCAATCCAGTCCGGGTATTGAGTGACTGCTAACCATTGCAGTGGTCTCTGGCTGTGTTGGCCATTTTCTCGTCTGTCTTTCTCTTCGGCTTGGATACCACTGCAGTAAGATTCCAATATAACTTTCAATCTCCCTGTCGCAATTACTCATTCAAACTTGTCCCTCGCAGGTTGCGGATATTTCCCCCGCGATGATCAGTCGTTTCGGTCATGCAGATTTGCTCCCCTGGTTGAGTTCTGGCTATGCATTGGGGGCCATGAACATTCTTCCTTGGGGAAAGTCATTCGGTGTCTTTAACCTGAAGTGGACATATATTCTTACGGTTGGCCTGTTTGAGGTGGGGAGTGCCATTTGTGGTGCGGCGCCGAATATGACGGCCCTGATCATCGGACGAGTGATTGCGTATGTCTGATTCCTCCTACTTTTCGGTTTCGATTGCTAACAATGTTGCCAGTGGAATTGGAGTGAGTCTTTGGCAAAATCTTCAGATTTTCCGTTTCTTTGAAACAATCGCTAACGAAACTAGGGATCGGGCATGTATCTCGGTTGCATCACATACCTCGCTATGACCACTAGCCCTCGCGAAGGTCCGCATTATATCGGTCTAGTTGGCTTTGTATGGGGCATTGGGACTGTCCTCGGCCCGATTGTATGACCCTTTGATCCCCTCACCATATTTCAAATTCTAATCTGGTACATAGGTCGGTGGCGCATTCGCAGATAGCTCAGCAGGTTGGCGCTGGACTTTCTACATCAACCTTTTGATCGCTGCCCTGTTTGCCCCCATTTACTTCTTCCTTCTCCCTAATATCGACGCGCAGCCAACAGCGACTTTACTTGAGAAGCACAAGCAAGTGGACTGGGTATCCATCATTTTTCTAAATGGATTCGTTGCATGCTTTGTCATGGCCATCAACTTTGGAGGTGCTGTTTATGATTGGGGATCTGCTCAGGAAATCGTTCTCTGGGTCATGACGGCTGTCATGTGCATTGGATTTGTCCTGGTACAGTATTTCCATCCGCTTGTGAAAAAGGAGCAGGTTCTCTTCCCTAGTCATCTGCTGAAGAGTCCCCTGATGTTTAACCTGTCCATTCAAATGTTTTTATCATCCGGTGTGCTACAAGGCGCCATCTACTACATTCCATTGTACTTTGAATTTGCGAAGGTATGCCTCCCTTTCCATATCATCGCTCGCTTCACTCTCCGTGCTCTTTAATGTTAATTACAAAACTTCAGGGCGATAAAGCACTCGATGCCGCCGTACGGCTTCTACCTTACGTTTTCATGCTTGTCGCTGGCTGCTTGATCAACGCTGCTCTTATGGTTCGATTTGGATACTACATGCCCTGGTACTTCGGGGGTGGCGCGTTGGTAGTAATCAGCTCAGCATTGATGTGTACGTTCTCAAATTCATCAAACATCCAAATACGTTCCAGCGCTAATAAAATGAACTCTGATCAGGCACCGTCAATGCGAATACCTCCAACTCTACCATTTACGGATACACTGTGTTGTTGGGAATCGGCGTCGGCGCCTACTGCCAAGCCAGCTACAGTGTATCCCAGCAGTTGGTTCCAATGACCGAGTTGACTAATGTTGTTGGCTTGATGAGTATATGTAAGTACATGACGATTCTTCCAGCCTTGAACTCGAAGGCACATATTGACAGTCTTATTTAGCGCAATTCCTTGGAATTCTGTTCTTCTTGGCGATCATGGGAACATCCTACCAGAATTTGGTCATTGAGAAGATCCACAAGCTTTTGCCCAGTGCTAGCGATTCCGAAGTTCGTCAGTTTATTGCTGGAACCAGCTCCAGCCTCAGCGACAGCTTGACAAGCTCCCAGTCCGTCGCCGTCATTAATGCTATCATCGTGGCCATGCGATCCGTGTGGATCTTACTTGCTGTTGCAGGTGGCATTTGTGTGGTGTTGTCTCTTTTCCTGGGGGTATGTTTAGAGAACCCCGGCCTAAATTTCGGTGACCATATACTGACATTCTTTCCGCGAATAGAAAGACAAGTTATTCACCAAGGGCGCCAAAGGAACAGCCATCGCAGCATAAATGTGCCACATGGGTTGACAACTCACCTTCACCAGGTGGCTAACACCCTCCACCCCCGGTTTGAGCCGTGTCTGGTCTTTTTGGGAGTGCCTCCCATACCTGGTACTAGTAGTGTTTATCCCCTCGGAAATTTTCCCCTCTTCATAGACCTTTTCTTCTCGTCCCGTCTGTTCGTCAGCCCAGCAGCCGCAGGCTGCTTGACGGCCTTCATGTGTGACAAGTACCCAGGGTATATTAGTCTAACCTTGGAACTTCTTCTTTCCGGATATCCAAATTGTGATTACGCATAATCTTGATATTATTAATAAGTTCTTTATCGCAATTTTTGAGTCGACTATTTGCAAGTCATCTCTCAGTCTTCCCAATCTTTGTCCTTTGTTTTGCGGCGAAATTGGCCGGTGGCCCGTGGCCCGTGGGGGCCGGCCAGTTTCGCCGGCGCCCCATTACTAATAAATGGGCCTTTGTCCTCTAAGCTCTCACGTTCTGATAACATCAGTCTTAAAACTATGAAATTCTATCCTTTGCACTCCAATACAATCAAATAGTTATCCTTCTCATGTATTCGTGTACGCTCTGCTCGAAGCCCTTCAAACAAAGTAATGTGATATCCTTGACTCTTATCAACCCCCACTGCAGAGGATCGAGAAGTCGCGCAACTCTCTAATTCCGTTCCAGTTTCCTCCCGGAACCGGCACCTAGAATATTGCCGCCAGGCAACAGACCGGCCTCGCATGCGAACCTTGTCATGTCGCGCCTGCAGCGCGGCCAAGACAAAATGCACCAGCTCTCATCCGTCGTGCACCCGGTGCCTGCGACGCGGCATCGAATGTATATATGAACAGCGATCCGGTCGGCGACAACTCTCCAAACAAGGCGGCGCGGATGAGGCCCCTTCCATCGATCAACGAACACCGGCAGATTCAGTAAACACAAGTCCTGACGACGGTAGTGCAGTCAGCCTGATGGCCAATCTTGACAAAATGGCAGATGACATGATCTGGGACGGAGACTCAAATTCCACCGATTTCCTTTTAATGGATCCAAGCCTCACTGACCCCAAGGGCGTGCAAGCTTCTGCATCCACAATGACTACCGCGCCATTAGTGGCATCCACTCCCGACTTCACATTTGGCTGGAGCATGGATCCACCAGAACTGCTTGCAGCACTTGCTGGGCCGCCGAAAATCTCGCCCTTGGCTGATGCGGGCTTTCTCACACGGCTACCTATTGATGATCCCATCGCGCAGCGAAACGCCACTCATACGATTCAAATACTGCGAGCTTTTCCTCAAATGATGGTCCGGAGAGCTGCTTTCCCACCTTTTGTTCATCCTAACTGGCACCGTGCAGATGGGCCTGAAATACGGAAGACACTGCCTGAGCCGCTTGGTAACTGTATGAGTATTGCACATATGTTCGCCTCCAGAACACCTGATACGAGGGCCTTTGTTTGGAACGCTATCAGAACAGAGCAGCGACGACTGATGGACCAGGTGAGCCTCTTTAGAGTTGTTGACAAAGCTTGGACACTAATATTGATGAAATTCATTTAGTCTGAGTCGTTCGGGCCGGAGGACTTGCTTGCCTCGATACAGTGTTATATTATTTATATAATCATGCGGGTGGTTGATGACGCGGCATATCATAGCGAGCATGACCTCAATATGCTACTCACCTTCGCAGTGAGTTTCCTTTTCCGCTGTTGCGCATCAGAATGCTGAGAGCCACACTAACAAGAAAAAAATAGACTCTTTGCAGTCGCTTCCGCAACATTTGCCAAGGACCATTTAGCCATCCAGAGCAAACACACCCCAGTCGCACCTGGCCTGACTGGGTATTTGCCGAATCTCGGCGCAGGTACGCTTGACTTTTCCTGTTCGGATCATGTAACTCCAGGCTGTCCTAACAAATATAATCATTAGGGTTGCTTGCATCTGGTTCATCATCGGGCAGGTCATATCTACCAAAACGGGTATCCCATGCGACACATCCGAAGAATACCATTGTCTTCCTTTGCCGGGTGGCCGATCTCTGTGGGAGTGCCGAACGAATCAAGGCTGGGAGGCAGAGTACAGCGCAACACAGACAACTGTCCCTGGGAGGCAGCTTACATACTTTGGAGATTTGATGGAGGCTCATAAGGCGAGCAGTGACCCGAGCATGATTCACAAGTTAGATTGCTGGAACGCAGAGGCTGATACAGTTGGGTTTATGCTTACGCTAGCTACAGCGATGGTTTAGATGTACCCGTAATAAATGAGTATCCGAAATCCAGTACTATAACGTTGAAAACCGAGTAAAGACGTTGTGCGTGGTGCTGTGGGGGATAAATCGTGGTCTTCAAAATCCGTATAATCAACTTCAAGATGTTATGTAACTAATTCAAGCTGGGCGGCTCTATCATGGTGGTTTTTTGATTGCTACTAAATTTAGGCGAAAATTTCATTGAAGACTGATCGTCATTTGTTCGCTTTTGTAGTGCTTACTTAAGTATACTGAACTCCTCCCCATGCTTGCTCCCTCACCTTGAAGCCTGCCACGTTTACAATGTCTCCAAAAAAGGATATGCCTCAAGTACAAGGATATTGACTTATACATACATGGTTAAGCATCCTGAGGTTGCTCAGGGCGGAGTCCCGGACTAACTCACATGGGCTGTGTATGCATGTGTGCTCCAGGAGCCGATCTCTACCCGAACCGGTAGCCTTACGGCCCTTACCATCAACAATACAATATTAAATTTAGATATAAAGTAAAGGTTCTAAGCGTAAGAAGCATATGTGTGATAACAAGAGGAAAATTAAAACAAAAAATAATCATGAAGACTTTTCTCCTTCTACCAGCCTTCGTCAAGTTATGCAGTGCCACCTCAGATGTCGAATTCAAGCGAACCTGGTCAAGCAACGAGCCCACCCATCTAGCAAAATACAGTCTCCTCACATTCGCCTGCTCAGCATTCATCTACCTAATATGGCAGCTTATTTCCCGCTACAACAACCACCTTCGCCACCTGTCGACCTTCGGCCACAACAACCAACGCTACTTCGCAACTCCAGCCTACGGCATACTCCCCTGGCTCAAAGAACACCTCATATACGCCCCGCTATTCCGAGTGCGCCACAATCGCGAGTTCCGGCTGTCAAGGAACATACACATGGGCACATTGCCAAGTCGGTTCCACAGCCTGCTGATTTTCGGCATGGTGGCTTTGAACGTGTGTCTTTGCTTGGTGGGTGTTCCTTTTCGCGATCGAGAGTTGGCGGCGAAAGCCGTTCGCAAGAGTTCGGGGACGGTGGCCACTGCCAATTTTATTCCTCTTGTTTTGATGGCTGGGAGGAATAATCCTCTCGGCAGGATATTGCATGTTCCATTTGATACGTGGATGTTGCTGCATCGGTGGCTGGGGCGCATTGTTGTATTTGAGTCTCTGGTGCATGTCATGACTTGGGGGATCTCGTATGCTGAGAAGGAATGTTGGAGGACGGTTTTTACGGCGCTGACTGCCGGAAGCTTTCTTCGGGATGGCTTTATTGTAAGTGAGGCGTGGAATCATTAACCGAGAGATGTCTCGTCTGTGAAGTTTTACTGAGATCTTTTCTCGAAACAGGCAACTTGTGTCTTAATAGCCCTTCTCCTGCATTCACCGTCGCCGATTCGACATGCGTTCTATGAAACATTCCTGTATCTGCACTTCGTCTTTGCGGCTTTGACCATGGGCTTTCTTTGGGTCCACCTAGATGGTATGCATTCTCAAATGTACCTCCTAGTCGCAATAATTCTCTGGGTCCTAGAGGTATGTTTGAGATAAACTATTCGTGAAAATCAGAAAATTCACTCATTGATCCAAACTCTAGCGCGTTGCCCGTATAGTGTCCCTCATTTACCGAAATATTGGTCCCAACTCAACGACCGCGAATGTCGAGATCCTCCCTGGAGACGCAATGTGTATTATCCTTCGCCTGGCACGACCATGGAACTTTAAACCAGGGCAGCATATATACCTCTATATCCCATCAATCGGATGGTGGACGTCTCACCCGTTTTCTGTCGCCTGGAGCGAAAGAACACTTTCAAACAAGGCGGCCCTACCCTCATTCAAACAAAGCCTTGTCGACTATCAGCAGAGCGTTATCTCGCTAGTAGTCCAACGCCGTGGCGGTATGACAGACAAACTTTTCCAGCTAGCCTCGAAAGAATCCACGACATACCGCGCCTTTATAGAAGGGCCTTACGGCAATATCCATTCCTTAGACTCATATGGGACAGTCCTTCTTTTCGCAGGTGGCATGGGGATTGCACACCAGATTTCTTTCCTTCGTCACCTTGTCCAGGGATACTCGGAAGGGACGGTAGCGATGCGCAGGGTTCTTCTCGTGTGGATCGTTCGCTCTTCTGCACATTTGGAATGGGTCCGGTCTTGGATATCGAATATACTCGCTATCAGTCAGCAGCGAGATGTACTTCGAATCATGCTGTTTGTTACGCAGCCGCAGAGTACAAAGGAGATTCAAGGGTCTTCGATGACGGTCCCGATATTTCCTGGTCGACCCAATATTGAAACGTTGGTTGATATGGAAATCGGCAATCAAATAGGTGCTATGGGTGTCATGGTATGCGGGAATGGGAGTTTAAGTGACAGTGTTCGATATGTCTGTCGGAGGAGACAGTCTGTTTCAAAGATTGATTTTATTGAGGAAAGCTTCTCATGGTAGAAACAGAGGTCTGGATTCAACCTTGGAAATTTATTTGGTGTCTGAGTATTAGGTATATGGATGGATCGGTCCATCCATGCCAGGATACAGAGCCTCGGCTTCGGTGCTACTATGAGGAAAGTCGTCAGAGCGCTCGTTTCATGATCACCAGTTACTATCAATGTGGTCTTACTGGAACTGCTATCGCTCGTCAGATCGACATTTCTTTCTGGGAATTCCGAGCCCGATTATTTTCAAAAGATAGTACAGAAGCGAGATATGAAAGAGTCTGCGTCACAGCAATCCATAGATGCAAATTCCGGTGATCATCATCATATATACCAAGAAGCAAAATCTCAAGATAATCGATTACCCGCGGACGTTTCGGCCTCAACCATATTACGCGCTGAAGAGATCTTTGTTCGCAGCCACCCACTCCTCGAACCCAGTTGAAGGTGTTCCAGTGTAAAGCTGCACATTCTGGACACCTTCCTCGTAATGAGCACGCGGAATATTGAGATCTTCATCAGTTCCGAATGCCCGAATCAAATACTCGGCTACCGGCTTAGGCATGCCATGGCTCAGGTGTTGCTCCAGGGCCTCCTCCGCATTGATAGTAGTGATCTTAATGTCCTTGCCCAGAGCCTTCGCGACAATATGAATGGCATCTGACATTGAGATGACCTGAGGACCATAGACATAGACCTTTTTCTGACCATTCTTCGGTCCCTGAGCAAGAATAGTTCCACTGACGCGACCCATATCAATAGGCGTGACGCAATCGAGCTGGAAGTCCGGTGTATAAGTTTTCACCTCCCCAGCCAGAATTTCGCTCTTGTTGCGTATGATGTTTGTAGCAAAACCTCCAGGGCGCACGGCAACGTAGTTCTCCACACCAAAGACTTCGTCGAGGTTCAGTTCCACCTGCGCGTGGATATAAGGGATGAGATCGCGGGGTTCGACGTCCTTGGGGTCCCCTGAGATGGTGTAACTGCTCAGAAAGACGACGAACTCAATCCCAGAGGACTTCATAGTCTCGAGAGCCGACTTCATGTGGTCTGAAGAACCATGAGTAGCGTAAATGAAGGCACGCTTGGCTCCGGATTTCTTGATCGCTGCAGCGACGGAATCGGCATCCGTCAAATCGGCCTGGACTCTTTCGAAACTACCAGCTTGCTCTTGCTGTGGGCTCAGACCCGGTATGGTCTTCTTCGAGTCACGCATGGCTAAGATGACTTTGGCTCCATGCTCTTGAGCAGTGCGGGCTGTGACGGAACCGATGTTGCCGGTTGGCCCAAATACAATGACGGTCGACATGATGTTAAATGTAGAAGAAAAGAAAGTTGAATTGTTCGATAAATTGAATTTCTTTGGGCAAGAGGTTGCTTTTATTAGTGGGAGGAGGAGTAGTCATCTCGTGGACCCTATGTACGCCTTGACTCTCACTCTCACCTCGGGCTTAAGCTGCGGCTTAAGCTAACTCCGTGCCCGACCCCAACCGCAGTCCACTGGCCTCTGCCAAAAAGCCATCAAAAATGAAGAATTCGAATGATGGTCACTGGGTCAGTAATCAGTGATGAATAACATGTGCTTCTGCATGCCACCAGAGCGAGAGGGGTCATTCTGATCTTCATACGAATTGATCGCATTTGCAGAGGTAGTTGAGGTTTTCTACCCATCAAGCCACTGGTAAGCGTTGTTTGGCAGAGTTTGGCAGAGTTTGCCCTCATCATTGCGCGGTCGGCCTGCTTAGAATTCGGGGATAAGCAGTAGAGTGGTCAATAAATACCTCTTAGTAATTAACAACCAATCACGAGCACTGGGCGCTCAGTGACTCCGAGAAAATGTGTCGAGTCTGAGCGCTTTCATGAAAGGGCCCCAATAATAGTAGCCAGTAGGTGCGTTTTGATTTTCTGGCCAAATAGCTCTCATAGCTACGATTTCGATTTTGTCTTTTGGGAAGCGGACTTGAGTGATGGCCATATGCGCGATGGTGCACGATTGGAACCCCCTGCCCTACCTTTTTTGCACGCTCCAGCCACTTCTTCACGCCTTTAATGTTTGATGCGGCGGGTTGGGGGACTCTTTCTTCGATTCGAAAAGAGGTAGTGAAGAACGACATTGAAAGAGAGAAGAGGATAAAACAAGAGAGATGTCTATAGGAAAGGAGATGGAGAAAGATGGAGGGACGAAATTTGTAAAGGTTGCGAGGTTAAAATTAGTTAGAAGACCATGTTCAATGTTTCAAGGTCAGATTAACCAGGCCCAGGCACCAGATCGTCGAGCACAAATTAGCCAGTTAATCCGTTGACGCCAATGGAGACGGCCGGATGGACAGGATACCTTTGTCGCCGGCGCCAATTATCTACTGGCCAAACGAACCCTGGTTCCCCGTCCTGAAGGGCGTCTACGTCCTCTGCGGGAAGCGGATGCCCAATATTGGTTATCAAGTTGGAGCTCAGTTCGAGACGCCAAGAATGCATTATTGTCAACATGATGCACGCACCTCAAGCTGCGTAGGTGGCTCCAAAGTTGGTCTTCTCTTTAGGCTTCCCAAGGCTGAGGGCATGCACATGTATAATCGAGATACGTAGCAGTCCCAATGTTTCGGGCAGTATTCGAAGGTGTGTGACAGGCTGAAAGCCCTGGAGTGCCATTGTATCCAAGGATATTATACTGTAGTAAGGATATCATCAAGCAGATCATATAAATCAAGCTCCAAACATCTAGCCGATCAGGCGTAAACAAACGGGTAAGAAAAACAAACAAACAAAGGGAACATAATACAATGCCCATGAAATGGCCAGTAATATGAGTCAAAAGGTGGAATATAGATCAAGCATGAACGGTCGCATCATGGTCTGCTGATTGCTCTGCTTGCGCTTCCTTTGATGGAATCTCAGGAATGATACCGGGAGACGCCATAACAGACGAGTCTCGCGTTTCCAGCGAGTTAACAACAGACGATTGAAGCGACGTGTTCAGCGAAGCGCTCCCAGTAGACGAATTGACAGATGCATGATGCGAAAGATTCTCGCTGGGCGGCAATGTAGACTCTTGACGTGACTCCAACTCGAAGATCTTAGAAGGATCAGTCGGTTCATTAGACCGAGCAGGTTCAACCGATTCCACAGGCTGAATAGGGTTACCGAGCAGCTCTCGGGGAACCTTGTTAAGTTCCCTGGGCTTATGTGTATTACCCTGAGCCGACAAAGCACTCCAGTGAGCCTCGGAAGACCCAATCTCCGAGAGTCCAGGACCCAAATTACTCAGGTCGCCCATTTCCAGCTCCTGCGGAATTTCGCGTCCCAGCGATTGGAGGCCACTAGAATCCGGGTTCGCAACAGGCTTCGACGACGACGCAGGGCGAAGTCCATTCGAATTAAGAATGCGCATCAGCGACTCCGCTTCACGGGGCGCAGGAATCTCCCCACCAGCCAAATGCACCGATTTGAGTTTCCGCTCATAGATCCTCTTGTTAGCCCGCGACCGCTCAACAATAACCCCACATTCGCCCGAAACCCCCGCAAACAAGCCCCGAGTCTTCGAATAAGAGTAGAAGCCCGACACGCCTCGAGCGCCCGCAATACCACCCGATTCCGCACTCCGGCCCATCCCGAGCGCAAAGGAGAGATTGAGGCCTAGGTGCAGGAAGCCGGATTGCGTGAACCTTGAGACCGCCTCGTCTGTGCTGAGAACGAAGACAAAGTCCGTCAATTCAACGCCGAGAAGTGGGCCCACGCCCAGCCCGCCTAGGCCCACAGCCGACGGAGCAGACCAGCTCCCGTCGGGGAGACGAACAACAATCACTCCAGAGCCGAAACGCCCGCAACCGAGGAAGCCGACTCGAACCATGGTACAGATAATCAGGGCCTAGTAGATAATGCGTCAGTTTCAATCGATCGGGGTTGTGGTTCTCGTGCAGACAGAGTTTATGGGAGATGCGCCTACTTTGGCGCGCAAGAGAAGCTTGCGTGGAATACCGCCATCGCCGACGAGTTTCGGGTTGATAAACGAATCTATAATCACCGCTGCTTTTGCGCACTCGGCTGGATGATATGTTTGTTAGTGTGGGACATGAGTCGGTGGTTCGGTGCGGAGAAACAGTGGTTCAAATGTTTCATTGTGTACTCACAGGAGAGCGAAGAGGGGACGGGACTGTGGAGCGGGTTCCGTAAACTCGGGGATTCTGCGCTGGTCGACATTGTTTCATCCCCGTGTACCAGGCACCTTCGAGTAGATGGATAAATTGAAGATTGGATCACACCCCATGGATCTTGAATGCTCCACGTTTGGGGGGTTTTTTTTGTTTTGAGGGGGGTTGGACGTAGCTTTGTCACGACGATCTTCTTGGGCCTTGGCAACAAGCCGTCTCGTTGTGGGCGGCATGTGTGGGGGCCAAGCAGAGGCCAATAAAGAAATTCCAAAGCTTTTTGTCTCACCAATTATAGATTTCCATGCATGATCATGAAGTCAAAGAAATTATGAGTTTTGAACAGTCGAGGATGTGAACTAGTGAATAAACTCGAGTAACAAGGTTGACTCTGCCCATATCCCGTAGTAAACAAGATGCACGTGAGCATGGCTCTATTCATGCAAGTAATCTCATGTACATAAGATGTTCACAATGCTTATGTATGCATATCATTGTAATTGCGGATTTCAGATCCTCGAGATATACTGCAGTCAGTGCTGGAGAACATAATAAATTCATTTTAATTTATTTGTTCTCGCCCTCGTCCTTGGGATTTTTGCTACTCCGTTTGGACGCCTCTCCAGAATCGGGGATCTTCATCCCCGAAGACGTCCCTGCTACAGGAATCGAATTTGACAGCCTGTTCACCAGGGCCTCTAACTCCACCATGCGCCTATGATGTCCGTATCTTGCTTTTCATCCTCGAGCATCTTAATTCTATCCTTATCGGATAGATGCCCCTCTTCGAGGTCCTCACTGTCATCCCCCCATTTGAAGCGTTTCACTGTACACTTCCACAAAAAACTTCCGATTGCCTTCAACGGCAGGATCAGGGCCAGAATACCCAATACCTTGGTTGTGAGGTCCAGCCCCACATAGGATTCCTTAATAATGGCTATATTTGTAGAAAAGACAGTTAGTTAAAAAAGAGGAGAAAGGGGCCAAAAGAGAAGGTTCTTACGTTTCAAAGAACGGCAATAATCGTTCAGTGGCCAACATTGTAGCCATCTAACGACCCGGAATCCCGCAAATGTTGTTCATACTGCTCGGCCGTAGGGACGAGGCGATTTGAAACATTGTCTTCCCCAGAGGGGCTCGATCGTCTCTTCTTGTCATTCCTCTCAAATTGCAAAAAGAACTCCAGGTCGGCAGGAAAAAACACAAATCCCGGATCGGATGTTGAATCATACGTTGCGTGGCATAACTTGCATAAGGGCATGTGTTGATATTCACGTACGTGCGTATATGTGGGCGTATATGTGGGCGTATATGTGGGCGAATTTGGATCAATAGAGTGATTGGATCGGTATGTTTTCAATAGTCCTTGAACGACCAAAAATTGGTAGAATTGGAAAAATCTGAAAGGCAGATGAAATTGAAAGGGGTAGCGGGAGGGGAGGCTGTCGTGAAGACAAGTCAGGGTGTCAGCATCAAATTCAAATCATCAAGGGTGTGATAGAAGAGAAAGAAGAAAGAAAATAAGAAAAGACTTCCAAGATATTTATACCTAGGAGTCAATATTTTTGCCGAGGATCATCCAGAAGCAAGGTATACAAGTACTATGTGCATACTTGGGATGAGTACTTATGGAGCACTTGGAGAAGAGTATAAGCTGAGTACTTGAGATGAGTACATACCGAGTACTTGAGATGAGTACATACCGAGTACTTGAGATGAGTACATACCGAGTAAAAAGAAGGAGTGCGGAAATGGGTAGCAGGTATCTACAGCTACATGACTACGGAACATTTGAAAATTAAACCTCAAAAAATTCGTAAGTGTTTCATTTCAAAGTACATGTGCTACCTAGTAGTTTCTTTTGCCCATCAAGGGGGGGAGATCGTTTCCAAAGCGCCACGAGGTGATGAGAACCAATGAGAGAGGTATCAAAAAACGCCGAAAGAACAAGCACAACGCTATCAAAAAGTAGAATAGACATCCACCCATTCGTCAACAACATGAAAAGTCTTTTTCTAAATTCTATCGTCTATGGCGACACAGTCACCGTGATCGGGGGAACTGATATCCCCGGCGTAGAAACCCACTCAGGGCTCTCCTGTCGAATGACCTTGTGGTCCGGTGGATTTTCCTCATCAATAACAGGACAGTCCGAAGATACCTGAGCAGGTGACTCAATCGGTATCTCTGAGTCCTCGACAACCTGGCGACGAGAGAAGACGCGACGGAAAACCCGAGTCAAGGGCCGAAAGAATGCCTTCAAGCCGCGAACGACCCATTTCCAAGCCATCAAGAAGGGCTTGAAAAGAAAAACAGATGCACTGACAACTGCATTGAACACGCGGCCAAAATGACGGTCGGGTATTAGGCGGAGGACTATCGCCCATGGTAGACATCCGAATCCACAGGCCAGACACACTGCCCATAGAGTGCCGTTGAGTCGGGTTACGCCGAATGCCTGGCCTCCGACGAAGACTATCATGATCTGGCCGGCAACGATAAGGGCATTGATGCCCAAGAACCAATAATTGCGGAACATGCCTTCGAAAATGTTAAAGTGGTTGTCGAGGCGTCGGTTGTTGAGTTCGTTGAAGATTTGCATCCATACAAACGTGTTGAAGACGACTGTCGAAAGTTGTTTTGCGCGGAGAGCGGGGTCGCCGGCAACGAGGTATGGGTCGAGGAGTTGATCGCCGGCGAAATAGAGCATGAATGTGATTGCAAGTTTGTAGACGGATTGTCCAAGAATCATCTTCCACATGGTCAAGGTGAAGAGAGATGCGCGTTTTGGGACGGGCTTTCGATCTAGAATGTTTTCTGTTGGGCCGTCGGTTGCTCTGTTGATATGTTAGTGGGAGACTTCGATTTATCGGAGAAAGGTATTGGATTGAGCTTCGGGAATACTCACAAGGCTAGAGCAGCAAATGTGTCCATTATAAGATTAACCCAAAGTAGCTGCACAGCGTTCAAAACACTTTGGTTTGAACTGCTGTACACAGAAGACACGAAAGTCAATATCACAGCGGTGATATTGACCGTGATTTGGAATTGCAGGAACTTGGCCACGGCATCATTGACAGCCCGGCCCCATGCGATGGCCGTCACAATGGACCGGAAGTTGTCATCTAAAAGGATAATCGAGCTAGCCTCCTTAGCTACTTCGGTTCCAGCAATACCCATAGAGAACCCAACATCAGCAGTCCGCAGAGCAGGTCCATCATTGGTTCCATCACCTGTGACAGCGACAGTCTCTCCAAGGATTTTCAGCCGTTCAACGAGAATTCGCTTGTCTTCGGGTGAGGAACGTGCCAGAACTTGGAGGCGGGGAATCACTTCGTTCATTTCTTCATCCGATAGCTGGCGGAACTTGGGACCTTCCATCACGAGACCACCTTCGGTTTTAATCCCACAGGCTGAAGCGATAGCTGTAGCTGTTGCAACATTGTCGCCTGTTACCATCTTGACCTGGACTCCTGCGCCATGGCATTTGCGAATGGCAGCTGGAACTTCTGGGCGAAGCGGGTCTTGGATTCCCACGACTCCAACCCATGTCATATCGTGGAATAAATCGTCGAAATTCGCTGCAGAGGGTTCATCTTCCAATTTTTTAAGACCATGCGGCGGCCAAGATTCGTAGTCCTTGTAGACTATCCCGATGGTTCGAAGAGATCTTGTGGCGTATTGATCAATGATTGAAATGGTGTTTTGTCTATCTTCATCACAGAGCGACTCGGTGTAGAGAGAGTCTTTGCAGGCATCAAGATCTGTGATCTGTTTGGAACAGGCTGCAACCATCAGCTCCGATGCACCTTTGACAAGGAGACGATATCCAGCGCCAGAGTTTTGGTAAATGACACCCATACACTTCCGTGCCGAGTCAAAGGGGATGAGCTGGACAATCTTGGCAGATCCCCGTTCCGAAACAAGATCCATGCCAAGATAATCCTGGGCCATCTGCAGTAGCGCGACCTCAGTCTTACTGCCCAGAAATTCTTTGCGGCCGTTCTTGTCCTCTGCGAATGCCGTGGAGTTTAACGCTACGCTTTTGACAATGAGATCCCGCACCGGGCCCGAGAGCTTCTTAAAGGCCTCTGCAGTGCTCATTGGGCTATTGTTAGTGGCATCGAGTTCGATCTCAGAGGATTGACTGAAGCTTTGGTTTGAGCCCCAAGTACCGGCGACCACTGTCATCTTGTTTTGTGTCAAGGTTCCTGTCTTATCAGAGCAGATGACTGTCGCATTTCCCATTGTCTCGCAAGCTCGGAGGACTCGTACGAGATTGTTCTCTTTGACCATGCGAGTAGTAGCAAAAGCCAACGCTAGCGTGACGGCCAAGGGAAGACCCTCTAGAAGATATCATTAGCACGTACATGATAAGGCAATATTGAAGCGTGATTGCTTACCTGGAATAGCGACAACAATGACAGTCACAGCCACGATGAGGATATCCACAAACTCCTTTCCCTTGACAGCAGGTGTGTCATGGTTATTCGGAAGATCGGCGATGAACCGAAACACCAAGATCAAAAACAAGATAATTGCAGCGCTAGAGCAGTTCATCGGTCAGAAAAAGGAGTATTCTTTATATCTGGCAATGATTGTTCACTTACGCTGATCCCAGGTATCCAATCCAGTCCGCCAAGCGAGCCAGCTTCACTTGCAGCGGCGTAGGGTCATTAGAAGTCTGCAAAGAGAGCATGATACGGCCATACGAAGAAAATGGCCCGACGCTAGTAACCAAATAGGTCCCAACGCCCTCAAGAACCTTGCTACCGGAAATCATAAAAGGGTCAAGCTTCTTGGTCGCCCTACCCTCCATGATCTTCTGCCAGACTTCATGACCATCAGTCTTCTTCATCTGATCGGATTCACCAGTCGCAGACGATTCATCGCATTTCACGCCATGACCCGAGATCAAGATTCCATCCGCGGGAATAGAGTCACCAGGCTCAAGGTGAAGAACGTCACCAACCATGATTTCATAGACAGATACCATCATAGATCTGCCGGAGCGAATGACTTTGACATCCCGATCGTCATTCTATGAAGCGTGGAAAGTTAGCAGATGATACAATCAATGAATAACAAGGACAATTGTAATATACTCACTCGCTCATTGAGTTTCGCAAACTGTCTTTCCTTCTGCCAATCATTGGCAGCAGTGACAACTGTAACAATCAAAATGGCAACGACGATAGCAACGCCCTCTACCCATTCTACACCGGTGCCATCATCGACTGTCTCGTAAATACCCAATGCCAAAGAGACAATAGCAGCGATAGTCAGCAAAATAATAATCTTATCATTATAAGCCATCCAAAACAGTTTGAGAATCCCAGTCGACTTCCGAGCTGGTAGCTTATTTTGGCCGAAAACGCGGATGCGGTCTTCATACGGCGTACCATCGCCACTATTCGTCTCGGGGATGATGCTTGGCGTCTCGCTGCTCTGTTCATCCAGGGCCGCCTTACTCATTGACGGACGCCTGCTGTACGATAAAGGCGGAGTCACTTGCTGAAAATCCACGGATCCCGGCAGCGAACCTTCATCGACAGACAAACCGGCATGAAGATCAGTTCGAAGGCCACGTTCGAGGCCCTGTAAGCCGCCAAGTGCATGGAAAGCAGCGAGAGATTTGGGATTTTGTAATTTGTTCAGCTGGCCCGGTGAGAATGCAAATCGGTTGTCGAGGACATGGAAATCTGATTCTTCGCGAGGACCGGGGAGTAAAGCCTCGGAGAGCAGGACGTCGTCATATGCTATCTTTTTGTCTGGGTCTGTGTTGCCGACGTCGGAATTTGCTCTGGAGCGGACTACTGTTTCTGTGTTTGAGGCGAATGAGTCCGAGCGAGGACGGAGAGTGTCTCCGTCTATGGAGTGGGAGGGCCGATGCTGAAAGGCATGCTGCACGCTTAGATGCTTGGGATCCTGATTCCATGCCATGTCGGGGGATAGAGATGATGATGGACTATGAGCAAAATCTGTTGGACTGGCACATGATGATGAAGCTCCTGCTGATGAGACAGAAAGTGAACGCTGAGGAAGTGGATAAAATGGGATGTTAGTGTGAGTAGTAAATTTAATGAGGTTTGTTTTGTTTGGCGCCGGGGTGGGTTTCGAATGTTCGGAATATAGTAGAACGTACCTCTCTGCCCAAGGTATTGGTTACCACAATTGGGCTCAATAACGAGCTCTGATGGGCCCGGTGTTGATCTGGAGAAGACATGGGTGCTGAGCACTAATGCACCAAGCTCACTCCTTCAATTATGCAGGTGTAATAGCCAAATCTGATGTTTCGTGTTTTGGTTCCTGTTTCGAATCTGGGGCGCAGAAGGCTGTTATGACCCCTCTCCTCAGTGGGAGTGAAGGAGGCTGTGTTCAAATGCCGAGACTGCCTAGTGAAGATAGAGCCGGACATAGATAGGACGTCCGTGTTTTGCTAGTCGTTAAGAAGATGCCAAGCTAGGCTCCACAGGTCTGTTGAGAGGAATGTAGCGGTAAAAACTGTTGGCACGAGCGTAAAAAGCACTTGATTGCCGGGGTGATCTTTTCGAGATGACGTTTTCAATTCACCATAGCCTCACAGGTATCTTGGATTCTAGTTTAGGTTACTGGGCGGCCCAACTACTCATCAGACCCAAAGTCTATGTACAAGCATGACTGATATAACTGAGAGAAAAACACAACATGGGCGAGGCGAATTACTTGGGGCGGCAGTGCCGTCCATTAGATCGGCCTCGGGGGATACCAAGCACAGCACGATATGACATATGCATGGATCAACTTATTCTGCACCAGAGATTGGTGAGAATTTGTCATTAGTAGCTGAGGTCCTATCTCGTCAAAAGTCCAAAAACCTCCCAGCTTATTCTTTTCGACCCGTGGGACTAGGCCTGACGACAGAATCAGATAATGGAACTGGTTCCGCCAAAAGAGCGGTCCAATGGCCGTCTGATCTGACGGGTTTGGCTTGCCGCCGAGTGGAGTGGGTTGCTTGCTGCGCCTCGATGAACTCACCAATGACAACAGGAACGGCAGACCCCGCTTAACTCTATGCGTCAGATAGAGAGGGTCATGCATCACTTTCAAAAACTGATTGCATTCTTTTCCACACCGTGAAGGGGCGAGTGAGATTGTGGAGGTCATTCTCGCGGCTTGGGTTAGGTTGACAGTGTGAGAATGTTCAATGCAGGTACTTCGAAATTCGAGGTCTGAGCTGAGATAGTTTGAAAGTCATTTCAAGTATTATCCATCATTGGATTCTAGTACTGATCTGTCTGGGTGAAAACAGTTTTTTTTCATTGGCTTGTTGATCGCAGGGATGCCAGATCTGACACTTGTGTTTGGCCACTCAGCAGTGAGCACTTGGGGCAAAGCAGTCTTCAGAGAAGCTTGGCGATGGTCGGACCACTAGCCACAGCCATGTGGCGGTGGCCCGTGGCAATTAACCTTGTGGCGGTGCTCAGATAAAGTGATGACCAGGTACATCGTTGCTCATATGCCAAGTGTTGCCTCCAAGCACCCGGGCACATGCACTTCTCAGGGTACATGTGGCTGGAGAGGAGGCTGTAAATGTTACATTCGATGTTGCCTCTTGGCTATGTCTCACATGTCATTCATGTCATCTATTTAGGCAACTGGGCACGACGCTCAAGGCAGTTTTCGCTTAAATACTACACATGTGCTTCACTGCCACACTCTAGGCTTCCATCAGATGATCAAAAGAAATTATTATATGCAATAGGTTCAATTATTAGATTATCCTGGATATATCCAACATTAGTGGCATGACCGCGGAATGGCTCATAACCATATTACCAAAATGTCCCTGGAAGCATCAACAAAAAGAAAAAGAAAAAGATAAGACGGATGGACAAGAAAAGGCGAACAAAATATGGACAAGTGAGGGGATCAGAGAATGGGTATCTATGGGTGAAAAGAATAAGTGATGAGAATAGGGGGGGGGGACTCAATATGAACGATGGAAAATGCTCAGAGAGCAGTGCAAGACGAAGCAAAGCAGGAAAGAAGATACTAAGAAAGAAAGAAGAAAACACGGCGAAAGAAGACGGTATTCAAATGAAAGCGCTCAAAATGGGTCGTGGCCTATCGGCAAGGTAGAATCTTCCAAGTCCCATAAACAACTTGCCTTTATGTTTTGTTGTTTTTGGGTTCATATCGCATATCGCATATCTCGAAGAGGTCGGGTATTCTGGATCACAGATCAAGACTCTCCGTGAAGCGGCTGCTGCGGCTGCCATCAAAACTTGGATGACTCCGTCCTAATGCATCCGGTCGCAGTACAGGAACCGCACTCTGAGGCTGGGGAATGGGATGGGAAGAAGTGACCATGGTGGGAGAGCCAAAGTTCACTGAACTGGAAGCGGGAAGTTGAATTTTGGGCCGCGGCGGGCGTGGAAACTCGTCTATTTCCCGTGTATAGTTCGTATCAAGTGGTGAGCCGAATGGAGATGCTGGAGGTGGGCCATATGCGGTTGGAGAAGATAAAGCTCCAGCTCCACTACTACTAGGTCCTGCACTGGAGGGCGGAGAAAGGCCAATCAAACAATCCGGGATCGTCGGTGAGTGGCCTTCTACTCTGCCGCCAAAGCCATCTCCTCCGTGGGTGAGAACGGGTGGGATTTTGCGGCCTGAAATCTTTTGGAATCCGCGTTCGCTAGAACAAGAATCCACTGTGCTGTCAGTCCTTGTGGTCATGGTTGAATTGCGCCAGCGTTTCATGAAAGCAGGTGCCAGGTATGCCGTTGTGAACATGCTGGAGGGTCTCTCGGCAATTTCCCTGCTTCCGGTAGGTCCGGCATCGCTGGATGGGAGGGCTTGGCCTCCCTTATCCTTGAAGAAACGTTGAAAGTAACCTCGCCGGCGAAGAATGTAAAACAGAAGAGCGAAAATCAAAGCCAGACCTGCCACACTGCCCACAACTCCGCCAACAATTTTAGACGTCGTAGGAGAGATGGAAGAACCCGATCCCGATGACCCCGTGTTCGTTGATGATCCTGATCCATCACTGGACCCAGAGCCAGAACTGATGCCAGTGTGCACGGCCCCTCCAAACCCATCTGTAGTAGAAGATGCTGATTGCGTCGAGCTCGAATAGTAATCATCCCATGTACTGGTTGAATAAGCAGCAGAAGATGAAGTTGATTGGGATGACGATGAAGCAGAAGCCGGGTAGTAGTAAGCCGTTGTACTACTACTATTCACGACTGGGGTATTAGTCGTAGCCGACGTTGTCGGAGTGGCGGGTTGGACTAGTGGAGTAGACGTGTGAGGCTGATTACTAGCAGCTGGAGAAACCTTAGGTGAAGAAACAGGTACACGCTGCTTGCTTGTGGCCGATGTAGTCGACGATGTAGTGGACGTGGACGTGGACGTGGACGTGGACTGAGTAGTAAGTGAGGTTACCGACGCAATTGCAGAGTCCGTTGAAGTCGCCAGTAATGAATCAGTTGCAGAGATCACCACTTCAATGGAAGCTGTAACGGATGCAGTCATTGTAAAATCTACTCCGGTTGATGGCCATACAGTTTGAGAAATACTCTCCACCACTTGCACTGACGTCTCCACCGCAGCCGCAGTTGCGGAGGATTCAGCTTGTCGTTTCACCAGCAAATCTTCCGAAAGACCAGTCGCATCTTCCGAGCAAGCTTTATTGAGCAACTGTGCGCATGGTTCAGTCAAGATGGCATCTTCAGGGGCCAGAGGCGCTTGCGCTTCATCTAAGTCGTACGAAATGGGGTTTAAGTCGTCCACCAAATCCTCTTCGCCATCCTCATGTCGATGCTTTGAATTGATGATCCTGCTGATCCGGGAATGGCGATATCCATGGTGAGACATTGTGCCGATAGTTGTAAAAAGAGGTCCTAAACAAAGGTTTGTTGAAAGTCCTCACAGAGGTTGGGGCTGGATCGACCAGCACGAACGATATGGTGAATGGAAGGGTATTTTCCTTGGCGAGGAATTCGTCGGTATAGATAACAGCAGGCTCTTGCCCGCTAATTCGATCAAATGAATGGATCCAATGTTTCCTAAAAAGAAAGGAGGAAACTTGTGGAAAAGTAAGGAGTGGATGTTGGTCGGGTGAAAGGAGCCGCCAACGGTTTGATTGAATTTCAGTAACGAGTGAATGGCATTCGTGGAATGACCTGATAGTTCAGTCCTGTTAGTATGGTTCAAGCAAGTGTCAATCGAGTTGCCTCAGGTGGTCAACGGTAAACATGATGTCGGTGTTTTCCTTTTCCTTCTTTAGGATTATTGCAACTTCGTCTCCTGTTCCCCACTAGCAACGTACCAGAATCAAGAAAGTGAAGGGAAACACAAATGAACAAGAGACCGCGCGGCCTAGTCCATGTTGAACATTGCCAAATACAAATTTCCCTCCAAAAGCACTAACGGTCGAATGATATCAGCGTTGATCCGGATGAGGCGGATTCAACGTGATAAGCAAAACGCACTGGGCGTGACACGAGGTAGTCCTAAAACCTTCTTTCTGCAGAAACAGTGACTCTGTTGAGTATGTCTTGAGAGTGGGGGGCGGAAGAAGTGAGAAAGAAGAGAAGAGAAAAAAGCGAAATGGGTGGAACGGCCAGACCAGGACCCAGCGCTCCCCTAATCGAAGCTAAGTCCCGACCCGCGTGGATGACGACCTAGCCCGACGGGGCCAAAGTGGGCTTTTTTTTGTTCCCTAACGGTTTCCCCCTAAGCTTTCAAGGGGCTCAGGTTGCTCACAAAGAATCGGACACTTCAAAATTGGGAGAAATGGCAATGGATTCGATAGACATCTTTGTTTATTTGGAAAAGCAAAGTGATTAAGATGCGAGGAGACCAACGGGAGTCTCGAAAAAGGAATAGTGACGCTGCAGGTACACGAGGAAACGAGCGAATCAGAGTGGAGGAAGTGGAGTTCGCCGAGAGTTCTGGCCAGCCACTGTCAGCCAGACTAAACCGCAATAGGACTAGCGGCACACGCAGGTTTAATTATTGTTCAGCAAGGACGAAAAGAGTCCCGTACTATTAATATGATTAATATGATTTAATATGGACTACGGAAGTACTCTGCGCTGACTGAAATGGGCTCTTCTTCCGACCCTTGGTGAAACCACACCAATAACAATCTCTACTCTCTGTACTTCACAGATGGCGCAAATTCACTCTTTCACATTTGGGCTCACTTGAGAAACACACACACATGAGGGGTATTTAGTTAAAAAGGGGACATCCAAAAGGGACACTTTCTCGCAATTTCTAGCCTCCGGTCCCTATTTGACCGCTTAGAATGTCTCCAAATCCTCGTGAGTCTCCTCGTCCGCTTCGGCTGGGATCTCGAATCCATCCTAAGAAAAAGAGAAAAAAAAAACCAGATTTTAGCAGAGCCTCACAACGGGTATAAGCATAACCGGAATAAAACGTAATACATACCTCGGTCGAGTACAGAATACCCTGGATGTGCTTCACCAGTGTATCCTCTTCCTTCTCAAGCTCAGGGTCGGCCTCAATGGCGGTCTGGAGCAGCAACTCAATGTCGCGCAGCTTAGAAAAGTAGAAGTCCCGCTCCTTCTCAAGACCAGCAATGGCTTCCTTCTGGGTGGCAATCTCCTGGTTCAGGGCCGCAGTTTGGGGGGCAGTTGAAGTGGCAACCCGGGGACGAGCAGCAGATGAGACCGGGGTAGCTCCGCGGCGCGAACCCGCTGAGGGGGCGCGTGAAGAAGCTGGGGCACCACCAACGGGAGCACCAGAGGCCTTCCGGCGGCCAACAGCATCGTAATCACCACCAGGGTAGTGCTGGTCCCAGTATTTCTTCACCCACTGGAGGAACTCCAGGTTATCTTGCATGCGGCATTTGCTGAGAGATTGGACGGGGATGGGCTTGTCAACGCTGTGGCGGGCGAAAACATCTGGGAGGAAATTAGACGCGTCGGGGGAAAAAAATTGGTATTGACTGGGGTGAGGTTAGGTCCGTCGGCACATACTCTGGAGCACCTTGAAGTTCTGCAGGTAAGCGTATTCGGAATTGACGTTGAACTTGACACGCGACATGGGCACATCCACTAAAAGGCAAAAAAAATTCCCCGCATCAGTAAAGACTGTTCAACTTTTTTGGGGGACCTCGCTTTCCCCTTTCACGTCTGACCGCTAGTCAGCGAGCCTTGCAATCAAGGCTGAACTTACTGAAGATCGAATCAAAAATCTGGCATAGCGCAGCACTGTATTGAATATGCACAATCCAACGTCAGTCACACCGTTCTTGTCTTATCCCGCCCCCGAGGGACAGGGTCTGTCGATCCATCATACCCGGTTCCGCATTGTTCGATCTTGGTGATGTTCAACTGGAGGAGGTTGTTCAACCAAGCCAGGAGCTCTTGTCTGGACAAAAAAGATGGTTAGCACCTAATTGACGCGCTTTATAACTCATTGACGATAGGGGTGAAAGCCGAACCTGGATTCACCCATGGTGGGGTAATAATAGCCGCGGCTGAGATTGTGAGGGAAAAAGAAAAGGGAGGAATGTGAGAATGGGCGGGAAGTGAAAAACGCTAATTGGACTTGATATTTCGGAATCAGAGCGCCTTGGCAGGGTTTGCCTGTCTGTGTTGATGCAAAACAGCGATGTGATTGTTTTGATGCCAAAATCCACGGATCACAGTGGTACTAGGCATCACGGGAACCAATCACGAGGCTCTTACGTCATCTTAGCGCCTGAGGCCTGCAACACGGGTTTTCATGAACTTTTGGAACTTTTGGAACTATATTGGACTATTGCAAGTGTATCCACAGTAGTAATTTAAGAAATAATGATCAGACAAGTCAAAGTCTCTCAAGTCCAATTGTATGTACTCCATTGTGGTAACTAAAAGAATCAAAGCTCAAAAGTGAACGTACAAGAGATCTATGCCAAATATGCCCTCTCCCCCCAATTTTCGTTTGTCCGAAAGTTCCCAATATTTCAATGCCAACTCCGCCATGATCCATCCGTGGATGCCAACCAATCTGTCCCAGAACAAACATAAAAAAAAAAGCAAAAAGAAACACGCTAAAGGTCGAATGCGTAAGATCAAAACTATTATAGAAACAGATACTCGGAATCACTCTTCCAGCAATTCAATCCCATCGAGACCATAACCAAAGTCCATGATCACAGCTCGCGAGTCCTGGCTGGTGGCTACGATGCGTCGGTAATCTGACTGGACGTTCAACATCCAGCTGGTGGTCCATCCAGGCAGATCAATAGATAGCTTTCCAGAGTCTGCATCGAAAACCTTGACACTCATATCATAGCTGCCACTCACGATGCGCTTGTTCATGCTGTCCAAGTGCAGCGAGCGGATCAACCCAGTGTGGCCGTGGAGTTCATTGACCAATTCGCCCGTATTGGCATCGAATTGGTAGATGGTCTTGTCATTGCCACCCGTCAAGATGGTCCGACCATCGTCGCTGAACTCAACACAAGCTAGGCCACGGTCCTTGCTGGGAAACTCCTTGACGCAGTGGCCGGATGTGACGTTCCACAGCTTAGCCACACCATCACCGCTGGCTGACACCACGAGATCACCCCGCAGCTGTACAGCATTCACCGGCCCGCGGTGACCCACAAGGTTCTTCAGGAGTTCGCCAGTCTTGCGGCTCCACACGCAGATGGTGCTATCCTTGGAGCATGAAACGATGTAACGATCATCAAAACAGACATCCAAGACTCCAGCACGGTGACCAGAAAGACGACGGATCGGCTTGTAGTCATTTTTGATATCCCACATGATACAGGTAAAGTCCGAAGACCCAGTGACCATGATCTCCTCATCAAATCGAAGACAGAGAATCGAGGCACTATGGTAATCTAGCGACTGTGTCACTGGTGAAGCAATGTTCTCCAGAGGTGTGGACGGAGGACAGATGGTCAGGAAGGGAGACTTTCCGGTCGCTTGTTGGGCCGGGTTGTTCACTTGGCCAATCCCGGGCACGTCGTCCAGAGGGGGACCAATGACCTTGAGACAAGACCAAGGATAGTGAGCATCCCACACACGAATTGTGCGATCCCGAGATCCGGTAATAATTTTATCTCTGTGAGGAATATTAGCGCAAACCCAGATAACCAAATGAGCGCGCATTTTCGACTTACTCATCAAACTGCGCACAGTAAACGCTGTCCTGATGTCCATGCAAATAAATTGCGGCCGCTTTCCCCTCTTTCCAACGGTGCTCGAGAGCTCGTCGAACAAGAAACATTCTCTTCCAGTCTTGGTGGGGCATCTGCTTCCCCAACCCGAGAGACTGCTTTTTCTTGGTTGCGGTGGAACTGGCAGGACGGCGGGGGTAGGCACCACGAAACACGGGCTTCCAGACATAAGGGGACGATGCTTGCTGGTTCCAGAGACGTGAAACCAGCTCAGAATTTAACAAAGAGGCAGGGTCTAAATGGCAAAGAATGTGTGTCATGAGCTCAGCAGGCAAGTAAGAAGCCGGATCTAAAGAATGAGTTAGGCCTGCAAATAACGAGATGAAAGTCAAGCGCAGATAAAAGACTGGCTTACCAAGGCGCATTATGTCCAGCTCATCGTCCGAGTCAGTATGATCTCGCAAATCAATTTCGATCCCACTCTCGGAGTCCTGCGTCACGATCATATCAAGCATCTTCCTACGCTCTGCTTGGGCCAACTCGAGTCTGGCCATCTCCATCTGCTCGTTTTGCGCCGCAGCCGCGGCACGGGCCGCCGCACCGGAGAACCGATCGTTGGGTAGGATGGGCGGCTCCAATCCATGGCCCGGGATAGGAGCTGGAATTGCTGCGGTGGGCGCATAAAAGCTGTGGAGCGCAGAGACGCTGTTCAGAGAAGGACGACGGTTGACTTGACTATAGCCATGCGTCCATGGCTGCGGTCGCACCTCCCAGTTACCAGACGCAGCATTGCGCTTGTGGGAATGACTTGCGATTTGGTAATGGCGGTATTCGTTATCCTCCTCCTTCTCCTCCTCTCCTTGAACCTGGAGATTGTGCTTTGACGACTTGTTGCGAATGGTGACCGAAAGGCGGCGTCCCAGGGCTACTAAGCCATCCACTGGGTGGCGCAGACTCGAGAAGCTCTTAGCCGCACGGCGTCGGGGCGCAGCGTGCGGGAAAGGCTCCATCTCTTCGACCACCGATGCATTATGATCCTGACAGGCTCCAACTTGCCACTGGTCGAATGTGTAGTCTTTGGGAAAGGGGACCTGCACTGCAGTTCGGGCTCGTGGACGAAGTGACGAGGGGTGGCGTTTCGTGGAGGTAGTGGACTCTCGTGGCGACATGACGTCGGTCGTCGGGTAGCCAAAAGGTGAAACGATAACAAAAATACTGACACTGATCCTTTTGGCTGATCAGTAGTAGATTTTAAACAAAAACGATTGAATCTCTCTTTTTTTTTTTTCTCCAATCCCCGTCTATGTGTTGAAATTTGGTGTTGATATAGAAATTCAGATGTAACGGGTTTCCGATGGCGAATCAAGGTATGGAAAGATTGTAACGACACAACGTGCCCTGCAAGAGAATAGAAAGAAGGGAATGAATGCAATGGATTAGAATACAAGGAAAGAAAAATAAAGAAAAAATGGACCAAACGAGGGCTGCGCAAGGAGAATAAAAGGAGAAGCGGAAGAATTCCAGAAGGAAATATTGAATGGGTCTGAGAGTTGGGCGGTGAATCGGCCCCGAATGATTGGCTGTATGTGGGAAGTCACTTGGAAGTCACTGGGAAGTACCAGTGTCGCTGGAACTCTATGGTAAACTGTACCAGGATTCAAGTCACCGCTACTTCTCGCTCTACCCGCAGCAAAATGAAATAAAAAAAAAAATCTTGTCTCTGGGGGGCAAATTCTGGGGCTGACGAGATATGTAGAGTAGCTGCTACCCAGAGATCTACCACAAATTGCCTTCTGCCCCAAGTACCAAGTACTTTGGCAACCACCAATAATTGGGCTCTGGGCCCGGAGTGGCGGTTTAGGCCCTCCTGATCTCAAGGTTTTTTTTTGGCTCTCCTATATCTAGATCACAATCGGGCAAAGTAGGGATTTGGGGTTCAAAGTTGGATTGGAAATACTAACATTTGAATTGATCCTTGACATGCGGCTATATCGGCGATCGTGTTCGGCCCCAGCGGATCCACTATGGGGAAATGGTTATTGGGGATGTTTTTGCAGATAACGATTACAGGCAACATTCGAATGGACCCCAAATCCATGTTCAAATGTTCCAGTCTTTGTTCAAAAATAGCCCTATATCGGGGCTAGAATATGGAGGTTATATCTAGCATATATTCATTCATCTATGATTTCTAGTGCTATTATCCAACCATATTACCCCTCTCCTTAAGATAAATATAAATATATATATAAAAAAAAATTAAACAATCAAGCTCTCAAGTCATTTGCAATTTTCTCTCTAATCATTATTTCTATCAATACGTCATTCAAAGATCCCACCTGGGCAAAGTCCGAAGCCACCTGGGCATCAGCAAGTTTTTTTTCTCTCCTGGTTTTTCCTCTCACCCAAAGATCTTCTCATAACCAGTCAAAGTAAACCGATAGTGAACATCTCCTTTCTGCATCCGTTGCATAGCTTCCTTCAACCCCTCCTCTCCAATAGGAATCTCCTCAACCCAACCCTTAAGCCCCTTATCCGCAGCGAGCTGCAGCATGTCCAACATCTCCCGACGACTTCCGAGATGACTAGCACCGATAAGCACGCCATTAGCAATCAAGTTCTGCGCCTTGATAACCTGGCCCTCCTCCTCAGGCAACCCAACACTAATCCACCGTCCATGAACATCCATCATGGACAAGTACCGGGCCAAATCAAAGCCCTCGGAAGAATTGGCACAGTTGACAATCAAATCAAAAGAGAACTGATGCGGCAACTCCCACCCTTCTTCGGCAGTAGCAATGTACCCATCAGCACCCAGCTTCCGCGCATCAGCCTCCTTCGCCCGTGATCGTGAAATCGCCCACACCTCCGCACCCAAGGCCTTCGCGAACATGATACCGAAGTGTCCAATGCCGCCCAGCCCAACGATACCCACCTTCTTGCCCGGTCCAGCGCCGTTACGCACCAGGGGTGAGTAAGCTGTTAATCCGGCACACAGCATCGGCGCGACGGAGTTGGTCTCCAGGGCGTCGGGGATGGGAAACACCCAGTGCTCGTGTGTGCGCACGTGCGATGAGTAGCCGCCCTGGCTGACGATGCCGGTCTCGGGCCACTCGGATCCGTATGTGTCCATCATTTGTACGGGGCAGTAGGTTTCGTTGTCGTTCAGGCACTGCTTGCATTCGCCGCAGGAGTAGGACTGAGCGCCGACGCCGACGCGTTGGCCTTCCTTGACTAGGGTAACTTTGGATCCGACACGAATGGCACGACCGATGATCTCTAGGAAAAATATTAGCGGCTGGATTCCTGGCTTGTGTTGCTTGGGTTTTGGAAGAAATGCTTACCGTGTCCGACGCAAAGAGGGAATTTCTGGTCTCCCCATCCACCTGCAGAATAGTGTGAGTTTCTGGTTTCTGGTTCTAATCCTTGGTTAGGTTATAGGGTGGCTTCTTACCGCTGATGGTGTGGACATCACTGCCGCATACACCGCATGCCTCGATCTTGATGTCAACATCTAGATGACACGTTAGAGATGACAATGGCCAATTGCAAAGTCCATTGACGCACCATGATCACCAAAGGGCTTCAACTTGAACTGTATATTGCAAAACACCATTATTAGCTTTGAGTTGAAAAGAATACCACGAGATTGTCAACGCACGTATCGCTTCTTGAACTGGGTAAAGGAATCAGGTCCATCGACCTGGAAGCCTTCAGCTTCCTCGGGGTAAGGCATGATTGTAGATTTGGAGAGATGGATAGTTCAATTAGATATGATAGTGGTATGGCTCAGAGGATGTGCCAACAAAGATGGATAGAAGTCTTGAGAATTGAGAATAAGAAAGGAAAAGAAAAACAGAAATAGTGGGAGTGGAGGGGTATATCAAGTCTTGGACGAAAAAGAAATTAATAAAAAAAAAAAGACAAGAGTAATTCCAGCCGACTCTTTCAGAGCACTGTCCCCGTCCCCGTCCCCGTCACCACGCCCCATATGCCCATCTGGATCATCTCCACCAAGAATGAATCCAGGAATCAGCGTCATTTCTCGACCGAGAGAGAAACTCAAAACACGTTAATTGATCTACATCCCTTCCAATCCCATCGTATACTCCACGAATAACATCCAATGGCTCAATTCTCCCTCCTCAAACTAGAGTAAATCGGCTTTCTCGGAAACGGAGCACGAGGCCATGCTATAGTGTTAGCGGCTGGACAATGAATCCCGAAGTGGAATCCGAGTGCATTTTGAACTAAACCGTGTCCGGAATCTACTATACCGAGCATCGCGGCTTCAATTGGGTCAAGTGGATATGGAAAAACCAGTCAGGTGGACATGGCGTGGGGTGGTTTTGGGTTCCGGCTTATTAGGCGTGGGGCAGCAGAAATCAGTCCAAGACTCCAAAAAAACATAACGATAAGAAGTGACGTCTCGTATCAACTCCGACTTGGGGTTTCTCCACCTATAAGGATCCCCGGAGAAATTGGACCCGCTATGGATTCTATTGGAAAATATGGGGCTTATCGTAATCGATAAGAGTCTTGAGAAGCTACAAGAATTCCAATGAGGGGTTATTATGGTAGTGGTTACTATACTAAGAATGTTTATGTGCCAAGAACTAAGCGGCCTTTTTTACATACGAGCCGTGTTCAGTAGTAAGCTTATGAGGAAATATTTCTTCCATTGCGCTTTCAAAGTCATCATTTATGATCATATACAACTAAAAAGTATTTCCCTATAGGCTATGTCCATTTACATCGTGAAAAGTCAAATAATTTATACCACATCCTTCAACGACAGCTCCACATCCAATGCGGGCTTGATCTTATCAGCAACCTCCTTAGCCTGGGCATCACTGAGGCGGCCGAGAGGTCGGCGAGGGTATCCACCATATCCGTAGTAAGTCTGGATAGCAGACTTGGTGCCAGGGATAGCAGCCTTGGTAAGAACCCAATCAGCAGCACTGAGCTGTTGCTGCGCCTCAATAGCCTCAGCAAGGCGGCCCTCAGACCAGAGGTTGAAGATGCGCACACACAAGCGGGGGATGACATTAGCACCGCCAGCCAGAATAGCCGAGCCACCAGACACAAGAGTCTGGAGACTGAAATCGGCGATACCACCAAAGGCAACGTAGGGGTGCTTGGCGTTAGGCTTGGAGACAGTCGCGGTGCGCTGGGCAGGGGCCAACGGGGAAGGAGGAACAATAGCACCCAGGGCAGCGGCCACGCGGGTCAGCTTGCCGGTGTTGGCGCAGGTGAACTTGGTGCCGACGATGTTGGGGTGCTCGGAGATGCGGATGATGAGGTCGGAGTCCATGTCGATACCGGCAACGGCACCGGGGTAGTTGTAGAGGATGAGAGGGACGGGGGAGCCATCGGCGACGGCTGTGAAGTACTCGTACAGAGTCTCGTCGTTGCCGACGGCGCCGCGGTAGTAGCTTGGGGGCACGATCAGGGCGTACTCGCCGCCGGCAGCGGCGACCTGTTCGCACAGCTTGATGGTGCCGCGGATGCTGTTCTCGCTGGCACCGGAGATGACGGGGACGTTTTGGAATCCGGCCTCGTCGAGGGCGGAACGGGTCTCGCGGGTGACGGTCATCTTCTCCTCGTTTGTGAGGTGCACGGCTTCACCGTTGGATCCCATGGTGACAAGACCGACCAGACCGGCCTTGGCCAGACGAACGGCGTGGCGGCGGATGGCGGCGACATCAAGTTCTTCGGTGACGGGATCGAAGAAAGTCATGGTTGGCGCGTAAACACCGGGGCGGAGGGGAGTGAGTGACGGCATGATGCTGACTTGGTTAGCTGGAGCTATTGAGTGAATATTTAGATGGAGTGGGACTTACAATGACTTTTTTGTGATTGAAGAATATACAATGTTGACTTGAAAAACAAAAGACAGCTGGCTGTTCTTCTTTTTAATCGTTCCATTTCCCCCACGCTCGGCGAATGCTCCGATGCATTATGTATGGCGGAGGATTTTATTCCACCAATCAAAGTCATGGAAGTAAAATGTGGGGGACATTGTCATATCGTGGCGGGGGAGAGGGGGAGGGGTCTTCTATTGCTCAATGTTACGCGACAGTGACATTGGAAGAAAACAAATCAATGGACATTGTCAATTAATTCATAATTTTCATATCGTGTACATCATCAACTCATTGCGATTCTCAGGATTGTAGAGAATATAGAGCTTCTTGAAGGTTGAGCAGCTTGAGCTCGTCGGCTCACGATAAGATACTCGGCTATTGACGTTTTTTCCAATTCAAACGCCGGAAGAATTATGTCCAGCGACGCAATCCCCCCCGTCACGAATTTCTATTCTTATTTCTAATTCTTCCTATTTACTTCTTAACTTCTCCTAATATCCTCCAATCCTCTTCTACCCCCTCAACAAACAATCATGGCTCCTCCTAGTGTATTGATGGTGAGTTCAACTAACAATTGCCCCGCATACCGCATACAGCAGCAGCTAATCAAAATATCCAGGTCGGCACCGGCGAGTACACCACCGGCTTCGTCGGTGGTGGCGCCTCTGGCTCTGACAAGAAGGTCGGCGTAGTCGGCCTGAGTCTCTTCGATCTGCGCCGCCGAGGCAAGGTGGCCGATCTAAGCATGGTCGGCGTGTCCGGCAAGAAGTTCCCCGGAATCCGTAAGTAAACGAAACACTTCCCCCAAAAAACCAGGCCAGACAACAAGGCCAAGAAAACCAAGTGCTGTCACATCCAGAAGCTAGACTACGAAAGCTAACAGAGAAACACAGGCGATCACTTGCACCGCAACATCTCCCAAGTCTACAATGGCCTCGACACATCCTTCGCCTCGTTCCCTTCAGACGACCAAACAGACCCAGACGCCTACAAGACAGCCATCGACGCTCTCCCCCGCGGCTCCGCAATCACCATCTTCACCCCCGACCCAACCCACTTCCCAATCGCCCTCTACGCCATCGAGCGCGGCATCCACGTCATGATCACCAAGCCCGCAACCCAGCGTCTGGAAGACCACCTGGCCCTCGTCGAAGCCGCGCGCAAACACGGCGTCTTCGTCTTCATCGAGCACCACAAGCGCTTCGATCCCGCGTACTCTGATGCCCGCGCTAAGGCTCGCACCCTGGGCGACTTCAACTACTTCTACAGCTACATGAGCCAGCCCAAGAGCCAACTTGAGACCTTCAAGGCGTGGGCTGGCCGTGAGTCTGATATCTCCTACTACCTTAACTCGCACCACATCGATATCTGCGAGAGTATGGTGCCGGATTACAAGCCTGTGCGGGTCACGGCTACGGCTTCGCAGGGTACGGCCGAGGCTTTGGGCTGTGTGCCTGAGACCGAGGATACTATTACTCTGCTTGTGGAGTGGCGGCGTCGTGATAACCCGGCGAAGATCGCTACGGGTGTTTACACGGCTAGTTGGACTGCGCCCCAGAACGCGGGTGTGCACTCGAACCAGTACTTCCACTGTATGTTTCCCCCTTTCCTTTTGTGGCTCCTCTGGGTGCGCGTGCTGTCTTTTTTTTGTTTGCGGTATACTAACGTTTATCGATAGACATGGCTGCCAATGGCGAGATCCGCGTGAACCAGGCTAAGCGTAGCTACGATGTGACCACCGACGAACAGGGATTGATTTGGGTGAACCCGTAAGTCGAATTTTCCACAGAAAACATTTTCCAGCAAGTTTGTTAACCTTATTCTCTAGCTTCTACATGCGCTACGCTCCCGACGAGGAAGGAAACTTCGGTGGCCAGACTGGTTACGGCTATGTCAGCTTCGAGAAGTTCATTGATGCCGTCACTGCTCTCAACGAGGGCCGTGTGACACTCGACCAGCTCGATGCGCGCCCCTTGCCTACCTTGAGAAACACAATTGCCACCACGGCCATCCTCGATGCCGGCCGCAAGGCACTGGATGAGCGCCGACCGGTGGAGATTGTATCAGAGGGTGATAAGTGGGAGCTCAAGTAAAATTGAACGTAAATAGTAACAAGTATATATCACGTGAATGAACCAACCTTATTCCAATTATAGCAGCTGCAGCAGTACCTAGGCGTAACTGGTAGTATGCGAATAAAGAAATATGTACTAGTATGTATATTGAGATATAGTAAGTAAAAAGTAGTCGAATTCGATAGCTACTAGTAAAGCCTTGGCTTAAGGATATCCTTGATTCCCCCGGAACTCCAAGCTCAATTAATTCCACGCCAGAACATGAAAAATAAAGAATAATACATCCTCAGTCAAAATCCAATAAGAAAATAAAAGAAAAATCATGTGGTATCATGTAAGAAACTTCAATAAAAAACTTCATCGTCGCGATCCACCTTTGACGATACCATCTGAGCCCTTGCTGAATTTGACACGGCACTCTGGGCAGTACCATTTAGCCGTGCGGGAAGGCACCTCAGTTAGGCCAATGCAGTCAAGGTGGAACCATTCCCGATCGCACTAAGCGGAATTAGTAAGATGCACTGAAAATATCATGAGATTAGAAACTTACATCTTGGTTTTCACAGCAAATCATCGTTCCAAAGCTCACATCCCCACAGAGACAGTAGCGGGGCTCATTGGCATTAATTTCCTCAAGGACTCCGTCTTCGTCAACACGAACATCCTGAGAGTTGGGAATAAGCAGACGTTTCTTGCTAGGTTTGGCCTTGCGACGGCCGTAGCTCACGGCTGCACCGCCGTCTTGGCCAGATGAGACAGGGCCCGGAGCGGGGCGCTTGCGTCGGCGAGCTGGAGCGGGAACACTGGGAGCATGAGACGTCTCTCGGACTGGTGTCTTGCGGGCAGGAGTGGCGCTTTTGACACGCAAGTCTCGTCCACCAGATACAGCGACGGGGAAGGCAACTGCCAAGCCTCTAGGCTCGCTCAATGCCGCAGCCGCAGACCGTCTGGACGAAGGCCGGGTAACTGGTGGAGTAGGTGTAGCGACAGGCTTTCCGACGGATTTGGCTCCAGCAGAGCGTCGTGATCCACTTGGGGAGGGCAATGGAGGCGATACCTTTGCTTCGGCAGGTGCTTGGCTTACAATTTCAGGCAGCGCGGGGGCATTGGTCGCCTCTGCTGAACCTGATCCGCTGCTTGGCCCACCTCGGTCAGATTTGCGACGGGATTTTGACGACGGTACTAGAACAGGCTCATTTGCAGAAAGAGCTTTTATGGTCGAAGTCAAGAGATCGTCCTCAGCGGTATCCTCTTCACGTTTTCTCTTGCGGGATGGTCGGCTAGCTGGAGTCCCTTGAGCAGGAACTGGCTGTTTTACAGTAAGAAGCAGTTCTCCGCCGTTAGCTGCCGCTTCCCGTGCCAATAGCTCCCGCTTGAGCTTCTTCGCTTCGTTCAGCTTCATGCCTCTATTGCTTATCTTGGTGTCTTCCATATCTTTGGGTTTTGCGCCACGGTAGGTTTCTGCCAAGTTGTCACAGTCCAAAAGTGCAATGCCAGATTCTTCAGCCATTTGCTTAGCATTCACATAGTTATCCCAGCCACGTCCCATGATGGCTAACTCGCGGTGAATCATGACCTCGCTGGGCTGCCACATAGCGTTCTTCTTCATCTTTTTGCGTAGTTTGGTCATTTCATACTCGGTCAATCGGCCCCATGGAGCATGTTCACTGCCCGGCTTTGCATCTGGAGGCGGAGGTTTAAGCGAAGCAAGGGCATGGCTTGTCGAAACCACAACCCCTGAGCTAGGACGGCGTTGCTTCTCTTTCTTCGAGGGTCTGGATTTGGGAACAATCGGCAATTCCGCGTCCGCATCCGATTGCTCGGTACTGGCAATTGGAGAATCCGGATTAAAGTCTGCGAATTGCCCTCCTAGGCCCACGCGCCGCCTTGACTTTTGTGTTCCGCTCTTCTTGCGACCATCCAGGCGCAAGGTGATACGTGTTGTGGATGCACCGGATTTCTTATCCTTGCGCGCGCGCTTCGGAGTAGGTTCTGGCGGCGGAGATGGTTCTACCGAGGGTGGACGCGGTAGTGTCTCTAGCTTTTGTCGAATGCAACTCAAGCGGTCGAAGTGGCGATCCACAACATCGTATAGACGGCAGGCTTCTGCATAGGCGGATTCACGTGCATTAATTGCGCGGTCTAACTGATGAGATACTTGGTGGCGTAGGGAGATGGGGTTTGGGCGTTCATCGGGAGGAAGGTTAGGGAGTTGGCCGTAGGTCCTGCTCAGGCTGTGTACTTCTTGTGCGGAGTCAAGGTAACGATCATCGAGGCCCTGGATGAGGGTTAGGGAGCGGATGAGATCGGCGGGAAGGTATTCGGTGTAGTCGATATAATCGGTTACAGTAGCTTGAGCGTCAGGATCGAAGGGGCCATCTAAGATGACCCCGCCGCTGTGGTCGGTTTCATCGGTCATTGGCATCCTTGCGGATTTAACGACGACGCGTTTTGTCAGCGACCGCAAGGATGAGCGAGTTCACGGAATGGATTTATTTCCAGCTGAATGGAAGGAGAACACGGACTGCGAAGCGCCCAATATCCAGCGAAATGTGATCAGGGTGAGGTCAGCTCAAGCTCCTGCATGTGCGGCGATGTGCCATTCAAATCGGGGTTCCCGGGTGGAGCCTGTTTGTTTTCCCTTATGGAAGCGGTGAGTAAGGGCAGTTGATCTATAAATAATGAAACCCACTCCATACATTCTAAGTAGGTCAAACTTTCTATCTTTTTAGCTGAAGATTTCTTTTTTTCATTTTTTTTCACAGGAGCAATAGATCATAGAATTGACTTAGAGTAGCCCCGATAGTAGATGATATGAATAAATGAACATGATGGTCACACCTATGCAACGACTTTGTTTCCGCGACAGCCTCTTAAACGGTATAGCCTGGTTTGCTCCTCACTCAATTCGGATTCGCGCCCTCGATAACTTGACGGTAAAACAAATCTAGTTTCAGGCGGGGGAAGGAATCCGTCTTCTGCATCTTCTGAGTTGTTACACATATCGGTACATAATCGGAACATCCTCACTGGACGCATGGGCGGCGGCGGGTTTTGATCATTGTATGGGCTGCCAAGTCTTCCAGCCAGGAAGTTTTCAAATTCTTGTTGAAGAATTTCAGATGGCTTTCTCTGCAGGTCTTGGGCGAAGGTGACATGGCCCTTCTTCTGTGTTTTTTCTGCCAAATCAAAGAATGCCTTCAGTCTCTCTTCGTCGGCAAGATCAACAAGCTGAATAGGGGCATCGCCCAAGAGTCCAAATAATCCTGTTTTTCTGCAATATCTGGCGCTGGCATGTATAACAATGGTTTTTGTAATGACCACCAAGTTGGGTATTCCGCTAAGAGCCTCTGGGCAATGGAAGCATATATTATCCAAGTTCAGAGAACCTCCTTGTGCAGAGTTCTCCGCATGCCAGGCAAGATATGCGATTGCAGAATAATATTCATTTCCATGCGGAAAGCCATTAGAGTCATTCAGGTGCACCATATCTCTGGATGGATCAATAAAGCCCTTTGTGATTTCAGCAGGGCCTTCATCTTCCCACCGGGCGTCTTCGAGCATTTCTCCATGCGGGCGTAAGACGCGACTTTGCAAAGCCACAGTGCGAGACTCATAGCATACACGGGAGATGGCCGGTGGCCTAAGGTTGGCATGCGTTGTCATTTGAGCCCCGCAGATAAATGCAAAGTCGCCTTCATCGGGCGCGTAATGAACCTTGTCCAGCTCGTGTATTCGATGCGGTAAACACAATTTCCAGATCATGATTCGCAGCTCTGGCGGAAGGTCCAGGAAGCGCGAGAAAGCACCAACATCATCGCCGGAGGTCGTCATTGGCGTGAGCGGTATATGTAGGTCGTATCAGTGGTTCGGATTCCGGGCCAAGAGGACGGAGATATTGGAGATTCACTCGGCAGTCTAAGAACACAATCTGAAAGAGTCTGTAGATCACGTAAGTGCTCAGTGATGCTGATCATGAATATTCGCTAACTCATCGTAATAGGTAAAGGAATTTAATACAAAAACAGGTCATCTGGATCCTAAGACAGGTTGGGCTTTTTTTAGGAGTTTATCAAAACTTCAAACCACAGCGCTAGAGGCTAAAAAAACAACCCTTTTATTACTAAGTCTAGTTTTCTGTTCTCCGTACTATTTCAATATTCCGAAATGTCTTCCTACCTATTCTCCTAGCTATGATAGCTATCCTCCTAACTATCTTTCTAACTGTCTTTCTAACCATCTTCCTAGCTATAGTTCCTAGTAAAGAGGAGAGCTATAATATAAGAGCCATTGAGCAGTGGGATATAAGGGTATATAAGAATTCCCTAAGATAGGAAGGACTATTATGCGTAAGTAATAGTATATCTAGTGGAAATTGAGGAAGTTTACTATTCATACTGTCTTAGGATCCAGTCATATTCAAATGTTAACATGTCTTCCATCCATGCTAGTAGTACTAGTAAAATGGTATATTTGCCCCTAAGAGATACTTGAAATGTTCAAAATACAGATACAATATTACCAAACCGAAGAGCCTTGGATTTGAAGCTTCAAGTTATACATATACTCTACTAGTGTACATCCAAGAATGTTAGGTCTTGTACTCTAATCAATACTCCTCCATCATAGGCCAGAACCGCTGCTCCAGCCATACAACCTGCCTCCACCACTCCAAACACCGACCCCGCATCATCTCACACTCTTCAGCCCCCTTACACTGACTAGCCAAAATATTCAAAACCTCCCCAATGCGATCCACAAAAGCCTCAAACTCATCGCTCGACCAATTAGGAATAAACTTCTCCCGCAACGCACCCCCATCCGCATCCCGCGCCCCATCATCCTTACCCTCCCTCGCCTTCAAAAACGCCGCAGCATACTTCCAAGCCCTCAAATAACACACCTCCGTCGCCCACAAAACAGTCAAGCCCTCAATAACCGGCACGCCCGCACTCCCCGCCGACATAAACATATCAATATACGCGCGCGTAATCCTCGTCGCCGCAAAGAAAACCGGCCCGCCACGCTCCAGCGGCTCCAGCGAAGCCGGCCGCCCCCCAGCCCCAGACGGCACAACCGGCTCGCCCTCCGGCGTAAACGCAATTGGATTCTTATTCTTGACACCAGCCGCCGACGCAGCCGCAGACGCATGGCACACGTCCCCAGCGCTCTGCACCTGGCACTCGCCCTGCGCCGCACAGAGGCGGTGGAGGATACTGTCGCCGGAATCGAGCTCGCCGGATTCGATGGTCGAGAGCGGCAGGTCGAGCTCGTCCTTGCTGGTGCCGTAGCCGCCGGTCTTGCTGCTGCCGATCACCTTGCCGCCCATTGGGCCTGCGGCGCCGGTGAAGCCGGGACAGGAGCCTGAGCCCGTGGTCGAGATGCCGGCGGAGGTGGTGATGCAGCCGGAGCCGTTGACGGCGAGGCAGTGGCCGCCTTCGTCGACGGAGATGGCGGAGAGATCGAGCCCGTATTCCTTTGCGGTGGACTCGAAGAAGCGGAGCTCGGTGCGGATATTGACGAGGGCGTCGATGAGGATGTCGACGGCTTGTTGGTCTGCTGTTGAGGCTTGGGAGGCTTTGGGGTTTGTGGAGCGGGCGTCTAGGCGGATTTTGGAGAGGAGTTGGCCCATGAAGCGGATGTAGGATTGTGCGTATAGTCTATCTTGGGAGAGCCATTGGGAGAGGATTGGTTTGGGGAGGGTGCCGCGGCCGGCGGCGGCGAGGAAAGGATGGTTTGTTGCACGGGTGAGGGATTGGGGGGAGCTTTCGAGGAGCCAAGTTGTTAGGGGGCCTTGGCTGGACATTTTGGAGTTGATTGGTGTGGTGTGACTTGTCAATTCAGGGGTGGAGGATGGTGGGGTGTGTTGTTTTGATAGTTGAATTTTTGGAGGGGGGCGATGTAGTAATAACGGCCCTAAGATCGGAGCTGGAGTGGGTCTGATGTGGTTATGGCGTCAGTGCGACCCTGAACTAACTTAAGCTTATTGGGTACTTTGCAGAATATACTCCTGCAAGGCGTACTAGTCTCTTGTACCCTTTGCATATGAGCTGACCAGAAAAAGCATAAGAGAGTTGGGTGTCTTTTTGGTTATACTCTTAATCTCAACATTTGAATATGCTACAATATCATTACGCCCGATGCCCCGCAATACCTCTATGGTATGGGGGCGGGGTAAAAGAATCTATTAGGTAGCAGTAGTACAGACTGAAACATACTAGCTTTGCGTGTGGCATATTGCATGTTGATATCATACATTGCTAACTGCTCATACATACATAGCCACCGTGGCTCAGATTCTCGCACATCAAACCAAGCAAAAAAGACAGCCGTGAGCCCAAAAAGAGATAAAAATGCCCAACCCAAAGCCAAAACACCAAACCAAGCACCGAGCCCGTCAATGAAAAGCAAACATAGAAAGCAAAAGATAAAAGATACGCAGAATCATGAGTCAGCCACCCAACACCGGGTTATGCGGTCAAAAGTTGAAACAAAAAAAGGGACAGTAAACACGTAGCATACAACAATCTGAGTGAACATGTTATACATCACTGGGGCAAGAGAGTCAGGAAGAGAAATGGTTAGGTTGCAGTGGCACGTGCAGCATTGCTCAATTGTCGATGATATGAACCAATGGGTTGGAAACCACTAGAAAGTCTGGACATTAGTGACTGTTTACTTTATTTGAAGGGTGGAGCCGATGGAAGAAAAGAAAGACCAGGGGTAGCATACCGAGCAAGATCAAAACCATTATCATCCTCTTCCTCCTCTTCCTTCCGTGAGACAGCCGGTCCCATATCCGACGCATCAGATTGTAGCGGCGGCAGTGTCCTGCTAGAGCCAAGTCCATTGGATGTCCCTGGCTTGCTGGGACTAGCCAGGTTTGGTGGAGGGGGGCTAGAACTAGGGAAACCGCCAATGATACGATCCCGATCACTGCGTTCGCCCTTCAATGGACTCATGTCCGGCACCGGGCGTGCAGGGGTACTGCCAATATCGGCGAACTTCCAGAACTGAGCCGGTGAGCTCATGGGCATGAATTTTGATGGAATCTGGGCAGTGCTTGGAGGAGGGAGGCGGGGTTGCTGTCGTTGCGGGGCGGGCGTGATCATAGATGAAGGTCCCTCATCATAGTAAGATGAGGAAAGCACTGGTGGTGATCCGGCCACGTTGTCTGACATTCCGTATGGGGCAAGGTTGTTACTTGCGTTCGGCGCTCTGCTGGCCTCGGCAGTGCTGCGTGTGCGAGCAGGAAGCGGAGAAGGTTCTTCGTAGCCGGCCTGCGGATCCATGTGTCGCAGTGGGTGGTCGGAGCCGGCACCACGGCCGGCCCGCGAACCACGCTCCGGAGTGAAAGCCTCAATGGGGGCGACGGGGAATGAGCTGAATCCGGGGGATGAGACGGGCGGGGACTTTTTAGCGGTGGCTGGGAAGGAAGTATCGATTGATGATGGGATGTGAGTTGCACGTGCGGACGAAGGAGGCTCCTTGGTCGCCGGCGATGACGGGGCCGACGATTGGTTACCCTTCCGTGCTTGCTTTTTCCGATATTCATCACGGTACTCGGCAGCAATCTGCCACTTCATTCCCTTGCCCGGCTCATCGGTCCGACGTGGAACTTTCTGGAAAGCCTTGTTCAAGGAAAGATTGTGGCGAATGGAGTTTTGCCAGCCGCTCTGGGAGTGTCGATAAAAGGCGTATCGGTCCATGATCCAATTGTAGATACTGTTGAGGGTAAGCTTCTCCTCTTCGCTGGAGAAGATAGCTTGCGCAATCAATGAAGCATAGCTGTACGGAGGCTTAAGATCCTTAGCCGCATCTTGACTATAGTCGATCTCTTCAGTACTCTCCATCATCATACCCCGGTTGTAAAGTGGGGACTGCTTGACCGTGCGCGCGCCCGACGTATCCGGGGAGCGGGGAGGTGGCGTCACATTGCGCTTCAGGAAGTTCGGGGGAGGCGCCAAAGAAGGCCCACCAGATGAAGAGGGACGCGCCGACTCCGTTGCCTGCGAGACTTGCAGCTGGGGATGAGCATGTTGCGACGCATCCCAGGCTATGGAAGCCGGGTCCGGTTCCTGACCACTCGCAATGCGCTGGGCGCGCTCGATAAAAGCGGGTTGAACATTGGGGACATCACCGGGAGTGACGAACATCATCTGGGTATTAGCGACCTCAATGATATCACCACAAGATAGGATCGCATCGACACCCCGCTTCAGCATCAGATTGTTGAGACGGACACCATTGCGACCATTCACCCGGATATGCCAGGCGGGCGCCGACTTGCCATCATAGAAAATCTCCGCATGAAGCCGCGACACAAATTTGCTCGGACCTAAATCCACATCGACATCTGGGAGTGAACGAGCGGCAATGGTGACTGGACTGGACTGTTCGGCGGGGTGTTGCTCGCGGTCTGGTTCGCGACCGATGTTGACATGCAGGGACTTGACGTAATAGGTCCAGTCGCGGCCGGCGATTTTCGCATAGGCTTGAACACATTGTTTGTTCTCGGTCTTGGTGTTGGAGAAGTCGCGCGTGACGCGCAGTTCCTCGCGCGGAATATTCAGGTATGAGATCACCAGGTCGACCACATCTTGAGGGGCTGTCGGTTCATGTTCAGCGGCGGAGTCTTCGTCTTCGTCGGATTCGGGCGCCGCTTTGATAACGGTTCGAGATGGTGAGGCGCGGCGCTCAACCTATCATTCGAGTCCTTGTCAGCGATTGTTTTTTTTTTTTTCTTACACTTCTTGTGCTTCGGAGGGTGCGGCCTCGGACCGACGGATCCTATCGCCACTGTTATCGGAACTCACCTTGCGTTTCTTTGCAGAGGGACGAGTAGGCGACGAGTCTGGTGCCTCTGCGTCGGATGTTTCCTGCAGTTGGATTTCCTTCCGGCGCGCACGCCGGCGATTTGACAACGGCATCTCGGTCACTTTTTTTTGGAGGATAGAGGCGGAGGTCGGTTTTAGGTGAGAGGGGTTTTGCCGCGAATCAGTACCGGAATGGTGAGCGTGACAGTTTTCGGAATTTTCAAGAATGTGGGCAATGTAGCGGTTTGGAGGTTCGAATACTCCGCAGATATTCCACGGCGGGGCAAACAAAAGGTGAGGTTAAGAGAGGGTGAGAGAGAGGCAAGATCCCAGGACAAAGAGAAAATAAAAAATAAAAAACACAACAGACCAAGTCTGGATCCGGATTTCAGCGCCCCAGTTTCGGAGACACTTTCAGAGAGGTAGAACCAGAGAATGAAGTCAGTAAGAACCAGCCGGTAGAGTCTGGATTTTGCCACCTTCAAGCCCCAAGAAAAAAGGTTTGAAGTAAAAAAAAATCCAATAAAAAATTGAAGAAACCAAAGATGACCCCCAAGCTCCGAAACCGAAAATCGCAAAACACACAACAACCAAGTGGAGGAGATTTTGGGAAGTGTAAATCAAGTGGCTGGGGATGTTGGTTATCGATAATCCCTACGATCGACGCGATGGCGTCTGTTTGGGGGTGACCGCCTTGTCGCGTGGGGAGCGTGTGATGTTTTTGTTTCTTTTTTCTCACCTTATCATCTAGTATAGATCACAGAGACAAGGTAAAAAAGAAAAAGAAAAAAGAAAAAGAAAAAGAAAACATCAATGGGAAAGAGAAAGAAGAAAAAGAAAAACAGGGGAATTAAGAAGGTCCAATGTATTCTAAAAGAAATCAAAAGAAACAGAAAACAGATGCTAGTTCGAAGTGCGCCCGTTTGGCCGTAAACAGTGGTGGAGTCGCTGTCACGACGGTGTATAATACCAACCGATTGTCAAGGAGAAGCTAAGAAAACCCCACGATAACCCAGGGACTTCTCCGGTAATACCATTACATACACATTACGTGCTCAGCGTGGGATCCACGATGTTGCCGAGTGCAGTTACAGAATGATCAGTTCATGGAAAACTTATCCTACGTTGGATGAGGGGCTGCCTTGGAAGATGCTGATCAAGGTATGATTGAAGACATCCATTGGGATCCGCTCAAGGTCTTGATAGGAACTGCAGAAGAAAAAAGAGATTCTTGTCAACTCTGCTTTTGCCCAGCTATAGTATCCCCTATACATAGTACATTTTCTAGATCTCTCGACTTCATTCATGCAAGCCACTGGTATTCTCGGCTTGACAATGGCACCCCTGGCAATTAGAAATCAAATCATCCCTGCAAGGTTTAGTCACCTTCTATTGACGGCTTTAATCGTTTGCGTCACAGGGCCCCCCGGATGCAGTTTAGTCTCTCGCCGTTGGAATGTTGCTTTCCCCCTTTAGGACTTGACATGTCGATCGGGCCTCACATCACCCAAATCCGGGGACTATGCCAACAAGATCATAGACAAGCGAAAAAAAACACATCGGATAATCAACAGATCATGTAACCTTAATTGTGCCAAGGAGAAGATCTCGATCGATTCTAAGACCGATCAGGTCTTCCGTAGCTACGTACTTCCATAGTTACGCTACCCCACATAAGAAATAGGGATATTTGGATGCAAACAACGTGAAAGCTTGTAAATAAACAGTGTGTGCAGTTTTGTTGCTACAGATGAAGAAGGTGGAGAAGTCTGGTCAATCCAGGTGACACTTGGAGAAAACAATAATGAAAAAGAAAAGGCAAAGGCAAAGGAGAGAAGAACAGTGAGTATAAGACAGGCATCGTCCACCGATGAGAAAGGGTTAAGCAATGGACTCCAGGGCCGTTGCTTACAAAGGCAAGATAAATAAGAAAATAGATAGAGAAGTAAAGGGGAAAAAAGAAAGACGAGTAGAACGGAAGTAGAACAAATTGGTCATGACAGCGTTAGATGAGAAAAGGACAGGATCGGTCCAATTTTTTCATGCCCCTATTCATCGTCACCGGGCATCTTAGCGTCTCCGTCTTCATCCAGCCCACGAAGGGTCGGGTAGGAGACGGTCTCCACAGGCTCGGATTTGAATTCCTCCTTAGATGGCTCGGAGGAGGCACGTGCACTGGCAATCTCGATACCTTCCATAGCCCCATCAATCGGGGTAGAAGAGTTGCTTTCCTGCCCAGAGCCAGGGGTAAACAGATCGGCCTCCAAGAGCTCGGAGACGAGACGACGTAGGTTCTCAAGCAAGCGAACCTTCTCCACCCAGGCAACATTCACATCGCGCTCGGCCACTTCAGTAGCAGCCTGAGCAGTCCGCTGAGCAGCTTCCTGATCAGGATCAGAAGAAGTGCCAGACAGAGCAGGGTCAATCAGACTTTCTGAGATATTCATGTGCTCCTTAGTCGGAGTGCGTTCTCCGTCCGCCTTGCTATCATGCGAGATATCCATTTGACTATTGTCAACTTGGCGGTCTGCCGGGCGCGCACGCTGCAAAGTGCCTCCGGTATAACGACGACGGTCATCATTATCGAAAGCACCGAGAGTTGACGGAGGAGCAGCACCGGAGGCAGTGGGGTAGCCAGCGCCCATGCTATCAGACATGCTGGCGGATGGGAGACGAGGGTACATGCCTGGGCCACTCTCATGCGGTGGAGAAACACGGTGGTTGTGCATAGAGATGGGAGAGCGGTTGGAGGTGTAAGATTGAGCGCTGGAAGGAGGAGTCAACGCCGGAGTACCGACAGAAGGGGAGTGTGCCTGCATCATGGGCGCAGAGCTAGTGGCTGATGCGTGGCTAGGGGGTAGCTGGGTTGGCGGAGAATGAGTGGCACGGTAGTGCATGCCAGGGTGCACGTAGTGAGCACCGGGCTGCGCAACACCGGCGGCAGCCACGTTCTCGTCACTCTCGTAAATTGTGTTTTGCATCTGCTCCAAGAACTGATCAATGTTGATGAGATCGTTCTTGGTACGGACGTTGGACATTGGGGGCAGGTGGTAGGCAGGGGCTTGAGAGCCACCAGGGCTGTACCCGCCACCTCCACCCACGGCAACGCCGGTCGGCATGGGCTGGTACTCGGGTACGGGTCCATTCAAAATTGGGAGCTGGAGGGCCTGCAGACCCAGCAGACGCTGGCCAACAGCGGCATATGAGTTCGGATCAAACTGGCGGCGCTTGAGATCTCCAAAGAACTCGTTCAGCGCATCATATCCACGCTTGCGGTCATAAGAGGGGGCGCCATCATGACCCTGGCTGAGGGCATAGTAGACATTGCCATATGAATGCGGATTGGCGGGTGGGGGTGGTGCCTGGTGTGTCTGATAGTACTGGGGTGCGCCATGGGTATAGGCCTGGTTAGGGACCCCGTTGATGGGGCTCTCGAAGTAATGAGTAGCAGCGGCATATCCCTTGGGGTTTTGAGGGAACATCATATCCGGGTGGTGATGCTTGAGCCCGGGCTCAGGTGACCGAATTTCCGAGTCATCAGCATGGGTCTTGACATGCTTCTTCAGATCTTGAGGACGCTTGAAGGCCTTGCCACAGAAATCACACTTGTGTGGCTTCAGGGGCACGTGGACTCGAATGTGCGAGGTGATGTGATCGCGCTTAACAGTGGTAGTGTTGCAAGATCCCCACTGGCAAGTCAAGTTCAAGTTGTTTGTGCTCTTGCGACCGACATGGCGCTCACAGACATGTTCCTGTTTTGAAAACAATCGCTTGTTTAGTATTTCACCCAGAGATCTTCAGTAATGGGAGCAGCGATGATCTTACATATAGTAATTCGGCAGTCGGACTCTTCTCCGTGCAACCCACCCACTGGCAAGGGAGCTGTTCGCCGCCATTCATGGAGTTGTTGATGGCGGCGGTGGCGGCGGCAGCGGTCGCGGTAACCGAGGCGGTCGGAGTGGTGGTGACCTGAGCTATAGGGTGTGTCTGGTCAACCGGGACCGACGGCGCCAGTTGAGGAGTTGAAGTTTGGGGAATATTGTTCTCCGACATGATGCCAAGAAACGGGGAGTCTTGTCGTGCTGGCGGGATGCCCAGGCACAACGCTTTATCAAAAATGGACCAAGAAAAAAAAGAGGGGGGGCGAAGAACACCAGAATATGTAATCTGGCCACCAAAATGCTTAACGAGGTCACACAGAGGGATTTTTATTATGCCAGCGTGTTTCCAAGTTAATTAGAGAAAAGCAAAATGGGAGATGGGAAAAGAGGAAGAGATGGATTATAGGGAAAGCGCGTAAGAAGGGGGGGACTCCGCAGAGAGGATAATAAGCCGAGCCTTTGCCCAGAGCCCTTTTGCCGGGGCGGAGGGACAAGAAAGGGACAAGCACGGACAACACCGGGCCAAGAGTTAATGCGGGTCTTCCAAGAGATGGCGTTGGATGGTGCACGATGACTGGTCAGCTCTCGAAAAAACAGGGGCTGTGCACTTTCTTTCCTATTAGGATGTTGTTGAGAGAAATATGGTATATTAGGAGAGAAATCCGGAGAGTTTTGTACTGAACACATTTTGCTCCACGATAATGAACATCTTCCCATACTAACTATCTGGTACTACTTGTATTTAAACCACACCTGTACCGTAAAATCCATGTGCAAACACTGCAAATTCCTATTCTGCTCTTTTTCTCTCGGTGTCTTCCCCAATCGGGTCAAGCGCAGGACTAAAATTCCCCCAAATTTACCAAATTTACCCAATTTAGTATGTGTCCACGGGTCCTGCGTACCAAAAATGTAAATGTATCAAATGTACCAAATTTACGAGGTCAGCCCATAGGGAAACCCTATCCTATCAAGCAAGAACGACAGAAAATTGCAACAGGTTCCTTTCTAGCCGGGAAACATGGATTAAATGTTATTCAGTGGCAAAACAATCGGGGTCACTTGCCAAGCGTCGTCAGCCATGGCCATCCATCCTTGGCAGCCAAGGTTTTCCTCTTTGCCAATTCCCGCTCCGAAGCCCCCAATCCCAGTGTCTCGGCACGTTTTTGGCACTTGGCATCCCTTCTTCCTTGTACCATGAATGTCGTTGCCTATTTTTCGAAGCCCCTCTTCCCCCACTGTGGTGATGTGTCGATTTTGCTCATCTATTTTCGTATCCGAATGGGGCCGGAAGTCAAGACTCGGGGAAGATAGGATCCTAGATCCGGGGTATATCGAAGTAATCCAGCACTGCAATATACATATTCAGGAATTGCAGAATCAGTATGTATTGAAGCACTATGTAACACGCTATATACCAATCAACGCCATCTACAACAACAATAACAAGGTCAACTGGTCCCTACCCCGGTCCCAATGTTAGTAGGTAGAACAAAATAAGCAGTGCCAGTTACACCAGTGTAATGCAACACAGAACCCTCCCAAGCATTCCATGAAGATACCTCAAGTGCTTGTGAGAACCCAAACAACGCCTCTCCCGGGCCAAATTGGCAACCCTCTAAGCCCTCCAAAAATTACAAGAAAGAAAAAACCCTTGGGTCTATTAAAACACATAAAACGTCAAAGCACGTCCCTCTCAACCCCTTCGCGCCCGCATCGGCGGCTGATACCAACTCCAAATATTCAATCCCACCTTCGTCCCCGACGTAACCGGGTACGCGGCGTGCCAAGTCTCCTCATACCCCGACCCATCAGCCCGCAAATTCTCCCAAAAGATCGCATTCCCCTTAATAGGCTTGAACGTGATACCAGGTTTCTGCTTCGGAATTACCCCAGGAATCTGATCCTGTCCCTGAGCCTCGGCACCGCCTTCCTCGCACTCCAAAAATCGACACCACTGCTCCCCAGGCGGCATCTTCAGTCGGGGGAAATTCGTGCCCCCGCCCTCACAATCCGCACCCAGGTACACCATAAACGTACTCAGGCGGTCTCCACCGCGCGCGAGCGTCCCCGCCCAATCGTAGTGGTGCTGGTAGTGGCCTGAGGCGTTGTAGCGCTGTGCCCACATGCGCTCGATATGTAGATGGGGGCGCCAGCCCTGGAAGGCGCGCGCGCGGTCTTCGAGACAGCGGACTGTGTCGTCGCGGTCGAGGAGGGCGCGGTCTGAGAGGCGTTTGGTCGGGTCGACTTGTTCGGTTTGGCCGTCGTAGACGATTGAAGGGGTGTATTTGTTGAGGCTAGGATGAGTGATGGTATTAGTAGCTGATTAATTTCGGTTTTTATTATTTCTTTGCCCCCCTCCTCTATGCCCCTTTGCACGATGCCTTGAAAAGTGGAGGAGTATGGGTAGGGTTCGTGTATATGTAGGCTCACCTGATATCAACTAGGTGATCTGCTTCCTCGTCACCAAGGAAGTTCTCTAGGTATAGAATGAGTGGTGCGCGTGAAAGCAAATGCACTTTATATCCAGCAGGCTCGCCGGGGCATGTTTCTGGTACACCATCGTCCGGACTGATGAAACTGTCGTCTCTGAGTTCTGGTGCTGGACTTGAGTCTGGGCCAGTCCAGTAGTCGAATATGTTCTCGGTGTCGGAGGAGTGGGTCGTGGTGGTGGTGCGAGAGCCGAAGAAGGTTTGCAGGAGGGGAGAGAGGATGAAGATATAGACTGGGATGAAATATAGAGCCCATGTAACCAGGGTGGAAAGTTTCGGGAGGGATGACATTCTGAATAGATAGGAAATTGGATATTGTATGATATGAGAGGTAGATTGTTCGGGTCTCTTGAAGAGCTCATGCGATGCGACCGGTAGAGGATTTGCGGAATGTTTTGGTTGAAATGTTGGGTGTTTGGCGGTCGATATTCTCAATTGCTATCAATGCTGTGGTATGAACGTCCCAATTAATGGGTTGTTGTTAGGCATAGCCATGTTTAAATGGGGGGAAAGTTGTCTTGGAGGATGGGGTGATTCGGGCGTGCGAGGATCACTCAAGTGGGTCTGAAGCTCATCCAGGCTAAACCCGTTCCAGGCTATGACATCTGGAAGATCAATGTCATCTAGTAGGTGTCACACGTAGTGCTTAACTTCTAGAAATAAATCTCATGTTGTTTAATCCATGAAAACATTACTAATCATTTATGGCGATCGCTAGATCAATCTCCTAAATAGTGCTGTATATCACAAACTAACCTGTTACAAAAAGAAAAAGCAGGCCCATAACTACTACGTAACGCCAACCAGGTATAAACATATTTTTCTTTTTTGCTTTCTTCGTAAGTGCATTTCGTCGTAGATTCACAGGTTGTCAGGTTACATGCCGGCATTCATCCACTGGTTCCACTCATCGTTGGATGCGCCGTTACCAGGGCGGCAGTTGGTGTTATTCCCAAACAGGTCATCGAATGAGATGCCCAGATCCATGTTCATACCCATGTTATTCTCGTCAAGGCCCATGGTAAAGTCTGGAAGTCCATTGGAAACCGGTTCTTGCTGCATAGGCTGCTGCTCAGAAGCTAGATTGCCGTTTGTCGGTTGGAAGTTGTAACCTTGCCAGACAAAGTTCTGATTAGGGATGGAGACCAGGTCAGGGCTACTTAGAGCTTCGGTCGGGGTATGACTTTGGGAAATTGGGGACTGAATTCGAGGCGAGTTCAATGATTGTGGAGGGGCGTGGAGACGACTGGGCACTGAGGATTTGAAACCGGATGTTGCCCCAAAGCCGGGAAGCGTCGAGAAGTCAAATCCGGGAGTGCTGATACTCGGGTCGCTTGGTGAATTCGCCATTCCTGACTGTGAAGCAGAGTCGAATGGGAATTGAGCGGAAGCCATGCCGGAGCGGTCATGGCGGAAGTGATCGTCTTCCAGGGTAGACATAGGCTGAGTAGGATACGCGAACGGATCGTCAGAGGGAAACATGATGGGCATGAGATCGGGAAGGTTGTTTGGATTGGTAGACTGCTGAGACCACACAAAGCTTGACGGTTCCTGGTTGGCAAGGGTAGCGTTTAAAGAGCTAGAGGCCATGGGTTCCGGGGTGGCCATGCTTTCTGTCAATAGCTCAGGTGTCGAGGCCAGCCACGCCGAGTGCGAGCCGTTATCAACGGGGCGGTTGTTCATAGCTTTGGGGTTATCCATACTCTTTTGTCGACGAGTAGAAGGGTCCGGAATCTGAGAATGTTGCATCAACTGGGTGGGGAAGGTGCTTGAGCGATGAGGCAAGGTGGTTTGGTCTGAGGGAAGCTTGATAGGTTCTGGCTCCATGGAAACGCTGGATGGAGCGGGTCGCTTCAAATTCACTAGAGGTTTCGAGCCCTGGCGATTCTTCAACATTTCGGGCAATGTCTTGAACAAACACTGCAATATTGATTAGTAAGGGGGGAGGGGAACACCGAATGAATAGGGTCACACTTACATTCAAGCTCTGAGAGCACCGGTCTGCTGCCATGCTTTTCTTAGCTAGCCCGGCCAAGGTGGTTTTGCCTTCCATGGCATCCTTGAGAACGCCATCCTTAGCGGTGGGAGAATCAGGATTTTCAACCACGAAGAAAATCAAAGAAAGAATGGCGAAATAGGTTGTGTACATGGTGAACCAGAATGATCCATTCAGGAGACCCCTCTTGTGCATTCCAGTGGTGATGTGAACAATATTTCGAGACACACTGACGCAAGCCGCAGCACAGGCGTAAGAACGCTTATCGACGCCCCGAGCTTGGGACCCACCCGATACATAGTGTAAGAATGGACGATACATGACCATCTGTACGTGTGCATAGCTGATTCGGAGCAGCTGACGAATCCTATAGAGCTTATCAGCCAAATTTATCCTGGAATGCGGTCATGCTGATGTGCGTTGGGCAGGTGCTTACCTTTCAAGTTGTGGAGACACTTCTGTACCGGGGCGGAGAGCTGGTGGTAGTTCCTCCATCCAATTTTGAAGATCGCGCTCAATTTCTCGGATTTTGGAATGGCTGACCATGTATCGCTGATCAAACTTGGAGCGATATTTCGCATTCTTCACCGGGTAAATATACTTGACCACCTTCAAAATAATGTTGGAAAGGCGAGTATGCGCATTTGGACCAGCCATCAGAGGAGTGTAGTCCGTGGGCATTTGAATGATCCCTTCCGCAGTAATGAATTCTCCATCAACTTCCAAGGGGTGTTCTTGGTCAATATCATCGTCACTGAGCATCTGTGGCAGACCAAGAAGTGTGCTGACATAGACATCCATCTTGCGTACCACCCAAAATATGCGCTTGCGGAGCTCTCGCTCAATCGGGTTGAAGTCCGCAATCACGTTACGGTGCAGACCCAATCGCAGTGCTGAGCGGAGCGCAATACCCACATAAGAATAACACGTACTAAGCTTGGCAGAGGATTGAAGGAAGAGAACCATGAAGCAAATCGCTTGTAAAGAGGTCAGATCTCGGCAATCTGTAACCTCCAAAAGCTGTCTTCCAGCTTTGAAGAATTGAAATCTTGAAAAAAAAACATTAGTTATTGTTTGTTCTTAAGAAGGAAAGCAGGCTTAATTGAGAAACTTACCCTTGGCCGATGGCTCCCTCGTAACCAGCTAGGTCGAGGGTACCTACTCCGTCATCTGAAAACAAGCATCCCACTGCCATTACAATAAATAGCAGCGGTAGAAAAGAGTTCTCCTCATTGGTATATTGATCAGGGGATTTATCGTAAATGCGCTCGAGGCTGGCGAAGAAAGATGGCTCATGAATGAAGCGCATCAAGCTACAAGCGTCATCTAGCGCATTGTGACACAAGCGTCGTGCAACGACCCGAGACGGCAGATCGTGTGTGGGGGGAAAAGGCGAATCTTGTGGGGAATCCGAGACTGATTTGGGGCTCTCGAGGGTTTGTGTAAGTCCGCCCGGTCGTGTTATAGGCAACTCGGTAGCACCCAGTTGTTTACGCAGACGGCGCATAAAGATGATGCCGGAGGTATGGCCATGGTAATCCCAGTGGCCCTGGTCATCGCGATCTAGACAGCCAGAGTTATCGACCATAGTTTCGAGCAATGACTCATCCCCGCCCTCAGGGGTTGGCTCGACCGGTGCCGCGGGGGGTTTTGGCGCGAGGGCCTCGGTCGGCGTGTGCTTCTCCTTCAGCGCGGTGACGAGTCGCTGCTCGGTGGCTCGTACGTCCAGTTCCGGATCATCGAGGTTAATATCCGGGAGGATTGATCGGAGGAGGGCCTCCGCCTTGTGCATGCGTACTTCGAGAGCTTCCACATATTGCGGGGCCGGGTTGCGACGACGGTTAGAGGGCTGGTCATACGTGCAGTCTGTGGAATGTCAGCCACGTGAAGGAGACTGGGATGAGAGAAGCAGAAAAGAACCAAGAAAAGAAAAAAAAGAAAGCAAAAAAAAAAAACGAAATGGGATTTCAGTGGTTCGCACCATAACTATAGACCGTACAGTGTGTACAGGGTTGTTTCCCGTCACACTTGATCTTTTTTCTACGGCATTCATCACAAGCGCGACCAACTCGTCGCCTCTTTTGCATGGGCAAGGACTGGTTGGTTTTGGGGTCTGCGGGGGAGGTCTCATGCGGCGAGAAGTCCTCTTCGTGCGAATAGGCATCCATGATGGAGGGATCATCCTCATTCTCGCCAGAATAAGGACCTGTCATGGTGGCCATAGCAGTGTAGGAAGTGGGAGAGACTGTGCTTCATGTAAGGAGAGCTTGGCGGGCGATCTAATTCAACAAGTTCTCGATCGCCCTCCTTGCCGGAACATTTGACAAGAAGAATAGATAAAAAAAGAAAGGGAAACAAAAAAAGAAAAAAGAAAATTATTAAAGGTGCTTGGAGCGACGAATGATAGGTAGAGTTAGAGACGGGATGTACGAAGATCGTCCAAGAGGATCGAAAGGCTGCGGCGATGATGAAATGATTAATTGGAAACCGAAAGCGGTGTAAAGTGGAGAGGAAACTTGGGTGGAATATTCTTTTATTCTTTTAAAGCTTGGCCTTTTTTTAATTCCTTTTTTTTCCCTTTGAACCTCTACAGGAGTTGTACTACAACTTGGAAAGGATTTACAGGTTACTTTGCCTCGGTGTCCAAGTACCCACTTGGACAAAGCAAGTTCAAACGTTGGGCTCTTTAGTACCTGTGACGGAGGTTCAAGGTCTTTCGGACATCCGGTGTTCGCGACGCCGACAAGCCCGATAAGCGGGGGTGCTTTTCTCAGGGTTTCTTTGGTGGTTGAGGCATTTTCGTATCGGCTTCCACTCCGATGATAGAATTTTCCCGGATTCTCCACTGTGGTTCTCGACTCGGCTGGCGTCGGTTTATAAGCTTCGGTGGGCCTTCCTATATGCCGAATGGGATCAAGTCAAGTTGCCTAGGTACGGAGTCGAGAGTTTGGGAATCTGCCGATTATTCCGTCGGAATCTCCAAATATTTGAACTATTGAAGCATCTAATCGGTAGTACTCTCAATGTTTAAAGAATGGGGTATATATACCTATAAAGTACATATTAATGTCCGCATGTACTCCACCGATCTATTTAAAATTCAACCTGTCAGGTAACATTCAAATATCGAAAGGGGAAAAAAATAAATGCAGAGACTTCGGCGCATTCGGTCAATGGCCTGCGGGTTTTTATCGCCGAGGTCAATCACCGATATATGACTCCCAAGTTTTTAGTAATTTGTGAACATTTCCAAGGTTGATGTGCACATGTGTACTTTATGGAGCCAACTTTGCACAGCCTGCTTTTCCATGGGAATATACTAGTTTGAGTATGGAGTAGTAACATGCCAAGGAACCTTCAATGTTGGATGCACATGACTACTATGCGCATAAATTTATGCTGCCAAGATTGGTGATTGATTAGATAATGATTTTATGGTTATAACTTATGGGTCACTTGATCCTCTATCAGGTGATTACTCTATCACTAATCACCAAGTAGTTGCCTCGGCACTGCACGATATTGATTTATTGCTGTATTTCAATGCAGATGATCTGTCCATTGGTGATGTTGGCCACTTTTTTCCTTAGCTTGATCCTTGATATCTCATCGTCATGAAGGGATCAACCATGCAAAGGAGACCATGACAAAACCCTGTGACGCGACAAGGAATGCCTGAGCCCTGAGGATTACGAGAGAGAAAAAAAAGGGAGATAACAAGGAAGTTATTGATGAAGAAAAAGCTGAAATATACTGGATTCTTAGTGGGTACCACTGCAGAGTAGAAAAGTATAGTTTAGTAGTGAGACCAAACCATGGTTCTCCATCAAGTCTCGAACGATTTGCGATCGACGGGAAAAAAAAAGAACCAAAAACTCAGTTCTAGAATTTAAGCTTGTCAGCCCTGCAGGGGACAACCCGCGTTCAATTTCATCTCCTTATTTGACAATCGTTTCAAACTTGTTCTTAACAGGATTAAAACTGATCTCCCTCACATCCTGCATGGCATTCCAAGCTTTTCCAAGGCTCAATTGATGATAACTCTTTGGTGGTTTCGCGATCGATTACCCCCTTCGGCACGTCCCAGTGGTCCCACTATCCCCAGTGTGGATCGCCACATTCTGCGACGCGACCCCCAAATCTGAGCCGATCCAACTCTTATACGCTTCCTGTCCACTCCGCTGCCTGTCACAATCCGTTTCAAAGTCAGACAATGGCAGCTGCGCTGCTTTAAAACCATGGCTTACGTGCTAGTCACTCTCTGTTGCGCTTTTGTTGCTCTGGGCTCATTCTTATTCGGCTATGACTCCGGTATCATCTCGTCCAGCATAGCGCAAAATGCTTTCTTGAACAAATTCGGATCCCCCGCTCTGTCAGATGCGGCGAGCGGCGGGATTATCTCCTCGTACACAGGTATAGTCCCTGAAACCGGTCTAGAACCAAACCGAAAACGAGAACTAGAGCATCCGATCTCTAATCTGCAAATTTTTTCTTCTCTTTTTAGGAGGGGCAATCGTGGGGTCTTTGTTAGCACCCTACATATCTGATTTCAGCGGCCGGAGGATGGTCATCTTCATTGGAGGACTGCTTGCTACCCTCGGTGCTGCACTTCAGGGAGGTGCTGTCACTATTGCGATGCTAATCGCTGGTCGATTCATCGCGGGCTTGGCAATCGGTCTCATGTCCGCCACAATCCCCGTATATTGCGTATGTTGACTCTACTCAGCCGCACTGTCAGCTTCAACAGCTTTAACTAATTTTGTTTTCAGAGCGAAGTTGCACCGCCTCAGATCCGTGGTATGCTGGCAAGCATGCAGCAATGGATGATCGGCCTGGGAATCATGGTAGCTGTAAGTAGCTTAGCTTCCGTTTGCTCGCAGGGGTGTCTGATCCTTGTCTAATACATTCCAGCAATGGGTGGGGTACGGATGTTCCCGCTATCCCGACGACTTCGCCTGGAGATTTCCTCTATCCCTACAAACAGCACCAGCCATCATTCTCACGTGTGGAGTATGGTTTCTCCCCGAATCGCCTCGCTGGCTCATCGAACACGGCAAAGAAGCCGCCGGGCGGTCGGTACTGACTCGTCTGCACCTAAACTTCAACGCAACCAACAACCAGCTGGTTGAACACGAGCTGGCCCAGATTCGCGAGAGTCTCGCTTACGAGAACACATCTGCCGTCCGCTCCTGGCGCCAACTCTTACTCTCCCCACAATGGCGATATAGGATTCTCCTAGCCTGTGGCTTACAGGCTTTCACGCAAATATCTGGCGCAAATGTTATCCAGTATTACGGACCTCGTCTATACAAGTCTTTGGGTCTTTCAACCTCGAATTCACTCATGATCATCGGCGTCTGGGGTGCGCTGGCGCAGTTCTGGAACACGGTCTTCATGTTCTTCATCGATAAAGTGGGTCGACGAAAGCTGCTCATTCCATCATTATTGGGCATGGGTGCAGCCATGTGCGCCGAGGCTACGCTTGCACGATATGTCGACTTCAACGACAGTAACGCCAACCCGAACGCGCTCCGTGCTGCGATCGCCATGTTCTTTGTCTTCTCTCTGTTCTATACGTCCCTTGGCATGATATCATGGATTTATCCGTCTGAGATTTTCCCTACGGCCATTCGAGCTCGGGGGTCCTCTATATCTACTGCGACAAACTGGTGTCTGAACCTGATCTTTGCGCAGTGCTCTCCCATTGCGCTCACGAAGCTTGGTTCAAACTACTTTTACTGCTTTGTTGCTTTCAATTGGATGGCCATGCTTCTTGTTTGGCTTTTCTATCCAGAAACCGTGGGTCGGTCTCTGGAGGAGGTGGAAGATGTTTTCATAAAGAAGAACTATGTTGCGGAGCCGGAAGTTCTTCCTACCGCACCCAGTCCGGAGGATCTACGACGAGACTCACATATCAAGCACAAGGGAATGGATCCCTTGTCCATGCATCCAACAAATAGTAGCTGGGGTAGTCGCGGCAACACATCGCCGCAGCTATGGTGTAAGAAGATGGATGAAGTATAAGATTGCATATATGTACAACCAATTAACGATTTCTGTTTGACCAACTTCAAATGCTTTACCATGGCATCTAGAAGATTGCCATTTATACACTTCTATTCATTTCATCTACTACCACGGAATTCCGAAATCTCTAATGACCTGAAATCACATCCCGCATTATATCGCCAATTGCGTCTGCGCCACCGCCTCCGCCTAGGAGCTTCTCATTCGTGGTTTGAATGATAACCCGGCGGTAGCTAATAAGAGCAGGGGACCCGTTATCCATCACTTCAAGAATCAGATGTAATACCTGACCCTTTGGCACGGCCACACGACTGATAAGCTCCACACAGCACTTATCGGGCGGCGGGATCTTGACATCCACAATGCTACCGATCTCATTGACCGGCTCAATCTCCAACAACCCAACCTCATAATGAACAGACCATTGCGTCGCACTTGGATCGCGATACTGATACCACTTGAACGTAATACGATCGTCAGGATCAGGATCATATGACGCAGATGCATCGAACCGAAACGTCGAACCAGCCTCCAGCTCAAAATCCAGCGGCTCCAGACCCTGACTCCCATTCAAAACAACAACAGGATGGTGATTAGCCTTGCTCAGATCAGACGAAAGCGACCACTGCATACGCGCCGCGAAATCCATCTGAAAAGCATCGCGCCATCGCCAAATAGTTGCATGATTCGATTTATGCGTCTGTCCATCACACCCAACAACTTCATCCGAAGTATCACTAAAATGACCATTGGCCACGCCGTCCGTACCAACCCCACATGTAGTCGCAATATACCGACCGCCCCAAGATCCATATTCCGGCCGCTCAGGCACACCCAATCCATTCTGGATAAGATACAGAAACGTCGGCGTATCGCCCTCGGGAATAAACATATAATCCGGATACGCTCCGCCCAGGGGCCCGATCTGGATATTCTCCTTGATCCACGTCTTGCTGATCTTGCTGGGATCCGGCCCGCCCTTGTCAAAGCCGTACCATGCGTCGCCGGAGATCCCGCACCAGGCTGCCATGCCGTACTGGTTCCAGCCGTGCACGGAGCAGATATAGAAAAGATCCGGGTACTTTGTTCTCATCCAGGCGCCTGTGTCGTCTTGGTCGGAGATGGCGTACACGCGCAGCTTGGAGCGCAGCTTTAGGGCTTCGGCGGCTGAATGCGTGTTTTGGATTCTGAGGAGGACGGAGGCGAGCACGTTTGTTCCGCCCCAGCAAAGGATCCAGAGGGGCTGTTCGTCTGTTGGTGTGAGGATACGTTGTAGAAGAAGCTCGGCGCCTTCGCTGAGGGGTATGTCGTCTCCGACTGCTGTCATGCCATAGGTCTAAGAATGGTACATGAATAAACGTCAGGAGTCAATTCTAACGCGCGGGAGGACAATCTTGTATATGTACCTCTGCACCCTTCTTGATCAAAGATCGCATATAATCAGCTGTCGGGTATGGATCCTTTGGATTCGCATGGGCGTTGAGGTTGTCGACCACTTTCTCATAGCCATCGACAATCTTATGCATATCCTGTGGACAAACCTTGTTCTTCATCCATGTCGACGTACAAGCGACCAGCCCTTCAGTCTGAAACTGGTTTGAATAAAGCAAGTAGCGAACCAACGACTCCGCATCATCCGGCTCATTGGAAATGTCACTCAAAATAAACACACGTGGTTTCGAGGGGAAAGTCTGGAGCTGGAGTTGATCGGGAGACGCCATGGTGATTTACGGCTTCCAAGCTTGAGGTTTGATCCAAGCAAACTTAAGAAGGGAGAACAAAGAGGAGGGGAAATCGTCAAGCGATAACCATGAGGATAACAAGCCATATTTGAACTTATTGGAGCATGCAAGCAGCACATTCCCAAAACCGCAACTCGAGCCCCGCAGCCCCGGATTGATGAAGCGGGGGGTCGGTCGAGCCGGGGTTTAGCCGATGCACTCCTCGAAAGTGGTAACTTTAACCGCCGGGGTAAAGATTAACTAGTCGATTCAAATGTTGCCGTCCTAGATCGGGATCCACTTTGTTTTAGAATTGGGCCCTGTCATATTGAAAGAAGTGCTGGGGTAGGCTGTGACCATGTGTTTGAGATGTGGGCCCGGTGTCCGAGAATGAACCTCAAGTGCTTTCTTGAAACTCATTCCAAATTTTAGGCAATCCAACTCACATTTTCAAACTTTAGGTACACCTTTCATGTTACTCGTCTCGAATATAACACCTATTGGAGAGGGTCTCATGACAACCTGGAAGGTCGATACCAGCTTCTCTCACTGGGTCGGATACCAGGCTCAAGTGCTCTAATAGGCCTGACTCCTGACATCAGCATGGGCCAGCACTTCAACAGCCCCAAGTGGCAATCTAGGCCGTGTTATTTCAAGCCGATACTCCGGCAGGAGCTTCAAACGATGATTGTGCTCTTCCTTTGAAACATTGGGTGGTGCCGCATTCATAACAGTCGGTCAAAATATATTGCAGAACCGTGCGGCTCATGAACATTAGAGGTTGACCTCGAAGCGACATTTCCAACCGTAAGATCCTTCGATGCCCCGCAGATTTCTACAGTGGGTACAGCCTCGCTACGATCTATGATACCCATAAAGGACCTCCATAAGGTGCTTGTCGCCTACAATAACGCGTTAACTCATCTCTTTTCGGTAGCGACGGTCATGTCAGCCCTCACTACATATCATTGGAAGTTTGTGCGTGAAGTGAAAGGGTATTAAGTCGAAGAAGCAATAACAAGTTTGAGGTACTTGTGGTATAAGAAAGACTGGAGGAGTAATAATTGGCCTAAATTACTTGGCAGATCCATGGTGAAGGGTAGTTCTAGAAAGGTCTCATGTTAGTGTGGCCTCAGGATTTATAGAGGATATGCGCGATTTTTAAAGTTGAGCCCATTGTTTGTGTTTGCTTTTTCAAGAACGTTTGCTGTATAAACAAATGTATGTATTCTAGAAGATCTAAAAGGCTAAATTTACTGAGACTTTCAGTTTATATAGGCCATGCGCGATTTAAAGTTGAGCATATTTTCAGTCTGGGGAGTGGTGCCAAAAGAAGGTATCTTCTAAACAAAATCTAGAACAATTCCCAGGTTGAAAATGTGCTCAACTTTAAATCGCGCACAGCCTCTACAAATCAAAATACCATGTTAAAATTAGACACTAGTAGTATTCTAGAAGCTTTCTAGATTCTGTCTAGAATACACTTTCCTTTGGGATACAAGTGGGGCGCGAGTGGCATAGATTATGGGGTTTAAATTGATAGAAACACAGGTCACTCTCTTAGATATCCAGTTGAAATTTATGCTCAAGATCTCACAATTTACGAGGACAATGCTCCTTTTCAATCTTCAAGCATTTGCTTTCCCCCTCGAGTCTTCATCAACCCCCACTGCTCAAGCCACATATCCAACCAGTGCTCACTAACCGACCCAAGGCTCACCAAACGGGGCAACTGTTGTTCAGTTTTTCTCGTATCCAATATGAGCGGATTCAGATAACTGCTATCGGCGAGCCCCTGGAAAAAGCCAAGGAGGCCAATACCAGAACTTTGCGACCGGATCCCTGAACTTCCAAGCGCCAGGTCCGTTAAGAGCGACACCCATTCTTGCAGAGACACCACTTTGAGAGCATCCGGCCGCCCAAGCCGCCCCGCCAAGAATTGCACCATATCAGAGTACTGCGTACGGTGAGGGTTCACAAGATGGTAGTATTTTGTCAAAAAACCATCAGTGCCGGCGTGACCGTGTCCAGAATGGTCTACACACCGAGACGCGTCCAGATCCAAATTGCAAACGAGGTCTGAAAGGATTTCGCCTACAAAGTCGACGGGGAGCCAATCTATTTCGTTCGCAAAGCCAAGCGTATCCGGTAGACAACCGATGTCAATGGAGCTGGTGAGAAGAGTCGGAAACCAGTCGCGCAATGGCCAAGCGCGAGTATGGTCAAGCTCTGGCTTTTGGTGCTGGCTATGCTTCCGTTTCTGGAGATATTGTATAGGACCGGCAACTTGTCCGAGGCGACAGATTGAGGATCTGATCCCGACCGATTGGCCGACTTTGTCAAGGAGGAGGCTGGCGATTAATTTACTTGCCCCGTAGCCCGTTCCGGCAATTGATGGAGATGTCAATCTTTCTTCTGGGACTGCGTTGGGTTGGTCCCAATTTCTGACTGTGCCGACCGAGGAAAGAAATATGAAATGGATTGCATGTTTGGCGGCATGGGTGAAATGAATCAGGCTTGACACGCCTTTGATGTTTGGCTCGAAATAATCGAGAGGCCGATTGAAGTCTACTGCCCATTGGCAATGAAGAATGTCCGTGACGCTGTCTAGGAGCTCGGAGTAGACATCTGCGGAAAGACCAAAGTCTGGCTGTGTTAGATCTGCCTGTAGATGTTTAAACTTGACAGTCGGTTCATAGTTGGGGAATTGCTGGATCCAAGCGTTGGTCTGATCGCCTCCACTCCTGTTTAAACAGGTTACCCGTTTTATCTCCTTTCTCTGAAGAAGAGCATATAGTGTGTAAGATCCGACGAAACCCGTGCTTCCAGTAAGAAGAACGTGTCTGCCATTACTATTGGAAGCGGCAGCCTTAGTGCTCATAGGAGTGGTTGGTATATCCTCGAGATATCTATAAAATTAGCATATCGATGCCTCTGATTTGCCAAGAATGGCGGGTTACCTTGTCAGAATTTGATCAAATCCGTTTTCTTCTCCTGGTCCATCTTCAAGCGATTCGAGATCTCGAAAAATAAAGCTCGCTAGCATGGCAGGTGTTGGGTTTTGGTAGATGGCGTTGATGTTGATAGTCAGTTTATCTTCGCTGGCACGACATCCCCGATCTCCAAGCGCTCTTTCCAAAGAAATGGCGAGAATTTGGGCTTTTTTGGAGTCCAATCCAGCTGCAAAAACATCCATATGAGCCATCAATGCTGTTGAGCTCAATAAACTCTTCCCAATAAAAGTAGCCAGGCTGGCTGCAAGAGCCTTTTCATCAGATAAATCTAGGCACAGGGGTTCCCAGTCGGACGACTCGGAAATATCCACTGAATGGTATATCTTATCGATATCAGACTCATACAGTTGCAGTGTTTGGTTCCGGTGAACCGTGCCTTTTGGGGTCCGAACAAAAGGCTTGTCTGTCGGAGCAAAGATGATCATCTTCTCGTGGATTTCAGAGTCGCGGGAATTCTGCGAATTCTCGATCTTCAAAGCATCTTTGATGGATCTTTGAAGATCATCAGGGACTGTATCTAAAGATATTCCAATTTGTGTTCCATCATCCATCTCTACCAGCAGCCCTGGATATAGTCTGTTACCTCCGAACACCAAAGCTGCTTTCACTCCTGGAATGCCATTCAAACGACTTTCGACAGGCATAGGGTTCATTTTTTCTCCAGTGGAAAAGACAACGAGATCGTCTATCCTGTACCTATATTCCCATAGTTCATCGATTGATGGATGCTTCCGAAACACATCCTTGGTAGACCATTCCTCGACATCAGGAAAGTTGTGAAACACAGCTTGATATTGTTCGTAAGACATATCGCGACGGATCACAAGCTCAAAGTCGGTAGGTTCTTCATTGGAGCCAGTCAAAACAGGCCGCCAATATATGCCATTGCAGGGGTGGAAATGATAATAGTGCCAATTTGAGGGATCAGTCGGATACTGGACAAAGGACCAGCACTCTGTGCTACCAATGGCATTAAAAAGTCGACACTTTGTCAAGACTGTATCCCCTGATTTCAGACTTATCGAGCCTAGGATAGAACTCTTGTCAATAAACCGAGCACACAAAATCAACGTCGAAGCCTCTCACCTACCTCCTCCAGAAAAGATCCAATCAAGCTTAGATATACCGTCCAAGATCTCCGCGTCCTTTGCGATATCATCAATCAACGAAGGCGGCAAAAGGGCACCATCTAAATCAGGTACCTGCAGCGCATCGCGAAGAACCGAAGTATTTGGTGGTTGGTGCGGATACCCAAAAAGAACAGTAGAGCCTGAGAAGAGAAAATAACAAGCCATGCCAAAACCTGCCGCATGGAACAATGGAAATGCAACATATACTGTCCTTGCTTCCGCCATTATTTCAAAATGGCACTTCATACCACAGGGTTCGTTCTTTGACAAGAAACGCGAAGAATCCGCTGCTGCAACTGCATGATGGGACATTGACACAGGTTTAGGCATACCAGTCGAGCCGGACGTGTGCAATACCTTTTTGAAATTAGCAAATTAGTAAATTGCAGGGACTAATTCTGTCCGGGGTGCTCACGAGCATAGGGCTCGAAATGAGAGTGTCCCATGATCCCTCGAATGGATAATTTTCCACAGCATCTAGATCTTGAATCAGATCAAGAAGATCATCAATCATAAGGGTATCGATCTTCATTGTCTGTGAGATCTCATCTTTGATGCCATCAAAGGAACAATCAAACAACAGAAGCGTTGAGTCACAATTCCCGAGAAGATGCTTGCAGATTGCGGGACTACTGCGAGGTGATATCAGAAGAGCCTAGATGTTGATTAGACCTCGATATCAATTTGAACTCAAGTGCCATCTAATAGGTAGCACAGTACGCACCTTTGTGCCCAACTTTGTTGCTGCCAATGAAATCAACAGATCTCTCAAATCGCTCGGGCCCAAGTAACTATCAAGAACTTGAATTAGGTCCATAGGACTTAAATTCATCTGGAGGTGAGATCATACGCAATAACAGAGGAATCGTTGATCTCAACGCCGTGGCCATGGATGCTCCAGCATATTTTGTCAACCAAGGCGGCAATATCACGATAGCTCAGGATCACCTGTTGACCTTCAGATTGATCATTTGGTGGAGCTAGAAGTTGATGGATAGCTGGTTTATGTGGGTCTCGGATCGCTAGATCACTAATGTAATGAAGCAGAGTTCGACGCCCAGCAGACTGGTTACCATAATGGGTGTATTCTGTTCCTGGAATATTGGCTGTAGCCATAACTGCAGCTGGAATCAAAATAAAATGAGCCAAGGGGCCTGGGGCCTGGGGTATGTTCTAATCACTGAAGATATTGATTAGTATGCTTATGTGCAAATGTTTACGGTCGGCAGAGGGGTAGCACTTGAGTATTTTAAAAGCCAGAGTCATGTGAGAACTCATGCAGTGAGCAGCACTTGAGTGTTCATGCATAGTATAGATGAGCCCAAAAATTAAAACCCTTGGAAAGCGCAAGTCCCGATTAAAACCGGAGGATTAGTGCTTCCAAAGCACGAGAGAAAACCACATGTGCAGACTCCAGAACGGTATCCAGCCTGGACAACGCGAATGTTGGTATATTTGGAGTTGGGGGTATGTATGGGCCACCTTGCCATCAAACTCACAACATTGAATTTCATCTGTATGTTGAATTTTCCCATTGGAATGGGATTGCGAATTATATAGAATTGTATAATAGAACATATGATATGGAGTAATTACAACAACGATGGCATAATATAACTCGTCAAGGGGGCTTCCAAAATCTCCCGTCGTAAATCAGTTTCCCACATATATGTAGTAGGCTCTGACAGTTGCATTGTCAAACATGAAAAAAGAAAATCACTAATGCGATACCACGAGTCCGCACTTAACCGCTTGGCAATTTTTAACATTCGACCAGCAAACCAGGGCCGTGCAGAAGGGGATGGAGCATTGGGAGAATATTGCGAGAAATCTGGAGTGGTACCGTCAGGACCATTTCCACATTCCATCGTAGAGCCATCATTGCATGAGAGCAGTATTTGGAGGACTGCTTCGACAGAGCCGCTCATGCTAACCTCGCTTTCAACGATGGCCTGTTGCAGCGTTCTTAAAAAGTTCGCTGCATGGACAGGAGTGTACCGGTAGTCCCAGAATGCGGCATTCAGCATCACGAGTGCAGTTAACCGAGCAACCATTTGTTTTCGATCTCCTGAGGTTGTGAATCGAGAGCCAGGTGGCGCAGCTAGGATTTGGAAGAGATGAGAGGTCTCTGACACGGCCGTGTGTCGAGATATGTCACAAGTCTTTGGGTTGTCTTTTTGGTAGAAGGCAAGCTGCTCGCAGCGCCGGAGAAAATCGAGGAAGTATTCGCAATTAAGTCGAATTTCATCCATGGGGTGAGTTGAAACTTGGAGGGATTTTGAAGGATTTGGAGGAACATCAATACAGCCCCCCGAGGGTGGTGAATCGGACAGGGTAGATGATGTGGAAGATGGCGGAGAGGGTATAAAAGTGATGGTTTCGGAAGGCTGGGGTGGTGTAGGATCAGGAGGCGAGGTTGTGGTAGATGGAGAGTACTCAAATGAAAAGCTAGGGCCATGTGTTTCATATCCTGACAGAATGTAATCTTGCCAGTTGATTAACATCCCAAGGCGAGTATTGGCAAAGGCAGCGGGCCCGCCGCGGCTACGAATCATCTCCCGGGCAGCACGCATATGTACCCAACTAATCTCTTTGTGCCCTGGTCGCGGATCAAAGTCTTCTAGAGCAGCGGCACTCAGACAGGATACAATTGCGACGTCCGAATTGTCTCGCGGATAATTGGTCAAATGCTCGCGAAGCATGCTGAGCGAACGATCACGATGCACCAGGGCATCTGTCGATTCAGTCTCGTTGCGAACCCACGCCCAGGTATTTGCAGCGTGAACGAGGATGGTGTTTTGGAAAGCAACAGCGCCCTTCATCCCTTCCGGAACAAATACAGAAGTATACCAGTTGTGGGCCTTCGGTGACCGGAAATGGGTTCCATAAGAGCAAGCCGGCATATCGTTCACGTAGAAGTCGAAAAGCCTTTGACCGTCTTGATCGAGTTGTAAGGGAAGTGAGTTGAATGGGTCTGTCCTGGCAGCGCTCATAATAGTCCTCGGGGATTTCACGACCTCCCAAGGTGTTTCTAATCCTGAAGATCCCGGTGTGAAGTTACCGCCGAAGTCCGTTGTAGAGGAGAAGTCTGGTAGAAAGGGATTTCCTTGTGTCTCGGCCGTCGGGCTTCGAAAGGGAAGAGATAACGAGGCATCGTGAGAATGCGATGATATAGAGTTTCCCTGATGCCAGCCCCGCATGTGTTCGAGGCCGTTTGGTGAACTTTCTTCCCCATATAGAGGCTCAGATTCATTTGCAGATGCGCTTGAGGTCCCCTGGCTGTTGTTTCTGGCGGTCTTGGTAGGCTTGCGCTTCAATGGAGCTCGGTCTTTCTTAGGACGTCCACGTCTAGCCGGCGGACGAGGGATCTCTTCGTCGCTATCACTTTGACGGGGCCCACCCTTCTTCTGGCGCATATACTCTTGCATCACATGACGCTTCACCTGCGTCAGGTTGCTTCGACGGTTTTCCGTCGCATCGATAAATTGCCACCTTACATTAGATGTAGAGGTATCTGGCAAACTACCCGACTTCCCATCCCCTGTATCCGACATTGTGAAGTAAATGATGTTTCACTGAGAAGCCGGCAGATGCTTTGTGCGCGTGTATCGCGTTACTTCGGCTATAAGTGGGGGTAAAGGGGAGGGGGGAGTAGGAGGGACGACGGTTGATTGATTCAGCGCTGTTCTTTTTGGTGGGTTATATATTCCGTGACTGCAACTGCAAGCGAATGTATATTTCTGTCAGATAGAATTTTAGTGCATCAAAAGAGGAGGTCCCTGGGGCCAAAAGGTTTCAACGGCCGAAGGTCCAGACAGTCGGGATAGCACGGCGGGCGATCGAGAAGATAGGCAGAGGCGAGGGGTCCACCGGGCGCTGATGCATTGACCTCGAAAGGGACTGTTTTAACGAAGATTTGCTCAAGTGAACATCCAGGGCAAAGGGACTGTGGGTATAAGCTAGGACCCGAGAGGTGATGAACCGATATGCCGGATCCGACACGTGTGGTTCGAGTTGACTGCGTCAAATGTCTGGATCGCCGCCGGGAGAACAAATCAGCGGTCAGGAAATGCCCGGCATAAGGGCTTAAGAGATGGGGGGCGAGAATGCTTTGGGATTTAATGATTATTCCCTGAGCTTGACCCGTCTCCAAAGACTCTGCAATGATCCCTTTCCCGATCTGAGACGGATAAGATCAGTTGATGCGGCCCGTCACGAGAGATGACGATGATTGGTAGATTACTCATAAACTCGCACTCCTATCCCCATTTCCGGTTAGACGTGATCCGAGGGGCCACAATTTAAGACGCTCTCCACAAGCAACGGTGGGAATCCTTCTGCTTTACCGAGCGGACGAATTAGCTACTGACTCGTTAGTCCCTGGCGAGGCTCGTGCTCATGGTGAAATTGCTTAAGTTTGTTTCTTTTTTTGGGCAAAGGGTTTAGGCATGTAATGGGGGGGGGATTGATAAGACTCTTGACGTCAAAATCCCAGCAATTCGTTTAGTTGGTGGAGAAAAGGTTTTTGTGACCAGTCTCGCTTCGCTTCGTGTCGGAATATCTCCGGCTTTTTCTCTTGTATCCTCTTTTTCTGTCGATTTCTTCGATTTCTCAAATTTGAACACGGCAATTGTGGACCCAGAATCCCCAAATATCCCCAGAGGTTCAACCCGTTCGCATTTCCTTTTCCCGATGCCCTAGGAATCTACGATGATCATTGGTAGTTATCCATGGGACCGCCTCATGGCCTTTATTGTTTCCCGTGTTTTGGCACTATCGGTGCTCCATTATCCATATATAGACTGCAGATAACTTTGGAAAGCCCCCACATAACCCATCTGCGACATTATAACTTCCTTGGGTATTAATTAGAGTGATCGTCTCCCGAGTCTTCAAGGTGTGGCGGGTTAGGCGACCAACATGAGGGTCCTCCTCACTGAAATTATTGGATTCTACTTCTTCATTCGACAATGATCCCTGCTAGGGTTTTATCCAGGGGCAAATTGAATTGATGATCCCAATCTTCACGTGTGAACTGTCTGTTTTCAGGGGGTTTGACAATTCTACGTTTATTTCCTCTATGTATAGTACTAGTAACTAGTAGTAGATGTCTGATTGATTATGCATCCATGATCATAATTGCCGAGACCATATGACAATGTGGGCAAGTCCACCCTTCAAAGTGGTAAGACGCAGGGAATTCTTTGGTAGTTCCAAGTACTTTTGCCGATCGACAACCGTTGGTCTGATCCCCAGTTGCGATAACACGCTAAGAAACGGCCCCCAAACGCTCCACATGCAGGCTGACTTCATGGTTCATGATTCATGCTGCCCCTGCCCAGGTGCTATACGAAAATTTCAGTACATACGAGTATGTACTAAAGCACTTGAGCGAAAAAAAGCATAGATTAAGGATACGAGTCTCAGCCACAATTCATTGACTCCAGGGCTAGTCTCCAATGTCTGACCTTATTGCATCATTTCCACTCATATTCCTCTATTTTTACTCCGTATTAGTGCAAGCTTTTTACACGCTTTAAAAAAGCCCTGGATAATACTTAGTACTATATACAAACCTACACATAAGCCAAACAAGGATTTTTTCCTGAATGAGCACACCGGTTCCCAGGCCTCTTCAAACCTTGAATTTCCTGTATGATTGTAACCACCTAGGGGGTTTTCACATAGAAATCTTGACCCCCTGTACTAAATATGTGCGGTGAGGAGCTCGGTGGCCGGGGAATATCGGAGCCGTAGATTATTTGGATGGCTTCGTGATGACTGCAACTATATTGTAGGTTGTTGGGAATCGGATCCGACAGAGAGTTGGCTTGGTTTTGGGCACAAAGTATCGACTTGGGGGGTATCTGGCGGCGCCAGTGCAGGGACTAAGGGTGTAAAAAATTCCCTTTACAAGAATTCCAAGGACAGTTTGCCTATCATTTCAGAAAAGTTCTGAAGTCCCCCACCAAACAAACAAGGATTTGACAGATAAAGGTTTGGGCTACAAAGAAATCCAAGTGATGCGGTAAGTTCTGGCATTCAAAGGCGGTAAGGCCGCGCCCACACTGATCGCGTGTTAAACCTATTCACCGCCCTGAGATTCCGCCAAAACTCCGCGTCGCCGATCCGTGAATCCCCAAGATTCTCCCTGTGATAGCGCTAACATCTGTGACTCCGGTGAGGTTTCGCATGTTCGAAGCTCCTTTCCAGAATTCTTTTGATATTCACCACCCCTCTGGCAACCACCCACAACTCAAATTGGACCCCGGCTGTTCCCCTCCAAGCAAGCGGTGGAGCCCCGATTCTCGCGAAAGAAATCCCCCCGGCGACCCTGACCCAGTTAAAAGGGCCGCGTCATATATCTTGGTCGTCGCAAAAACGCGAAGGTTCTCCGGAGAGCTTTGGGAATTGTGTGATTCGAATGAAAATTCCATGATGCCTCCAATCGTCCTGTTTACATCTGTGTGAATCAAAACTCATCTCGCGCCCGCTCCCTGTGTTCCCGTTAAACCTTGACCCAGCCCGAGTCTCTTTAGATTTGGCGTTGCGTCTCTTATCTTCGCGTGATTTGATATACCACGGAAGCTCTCGAAATCCACTGAGCTCATATCTGTCACTGTTGTCATGACACCGGACGTGGAGCCCGCGGGCCGCGGAACCCATGTGAATGGGTTCGCCGATAGCGCAAAGACCCATCAAACGAGCAACAACCCATACGAAACCAATCCAGATCACATTCCACACGAGGATCCTTTTCTCGCCCTAAGCGCACAATATGGCCGATATGCCCCGCATCCCGACGATTTCACCCCTCACCACAAGGACTGGTATCAATCTGACCCCGACGCAAATACCTTCTGGGTAGAAGTTGTGGAGAAATACTGCACCCCGGAGCACTCCCTCAACACCTCGGGACCTAGAGAGGCATTCGCTGCAGGCAGCGTGATCATATGGGTTGACCGTGAGCCTGCGGGCGCAGCCTCAGAACGATTTTCATGTGTGAATGCCAATGAATTATCCGCCGCACGAAAAGTGGAGGAGTCGCTCAGGGAGGTTGGTGTTGCGGTTCCAGTAATTTATTACTGTGGCACAATCGAAGGACGCAATGTGACCGTGGAATCTAGAATTCCTGGGGTCTCACTCGAAGTCGCCGGGCGTTACCTCACTCCAAAACAAATCGCTGGCTTCAAGAACCAATGCCGCCAAATCTTACAAATCCTCGCCGCCATCGACCCCGCTCTGAACGAACCTTCTTACGTCTGTCGCGGACTCAACTCCCAGGAATCACCTTCCGGCCAAGAAAAGGAGCACACGATACTCTTCTCCGAGAAAACCTTGAAGGAGGAAATGTGCTTTACACACAACGATTTGGTGCCTGGGCATATAATTTTGAAGGACGACCGGGTCGTCGGTATTACTGGCTGGCGACAAAGCGGATATTTTGGCTTTGAGAGGGCCAAGAAAATACACCGGTTATTGAGGAACACCGGATTGCCCAAACCAAAAGGTGGAAAGGCTGCGACATGGTCAGATCTTTATAACAGTGATTATGACCCTAGTCAAGGTACACCGCTGGTTGCAAGTGAAGATATCCCCCTTCCATCTGTCAAAACCGAACCCACTGGGGATGATTTTGAAACCAAATCATTTGGGGGTGATGGAGCAAATGATTATCCAACCTCAAAAACACTTGCCAATCTTAGGAATGGAGTCAACTCCCGAGCATCATCATCTGATCGGTCCTCCCCAGCAAATTCGGTGAAGCCTTCAAACAAAAAGGCGCCTCTCAAGAAAAAGCCTGCTGCCAAGAAGCGCAAGGCCAATGACCCAGATACAGATAGCCTTGATGGGCGAAGATCTAACACTCCTGCATCCCGCACGGGCCAAATACCTGGCAAAAAGCAGGATTCTCTGTCAATCGCAGGATCGCCTGCACCTGAAAATAAGAAAAAGCCTAAAAGGCGTCCAAAAAGACAAGCTGATGCTGCGGCTGGAGACGACGAAGAATCGGATGAAAATGCCATTTTCTGTATCTGCCGACGGCCTGATAATCATACATGGATGATCGGTTGCGATGGTGGATGTGAAGATTGGTTCCATGGCAAGTGTGTTGATATCGAGTCTCGTGATTCTGAGTTGATCGACAAATACATCTGTAAGCTACTTCCTCCCACCGACCTTTCCGTCTTATATCTTGCTTCTAACCAGATGAAAACAGGTCCAAACTGCAGCCAGAATGGCAAGGGCTGCACAACATGGAAGCCAATGTGTCGTCTTCTGGAATGTCGAAAACCGGCTCGCGTTGGTCAGAGGAGCAAGTATTGCTCTGATGACCATGGCCATGAATTCATGCGTCGTCAAATTTGCAACCTTAAATTAGCGCCGGAGAGGAAAGGACAAGAGGATCTGGGAAGCATGGGTGGCATTCTCACACCCGGTGACCTCCGTGCCGCGATTATGGGGGTCACCTCCGTGGAGGAGTTCCGGAAACTGGGTGATAGGATCTTGCCGCTGTCACCAGAACCCATCAAGAAGGAGATGACCAACGGTGACCACAAAGAGGAGTCATCAAAGACTGTCGACGAAGACTTCAACATGGACGCACCCAATGCGGAATATTCGGCCGAGGAGGCAGCTAAGATCGAAAAAATCCGGATCCGACGGGACGAGCTCATCCACCGCAAAGAAATGATTGCTGCTCGCACCACATTCTTGAACCTGCTACGCCCGAGAGCGAAGGGCTTAGTTGAAAAGTTGAAGCAACTTGAGCCCAAAGGCGGATGGAAGGATATCTGTGGTTTTGACATGCGACTCTCGTGGTCTGACGAGGAATTCGATGACTGGAGACTGTCTGAAGCTGGCAAAGTTGCGCTTGTGGAGGGTACAGTTGAAGCCATGGCTTTCAGCTACCCCGACAATGACACACCCATGGACGGTACAGATGAAGACCAAGTCAGCTTCATTACCCGTGGGGTTTGCACAAAGAAACGTTGCGAGAGACACAAGCAATGGATGAAGGTGCAACAGCAAGATATGGTATTTGAAGAAGAAACGACAGACGCAGATCTTGCCAAGTATGCGACAGAAGCACGCTCTGTCGCTGAGAGGGCCGTTCTGAGGAGGTGGGCGGAGAAGGAAAATGTGCTCACGAATGGTAGGTAGTCGGAGATACCCATGGTTTCATTGATTTCCCAGCTCGCTGCGTGGAGCTGCCAGGACTTGACCAGCAAATCAAAAAATGGAACGTTTGATACCCCTTTTTTTTTCTTTTCTCAGCAGACAAAGCTCGCTCATGGATCGGAGTTGGTATTCTTTTCCAAAATCGGGAGTACTCGGCGGGGCTTTTCATTGAAGGCTCTTTTGCATTGAATCGTGGCGCTTCAGGGAGTGGAAATGACACATGTATGTCAATATTGTACGATTAGTAGTGGTTGTGCGATAGAGCAATCCGAACGAATTTCGAGGGAAATGACCCCAAAATTTAATTGAGATTGGCAGGTCGGATGCTCATCTCGGAGGTGACCATATTCCCCATTTCCCCAAACCCGTACCAGTGCGATCTTTAATGACCTCTGCCACACGCGCGTATTTCACATCGGAAAGTAAGATGTGCGTATCGATTCCCTGATCCAGCGTTCTCATCAGTAAAGTTGACAGCACCTGAGAGCCAGGCAGCTGGAAGATAGAATGAATCCCATCATGGTTAGATGGTCTTGTGTCATTTTCACCGCTGCCGATCATAGCAGCCCGTCCACTCGACGTATCTTGACCAGCGTCGAAAGGAGAAGACCCAAGTCCACTAGTATTGACAAGCAAGATAGAAAGCAAAGAGCCATGTGTGCGAGACATGCGCGTCAATGCCCGTAAGGTACTCGCAAGCACGGCCGATCCCCTAGCTGTATTAGAAGTCCGAATAATGCCCTCAGCCAACGTATCCAGGCCGACCACGACAAGGATGATAGCGGGGTAGATTGGACTTGCTGCCTGGTCCGACAGCTGTCGGTTTTCTTCGGCCTGCTGCAACAGTTCCGAGACCTGTTTGATGGCTTGGGCGGCATCTGGCAGATTTTGCACTGGATATAGTTGTACACAATCCAGCCTCTTCATGGCATCCTCTCTGGATAGAGGCGATGGGCCAGATTGCAGGCTGGTGAGTAAGGTCCTGGCAGCAAATGCATCGGAGAAACTGGGGTAGATTATGAAGGTGTTTGCTTCAGATGATGGGGGGTTCTTCCGCAGATATTCTGTGAGAAGATAGCGCGGAAGCTAATGATATCCCATTAGCTGGTGCAAATTCTGGAAAGACAAAGAAAAGAGGATTGTTTACCTGTCCGACATATTCGTCACTATCGCTGCTTCTGTTTCGTAGTCGTGAGAAACCAATGATCGTTCCGCTTCGGAAAACACCATCTTTAGATACTCCCAGGCCTGTAGTCCAGTCATCCTTGAGGTCCCAATCATTGGTCGTTGGTCCATGGATGGGTTGGTCGATCGTTGTGGGTCTTGGCTCACTGAGCAGGGAGTGGGCAAGGACCGGATGAGCGGGTTCCGCGGAATAAATGTTGCATGTCATGATCAGGCATCAGTAATTGTGTACAGTGTGCCTTTGGGAGCTGTTCATGTTAGAATTGTTCCAGGCATTCATAGATCAAATTGATCGGATCAGATGGTGAGAGTCGGTAGCTTTGGAGGTGGGGGGCAGCTTCAAGAGTAAGCTTGGAGACCCACCGCTTTTTACTGGAGCTTTCGGCTTCCCGCGATTCGCGATTCGCGAGTACGCGACCCACAGATCTATAGGGGAAACACAAATTCATTCAGATATTAACCTTGACATCAATTTTGAGTGGGAAGAAATCATTCTTATTTAGTAACTATCAAATGTAACAAAAAGCTTGATTATTGCGTATTGAGATTAACATTTGAAGATAATACGCATTCCACACCAAATCTTCGCGTGGCAATTCTTGATATGTCTCTGAGGCTCTTGCATACATTGATGGCTACTAGCTACATGGTAACTACTGTATGTAGGAGCCATCAAGGATTACTCAAACGCCAAGCTTTAACTAAATCTTGGCAAGGTTTCAAGGTTTCAAGATTGAAGACTTGACTGTCTATCGATTTACACAGTATCCATTGACCATAGATGTACGGCGAAAAGTCTCAAGGGAATGGAAAGAATACGAGGAGCCCAGGTGTTCAACGTAAGTCTTTGTCGCTTCTGACAAATTGGAAGAAAAATTACCCCTGGATCATTCAATGCCAGCACAAACAACGCTATACTCTTCGCTTGTACAAAAATAACCTCGAAAATGACGTCGAAAGCGGAGAACCCTTCGTTGCCACTGGCCAGTCTCTGGTTTCGAAGAAAGGAAAAGGACGCATTCCGCTCGGCAATACGGAATCACGGATACTGAATGGCAGAACCGTCAAGTTTGAAGACTTTTACAATGGGCATAGGACCACAAATATGACGTTGAAGGTGGAGATTCCACGCTGCTAGTCTTCGATTTCAAAGCATGGAATGGATGGCAATCCGTTGGCACTGAGCCTTACCGGGTTCCCGAAACGGAACTATCTCGGCATCCCGGTCGGACTATTATTATCGGGAACCAGGTACAACCGGCTTTGAGCATTGAGCACGGAGTAGGAATTCTTGAATCGAAATAAAACCGTGCCGAACAATTCCGATTGAATTTTTTTTCTTTTCTATTTATCTCTGGCGTTCCATCTGGTTGACCTAATCCATCTATCACTCGGGCTTTCGTCGAAAGTTTTGGACAAGATGGTCAATCAAGATGCGATTCGCGGTGATTCGATCCATGAGGCTGGAGTAGCTGAGCCTGCTCGTACTCAGCAAGCTTCATCCAGTCCAGGCTTGATGGGGAAGTAAGTTTGCCTTCCCATTCAACTATGCTTTGGTCATTGGATGTGGACTAACCCTCGTCTAGGATCAAGGGATTTTTCGGCTCGGATGTTCGAGAGGAAATGCCTGCATACAAGGATATCGAAATTCACACTTGGAATGGCCCTGATGACCCGGAGAACCCATTTAACTTCAGTTCCAAGTATAAATGGCTTCTGACCATTACAGTTTGCTTCGTGTAAGAACACTCGGACGATATCAAGGAAGGGCTTTCATAGTTGTACTGTTTTCTGACGCTTTATTCTTCAAAACAGGTCTATTTTGACAGGTCTTCCAGCGGGAACTTATGGATCTGGTGACGATTGGATGGAGAAAGAGTTTCATGTTCAAAACTCCCCATTCCCTAATCTCTACTGGGCCACAACTTCTTGGAATATGGGTGCTGCGTTCTGGCCACTGATCTTCGTTCCCCTGACGGAATCCTCTGGTCGTATGCCTGGGTACTTTGTGGCTTATATTATTCTGGTCATTTCATTGTTTCCTTCGGCCTTCGCGAAGAACTTCGCGACTCTGGTTGTTACAAGATTCTTTGGTGGTGGTGCTTCATCTGTTTCGATCAACATTGTGGGAGGAAGTATCAGTGACATTTGGTTTGGCGACAAGGCTCGTAGTCTACCCATGTCTATCTTTGGATTTACTAGCGTCGTGGGTATTGCACTCGGACCGTTCATCGGTTCTGTCATTGTACAGATTCCTAAGAGTGAACCCTGGCGGTGGTAAGTTTTGTCTTTTCCTCCATACCCTCATTTTGAAGCTCTTTCAGACTTTTTTTGCTAACGATGTGCTTCGATTCAGGATCTTTTATATTCAAATCATCTACAACGCGGCCCTTATCCCCGTCTTTTGGTTCATCCTACGTGAGACCCGACCAGATGTTATCCTCAAAACACGTGCTCGCAAGATTCGCAAGGAGACAGGTCGCCCTGTTTATGCCGCCGCAGAGATTGATGCTCCAAACAAAATCTCTCTCCTTAAAACATCTTTCCAACGCCCAACGCGCATGCTCACCACGGAGCCCGTGGTGATCTTCTTCACGCTGTGGATCAGTTTCGCCTGGGGAATCCTGTATCTGTTCTTCTCTAGCGTGGTGCAGACCTATTCTACCAACTACGGCTGGGGTACTCTGGCAACAGGACTAGTGCAGCTTGCCATTTCTGTCGGAGCTATCATCGGTACTATCATCAACCCTCTCCAGGATTGGTTGTATCTCCGTTCTGCCCGGAGAAATACCGAAAAGCCAGGTCGTCCAATTCCCGAAGCACGATTATACACCGCTATCCCTGGCAGCTTGCTGTTTGCGGGTGGTCTCTTCTGGTATGGCTGGGCTAGTCAGCCAGATATTCACTGGATCGTTCCCACTCTTGGAATCGGCGCGGCCGGTATTGGCATTTATTCCATCTATATGGCAGTTGTCAACTATCTGACTGATGCGTATGAGCGATACGCTGCGTCTGCCTTGTCAGCTGCTTCTTTGGGACGTAATGCCTTTGGCGCTTTCTTGCCCCTTGCCTCGACTGAGCTGTTCAGCAACCTTGGATTTGGATGGGCTGGCACGCTTCTTGGATTCATCGGGATTGCACTCTCCATCGTTCCTGTTGTTCTGGTTCTTAAGGGACCTCAAATCCGGGAGCGGAGTACCTTCATGCGCGAGGCTATGTGGGAGCCTGAGGAAAAGATCGAGGTTGACGATTCCGGGAAAGCTGATATGGGACCCAGCGCCGAAGGAATCGCGTAAAGGATTCATGTGGCAGTCACTATTTTGTACGAGGCCTATGCTTAGTTGAGTCGAGCTCGATCGGATATCACCGTCATTGATGATACCACTTGCCCCTAAAATCATGTTATATTCAAATGTTTATCTTCGATTACGTGACGTCATTGTAGATTTCGCAATCAAGAGTGCGGGGCTCATCAGTGTCAAGTGACATTTGGAACTACAACAAGATAGGCCCCAGGGGAAGGTGCTACCTAGTATAAAAAGGTCAGCAAAGTTACTCACTGGAACTTCTCTTCTTCATCCTTGCATACTTCGACTTCGAATTTCATCAAATATCTAAACTCTCTCATCTACTATAAACGAGGCTAACTTCACCATGTCGGGCTATTTGGTACCTTGGCCCCCATTTTCCAATCTACTGGGTGTAACAAACGCTAACCTTGTATCTTCAGGTCTCCTTCAATTCAAACACTTCAGACGAAGAAATCCAGCAGTAAGCTAAATTACGACTTAGTTCATTTCCCTAGCATATGGAGCAGGATACTAACATTTGATCTTTTCTCCAAAGGGTTAAAGATCACATTACCCAGGGCGGTGGTGTCATCGGACATGAATATAATCTGATCAAGGGCTTTAGGTTAGTTATCTATGATCTCAGGTCGCGCGTTTCAAAGACGTTGAAAAGGTCTAACTCAAATGAAATCTAGTTTCACAAAGCCGGAGGTGTCTACGCTCGACGTTGGCGCTCTATCTGACCATCCGGCGATCGACAGTCTGGAACTTGACCAGACCGTCACGACTCAATAAGGCGTTTAAGGGAAACCAAGGGTCTGGAAGGAATTCGGTCTATTCAAAGGATTAGATACCGCGCTTTGAACTTTACATAGCAGGTTTCCAGGGTTCCCGAGGTCTACTTTTATTTACCCAACACATGTTACGATCAACATGTGGGCATGCTGTTTCAAGGTTGGCAATCTTTATTTTAGCATGTGAGTCTAGATAAGGGTTTGTTTCATATACGAATATTACTAGTAGAATCTCCTCGAGTGCTTGATTCTCAAAGGTCATATGACGTCATTTAGATCTGGTAATCAATACTAGGTAGTAATTGCGGGGCTAGTCAATAACCTACATAGTACAGTTTATGTACTACTCGGTTTCAAGGCTGTGCTGTATCTATCTACGAAGGGAGAATGTTTGCATTCATCGCTGGCCGATGATGTAAATTTGAGTTACTTACACTTTACATACCATCAATGAGCATTATGGTAGAAAATTCATGTAGAGCGGGGTCGCCTCCAAATCCCATTGCCCTGAGGAGCCCAGTCAGTATGCCCCAAATCAGCATCGAGCTCAGAAGCCAGCTCCTCTCGTATGGCCTCAAAGGCAAAGTCACGACTTTTGAACTCGATCAAAGACTGGTTATGGCGAATTTCAAAGCCAATCAACGAATAAGAAGTTGACAGTTCGGTCCATGGATCGTTGGGGTCCAAAGACCCGCGTTGTTCCATCTCCAAGACATGATTGTGCTCTTCGGGTGCCAATTGTACGCTCAAACTCTGCAGATTCGGCATTAGGGAAAGGGAGTCCAGTACCAGCTTCACGTGGTTGTAGAAGGGGAAGATGGCAGTATAGGAAAAGGAGGTGAGACGGCCTAGCATGGCGGATAATTGCGCGGGTGGAGATTCCTGTGGTTTAAGCTGGGAGCCCCATTCTCCGAGAATGGAGGGGACGCGGGAGAGAAAATATTCGTAATGATTGTAAGCTTTCAGGGAGGAGGATTCGTTAAAGGACATTGATGTCCACGGACGGGCCAAAAGTAGACTTTCACAGTCATCCAATTCGGGTAAAGGAGGCAGTTTAGGAAAGGATGGCCCATTGCGCTCAAGCTGTAAGATCTGCAGTGAGATATCAAATGCCCAGCTGTGGCCATCCATGATGCGCGTGTTTAACATGTTCCCGATGAAAGTCGGTGGCGCTATTACGGTGACACGGGTCGGATCCAGATAATGGAGGAGTCGGCGCCACCAGTGTTGATCGTTTGAGTCAAGAGAGGCATTCTCCGTGATAGCCACGAGGGAAGTCACATATCGAGCCAGGTCAGATGTAATGATGAACGCTTGAAAGGCCGGTTCATCTTTTAGGTCTAGGCATGCATGGGCGAAAAGCCGAGGTCGGACAAGATCCAGCAAGTGGTATGAGCATTGTGCCAAATGCTTAAGTGGCTTGTATTGGGATTGAGTGATTTGGCGGTCTGGGGCTTGATTGAGTCGTCCTAGCGAGGGCGGCTCTGTTGTTAGATAGAAGATGATCTGATCCAGGAGCTCATTGGGAAGTAGCTCTAGGGCACACGGCATGATGCTCGGGAGGGCAGCCGCAGCCCTTGTTTCACATGACGTGGTTATTGTTTTCGGCCCCCAGGAAATTGGTGTTGCAGTGGCTGTGTCGTGGTCAACTGGTTGCTTGGGCCGGTGAAGTTGAGGTCTTCGGGAAGGAAAAGGAGGTAGAAGTGCCGGTTCCCCACTTTGACCAAACGCAAGTCCTCCACTTGGCACTTTGTCATATTTTACTCAGCCAGGGTCCGTGATTTCGATTTTTGAGATTGTATGGAATTTGAAAATAAGAGAGAGGATTCAATGTCTTGGTTTGGATCTATGGAGTATACAATAGCAATTCTAGACATACTGGACTGGCATAAGACATAAAAACCTGGGGAGCTGATCCGGGAAACCCCCAGAAGGAAAAAAAAGAAGAAAATAGTGGAGCTTATTTCCAATGATCCACATTTATGAACTAGTCAAAATGAAATGATATTTAATGATTTGCTGGGTTTTTTTTTTCGCCACGGAGTTCGGTTACAGTCTACTTGAAGGAATAACATGAGACACCAGTGGAATATGGACAAGAGACGGGATTCGACCAGGATTTGAACTGCTTAGAACCTTTTTCTATGCTGTTGAATTCAGATCAAAGTCCCCAGGCTTAAAACCCCGCTGAGTTTTATGCGCTAAGATGCGCCCCACAATTTTCTATACATTGTTACTTATTTTGTACTTTTTGTACTTTGTATAGTTTCACGGTTACGTCCGGATGTCCTTGACGTCAGACGAACAAGACATATACTAGTAACTACAAGATGTAGTATCAATCAATTTTCTATGAATTCAATGATGCCTTTTTGTGGCTGTGGTACATTATTTTCACTGCTTCATAGTAGATCAGTGTGTCAATCAAAGGAATGCGATAGGTGAAATCCTAGAGTGGAGATGGCCATCAATTTGCGATTTGACGCCCCACTCAATCCGGAGAGCACAACGGCAAGATGGAATCCATGAGGAGCTGGTTCCGTGCCCCTCTTTTACTCCGGCTTCGGTTTCGTTTTTTCTTCTCCTCTTTCCCCTCTCCTTTACTAGAACAATTCAATTGTGAGTGCAAACTTGACTTCAGCTCTTACCAACCCGAAGCTAATCTCATAGTACTTAGCATATATCACAATGCCTTGCCTTCACCAGAGACCCCCCTTCCGTGCTGAGCACTTGGGCTCCCTCCTCCGCCCCCAGCAGCTCTTGGACACCAAGCTCGCCCACGAGGCCGGCAAGGTCTCCGATGCTGAGTTGGCTGTCGTTGAGGACAAGGAAGTCACCGACATCGTCAAGAAGCAGCTGGAGCTCGGTTACCCGGCCGCTTCTGACGGTGAATACCGTCGTCACAGTAAGAGAACCCTCATGGCCTCATACCAAAAGAAAGGAGGGGCAAAAATGTAACAAAATACTGACCTGAATTAGTGTTCTGGGGTACCTTCTTCCCCGGTCTGGATGGCTTCGAGGAGATCACCGACTTCGAGACCGACATCTTCCGCTCTTACGCTCCCGATATCGCTGCCTTCCTCGAGGCTGGCCACAAGCCCGGTGAGACCGTCATCTGCACTGGAAAGATCAAGCACGTTGGCTCCACCTACGTCGACCAGTTCAAGTACCTCGCTAGCCAGGTCCCCGCCGACCAGGTCAAGAACCTGAAGATCACTCTCGCCGCTCCTAACTGGTACCACCTGCGCTACGTCGAGGGTAAGGCTTACCCCAAGGACGTGTACAGCTCCGATGAGGAGTACTTCGGTGATATCGCCAAGGCCTACCAGGCCGAGCTGAAGATCCTGTACGAGGCCGGTTGCCGTAACGTCCAGTACGACGACCCTAACCTTGCCTGTAAGCAATTAGCCCGCCCCTACCAATCCCCAATTATGAATCAAAACACGAAACTCACAAGTTATCCCCAGACTTCTGCTCCGAGAAGTTCCTTGACGGCTTCAAGGCTGACCCCCTGAACGTCTACACCGCCGACGACATGTTCGAGAAGTACATCAAGCTGTACAACGACTCCGTCGCCGGTCTCCCCGAGGACCTGCACATCGGTGTCCACCTGTGCCGCGGTAACTTCGTTGGCAGCCGTCACTTCTCCGAGGGTGGCTACGACCGCATCGCCACCAAGCTCTTCCAGGAGCTCAACATGCACACCTACTACCTCGAGTACGACACCGAGCGTGCCGGTGGCTTCGAGCCCCTCAAGCACCTCCCCACCCACAAGAACGTCATCCTGGGTGTCGTCACCTCCAAGTTCGCCACCATGGAGGACAAGGAAGAGATGAAGGCTCGCGTTATCAACGCCGCCAAGATCATCGCCGAGGGCAACAACATCACCCTCGAGGCTGCCCTTAACCAGGTCGGCGTCAGCCCCCAGTGTGGATTCGCTTCTCACCGTGAGGGTAACGCCATCGACTGGGATGGCATGATCAACAAGCTCACCTTGGTTCGTGAGATTGCCAACGACATCTGGCCCGGTCAGCTGTAAGCGGACGGCACCAAACAAAACACTGAATGTAGAACGACTTCAACGAATACCCATCTGTAAATATTTCTTTGTCACTGCCAAGAGGCGTCATGCTCGGTTGCCTATTCAACAATGCGACGGGTCTGGGATTTTCTTTTTGTGTACAGCGCTGGTGGGATGCTTGGGATGAACGTCATGATTGATACTCCGGAAGACCAACTTAACGTATAATTCTTGAATATAGTCAATGAACGATGAACCCGCGTTCATGATTGCGATCACAATTTTTTTCTCTCTTTTTTCTTTCTCGGTAAAGATAAAGTGTAATAGTAGTGGAGGTGATGTTGGAAACTAACTTGCGGGGGGGAGGGACCTTGTATTTAACTCATCGAGTCATTCCCAAGGTCCTCAAAACAAGTAGTATGCAGTAGTAAGCTTGGATGGATACCACCTTTGTCACATCATCACATGTACCCACTGTCCAGTACTACATACACCAGAATCCTGAAAACGCGACTACAATAACGCACGATATACGAAAACTCCTTCACAATTGTAGAAGTGAAGATAGTGAATTAAGTAAGTACTTCAAATTTACTAAACAACCACTTTTTCAAGCCAGACTAGAACCAAAAGATGACAGAGTTCATTCCGCAGGCCCAATAATATTAGCCTCCTTAACCGCCGAATGCTTGTGAGTCTTCAAGTTCTCGATCTAAAACATTCAAAGCGAGTCAATCAGCCATAAAATCCTGTTCCCCAAACAAACAAGTGATATCCAAAACCTAATACACACCTGGTAACGCGGTTCTTCATCCGAAGCCGTCACACTGCGACCAGTAAGCGCCGTCGGCTTGGTGGCAACCTCGCGGATGATGCCGATACTGGAACTGGTATTAGAGTTGGGACCTATCGGATTCGAAAGATCTGGTCAGTCTCGAACCATCCGATACCTGCTCGAACTCTAATAAGATCGGGAATTGATCCATACCTCCCACGGGCTTGTAGTTGACTCTCTGTCCTTCCTGGAAGTTGGGCATTGTGTCTGGACACTTTTTTGGAAGGAGGAACTCGTTGTGAGGTGTTTTCTGGTGGGGTGTGGACTTGTGCGTTTCGGCGATTTCTCTAGATGTTAAGGGTGGGAAATGGAGGCGAATGCAGATGCAGGTGGGAGGGGTGCGAGGCAAGGTACTAGTAGCTTCAGGTTTGGATGGGAGCGATCTCAAGCGTGGGATCGGTCAATTGCGGTTTGAATTGATATCGACTCGGTGCATTGGCTCTATTTATACGAGATTGAGGAAAGGATTCTATTGCCGGGGCTACACGTCACATTTACATGGCAAGGATGACAGGAAGAGTGCATCAGATCTAGTGACGAGAAGGGCCCGGATTTAGATTCCGAGGGCATCTAGTAGGGTGTTGTGGATGGTGATTGTTTCGGTCACGCGTATGTCATGTTCATTCTGATTCTCTATCCCAGCGCAGTTTCCACTTATTGTATCTCTCTATGAAGTTAATCAACTCTATACACATCGGGAATCCAGAAGAAAATCACAAGGGAATCGAACAATGGTAACGCTGATGATATGGACCACTATACGAATTAAATAATTAAGTCGGAGCTCATGACGAGTCCCATGGGTAAGAACAGAGGGGATATCATAGGAAGGAAAACGGGAAGGGAGAACAAAAACAGAGAAGTAACCCGCACAGAAAAGGAAATCATCCGAAGAAAAGCATGTTCCAGGGAAAGGGGGGAGAGGGAGAAGGGGAATACGGCCGGAATGCGGGTTTCATCTGGTCATCAAGCACGGACATGAAGCGGAAAGAGATGGAATACTTTGTCGGACAGTGCGAGGTGTTATACACGAGGCGGCGGAGGGGTGCCTCTCAGGATCATAGCCGGGAAACGATCCAGGTCCCAGTCTGGATGGGTATGAGTGATCAACGGCGTTGCGTGCCTGGTTGGGCGCATGTCTGGGAAGACCCAACGGAGGTACGACCCTTGGCGTTCAATTCGAGGAGAGATGGACACGTTTACTTGGCAGGTTGAGTTTTGACGTTGTTGGAGAGCCAGGCCTGGAAAGTGGAGACAATGCGGGTCAGGGTTTTGTTTTTTTGTTTTGATCCGATCGGACAGGGAAATGTATAAGGAAATTACTTACCAGACCCTCGAAGATACCAGTACCATCCGTGGCCACACTGGGCGCGACGTACCACAGCTTGTCCTTAAGCTTGGTCAACTGGAGCGTGTTGGTAATTTCCTCCGGGCTCAAGTCTAAAACAATTTGGTTAGTATCAGCTTGAAAGGGGGTAATTCCGAAAAGCGAATCGAAATTCGGGGGCGGGAGAAAAGACGTACGACCGCTAATATCCTGCTTGTTGGCAAACACCAACAAGAGAGCATCCTTCATTTCGCGATCGTTAATGATCTTGTGGAGCTCCGAGCGAGCCTCCTCCAGGCGAGCAGTGTCGCTAGAATCCACCACGAAGATCAAGCCTTGTGTGCCGGAGTAGTAGTGTCGCCAGAGTGGTCGGATCTTGTCCTGACCACCAACATCCCAGACATTGAACTTGACATTCTTATAGGTCACGCTTTCCACGTTGAAGCCGACGGTAGGGATTGTAGTCACGTCCTGGTTGCTGAGTTTCAATTTGTAAAGAATAGCTGGTATAAGTTAGCTTGTTGTTGCCACGTGCGCTTTTCGATCTCAATGAGAAGCGTGATAGAAAAATCTTACTAGTCTTTCCAGCAGCATCCAAACCCAACATAAGAATGCGCATCTCCTTCGTGCCGAATATCTTCCCCATCATCTTGGAGACTTGGCCACCCATATTGACGGTATCAATTGACTGATTTTAGGGGAGATTCAAACCGGGGTGCTCTTGCACAAATAATTGGAACGGATTAAGCCAGGGATAAATGTGGCTTTCACCCCGGAAGTTGGAACTTGGGAAAACAAGACAAGACGAGATGAGGCGGGGGAAAAGGGGCAGGCTAAGCTGACTCAGCCCCAATTGAGACGCGGATCCACTTTAATGCAATTTACTTTCCACCGAACTATTCGATTGGGCTGTGTATACGTATATCTCGGGGCTTCATCCGTTTCCATGAATGATAGTACACAATCTCGATTTGAGAATGTTTTTCCAAATCGATGGCCAAGCATCAGGAACCGTGGTAGCATGTGACTTTTCACACGTCATGAGTTCGGACTCGTGACTGGGTGGCTGCCCGGAGTTTACCTATTAATCTACCTACAACTCTTTGTTTTTTTTTTTTCAATTCATATCAATTGTGGGATGTAATTCCTTTTCCTTAAATCTCTATCATAACTATGCCTACCAACGGAGCAGGTGAGCGGCGCGCTTCGATTACGCAGCAGCGCCGGCTTTCACACCCATTCAAGAGACACGCTTGGCTATGTCCTCCATCAGATGTATGTCCACTTTTCTATGAGCTTGAAATTCAGCCAAAGCTAACCCCTAGAAGATCATCTATGCAGGAATTTCAGGATTCTTTTCGACAGATTCTCCCTCTACCATTGTCATTGCCTTCCGTGACACCACCTATCTACTGGACTTTATCGAAAAAGTGTTCGATAGACATAAACAGGGTGCAGAGGCAACCACCGATTTCATCGTCTCGGAACTCAAAACATATGGAGAAGAACACCTGGAGAAGATCATTGGTGTGACCATGCCAAAAAATGTCGCGGAGCAATGTCCCAAGCTCTGCTCGCGCCTATGGGCAGAACTTGACATCCTTCCCCTGGTGCTACCCGAATCAAGTCTGACGGACCAATACGCTTCAGCTGTCCCAAAGGGCACACGACCAAATGATCCGAAAACGATCGACGAGCAGGCGGAGTCTATGTCGCGAAAATGCGTGCGGTAAGTTGGGATCGGCAGGGCTGTGGAGAACTTACCGTTAAACTTTGGGCAGATTGTTTGGCCCGGAGAATCTACCCTTGCTACAAGTGGGTTACATGGGCCTCGTGGAAGTTGACACAAATTTCCATGTGCGAATAGCAGATCTTGATGATTTCAAGACAACCGTCTCTGCTAAAACTTGGTCTGCCGTGGAGCATTACGCTGCGGATTTGAAGAAACGAAACGTTCGTATTGCCTTCTTCAGTGCGACTCCTCAAGGTGGTGGGGTGGCGCTGATGCGGCATGCGCTGGTTCGCTTTTCTTATCATCTGGGCACAGACATCAAGTGGTGGGCCTCACTTACTAAAAAAAAAAATTGACTGTAAAATGCGTATTTGTTAATCTGGATGCTCCAGGTATGTTCCGAAACCCCGGCCTGGGGTTTTCCGATTGACCAAGAACACCCACAATATTCTTCAGGGTGTCGCACCGCCTGACGAACGATTGACCGCCAAGAATAAGGAGTCTTTGCGAGAATGGATCGAAGAAAACGCCAGGCGATACTGGACCGGGCCGAGTGGTCCATTGCTACCTCCATCAGAGGGGGGAGCAGATGTGATCATTGTAGATGACCCCCAGATGCCAGGACTGATACCTATTGCCAAACAACAAGCTCCAGATCGGCCAATCATCTTCCGTAGCCATATTCAAATCCGCAGCGATCTCATCAAGCAATCTGGAAGTCCCCAGGCCGAAGTATGGGACTTTTTGTGGGACCAAATTAAGCTTGCCGACTGCTTCATCAGTCACCCTGTAAGCGCTTTTGTACCAAGTAATGTTCCACCTGAAATGGTGGGATACATGCCGGCGTCGACTGATTGGTAAGTGGCCCGATAAACATGCATTATCTTGCTGACGTGTCCAGGCTGGATGGGTTGAATAAAAACATGCGCGACTGGGATGTAGCCCACTATGGCCGCATCTTCAATGCAGCATGTAAGCTTGCAGATATGGCACCTATCTCTTATCCCGAAGGTAAACAGGGCAACTCTGATAAAGATGCATCAGCCAATGCAGCTAACTATCCCCAAACCAGACAAGTACATCGTGCAGATCGCACGTTTCGATCCTTCCAAAGGAATCTTAGACGTCGTGGATTCGTACGAGAAATTTTACAATCGTTTGGTCAATGGCCAACCTGATGTGGAGCCTCCAAAGCTTTTGATCTGTGGCCATGGCTCGGTAGATGACCCAGACGGGGCGCTGATTTACGATGCAGTGATAGATCACATCGAAAGCAATCTCCCACACCTCCGAAATCTTATCTGCATCATGCGACTGAGGCCCTCTGATCAGGTTTTGAATGCTCTCCTCTCCAAAGCTACTATTGCCCTCCAGCTATCTAGCCGCGAGGGGTTTGAGGTGAAAGTCTCCGAGGCAATTCATAAAGGTAAGCCGGTGATTGCCACGCGCGCTGGTGGAATCCCACTGCAGGTTGAGAACAACAAGAATGGTTTCCTGGTAGATGTGGGTGACACCGATGCTGTTGCACAGCATCTGTATGATTTATGGACGGACAAGGCTCTATACCACCGTATGTCTGAGTATGCGCACAGTCACGTCTCTGATGAGATGGGCACGGTAGGCAATACTCTACTTTGGCTCTATCTTGCGTCAAGATTTTCCAAGGGTGAGGACGTGCGGCCAAATGGGCGCTGGATCAATGACATGGCTTTTGAACATCTTGATCTTCCAGAAGACGGTCCTCGTCTCAAGCGAGCCGTGCAGGTGCAAAACATGGGGTAAAAAAATGCGCCCAGTCTGACCCGACGGTTCTGCGTCTTCTTTTCTCAGTTTTCTCTCCTCTCTTATCAGGCATAATTGAATAATATCACCGCATGACATCAGAAAAGGATCACAAGCATCAACATTAGTACTCGCAGTCAACACCAAAATGCAAATCAATTCAGGCAAGAAATGTAGAAGGGTATCATTTAAAATCAAACAGGCCAAAAAAAATCGAAAATGAACAAGGAGACCATCTCACGGGCGTCCAACAAGCCGATACCTTTCTCTCGCCAAACCACCCTCGGCCCCTTCAACTCCATAGCCTTCACCAACCTCACCAACAATGCGCGCCGGTCGTCCTCCAACAACACACCAGCTAGGCACGACCATGCCAGGCGGAACAACCGCACCCTCCAAAACGACCGCAAAATCCTTCACGATGGCCATACTCCCGATTGTCGCACCCGCGCCAACATGGACATGATTTCCCAGCGACGCGGCCTCCACAACAGCGGACTCGCCCACAAAGACATGATCTCCAATTTTCAAGGGGTAGAACGAGTGCACGCCACGGTGTAACCTGCTCGGAGGGCGCAAAATCACGCTCTTGGAGATATAGCTGTACCGACCAACGGTAATCGCAACGCTGGGGGTATTGGGTTGCGGGGGCGGGTTGTTTGGGTCTGTGGATACGGCTGTGGAAGGGAGACGATAGAGGTCACCGCGGATGACTGCTTCGGCCTGGATGACGGTCTTTCCGCCGAGGATGATGTGCTGTGTGCCGTGGATTTGCGAGCGGCGCGAGATCTTGTTGCCCGTGTCCTGGGGTGTGTCAGTTGATGGGGGTTTGAGGGGGAAATATGTGGATTGTCCAGGCATTGAGATATTTGTGATTTAACTTACGGTCTCGATATACTCGCTTTTGGCGACTTTGGGAGGCATTTTGGAGAGGGAGCTGTGCCTGTAGTTGTTAAATGTTTGTTCGGTCTTTCCCCGATGTTGATTGACGCGGGTCCACCAAGGCGGTGTGGAGGTGGAGAGAGTCAGAGACTACTAACTACTAGTCTACTACTAGTTATACAATTACATAGTACTACTAAGTATACCGTACTGTACAGAGTCCATGTTACTTTAACGGATTTCGGGCGAAACATAGTAGGTTGGCGGCTCTTGTTTTGTACTAAACTTTACAGTATCGGAGATGTGGTTGGCGTTCAATTATTATACCTATTTTTTTCCCACTATGGAAAAAGCAGGAAACTTCAAACTCCTTCCAAGGTTTACACTGAACTTTGGCCCAAAGAAGATACGGAAGCAAAGTTGACTTTCGGTCAAGATATTAGTACTTAAAGACGGGCAGTTGCTTCTTAGTAGGTTGTCAAAAATTCTCCCCTTGCATCCTGCTCGTAAATCCTCACTCTTTACCATACCCGAATATTCTAATTTCTCCCCATACACACGCTCAGAGCCATGTATTCAAAGCGCAGCTCAATGGAACTTGAATCTCTACCAGTCTACACCATAGGTCAAGTTGCACAAACAGCGCCGCCCAAAAAGAAACTCCAAGGCTTGAGAAAGTGCATTCGCGCGTTGGATTTCCGTGCAATTCTAGTGGGGCTCTTGCTCATTGTCCTTGGAGTCTTTCTTCTCATGGTTCCCATCAGCGTGTGCGACCCTTCGACTACAAAGATTGAAGGTGAGGTTCTCCTTCTCTACATATTTCTCATCGGCATTGGCTCAATCGGCATTCTCTTCGGTCTACTTTCCATTGCTGAATTGGGTGTCCGGCGTCCGCTGTTGGCATGTCGAAGAGGGTCTACCTAAGTGGGCTTTTGAAAAAACCGTGGAACTGGCCCAATGAAGTTGGTTGCCCATTGCTACATGTATTTCTTTTATTAGGCAACGGGGATGTCTCGTCTACAGACTAATGTTTCAATTGTTCAAATTTTGTATGTGATGTGTTAAATGTTATTCAAGACGGATGGATTTGATTCTTGCGAGACTTGATGGGGCATGGCTTTAATTTTATCATTTGGAGCATTCAATGGAAGCAGTTTTTTTCTTCTTTAGATCTACCTAGTTCTTGCCCAGGTGTCGGCCTACCTAGACATATGTAGGTATGTAGTACATAGGTGCTAGAATCGTCAAGCGAAGAAGACGAATACCTGATTTCCTAGGTAGGTAGTGGGGCTGTGTTTGGCCGTGTACATAGTAGGTATTGAGATTGAAGTGTTCCAAGGTTGCAGGGTTCTAAGTTTCAACGTTTCAAGGTTGGAACTACTAGTTGAGTTTCGTCACTAAAGCTCTTTGGGAGTATTTCTATATAGAAAGTCGGTGCCGCTACATGTTTGGGTCTGCCCCAACTACTGCATTAGTAGTCGGACGGGTGTGCCGAAATAAGACAATGCATATAGTACATCCTATGTACGCACACGAGCTCCTTCACTGTATTCTCCTCGTAATTTGAACCATCTTTCTCGACTATACCCACTCTACATCTCAAACTACCCAAGGTTACTCACAATGGAAATAAAACCCACCAAAGCGTCTAGCCAAGATTCAGTGGCTACAATTTCTAATCCTTCCTACTCGTCCCTGCCCTCATACAGGGAACCATCACCACTATTACTCCCGCCTCCAGCCTATACTCCCCAACCGAGAATCTCCAGGCCATACACCCCACCACAAGCAGTCTCCCCGGAGCCCGAAGAAAGCGGACGGGAGCCACAGGACTCGCCTAATATCCGCTGGATATGGGGGGTGTTTTTCCTTGCGTGTGGAGGGGCACTTTTTTACGGCGTGAGCGAAATGTACAAGGTACTTTTTTATAATCCCCAGCCGCAAGTGCCTGAGTTTATCATATGGCTACTGAAGTTTTTGTGTATTTTCTTAATCATCTGCGCCTTCTTTTGCGTTATTCTTGGTACTGTGATTATACGCGACGTATGTTGCCCCGGCTGTGCAGATAATTCCCCCGTTTGAGCTTTTATAATGGGCTTTCTGTTGTTGTTTTTGGGGCCCCGATAGGATTGAATTTTGGGAGAGGGGATTTTATAGAGCCGGATGGCTGTTGCTCTTTACTGATTCATCTCATGGCCTTTCAAATGTGTTTATAGTTGAATTGAATATCGATTATCCTTCATCTGTACGCATTCATATGGGTAGCTGCTGCCCCATCGTTATTGAAATGTATAATTCCTTCAATAATAAATGTTTTCAAGGTTACTTTTAAATGTTTTGACTCGTAACTGTAACTTTCCTAAGTAGGAACCTGCCCCATGTAGGACATAGCTCCAACCTGCTGGACTTAAAGGGCCGAACCCCCCCCCCCCCCCCGGCGCGATATCAGAACCACAAACTGAGTTGAATTCTCCTTGAGCCAGCGCTAAGAACATTGGGAGCTCTTGCTATGTGGCACATCCACACCATCTTATGTAGACTGGGTCACCTACGGAGATGGGGAGACCATGGCTCTTGACAGATAGAATATTATCTGAATAGACTGTTTGAGAACTATATTGGGTCTCATCATCGTTTTTTGTATTGTAGTCGGTGTCTGTGCTCTTTTTTGTCATGTCTTTTCCAGTTGATCGCATGCACATGTGGAAGAAACGCGTGAGGTCGTGGAGCCTCTATAAATTTGAGATTTCGTATTGGAAATGAACCGAAATGGAACCAGTTGATCATTGCTATTTAATTGCCATCAACTGCCCATGCGTATCACTTTCAATGTTTAATGTTTACTTAATATTTCAAGGTTCTACCTAGGCACTTGCACTCAATGCCTTCAAATGTTACGGGGTCTACTTGTACCTCACCCGAGGTCCTCACTATGGAGTACGGACGTATTTAATTACAGCCTGAGGTTGAAATGCAGTGACAGAGATAAAAGTATCATCATATATAAAGTGTCATCATCGAACAATACATGGTAGGAAACAAAGTTCCATGACTAGAAGCACAAATTCTGGATATCCTGGAGAACAAACATGTCCTCAAAACAAAAACTCAAAACGTTAACCATGGCCGCCCACATTTGAAGGACCACACATTATTCCAAGCCCGGGACAATAAGCGTCCCGTATTAAAAAAAAAACGGGCAAGATGCTTTTGGCTGAGGGAGCTTAGTTCTTCTTCTGCTCGAACTTGAAGTCGCCGTCCCAGTGGAGCTTGAGAGCTGTAGAGATAATTCGTTAGCATTTATTCAGAAAATAAAAATTTGGGCATATATGACTTACTCATAGGGAAGGGGAAGTAAGAAGTGCCATCCTGGCGCAGGTAGACGTAGTAGCCACCATCCTGCTTGATCTTCTTCAGCTGGCCCTGAGCACCGGGGGCGCGGCGGAGGTTCTCCAGACGACCGACGACACGGAGCATGGCAACAAGGGCAATCTTGGTGATCTCCTGACCGAAGCCGGTGTTGGGGCCCTGGCCGTGGGTGATGTAGGAGTCGAGGGGACGGTCGAGCTTGACTTCCTCGGGGTCGGGGAAGGCGCTGGCATCGTGGTTGGCCTCGACGAAGGAAGCGAAGACCATGTTGCCGGGCAGGATCTGAACGGTCTTGCCATCGTCTTCGACGGTGACGGCGTTCTGGGCCTCGCGGTAGGCACCGAAGGTTCCGTTGATACGGATGGCCTCCAGGGAGTAGCGGTAGAGCTGCTCGTCGTTCGCGGCGGAATCCTCCTTGGCGAGACGAGTGATCTCGGCCCAGTGCTTCTTGCCGGCCTCGCTGGTGTAGTACTCGACGACCTGGGTGAAGACTTGACCCTGGTTGGGGACGAGGGAAACCAGGGTAGGGATGATCTGCGACCAGGTGATCTCGGAAGAGGTAAGACCGGACTCCTGCAGGTTGCGGAGGGCGGCGGTACCGAACTCACGGAGAGCGTTATCGTGGGGGCGGAAGTTGTTCATGAGACCGGACAGGAGGCCGGTGTTGGTGTCGGCCTTGACGGTGGACTCAACAACGGCACCGAGCTGCTGGGCAACGGCGGTGGCGGCACGCTGCAGAGAGAACGACTTGGGGGCATCGACATCGAAGAAGAGCGCAGCGAAGATGGTGGTGAGGATCATGTACATCTCGTGCTCGGTGAAGAGACCGGCGGGGTTCTCCTCGGTCTTCAAGGGCAGGCCGAAGAGAGCAGAGGCGAAGTAGACGTGGGCGGAGTTACCAACATCGCGGGTGATATCAACCTGGTTGATGTTGGCAAGCTTGGCACCGTTCTGCTGGATGAGGTGCAGAGTGGTCTCCTCGTAGAATTGCTTGATGAGCTTGGGGAACTCTTCTTTGCTGAGAGCCTGGCTCAGAGCTTGCTGCTGCTTGGTATCGAACTCGCCCTTGCCGAAAAGCTCCTGCAAAGCGGTACTGAAAGAGGGCTTGAAGTCTGCCTGGTTGCCCAGAACGAGCTTGGCAGACTGGTGAGAGGTCAAGTTGATACGAGAAGGAGTGAAGGCAGGAGCGTCCCAAGAGTAATCCTGCTCACGGCCGAGGTCCTTCATGATAACCTGGTTCTCGCTAGGGATAGTCATGGGGTAGTGAGCGTAGATGGAGTCGGGCTTGTACCAGTTGGGGAAAGCACGGGTAGCCAGCTTGTAGAAGACACAACCCTGGTTGATGTTCAGGTCATAGCGGCACTCGTTGTAACCCCAGTTGGTCAGGTTGCGAGGGTTGTAATCAACGGTGTAGTGACGGTCACCACGGACAAGAGCCACGGCATCGGACAGGACAGCACGCGAGACAGTGTAGGTAGGGGCAATACCGACACCAGGAACCATGGGCTTCTTGGCCTCCTCGGAGACAATACCGGGGTACAGCTCGACGAAGTCAGGGTGCTCGTACAGATGACGCAGAGTGTTGGCGATCTCGGGGTCAGAGTTGATCTCCTCGAAAGTATCGTAGGTCTTCAGGCCGAAGTGCTTACGGAACTCGTTGAGGGAACCAACCTGCCAGCGACGGGCAGCCTCCATACCGAGAATCTCAATGGAACGCAGAGCCTTGGGAACGTTGCGAGGTCCGAAGCTGCCGGCAACATCCTCAGTGGCAGACTTCAGGATGGCAACAAGCTCTTCATCGTTGAACTTGCCATCCTCTCCACGCTTCAGGTGAGCAAACTCACGCTTGGAAGGGTCAGCATCAAGCATGTTCTCAACCTTCTTCATGCCCATCAGCAGCTCGGGCATGGTAACCTGGTCAGCGGGCTTGCCCATGAGGTCAAAGTAGACCTGATCGATCCACTTCTCATCGCCAGCGGCGATGGCAGAGTGCCAGCGGTAGGCCAAGTTGAACTCAACGGAGCACTGGTTACCCAGGCCGGAGGGAGTGGCACCCGCCTTCTCCATCTGGGCACGGGGATCCAGACACCAAGTAGAGTTGGTGCGGTTCAGGTTGACAATTGTACGCAAGTAATCGTACAGAGTAATGTTAATATACAGACCGCAAGTAATAAGACGACCAGTCTGGAACAGGTCCTCGTCGTACTTGACCCAAGCCTTCTCGAGATCGTCCTCAGAGAGTCTAGGGTTAGGTGTAGGCTTAGTAAAGCGCCCGGCCTCGTTCACCTCGGCCAGCTGCTCCACAACGTGGTTGTGGAATCGGTTAAGCATAACCAGCAAGACACCACAAGCAGGAGGAAGGGCCTGCAGGCGACCTTCGGAGAAGCAATCAGGCTTGAGCTTACCGTCCTTGTGGGAACGGATTTGATCCTGCTGTTCCTTGACATCACCATACAGAATAGAGAGATCTAGGTAAGCGGAGGTCTTGTTCAGGTGTGGTTGACGGTAGTCGGTCTGGAAAATGTCTATTCAACCATTAGTACTTCCGTTGGCTTCGCAATTGCTAGTGGTTTTTTTTTCTAGGTTGGGAGCGTTGTTTTGCTTACCGTGAATAACCAGAGATGCCCAGTTGAAGAACATACTGGACACCTTGTTAGGGTGGGGAGTGAATTCCTGACGAGCGAACAAGCTGTCGAAGACCAAACCGGCATCAGGCAACCCACTGGGCTGGATTGCAAGAGGAGGAATGGTGCGGCAGTAGGGGGTGTTGGCGGCACCCAACCAAGGGAGTGTGGGGTTGTTGTTGGAACCATCAGCAGTGCGGTACTTGTAATCATCACCCATGTAACTATTGTGTTTTGTTAGTTGCAAAATTTCTCCTTGAAAATGGTGGTGCAATTGAGGGATGCTTACGAGAGCGGGGGATGCGGCAAAGAGGTCCACAGCTCGTCAAGGAATGTGTTAGTGAGCTCGACACGTCTGGGAGAGTGGCCGGGCAGGTCTGCGACAAGCTGCAATTCAAATAATTGTTAGTTCGCAATTTTCTCTCTACTGAATCTCCCACAGTTCAATTCCAAACGATGGTTCTTTTCTCGTACCTGAATAATGCGCTCCATAAGGTAGGTCTTGTCGTCAATCAATTCACCGGAAGCCTTGTTCGCAATCAAATCCTTGACGGTGTTGACATCGCGGAAACCGAGGGTCTTAATGTCATCAATGAGTCCACTGGACTGGTCGTGCTTAAGGTATGTGCCATCGCCAGTTTGGTTGGGCAAAGGTTCGCGCGAAGCGTGAATAGCCTGTGCATACTTCTCGAACACCGCGACAACCTCGGCGCGCTTCACCTGGTGAACCTCGGCGGGCTCCTCCTTGGCAGAAGACTTGCGCGTAGGCGAGACCTTGGAGAAGCGCTTGTTTTGCTTCTCAGCCTTGGGCTCGGCGTCGCCATTGCCGTCCTTGTTCCGCTTGAACTGTGTAGAGATTCTCCGCAACATAGTGATGGTAGTCTGAGGCTCACACAGACAGGTCACTCAATGGGAGAAAGAAAAATAAAAAATTAAGATAAAAATAATAAAAAAATGTTAAGCTACGAGCTGAATCAGGGGGGAGGGGAAGGTAATAAAGCAGAGTCCGCGCGCGCTTTCGGATTTAAAAACGAGCTGTGCGGGCGACCTAGGTCACCGCAGCTGCAAGACTGTGGAGCATCCATAAGTGGCGGATTTGTTATCGCCAATAGTTGATTGACTGTCATAAGCAGATCTGATTGGGGATAGACAGGTTCAGTGAGCACTAGCCTCGATCTGCCCGGAGGCTGTGGCTCGTAGGAGCCCCATAGCCAATCAGCTCGGTGGCCCCGCGTGGGACGAGCTTGAGGTCCAGCTGCTGAATTGTCCCCACTACAAACATGTCTCTTGCGATGACGAACGGCTGAACCGAGTAATTGATCACCCTGGTGTCCCCTCTAGTGGAGAGTGTAAAGATTGTTTAGAAAAGGGGGTGGGCCAGAGCCATTGAACACGGCACGTCACCCAAAAAGACAAGGAAAATCCTTACGGAGTACACCATCACCATAGAGACGAGCTCAGCTCAGCTCTCTTGCGACGTCATGTGCTCTGAGAAGAGTTGTTTTCGGTGTGTCGTGCTCCTTGAAGTAAATTTTTCTTTCCTAATTTTCTTTTTTAATACAAGAAACGAGACCAATGGAAGGGGGTCAAATTACACAGTAGCGGTGTACTTCGTACGGAGACGAGACGAGATGAACCGAATCTCGGAGTCGTGGAGTCATGAGGCCCCACATTAACACTGTATAGATCCAGCCAAATGGGTGAAAGCAACGCTAAGTGGGGTGGTAAAGTAAACTTGTAAGTTTGCGCTTGACGTCCCGATCGGAAAACTTCGTCCCTGCGTGGCTGGCTGGGAGGACGATCCCATAGCAACCGGTTTTTTGGTTATTTTGAAGACGAGCTGAACCATAACTACTGTACTAGTATTATGGGTTTAGGGTTGTATAGCAGTAACCGTCATACACCCCCATGATTTGGCGGTTAGGGACCCGATGCAAGGGATGCGTCTCTCCAACCTTCAGCAAACTGGATGCAGCCTCACGGTTTTTTGTTTGATGCAGCTGCTCTGTTATCTTGTCATTCGTCTTCTTTTTGTCATGTTTTGTTTTTTTGTTTTCTCATAATGAGATGGATCAGCGGTCCGGACCCACATGTTCTCCCACTATGGGCTCTAGCGTCTCCCAAGAAGCATGAATGGTAGCACGAACCTCATTGCGCCCCTGGTCATTGGCGGACGAATCTGCCAGTCATCATCAGAAATTTATCAGAGAATCGGATGCATCGTGACTTTCCCCCACTTCCTTCCCTTAGCTTCGTCGCACAATCCAACTTTCGAACCTCGTGGGAAAGATGCACACTAGGCATCAAGGACAAAAAAGAAGGTATTGGAGATTCTTCGAGATCTCTGCAGTGTCAAGGCCATTTTCAAAAAGATTCTAAGGTTTTTTCTTTTCTTGATCAAGACCCTGGTTCTGCAGGCTGGACAGCACTAAAACCACGGGTCGGATATGGCAGGTCCGGGGAACGCGGCCCTTCCCGGGGCTTTGGCACGGTTGTGAACAATGAACAATATGAACCTTGGAATTATGAATTGATTTATTCCTTGGAAAAGGTATCATTTCAATTCCATGTGATTGTTTTCGCCCGTATTATGCTTGAAAAGTAATGGGTCTAAAACTCTCAGGCGTCGAAAGTTTTGTCTGTGAGGTGATCCGGTTCCACCAAAAAAAAATAGAGAAAAATAATAATAAAAATAAAATAAAAATAAAAACCTGGATTTCCCTTCAGCCGTACTTCCACATGGTAACTTTCAGGTCCGCATCTTTCATTCAATCCTTAAGGAATCTTCAGATGACGGCAGACAGGTGGATCCCGGGCGGGCCATGATGTGGAAAAAGTGACACTTTAGGCGTAGTGGCGGCGAAAGTCTCGATCAGAGCGAAAAAGGAGCAAAAATACAGATGAACGCCCCCTCTTTTACTTTTTCTTTCAAACCCCTTATTTTTGCACAGATCCATGGGCAAGGGGATACTCGGTGCAGTATGGGGAAAGATCGACAATAATCTCCCGAACCACCAATCTCATCTGTATCTGCTTGCCGCATCGAAGCTCTCATAGGTCCAACCCCGTTGCCATCGTGGAGCTTTGAGTCTCCATCGATGTTCCTTAGTGTCTCGATTTGCACGGTCTGCAAGATTTGAATTTCTGTGTTTTTTTTTGGACTGGTATTTTGAATCGCGGGTGTTTTTTTCCCTCCCAGAGCGCCCTGGCCTTGGTGTAATCCCCACTCAGGAGTACAGTTCAGCCCAGATCAAAACAAGAGCAATGCGATCCGAGGCAACAAAGTGATTGGCTGGACCTTGCCCCCACGTTAATTTGAATGCATAGCGCTGTTTGTGTGCAACATGAGCTACCTTTGGGTCAGCCTTGTTTGCCCTGTTTCTCGGAAAGTTGTTTCTCTTTTGCGTGCATCGCGGTCGAGTCACCAGGTGGGAAAAAACAATTATCCCAAAAAGTTAAAAAATACAAGAAAGGTCCCAGCAAATGGATATGGGATCCATAATCGGAATACGCCAATGCCGTCTCCACATCCAGTTGAACCTGACGTATCTCTGGACTGCAGGGATCATCCTCAGTGTGTGAGTGGGTGCGACACACGCTTGGAGCATTCTTATCCAACCCCCCGATGCCGCCTTGGCTCTGATTCATGGTAATTACGCCCCTCTAAAAGCTGCAGCTTCTCCTCGTAAAAACCCCCAGTCCCTCCCCCTCCATTTATAGTTCCCGTGAAAGCCACACTGGTCGGGATTATACGTCTCCCGCGATCATGGCTCATCACGTAGCCTCTTCCGCGACGCCAAAGCAGTTTGTGCTCTGTTTCGATGGAACGGGCAACAAGTTTGCTGGTGATGAATCGGATAGTAATGTCTTGAAAATTTTCCGTGTATGTTCCCTCTCCGATTGTCGGAAGTTAAAAGGCATCATCGTGTAAATATGCCTGCTAATCGAAATTCCCCAACAGATGTTGGATCGCAGTAAACCGCACCAGTACCATTACTACCAACCTGGTATCGGTACCTATGTGACAACGAAATCACTCTCCAGTCATGGTCGCATTCAGCGCATTAGATCATGGTATGAAAAGGCGAAGGATTCTGCCATTGGCTCCTCCTTCGACGAGCATGTGATGGGCGGGTACAAGTTCTTGATGCGTTACTATTCTCCTGGTGACGAGATCTTCTTCATTGGTTTTAGTCGAGGTTCATATATTGCTCGTTTCTTGGCCGAGATGCTCGACTATATCGGTCTGCTTGAAGCCGGTAACGAGGAATTGATCCGGTTTGCTTGGAAGACTTTTGCGAAGTGGCAGCAACGCCAAGGCGATTCGGAAGAGGACCAAGACGAGAAGAAGAAACTTTTTGAGTATATGAAGGCTTTCCGTGAGACCTTCAGTCGTCCGATCACTCGCATCAAGTTCATGGGACTTTTCGATACCGTAAACAGTGTTCCACGTTTCGAGAATGCTTGGATGCAGCGCAGCAAGTTCCCCTATACGGCACGCAGCTCTGCTAGTGTCATCCGTCACGCAGTCGGTATTGATGAGCGACGTGCCAAGTTCCGTCAGGATCTGATCTCCGGAAAGCGCCCGAAAGAAAAGAAGCACAAGCACCACCGACACCACCTTCCTACTCCCCATTTCGACCATTTGCATATGCACCGCCAGGATGGTTCGCGCAAACAGCAACAGAAGCAGTCTCAGCAATCTCAACAACCTCATGATGCCCACCCAGACGAAGTCCCCGCTATTCGTTTGAATGATGATTCCGCAAGTCCTCAAAATGAAAAACCGCCCGCTCCATTACCCACCTTTGAGAACCCCGGATGGGGTCCCAATCCAGGCGAGTCCTACTATCACCCTCACCACCTTCGTGCCGGTTCCTCAAACCAGGGAAGTGAGAACAATGCTGGAGAGAAGCCTCATCGATACCGCGCACCGTCTCCAAACCGCGGACAATCCCCAAATCCCACGCTTGGACTGACCGTTCCCAACGGAAATGCCTCCTGTGATGATCTCACATCAATTCGTAGCGGTCAATCTGGAAACCTCTCAATCCAGGTCCCCAGCATTGCCGGTGATGATGAGAGTGACGACGAGGAGCAGGACATTCACGAGGTCTGGTTCCCAGGATGCCACGCCGATATTGGTGGAGGATGGAAACTCGAGGGTGGCGAGCTGTGGGCCTTGAGTCACGCCCCATTGGTCTGGATGGTCCAGGAAGCCCAAAAGGCCGGTCTGGAACTCGACGAGCGCAAGATGAAGCAGTTCCAGTGTCTGGAAGAGTACGACGGCGACTACACTCCCATCCAGGAAACCCTTGGCAACCGCCGTGGCAGCCGTATCAGTCGTACGGTGGGTTCTCCAGAGGACGATCCCGATGCCTACCGCGTTGGTCCTGATGAGAAGCAGCGGAGCGCTGCTAGCCGTGACTTCTGGCATGCACTGCACACGTCCAGCACGAAGGGTCCCAAGCACGATTGTCTCGAGTTCAAGCAGGGCCTACCAACCATCTCTGTTATTTCTTGGCGAATCATGGAGTGGTTGCCTTTCCGTCGGATGGATCTCCAGGCTGATGGGTCGTGGAAACCTATTCGTTGGCCGTTGCCGCGTGGTGAGGTCCGCGATGTGCCACTGGATGCCGAGATTCACGTTTCTGCTATTCGAAGAATGCAGGCTGACCCTAACTACCGCCCTGGTAATATTATTGTGGGCGGTGGTGGACGCGGTGTTAAGATTGCTCCTACTTATCTCGGTATGGGAGAGTGGGAGGTCCTCAAGAATGAGGGCGATGGTGTACGTGAGACATATGTGCGGAAAGACCAAGCTACCAAGTGCAAGGATCTATTGGTGCAGCAACTTCAGCACCAGCATGAGCACGAACATGCCCACTGATGATCTAATGATCTGATGATCTTTTCCTCCTTGCCTTCTTTCATTTTTTATTTCTTTGGATTCCCCTTAATTTTCAGTCCCTTCTTTTCTTCTAGTCTCTTTTATCTTTGTCTTAACTATTCATTAATCTACTACCTTATCCTCGGTATAATATTCAGTCTCAGTATGTAACATGTTTCAAAATGTCACTGTTTATTACATCTAGAACCACCTGGAGCCATCTAGATTCCTGTAGCCCAGATCAAAATCACATGTTGATTATCTTGCCTAAGCGACAGTCAATTTCCATTACTCGGCTCCGACTTAGTTACTAGTGCCACTTCATGTATGTAACGAGAAGAATTGTGGAAAGCCCCAGGCACCAAGGTGCGTGATTATCGGGTAACGAGTAACAATCATGTCTCATGTTGACACAGTCTCAAGTTGAGTCCCCCCACCACGGACACTAGTCTTTGGTGGGGACTCTAGTACCCGATTCTCAGGGTCTTTTGGACAAGCTTTAAGAAATGGCTCATATAAATAAAATTGCCTATAAAGGAAGGTGAGGGGTAGGCTTCCATTATCTGATAAGTACTGTGTTGACATACATGTCTTTTTTTAATGATCTGAGTGAATTGGCAAGTGAAATGTGGGAGTCCAGACTTTATCACGCTTAAATGCACCCGGTCATGCCGAGAAGAACGTGGTAGAGAAGGTGCAGGCTTACCGATCAACGCCCGTTTTCCAAGGCTCCATACACCGCACATTTCTATACTTAGATATCGGAGTTGCCGTATATGGCTCATGTCTTATAGAACTTCATATATGGCGTCATGCAGATAAAAGCTCATGGTTCATGTGTAAGTATTTCTAATTCTAGAGTCGCGTTTGATCTAGAAGATTTTGCAAAGAAAAAAACTCTAAGATCCATATAAATCAAAGGCTAATGCAAGTTCTTTATGGTAAGTTCATTAGGTTTATTAGATGTACCAAATTGAACATTACAGGTGAACCATACATGCTACATGTATGTCTTATGTTAAGCTTAAACTCATACTCAAGTGCCACGACGTTCAGATAAACACCGGTGGCTTCTATCGATTGGTGGAGTGAGGGCTGCTACTTATCTCCGTGATGAACCGATGAAACCTCCCGTAGCTCTCCGCCATTCACCAGATCTTAAAGTATGAATATCAATATTCACCCTGGAACTCTTGAATGTTCCTACTTAATTTGTTAAAGTATTAAAACAAAACCATTGTAACAGGAACAGAGTCATCGAATCAAAAGTATCAAAGCCGATGCGTGTTCAGGGTTCCCGTGGTCTGGACCGGTCCTGCCCTTCGCCTCAAAGTCTTAGCATCTTTTTTTTCTCTCTCTATTTCTCTTTTTCTTTCTCTCCCTCCCTTTGCTTCCCACCTTATTTCTCAACAAACCTCGGCTCGCATATTCTGAAGCTTGGCCGGCCCAAGATTTCTTTTTGTTTCCCTTGATATGATGCGCCCGTGATTCACCTTTTTTCATCTTCCTCCGCATCCCCCCCCCTTTTCTTCAATTTTTTTGATCGACATGGAAGAATCGCAACGACCAGAGACCATGCGCGCTCCTCATTCCGACTCTAACGATCCCAATAAAGATAACTCTGACGTCTCTTTGGAACGGGTGGGAAAGGAAGACGTCATGATCTCGATGTCTCTCTCTCCCGAACCATTGGCACCTTCCCGGACCCGATCCCCTTTGGCCCGATCGCACCTGCGCTCTCGGTCACTGGTGGGAATCCCCGGCATGCCATCCATGACGCGCGCATATTCCTCCCCAGGGCTGGACTCTCGGGGAAGATATATCTTCGTCAACGGCCGCGGGATGCCCACCTCATCTGTCGATGCAAAGCGCGTGCCCCTGCAGACGCGCATGGACGATCACATCGAGACCCGGCTGGGTTCGCTTAACATCTCCGAGACCATCTCTGAAAATGCCGAGCTGGAGACGGTGCCCAAATCCCCCTCACAGTCGGGCAACTCCCCCGTCCTGATGCCGCAGACTTTCCCCCGCATCGGTCGCATGCGCTCAACTTCCCCTCTTCATTTTCAAAATCCCATCAACAGCCCGCCCGCCATCCATACCTCCCCCACCCTCACCGGAAAATACAACGAATCATATCCCGGCCTTTCCGCTTCCTCCTCTTCGTCCGTCCCGTCAACCCCGACCAGCCTTCGCTCTCGCAGTCCCAGCATTTCTTCTCTGGAAACTATCCCTGATATTCCCGACGCTGAGGCTGAAGCCCTGGAAGAGGATCGGATCGCGGAGCTCAAGGCTGCGGCCGATGCGGATGATGCCGCGAGCAACAACACCTTGAACCGACGACGTGGTATTCCCGACACAGCTAGCTCGTCTAACTCGTTCAATACCCCCCGCGGTGGTCGCAAGCGATGGAGTGTCTGTGGCGCAGAGCGCCGGCAAGATCTCGACCTCGAGACTATTTGGGAAGATTAACGAGCTTGCCCTTATCGCCAATACTATGATTCATTGTTCGTCCTGGCCTGAAGACCGGACGATCCGAATCACCCGCAGCACGTTAATACCTTGCGTTTGCGATCCCACAACTCTCCCTCTCGACAAGCCTGTTTTATTCCTCTGGAGTTGATCTCCACGGGTAATCTCGAGCTGTGTCGAGCTGCTTTTTCGCCCCGCTTTCCTCGACATTATTTGATACCCTTCCCATTGTATCCGACACGTACATATTCGGTTGCCTCTTATTTCTCTCATCTTTCCGCGATATCATCACACCAAAAGGAGTTTTAAGGGTGCTTTGCCTTCTCGGTGTTTATTTCCCCTTGTTATGCTTTCCTCGGTGACTAGGCGCATGAATTCTTCATCTATTATGCTGAGCATAATTGTTTTTGTCTCTGGGTGTACCATTTGATTTTTTAGTTCTTTTTGTTATCTTTGCTCAATACCATGGTCTCGGGGCATCTCACTCAAGAGTCCTCATCTGCATTATGCTTCTGGTCTTCGGCTAGCCTCACAATGGAATGAAAGGGTCAATTTCCGGCCAAAATCGATCGATCACGTAGAGGAATGGTTCTCGTATCAAGTATCGTGAACTTTACATACTCCAGAGTTCAGCCTAGAAAGAGCTCCACACACATGACAAACAGCCCACCTGGGTAGTAACCTTGGAACCACAGACCCTGAAGAAAAAGCGGACTAGAACCCGCATCACGGCAACTAATTCGGTCGCTAAAGCAGCAAGTAGATGTTTTCATTTAGCTACTTGGTGCATGTTCGATATCTCCGAAGTCAACATACGTTCATACTACACGTACCCATCAACTCCAGTTACTATCCGCCTCTACCCTCCGCCTCTACCCCATGCAGTAGGTCCAAGCGGTCCATACATCAATGACAGCCAATCACCCGCTATCTCCGGTCCCGCTCCTACCAGCGCAATACCGCGCAAACTTCATCACAGCTTCGATTTCGACCTGCTGGCTTTTTCTATTCTTTTTCAATTCATGTTCAGGGCAACAATTCAGTGCGTTTGCCGAATACCCCCATCTACTCGACTCTTCTCTTCTCGTTCCGCAATCATGAGCTCCCGGCCGCATGTTGGTATCATTGGTGCCGGCTTTGCGGGTCTGCGCTGCGCTGATCTCCTCATTCAAAATGGGGCAAAGGTCACCATTCTAGAAGCTAGGGATCGCATTGGTGGGAGGGTATGTTATTGATCTGTTTTTTGCTTGCTGTTTTGTGGAATTTGATCGAATGCTTCAATGCTCAATGTTCTGGATTTGTATTTGGGACCCCTCGAGCTAATCTCTGTGCTACTTTGAAAGGTGTATCAAGATGTGTTGGAAGGTCATACAGTGGATATGTAAGTGCATATCTAGACTGAAGATTTCTTACTGCTTCATATCTGCAATTGATATGGACCAATTCATGTCCTATTCCTACTATGGATGTAGACTAACCTATATCACAGGGGAGCAAACTGGATCCATGGCCAGGGCGAGAACCCCATCATGACAATGGCTCGGGAGACCCAGACTGTCACTTGGGACCCCCAGGGAGGAAATTTCCTTGTTTCTCGCGATGGCAAGTATGTCAGTGAGGAACTTGGAACCAAGATCACCGAATTCGTGTGGAAGACCATCGCCGATGCCTTCACATACAGCAATGAGCGCGGAGAGAGCATCCGGCCCGAAGAAAGTCTGTATGATTTCTTCTTAATGAAGCTGCGGGAGGCTTCCTTCTCCAAGGAGGAAGAGCAGATGGTTTTGGATACATGCAAGCTCTGGGGTGCCTATGTAGGCGAGCCTATCGAGAGACAAAGCTTGAGATTCTTCCGTCTGGAAGAATGCATTGACGGATGTAAGTTTCCCATCTTTATAACGCATATCCACGAGACAATTACTACTTAGTAGGTATGTCGTGGCTTGTGAACTGAAACATTCTAACAACGTCGCAACCCACAGATAACTACTTCGTAGCGGGCACCCACAAGCGCATCCTAGAGCAAGTGGCCAAGAAAGCCCAGTCCCACGCCGACATCAAACTGAACCACCCCGTCGTCAAAATCGAAGCCCCGCCTCGCAAGCACGACACAGCAATTAACCAGCACCAAGTAACCGTGACAACAGCCACAGGAGCCCGCTTCACCTTCGACGACCTGGTAATCACCTGCCCCCTCGGCTGGCTAAAGCACAACACAGAAGCCTTCACACCAGCCCTCCCACCCCGCCTCACAAAAGCAATCGAAAGCCTCTCCGTCGGCCGCCTGGAGAAAATCTTCGTGAAATTCCCCCGCGCCTTCTGGCAAACAGACCCCAGCAACAGCAGCAGCAACACAAGCAACCCCACCGACTCAACCCTCCCCACAAACCCAACCTTCACCCAATTCCTCGACCCCTCCTACGCAGAGCACCCGCCCCATCTAGAATGGAACCAAGAATGCCTCTCAATGGCCTCCTTCCCCTCGCCCTGCGCCCACCCAACCCTCCTATTCTACACCTACGGCCCCGGCGGCGCAGAAATAGTGCAAAGCATCGCCTTGCTCGACCCCGCTTCAAAAGAATACAAAGAAACACTAATGAAGACTCTTCAGCCCTTCTACTCCAAGCTACCGGGTTACGACGCCTCGTCGCCCGATTGCGTCCCCAGTACTATTCTGGCTACGCGCTGGCAGGCAGATCCGTACGCCGGGTATGGATCTTACTCCAATTTCCAGGTTGGGCTTGAGCAGGGCGATCGGGATATTGAGGCTTTGCGCGCTGGGGCGGGTGCGGGGCCGGAGCGGGGCCTGTGGTTTGCTGGTGAGCATACTGCGCCTTTTGTGGCGCTGGGTACTACTACTGGTGCTTATTGGAGTGGTGAGAGGGTTGCTGGGCAGGTTTGCGAGAGGAGGGGGTTGAGGTGTGTTGGGGTTTCTGGTGGAGTGGATGATTCTTTGCCTTCGGGTGGTGCGAAGCTGTAGATTGGATTACCTGGAGATGCGGATGTCGTTTGGATTGATGGACTTGATGCATGGGTGTATTTGTTGAGTGCATATAAAGCGGATGCTTTTAAATAGTAAATAGTACCAATGGAGAATGTGAGCTCTGGTAGTTCAAGTCAAAGTGGGAAACTGCTGGTTGTCTCCACTAGTAGTATGGGATGTCAGTGGACATGCGCTGAAATGAGTATAAAAACAGTCTGTATCATTGGATCGTTACTGAAGTTTTATTCCAGGATTAGTTTTAAATCTATACCGGGAGTCATCTCCCACAGTTGGTCGTAACAACAGCGACCAGCGACCAAGACAGGGCTATATGGCCAAATGTATCCACATCCCGCACAGCGAGCCGTATGTAACTCGATAGGGAGCAGATATACACAGAAAGAAGAAGTAGGACTCAACAGTCCTAGAAAGGGATCATGGAGTTCACGTGATGAAGATGTGGCGAAGAACCGCTTGCGAGCACACATCGCGAATCAGAAATCATGACATAGACAAACAAGGAAAGGGAACATGAAGGGAAAAAGAAAAACAGACAAAATCCCCGAAGATGGCCGTGGCGGGGAAAGAAAGGATTAAATGACAACGCTGACAGGTGATACATCATCTGTATGTACCTGGACCCTTTTTATTGAAGGAAAAGGATTCCCCGCTTCATGCGCGGGCAGGGGCTATCGCTATCGCCATGCCCCTTGACTGAGGGAAAGAAGCCCCTGAACACAGTCAAGATCATCCTCTTGACTGTCCCCTCCACCACCGGACATGAAAGCAGTTACTTCAGCGCTCAGTTCTGGCGGAGCCTTGCCTTGCGCACCAGCTGCAAATGGCCGGTTCCGTTTCCCATTTGTCAGCCCTAACCCGCGGTTCCGGTTTGCATCCCGCAGAGCAGGACGGGATGCATGAGAGGTTGTACGACGACGATTCTGAGACGCTCGAGTGCCCGGGACCCAGTTTTCTTTGTCCGAGTCACCGGCATCCAGCTCGAAGTCCAGCTTGCCAGACTTTGAGGCCGAAGGCGTCAGCTTGGAGAGCTTAGATTGAGAATTCACGCGGTTGCGATCGGTCTCTAACCTGCCCATGGATGAGACGGTACGAGAGAGCTTTCGCCGCTTTTCTCCCATGGCCTGTGAGATCGGCGTACGGGCGAGGTCGGCGTGGGCGGAGAGGAGACTATGCCTTGTTGATGCGCTGCGGGTGAGGGAACGGGGACCGCGAGACTGGAAGAGACTGGGGGATGAGTGGAGGTTTGGAGCAGTCTGGGAGCTGGCGGGGGTGGATAGGGCGCTTCGTGCGTCTGTGTCGAAGAATGATTCCCAGTTGCGGGGATCGCGCGATCGGCCGAAGACGCGATCATTCTCGGCCATGCCGGCGCGTGGCGTGGATGGGAAGATGGCACTGCTGCTGCGACGCATGCCTGTGAGTTTTGTGCGGCGTGCTGAGAACATGGCTACTCTGTTCTTGGACGGGGACGGTTCGTTCTCGGCGCGGATGACAGCCTTGCCATCGGACGACATGGCAATCCGTAGGGCATTCTGACCCTTTGGCGGCGACGGTGTCATCTCATCTTCCTTTCTCACCATCGCCTCCCCATCAAACGACATCGACAGCCGTAGTGATGGTGGTGACTTTGTCGGTGTTGACATGATTTTATCTGTGCGTGGCTCTTCTTGTGGTGCCCCTACATCTTGAATCTCAGAAATCGAGCGCTTCCGCTTGGGTATCTGTGAGTCGTCCAGTGTTGTGTTTTCATTCAGGTTGTTTTGTGAGTCCGCCCCGGGGAATTCCTCCTGTGTTGTCGGCGGGGTATCATCCAAAGAATCCATCGTCGCCACACTAGTTTGTGTGCTGTGAGGTGGCAGCTCAGGTTCCTCCCTCTCACTTGTCAACGGCTCCAAGTCATCAGACAACTGTAACAGATTGCCACCCCACGATTTTGGCCTTGTTCCCTCCGATCGGTCTGGAGTGTCAACTTGCTCTGCCCCACTTGACGACCCATGTTCCGCAGACGCGTTATCATCACTAGAAGGATGTCCCAACGAATCAGACATACTCGATCGAGGAGCGAGCAGTTCGTGCGGCTGAAGAGGTCGAGATTTCCGTCGGTCGTTCTGGCGGCGATTTTGAAACCAGATCTGTAAGGGTCAGTCACGAGGTTCAACGGTGTGTGGAGGTTTTTTTTCTGCGGGCTGTGGTGAGGTCTTGGCATCATGATCACGTACTTGGACCTCTTTCTCGCCGAGCGAGACGCGATTCACAATATTCGCACGAGCGACTTTATCCGGTTTTGGGTCCTTCAGGTATTCGGTCTCTAGAATTGCGTGGTCCTCGGGGCTAAAATCAAATCACCCATAGCTGGTTAGAAAACAACGCGTTCAACTTCGGGGTTGAGTGGGTCGACCAATGGCGAACTTACCTCGTTCGGCGTCGTTTTTGGCGAGCTAGCAGCTTGTTGTCGACGCGTGGAGGGAGGTTTTGTGTGAGGGTTTTTTGGGAGTGAACGAGGAAGGCGTAGTTCAAGGCATTGCATTCGGTGGCCGGAAGAGATGGCGAGGACGAAGCCACGGCCACTGAGGGCTCCGGATCAGACATCATTCTCAATAGAGCATTGAGGGGAAGGAAGAGGTATAGAGTATATAGGTCGGTCGAGGCAATTTCAAAGATAGAATATAAAACAAAAGCAAAAGAAGGGAAAAGGAAAAGAATAAAAGGAAATTGGGCGTGAGGCTGGTGCAGAGAAAGAGTATGCAGACCAAGGCCGTAGTGGAATCGCGTCGCGATTGTGGACGCGGAGGAATCGAGACCGTGCCCGCGCTAGTTTTTGCCTTCAAGGTTTTTTGGTGATGGTTTTTCTACTTTTTTTATTCTTCAATTTAGCTGATATCTAATGGCAATATTCCATTCTTTTGTTTTTAGTCTATGTTTTCACCAATTTCTTCGTTATTTCGAGCTCTTTTATTCTTTATTTACTTCTTCTATTGACGCGGTCGGAGGTAATTCGGGATTCTCCACTGCGGCCACGGACGTGCTATGGGGCCATCGCGTGTCCCACGTCACGTTATAGAATGCGCGAGATCCTAAGAATCTTGGAGGCTCCGGTATGTAACATTTCACATAACATCATGCTTAATCCAGGAAGAGATGCAAAAAAAAAAGCCCCGGGTCTTAGACCGAGGTATGCGAACTACTACCAAAAAAAAGCCCCGAACGCGAAAAACACGTCTGCACGTGACCTTTTCTAGGCATTGACCAGTTGCTCAATGCCAGTGCTGAACAGTGAATAGTACCTACAAGTGCCATTAATCTTAGGGGTTACAGACCTTGTGAGTATACTGTGCAATATATTTAAAACGTCATTAAATGTAACGAAATCTCCTATGCTTTGAATTAAAAAGCGCCTAGGCATGCTTCAATGTTTTAAGAAGTAGCTACTAGGTACAAGTTCTCAAGTTGAGTAGGGGTACAGTGTTTGAAGTATATACATATTCATCCGCGGACGTGTTCAGGGCCTGCACATGTGAACGAGACTGGTAGTTGTAGTCGACCAAATGAGAATACATGGAAATTGTTGGGTGACGGCCAGTGCTTCAAAGATATATTTGTGGTCGTCAGGCTCAAGTGCTTATTTCCAGTATATTAGAGCTCATCTTCGTGGTGCATGTGTATTCAAAGGGATAGATGCGACGGTACACATGCACACTGTCCGCGTCTATTACTCCAAACGAATCGTTTCCAATCGGAAGAAACCCAGAGTTCCGCTGTCTTCAGTTGCTCGATGCACCGACGCAGAATACTGATTGAGATAATTCCGGCTATTGTTTGCGAATGCATTCGGGGGTAAAGCTGCCGGTATTGTTCTGCAGTGGCGCGATTTGGGCTGAAGTACAGGGCTGCATTAGGGTGGTTGAAATCGCCCTTTGGCGAGCTTAGAGTACTGGGCCCTTGAGTGGAGTCGGGTCTTCGCATATAGCGCTCGGAAAGAGTAGCTGTGGATTGCGTTAGGATGAGTGAAATCGTTTTGTTGGAAGATACGGAATGTATGGGCCTCAAACGACTACCTCTGAGCAGGATTCAGAGAGAGCCTAGTATCTAGGTGAACTTTGTACTTATTTAGGTTTGATATACATTGATACTAGTAGGCATTGTATTCTACTCAGTCCAGTCTGCGGATACTGCGGATGCTGCGGATGCCTCACATGTGCTGGATTTCATGCGGCGTTGTCTCGGTCGTCTTGTATGTAGTGTCGATATACCATTGGTCGTACTTCAAGGGCCCATATTTTAAGCGCTTCAAGGATCCACGGACCCTTCGGAGATCTTTGGCCAATATTCTGAAGCGCTTTGAAATAAGCGGCCTAGTAATTGACCCGGTCAACTAACCTTAATCCCCCGAAGGAATTGATTGGAAAATTGTCATGTATGCTTCTCGGAGACTAATTGCGGCCCGCGGGAGGATTGTATACAATCATGCAGAAGGATTGAATTTCAAAGCCACCGATTACAAACCACATTTCGCGGGATTCAACCAAAAGTGGCTAACAATGACGCACGATACGAGGACAAAAATTGACTGAAGATTGTTCCATCTCGAGTATATAAAACCAGGAAACCGCGAGGTTCTTCAATTTTACATCGAAAAACTTCACAGCTTTCATCAAAAAGTATAGAATCAACGAAACAATGGCATCCGCCACCATCGACAAGTCAAAGTCCTATTTTCCTCTCGCCGGCGGCGCCGAGGATGGCTGGTCTACCGAGGACGAAGCAACAGCCACATGCTTCTGTGGTGCAGTGCAATTATCATTTGTGAGTCTCATCTAGCGCTACAGGCTTGCTTTTCCTTTTGTACTCAAGTGCTAGTACTAACAACGGCCGTCAACTCCCAGCCAACCCACGGACCTGGCTACGTCGGCTCCTTCGTCTGTAATTGCTCCGACTGCCACAAGCTTACCGCATCCATGCACGCAACCAACTTCACAGTCTACGACACACACCTGAAACATCTGCGTGGTCGCGAAAACCTGAAGACATACAGCCAGTCTCGCACGGTGTTCGTCAAAACTCCTGGCCAGGACAACACCATGACCAACTACTTTTGTTCCACATGCGGCTCGCTAATGTACCGCGTTGGTGCGGCTTTCCCGGGCATGAGTATTCTGCGTGTTGGTAGTGTGGATGATTTCTCGTTGCACGAGACTAAATTGAGGCCTACGATGGAGCAGTTTACCAAGGACCGCGTGGCTTGGAAGGCTCCTACGGAAGGGACCAAGCAGTTTGTCGAGGATGGTTTGCATGTATAGAAGTTGCGATGTCTGGAGCAATTGGCTACCAGTGTGTATGAATTGTTTATCAACCCATGTAAAAAAAATAATAAGAATGACCCTTTTCAATTTTTTCTTATTGAGTCCAATTCTCCTTGCCGTCATCGGTATCCACTGGGGCAGGAATCCCAGTATCGAATTCCCTCCCATACTAATCATCTGTCTATGTACGGCGGCCGATACCCGCCACCCCTCTGCCATAACCAGTCCAATTTGGATTTTTAGCTTTACCGCCCTGTTTCTTGCCTGTATTGTATATGTTATATATAGGAATTTCTTAAGGAATTTGATCTAAACATGGGTTACTTTTAGAATAGACTTGAGACATCTGGAAGAGACTTGAGAATAGACTTGAGAAGAGACTTGAGAATAGACTTGAGAATAGACTTGAGAAGAGACTTGAGAAGAGACTTGAGAAGAGACTTGAGAAGAGACTTGAGAATAGACTTGAGAAGAGACTTGAGAAGAGACTTGAGAATAGACTTGAGAATAGACTTGAGAAGAGACTTGAGAATAGACTTGAGAATAGACTTCGCAATCTGTCTCTATCCAGATTCCAGATGCTTTTCCGGTTTCCCCACAGTCTGATACTTGATAGGCCAGGGCCCAGAACGCAGATCCACCACAAACCCCGGACTTTGGATTTTCTGGTCCGTGTTCGCTGTTCCTTGCGGACCTTGCCCCCTGTCACTCTAGCTTGGCTGTTCACTGCTGTTTTCCCCTAGCCCCCGCACTTTGAGCCCATGCGAGTCAGGAACGGGAAAGCTCAGTCTTGCCGTGATGTAGATCAATTGCGGAGATATTCTTGTCTTTATCCACGCTGTTCTAGAAATCATTCAAAGGCCCACTCTGTTGACAATGGGGCGATCATACTCTGTTTTCATAGCTGCATTGGCGGCGATGGGCTCATTTCTGTTCGGATATGATAGTGGTGTCATGACCGACGTGATTGACTCTACAAATTTCCTGCAATCCTTTCATACGACGCAGACTTCAGCAATCATCGGTGCTATCAATAGTACCTATTCGGGTGGTGGTAAGTCCCTCTAGCTCTGATAAGCCGGTGTACATATGATAGAGATGCCTCGCCAATTTCTAACATTCATATTTTCCTGTCAATTAGCCATGATCGGTGCCTTTCAGGGTGGTTACACCGTGGACCGGTTCGGCCGCAAAATCACTATCCAGATGGGTGCTTTGATCTGCCTCGTCGGCGCAACGCTTCAGGCGGCGGCTCAGAATTTACCCATGATCCTTGTTGGTCGGATCTTGGCGGGTTGGGGTGTCGGGATCATGTCCATGGCGGTCCCGGTCTACCAAGCCGAATTTGCGCATCCCCGCTCCCGGGGCTTGATTGTGGGGTTGTCGCAGCAGATGATTGGTATTGGGTTTATTGTTAGCACGTATGGCTCCCTGGTCTCGACTCAACAAGTATCTCATTAGAACCAACATTTTGGTCGAAGCTAACCGGAATGTTAGATGGGTAGGATACGGTTCTCTCCGTGCGCCAAACTCCAGTCAACTCCAATGGCGGTTGCCTCTAGCCTTCCAGGTTATACCAGCGCTTATTCTCGTTATCGGCATGACCTTTGTACCTGAGTCTCCGCGATTCCTCATCGAGAAAGGTCGCCACACAGAGGCAATGTGCGTGCTCCGAAAGTTGCATTCCGATGGAACGAATGACGAGTGGATTGAAGCCGAGTTCAACAATATATGTCAAGCCCATGAATCTGGGAAGTCGGCTGTAGCCCCTGGTTGGGTGTCGATGTTCACTGTTCCAAAGTGGCGGACTCGTATGCTGTATGTTCCGGATCAATCCCTTGCTCCCTTTTGACTTTCCACGCTCACAGTTGCAGCCATGGCCTTGCAGTCCAGGTGTTCACCCAAATGACTGGTGTTAACGTGATCACGTATTACCAGACAATCATGTACAAAGCCCTGGGGATTACGGGTGGTCGCGACACCCTCATCGCAGGGGTTTACAACTGTGTCGGCCCGCTTGCTAACCTTATTTTCGTGGTGTTTTTCCTCGACCGAGTCGGACGCCGGAAGCCCCTGCTATTCGGCACAGTAGCGATTTCCATAGCGCTCGCGTGTGAGGCCATTCTCGCCTGGAAGAACCCCAACGGCGAACGAATCGGATATAGCATCGGTGGAGTGTTTTTCATTTTTGCCGTATCGGTTGCCTTCTCGGTCTCGTTTGGGCCGTGTAGCTGGTGCGACCCTCCACTCCGCCCCCTCTTTTTTTCAAATCATGTTCCACTTCTCACATTCAGTACAGGGTGTATATGGCCGAGGTCATGCCCATGCAAATCCGCGGCAAGGGCAATGCATTTTCAGTGGGGATTGGGAACTGGGCGGTCAGTACCGTGTGGAATCAGGTCTCACCAACTGCTCTTGGACAGATCCAGTGGAGGTTTTATTTTGTATTTGTGGCATGGAGTGAGTCTCCGTCATCCCTTCAAAGCTGCGTTGTGGATCCCCCTGCTGACAGTTTCCCGTGTAGATCTCTGCGTCACATTTCCGATCATTTATTTCTTTTTTCTGGAGACCAAGCAGAAGACACTTGAGGAGATAGATGATCTTTTTGATCGGTCGGATCGGATACCTGCAGTGATTCCGGTAGAGTCAGAAAAGGTAGTATTGTCGAATGTTGAACATGCTCTTTGAAAACACAGAGAAATAAAGTATGGAGAAAGTATGGAGAAGTGGAGAGAAAGTGGAGAAATGGATAAAGTGACGAGTTAGATGGAAGTGGGCAGTGGGCAGTGTGGCACCACAACTCTTTACATCTTTACACAAATCAACCCACGTCGATAAAAACCACTCATCTGACCATGATTTTTTTACTTTCCACAACCTAAAAACAAGATGGAAAACGGAAATTCAAATTTAATCCAATCACTGCAAAAAGCTGAAAAAAGAATAGGACATTTCAGCCGATCAACATTCCCACTAAGTACCTTGGCCCGCACATCCCTTCCAACAACTCGAATCACCATTGGTTCCACGGGTGCACAAGGGGAAGAGACGAAAAAGAAAAGAAACAAGAGTCAACGAGGGAAACTAAAGCGCATCTCGTGTTATTCCCAGCTTCTCCCCCGCTTTGAATGCGTCGATCCTCTTCATACCTGAGCCGAAAAGGTCGCCACTGTCAGCTCTCGGCTCACAGCTCCCAAGCTTACACCTTTAATTTGAAGACTATTTCGTTTGCACTTTTTTTTTTTCTTTGCAAAATTTTCTTTCCTTACTTCCCTCCCTGGTCGACTTTCCTACCGCGAACTTCCTTATTGGAGCTGACTTGGATCCTGGGCGTTTCACATTGCGTTGCGCTGCAATACGATCTATTTCTAGCTCCAGGGAGAGGATCAGTTTTCCACCGCTGACAAGCTCGTATTGGATTACATTGAAGATAAGATCGCGCATCTATCGCCATCCCCTGCTGGTCGATCGCGCGACTGAGGATTCTCCAAAAGGTGGGGAAATGGCCGAAGATGATAACCTCAAGACGAGCCATATGGCCATTGTCTTGGGTATTGGGCTCGGGGTGGTGCTACTGATCGTATTAAGCCTGGTGTGAGTTATCTTTGACTTTTCTTTTCTGTTTTTGTTTCCCTTCTTTCCAGTCTTTCTGTTTCACTTTCACTTTCTTTTAATTTGATTTTATGATACTTTTATGAGGGTCTTTCGAGGTTTCCTTGTATATTCATTAGGAGAAGCCCCAGGCTTGAAGACGACTCTTTTCGACTCTCCTCTTTGATCCCATTGAATTCTATTCAATTCCGACAGTGCCGAACCTCCTGAATTACCCTCCGATTTTGTGCGACACGAACCAGCGACGAGAAAGTACTGACAATCCAACCCAGTTTGACGATTGTTGTTAACCGACGCGATCGCCGCGCTTTCCTGCAATCAAAGAAGAATCCCGATCAACGACTGGCTAGTCTAGATGCCGTATCACCCACCCGCACATTGGAACAATGGTGGACCATGACTAAGGGCAAAATGGGCCTTTCGGAGGCTGTGGATGGCCAGTTTGTCTGGTATGCATGCATCCATACCCCCTTGCTCGCTCTATTTCTCTCAAAAAATACAACTCATATATGCGTGCGAAAATGGGATTTGGCTGATCATGTTAATCTAGCGCCGTATGTCTGGAGCAGGTGGGCCGGTCTGAAGAAATAAGGGAGTTACGCTGCTTGCATGTTTTCCATCGGGAATGCCTGGAGAAGTGGTTCTTGGGTGATCATTATAATTGTCCGCTGTGCCATCGCGCATATTTTGTTGCGGAGACTCCGCCTCGGCATGATTATGTCTGGATGGTATGATTATTTAGGAGCACTGGGGTGGATCATTTGAACATTTTACACGATCAAGGATATGCGTTCAAATATATGGTAACACCCGATATTAATGATTATGAAATTATGATGATTCAAATGTTGAGGATTATGGTATTCAACCTTATTTTGCAGCTTTCAAAGTTACAATACTCAAGTCCTGGTAGGTAGTATGCCTATCATACAGCTCCCTATTTTTTTCTATAACATTTGAAAACTTCCTGGCCATCAAGAGGCAATTTATCAATCGAAATGAGTCAGAGAGACTGGAAGCCAGTCAGTATTAATTTTTAGTGTGAGGGAATCTCTCCATGCCGCCTGGGCACAGTCGTTTGTCATTAAGCATGGGCTACATATGGGCTAAATGATCTATATACTGCATTTCAAAAAGAGTCCCCTATGGTGCGAATCCGCCAGCGCCGGGAAAGTACTCAGTAAAATCCCAGGCGTTATAATTTGACCAGTCCAGAAAGCTAGAAAGGCCAGAAGTAACATCGTGCACCATATCCGCTTGCACTGGCTGTGGATCCAGTAATTGGTCCAAGATGCGAGAAAGCTTCTTCTCCGCTTCTTTGCAGGTATGGTAGTTCCCATGGCCAGGTTTCGATACCCATGACAACAACGAGATGAAAACGCTAATATTGCGAATTATTTCAGCGCGCGGCAATGCCACGTTATGAGGGCCAGGTTCGTGAGACTGGTGTAGGAGCTCGACAAGAAGCACGCTGGCACTTGGAAGACCGTAAGTGAGGGCCTGTGTCAAGTTAGTAAAACTGCTGCCTTCCAGAGTTGTACAACCGAAGTTAGGGATGCAAACGTACAATCCAGGAATAATGCGCTGCAAAGTCCATCATGGGACTTCGCTGAGAAGTGATGGTAACGACAATTGCGAGGACTCGGCGGGAAACATCACAGAGAGCGGCTTGCCCAGTGTTTGTGTGCTTTATCAGAGCCCGTTGGAGAAGGAAGCAGGTATATAGATAGCTTAGGTAAATATAAACGATTGTCAACCATCCATGATGAAATTCATCATTGGATTGGCGATCGTATCGAAGATGATCGGGGGTTGCATGCCATATTTTGCGTACATCTTCTTCGATTTCACTATTTCATAAACATGATATGTTAGAGACGGATGAGAAGCCGATAAATTATAGCATCAGCTCACTTTGTTCTGCGGACCAGGTCGTGAATATCAGGATTCCCTAACGCGATATCAAGGGTTTTTTCTCTCGCAACAGCCAGATGGAAACGGAGCCGTGAGGGTGACATTCTATGCCGAGCTCCTTGCGTATTCCAGCCGTTACTGTCAAGCTCTGACACTGCTTTGTCAAGAGCGTCTCCCCCTGCAATAAGAACGTCGTCGCTCAGATCTAGCGGGGGAGTCAAAGTGCAATATCGATAGTTCATTAGAGGTGGCCGACCGACAAATGTGGCCATCATCTTGTCTATATAGAAACCTGAGATGAAACAGCCTCTTCGCCATTGGCGGAGAAAAAAGGGATAGTTTTCGGCACTATCGGTATCAAGATGGATACCTGCGGCATAGATCGTAGCGACCAAGTCACCTAATCGACGCCATGCTTCATAACCTAGAGTATGTGTTAGACAGTTTGTACATAGGAGGTCGCCAAGTGCCAAAGGTAAGACATACTCGAGTCTCCATATTGCTGCGTTCGAAGCATGACATCGTTATATTGCAGATAAGCAAGCAGCTCATTCGCCGAAGAAGCCTGGTCACAGAAACCAAGGCAAACGGTACTGGCTCCTATCAACTGTTCCAGCAGCCGTTCCTTGACCTGCGGGTCCTCAATGCCCTGAGAGACCTCGGGATCATTCTCCGGTGTGATCATGAGCTGTTGACCGCACACAGAAAAAATATTCCCCAGAGCCTCCCACCGAATATTCCGGCCAGTAAACGAGGCACAGTAATCTTTAACGGTCATCGACGGATATGCTTTCATTGCGCGTGATGAGTTCTGGAATATCTGCGTGGCCAAGTTCTGCAGCTCAGGCATAAGATTGCTAGGATTGAGCCCATCAAAGATCTCTTGAACCGAATCAAGCATAGCATCCAATACTATACTAGGAATGACCGCATTCCACGACCGACTATACCATTTCTCAACCAACGCTCGCCGGGAACTGAGGTTATAAAGGAACAGCAAAACGTCTGCCCCGGACCGGGCTCGCTCGGGCTCCACTGACAGGACAGGATATGAATCCGAACTCTCTTCCGGTTCAAAGGGAATTTCATTGCGATGCTCCGTCAGAATCGCAGTGTAGCTTGTGGATCCCAGGTAGCCAGGAAGAGCAGATTGAGCCTCTAACGAAGCAAAAATGCGACCACTTCCCAAGGATCCCGGGCTTGAGGCACTAGATTCTTGTTAGAGAAACTCCGAGTCAGAAGTGGCGGGGCAAATGGATGTTTACTTGGAAGTTGGCTGGCTCGTTAACTGACTGTTGGAGGATATTACCGTTGGCCTGATATTTTGTAAAGATCTCCGTCTGGTCATTGGGGCTGGATGATAGAAACATTTGTCGCTCATCCGCTTAGACGCGCATCGGTGACAGACGGGTCGCTCATGGTCGCATCGCTGCTTTGACCGACGACAAGGCTCGCAGGACTGCAACGCGCCATTTCGCCGGGTCGCGGGTGATTGCGAGCGCCGATCATCAGTATTTCTCATTGTATTGGCCCATGGGGCTGGAAAGGTTCAAAGTAGATGTGAGGCGATTGAGGAGAAAGTGCGAATCAAATCTTCCCAAAGTAGTTTAGCGTCGAGCCATGGTTCGGAGTCGGGATTGAATAAAGTCAAGAAGCATAGTAATCCAGTCTGCAGCCATTAAGGATTGAATATGGCTTTACACACAACCTATTTCTAATATGGACAGATTTGGAAGATTTTACGATTCAGAGTGAGCATGAAGTATTGTGGGATCGTGAAATTGATTGTCGTTTCGCCATTCAAATTGACACGTACAGAAAAACCCTGTAACAGAACGCCATGCCAGGAGGGCGGAGAAACCAGAAAGAATTTAGACAATCGGAATCGACGGCATTTATGACAGCTTCAAAGTCACCCAAGAACGAAACAGAAGAATTAAAGCACAAAAACCAAACGCCAAGCAGAACATGCCAAAGACCCTAATGTCACGCCAGAAAAACCCGAAGTAAAAAATGTGAAGACGAAGAGAAGTAAACATTAAGAGCATTCAAATGCAGCAGAAAATGGGGTATGCGAAAGGTTGCCCCGAGGAGGCAGGAAGAATGTAATGTGTCGCCGCAGGCAGACAGAGTGGAAGAAAAGGAAATCAAGAGGCACATCCCTTATTGAACAGGTCGAACAGCGCGAGCGGGGCTTGATGTGCTTCCGATGCGACCACTGGGCTTGCGAACGCCTCGGGATTCACCCTTGGAGCTATCTGTTGCCCGCCGGGGGCTGGTGCGAACCTTGCTAACAGAAATAGGGGCGCCACCACTCTTGCGGCTGATAGGAGTCTTGGGGGCGGCATTTTCGACCCAGTTCTCCTGATCATCATGGATGTCATCTGTCAAGGTGTAGCTGGCAGTGACAGTTGCTGAGTAGCTGATGGATCGTGTAGGTGATGCAACAGGAGACTTTGATGATTTCTTGGCCAACATACGAAGCTGAATCTCTTCGTCACTCTCACTGCTCTCGTTGCTGAGGCGGTGGCCCTTGCTGCGCTGTTCACTCTTGTGTCCTTCATGCTCCACAGCTAGTGATCCAGATGCGGTGCGGGAGTAAGGGTGGTGACGAGAGTCCTTTCGGTGCGACTTACGGGGTTGACCGGGGGTTGGAGCTGGGAGGTTCTCCTCATACTGGTTGGCAGCGCCTTCGTTGTGATCGATTTCCCCAAGAGCAGCGCGCTTTGAGTGAGTGTTGTTGGGAGGTGTGGAAACAACGCCATTGCTTGCGCGCTTCTTGGTTGACATACGAGCAGGAGTGACAGGGGCGGACTGTGCCATCTTCTCGCGCATGCTGTCCTCAAACCACCATTCGCGGAACGAGCCCTGGTTGAGATGCAGCCAGTGTTGCTGAGGTCCTACAACCATGCCAGGTCGCATGAATCGCATGAAAGAAATGACTTCATTGGCAGTGAAGCCATAGCGGTAGATCAGATAGGCACCAATCAAGCATCCCGTGCGACCAAGGCCTGCCTTGCAGTGAACAGCAATACCCTTGTTCTTCACGGTGATCATCTCATGGGCCATCTTGATGAACTTGCGTACAAGTTGTAGGGGTGGGCAAGTGCCGTCTTCGAAGATCATATCGATATGAGCGATACCCATAGCTGTGAAGTAAGACGGGCTGTAAAGCTCCGAATTCAACCGAACCACAAGACCCACATTCCGCGACGCGAAGTGAACTAGGACATTCTTGAATGACAAAGGCAGTTTGGCAGAGCAAACCTCAGAGATGGTGGAGGGCAGGGCATCGTATTCGGGGGTGTTTGCGGGGACCGGCTCCACGGGTTGATGTTGAGGGGAAGCGAAAGCGAGGAAATCTTGTGTCACCCAGTTGAAGTCACCCATATCGACTCTCTCAAACTTTTCATATCTGCGATACTAATTAGTATATTGTAGGACAAGGGTGGAAAATAAGGTTTAGGTACATACTCTTCAAGGTTGAAGTCTCGGAGACCGCACAGACCCTTCTCTTTGGCCTTCCACACTCCATATACAACGTCTTGGATGTTCAAGACGAAATCCGCCTGGCTGTATCCAGCATCGCGGAACGGCATGTATGGAGGATCAGCCTGTGCAATCGGTGCGAGGGCCAAGTGGGGTGGCCATGACTGGATTAGGACCATGTAGCATGCAACAAGGCATGCTGCGTTCGCACGGCTTCGCGCATCGGTCTTGCTGTAGAAGACCACGGGCCGGTCGCTGTTGGCTGGGTCGCCGAGAATCTCATGGAAAAGTACTGCAAATCTGTACAAGTGGCCAATGTGGAGTGGGCCAAAGTCCGCGTGGAAGGCATTGTAAAGGAGAGTATCATCGACGGTGAAGTACACGGGGCTGCGACGCTTGGTGCTAGGTGTAGCTGGGGGTTGAGCACGCGACCGCTTGCTTGGGGACTTGGAGGACTCGGCAGGGAATGGGAAGTGCGTTCTAGAGCTTGGTGCGGAGTCATAGGATGCCAGATACAGGCGGTCTGATGTTTTGTTTGTTGTTAGACCCCACCATTTTCAAACATTTCGGATGACAACAATAACAACATTGATCACGCACCTGCGATGTATTCAATCATTTTGCCAGAATCAAGCGACATGTTGTCGATGAGTAGGTTGCGACTTCAGTAGGTATGGAACAACGAAGGTAAAATGATGCAAGCTTGAACAGCGTCGCAAATGGTCACTTTTGGTGACGGTGCCCGATGGTGTGGAAAACACGAAGTTCGACAATTGATAGGATACAAAGACCTTAAACGCTCATGATCTTAAAGACCTGAGGAATAATGAAAAGGACGAAAGGTAATGATAAGTGCCTGGGTAAGAGGAACTTCACAAGGTTGAAGAGTGGAAGAAGAATCTCATGGTGTTGGGGTTATTAATTGCCATGCCACGCTAACGATGTTATGTTGTGCTGGGCCTGATTGGGATTAGTGTCCGCCGTTGGCTCGACAACCATCAGCTATGTGTGGCCTCAGGCCGGCAATAAAGTTGGAGAGATTACCTCAGCCAAACATTGCCCCCAAGATTGGATTAAACTCCATCAAAATGATCCATCATGATTTGTACACTCGTCTTTCCCCTCTCTGCAATGCAGCTTGGGCTGTCTGGCTTGCATGAAATACATAAATGTTACTTCTTGTTGGCGGTTGTTGCCTAGGCATCTGCAATGTTTTCCCTTCTATCAAAACATCCAAACATAACATTTCATCAGGGCGGTAAGGTGTCGATGCCTGAAACGGGCAACCTATGCTAGGCAGTCCAAACATTGGAAGCATTCCACAGAACTAGTGAAGAATTGTGCTCACCTGATCTCATCAACAATGTTGACCGCCACCTGAGATCCGCGGAAAAAGCCGTGCCGGGTATCGCGTGACCTGGCATTGCCGCTGAGGTCTTGAAACATTTGCATACATGTATGTTGGTATGCATATCCATGGATATGTATCGCTGCTGCGAGCGTATCCACATGCACATGTGTGCAGTCCACGGGTGCATGTACCTAAACATCAACATTTGAACGTAATCAATAATTCCTCAGGTGTATTTATATGCCTGTCTTCCTTCCAGTCTACTACTTGACTTGAAATAATTTCATTACATAGACTATTCCTTTTGGTTTACTTGGTCTCTACTGGTAGGACTTTGTTGAATATGGAGCGAGCGACTCGCGGAAAAAGGAGGTGATATCCCAAAAATATTGGAATTTCTCCAAGGACTTCCAAGTGTGTCCTCGAAATGAACAGCACGGATCTGCTCCTCAGTTCTTTCTATCTGAGGAAGCACGCGAATAGCCTCTAATAACTCGAGAATGGCAAGTTGGTGGCACGGGATGTCGATACCAACATCTCACAAAAAATAACCAACACAGTCGCCTTTGGTCACGACGGAATTTTGGCGCTTATCTGTCACGCGCGAAATGAGCTTATGAGTGGCATCCTGTGGTGAACAGGGTCGGATGTGCTGTAGCGCTCAATGAACTTTCGCACCATTTGAATTTCATCCAAGGTCGGGGGTCGTCCTCGTCCGGGCCAGGGTGAGTGTAGCGTTACCACTTAGTGCAGTCGTCTCTCATTGTTACCAAATTTTCATATTGCTCGTAAACGGGGGTTGTGGATGAAAGATGTCACCCTTGCAATGTTTGAATAAGTAATTTGATTAATGTGAAGCAGGAAGCGCCGTGCACGTGGGGACAAAATCGTTGCAACAGAGGTGTGTGACAGAGAAAAGCAACGGACAAAGTAAGAGAAAGAATGGCTCAGGAGGTGAGACAAATCAAGAAGAGCTGAAGTCCTGAGATAGGGATCACCTGAGCCCGCTTCTCAGTAGAAGAGTTTATCTTTCGGTTTCCTAAATGTTTACTGGTTGTAACCCCAGCGCGTGACCTTCAATGTTGGAAGTAAAACGAGTGTTTGCCTGATTGTGTTAATCCCGTTGATTTTTGCAGCCTGGTCTATCCTAACGGTCCACTATAAATATGTACTCCTACTTTCATATAATGTCTTTACAAAAGTCCGTTGAGGGGATTCATGTGCGACTTGAGTTGATTTTACAAGTCACTTTAAGTGATGGCCTGGGTCTAGTCATGTTATACAAACCTGGAAAGTATGGGGAATCGGATATGTATAAGCACTGGAGGTATGGGGTACATAGTACATGTAGTGCAGGAAAGCGGAGAAAATTTGAAGGAATGACCTAGGAAGCCACTTGAAAGAACCGTTTAAATTTGTCATCCAACCAACATTGAACGTTGAAACCTTCAATATTGAGTGCATCAGCTGCCATGACTGGAAAATTGATATGAGTGACTGCTTGAAATAGACCTTGAGTAGTAATCAGTGAGCCTGACTCTCAGTACTCTCATGAAAGCAGCGGGAGCTCAGAAGTCAGCACCGAATTACTACAGTCACTCTCTAAAGTTTTTACTACAACATCCATGGATTTAACCATCTACCTTGGCCCTTTTTATTTATATTATATTCCAACCTTCAAAGAAAAATTCCAGAGGTCGTTGGATACAACAAAATTTTGGGAGATCTACATGGACCTTAAAGGGAAAGTCTCTAGGGCTTGGAAACAACACCACGTATCTTCGAAGATATAAGGAATATACAGTACCTACTTACCTAGACACTGGGGCAACTGGGCACATGCATTGATCTTTAACCTTGGAACTTCAATGTTGGAAGACCCATTGCCAAGGACTGAACGGTCCACCGGCGCACTTTCCAGGACCATGTTGATGGTTAAGGTTCAAATGGTAGGAGCCTTTTGAAAGCTCGATAGGAAGGTTGCGATACGGAGTATTTTTTGCCACTCTAGTTGTTTGTTGACATTCAATGTTCTGCGCAGAGTCGCAGACTGATCAGATCCAGGGTTGTTTGTCCCCGGTGATTGGCTCCCGCCTCGATCTATTTGCCGAGGCCCTCCCGAGTCCCGACTCCTGGACTCCCAACGGTCAACCTCCAAGGCTCAGAACGTGGACTACTGTAGTGTCCGGAGGGCAAATCCAAAAGGCAACACATCGCCGAAGCGACAAATATCGATTGTCTCTTGATCAAACAATGGCTCAGTGTCTGGAAACTATTTCCCCCTTGGGTCAGTGCACGATCGACACAGGGTTATTGAACGGGCGTCAGTAAAGAGCCACGGGAAGGTAGGGTCAGCGGGCGATGCATCCAAAGAGTTGGCCTATCTTAAAAAAAAAGAAAAACAAAGTTGAATCGACAGGGCAATAGCAGGACCCTTTTTCGAGCGTCGTCCGATATTAACGCCCTTGCCTCGGCCACCCCACCACACAGGTCATAGCGGATGCACCCGCGCCATCCCTAGCATGCGAAAATGAAATGAGGCCCTGTCCGGGTGATAGCTTGCAACACTAGGCAATTAACCCAGCAGAGCTTTGGAAACGTCTTCAATATTTCCTTCGAATTAAAAGAAGAAGCGATCATTCAATGACATTTCACTTTTGGTGCTCCATACTGAAAGCCTAACGTGACAGGAATATGATCTATACCCAAGCCTCAAGGTAGTACCTAGAGGTTCATTTTGGAAATGACCAACGCGGCTCTGGCAACCAATGGCCCTTTAATTAGTCTTGATGCCCTTGCTGAAAGCCTATCCGACTTTTTCCAAATCGAGTACACCGCCCATAAGAAAAAAACCTTCGATATCCTGCATCAAGAGATTTCATTGGAGCTCATGTGGGCCTTCGACACTACTAGTTACATGGTGCTGCGGATGGCACTTCCTAATGTCGATCATCATCAGCCATGGCCGAAACGGACAAAAAAAAGCGCCGGGGAACCATGGACCCCTGGTGATCCCGGTGCAATACATGCGAGGAGCTCACTGGGACAACATGTAGCTGCTCGAGCTCATCAAAACAACCAAAAGGAGATGTATAAAATCCGGTCTAGCACCACTCCTTCTACACCCTCCCAGTCCACTCACTACTCAAGTCACTCATTCCTTCCCTTTCGCTCTTTGCAGTCACTTGTCAACTCAACACAGTCGCTCTTTTGACAAAGCTTAACCCAAAATCAATCAACCGCCATAATGAAGTTTTCTGGATTTTCTGTTTCTCTTGCCCTTGCGAGCGCTTTATCCGTCTCTGCTCTTCCCACCCTTCCGGGTCGCACTGACCTTAGCGCTCTTCCCGGTCGTACCGCTGTGGGTGATGCTGCGAGTTCGACCGATGGCACTGCCGCTGCTATGAAGCGTCGTGACGGTGGCGATGCCCTTGGCGGAGCTGTCTATGGCGTGACCGGCTCTTCAAATGGACTTGTTGGTATCGTTGGTAGTGCTGCCGGCACTGCTGAGAGCACCTCCGCTGGTGCCGTTGGAACTGCCGAGAGCACGGTTGCTGGCGTGGTTCCTGGTGAGTTTCAACTCATAGATACCGTCTCAAATTAGAGAGAATATCTGGTGCTAACAACACATTAGCCAAGCGTGAAGTTCCTGGTCTTAATGGCCTTAGCGCTCTGCCCGGCGGTACCGTCGTCGGTGAAGTTGAGGGTACGACCGAGGCAGCAGTTGGTAGCGTGAAGCGTGATGGTAGCACTGATGCTGTTGCCGGAGCCGTCTATGGCGTGACTAGCTCTACGAATGGAATTGTTGGCGTTGCTGGTAGTGCTGCTGGCACTGGTGAGAGTACCGCCGCTGGTGCCGTTGGAACTGTCGAGAGCACGGCCGCTGGTGTCATTCCTGGTAAGTTTCAATTGAGATACCCCGTCCAAAATGGAATTAGTATCTAGTGCTAACAACACATTAGCCAAGCGTGAAGTTCCTGGTCTTAATGGCCTTAGCGCTCTGCCCGGTGGTACCGTCGTCGGTGAAGTTGAGGGTACGGCCGAGGGAGCTGCTGCTGGCATGAAGCGTGATGTGAAGCGTGACAGCACTGATGCCCTTACCGGAACCGTCTATGGCGTGACTGAATCTACGAATGGACTTGTTGGTATCGCTGGTAGTGCTGCCGGCACTGCTGAGACCACCTCTGCTGGTGCTGTTGGAACCGTTGAGAGCACGGTTGCTGGTGTCGTTCCTGGTAAGTCTCAATCGACAAACGCCGACCGAACGTCAAATAACATATGATTAACAG